CAACTATGAAACGTATGTAACTCTTAATAGTTGCAGGCACAGTATCTATGGTACTGCATATTGAATATAACACTGTGCTACAAAATCGCATATATTGGCAGTAAAGCTTCTGGTAGTAGAATTATTAGCCATCATAAGTAGATAGATTTATACTCGTATGATAGAATACATAAATTACTATCTATTTAAGGGAAAGTGTTCCATTAGTTATTCAAGTGTGATTTTACACGACTATGTTGTCATCAATAGATTAATCTAGACTATTTAAGTACTGTCGATGGGAGCTCGTATTCCATTCAAGCTCATGATATCTTACTTCAGATTCTTATTAAGAGTTAATTATTATTTTACTTTATTAAAACCGTGTAATAGAAAACTTTTTTAAATTCCATTTGGGCCGTTCACTTGATGAGAATTAGATCTCTTTAGATTAGACGAGTTGCATACTTTTATTTCAAAGTTATAAAATATTCAATTTTATTAGTTCTCAAGCCAATACCAATTTGTTACTATATCATATCTATTTTAATTATTAATATCTCCTCAGTCGTTTAGATATCATAATTAATTAATTGCTTAATAATAAATCAACAATATAATATTTTTGATAAAAAAAGACCTGGATACAGTAATTGTTGAATGAAAATAGTATTGACATATTGCATGACAGCAACATAATTGACATAGTTTATTACTCGAATATATAGGCAATGTATAATTTATCTTCCGGATTTATTTATGCAGTAGATTGCAAAATTAATTAGGTTACCAACATTTAGGATATTATATAACCTAAAAGCTAATTTTATTTTTAAAACCACATTCATGCGTTGATTTTGACCTTTTAAGACTTTTGGGTTTGTGCTAAGATGCAATAGCGTCTATATAGAACCATGTGATGAATTGAATTTATTACCTTGCTTTGTTGATTTAAAAACATTATATAATAAATATTTAAAAATATTGAGCGCTTTACTGAGCTAAATGGGATAAAATACAAAGCTTTTAGTGCTTTAATTCCGTAATATTATACTTTTAAAATAATTTCAATATAATCGTCGATACAATTCTACTTCACGCGATTAAAATTTGAGTCATGATAAATCACTCAATCAATTAATTAATAATATCTGGTTAATTAATATAATATATGCATTTAGTAAGTAACTGTTAAAAGCTATTATCCTAGTGAGTATTTGCTACGGCTACAATTGGAGTAGCTTGATATTCGTAGCTCACATGGCAAAGTTCATTATTGTAATGCTTGCTGCGATAGTAAATGACTTACCATAACTGCTATTTAAGGTCGCTGTTATATTTTTGGCAGCGATTGTTATTATGCGTAGAATATAATGAAAAGGTTAAATCTTAGTTCAGGTCAGTTAAATTAGGCAACAATCTTGCGTAAATTAGGATTACGTATGAGTAGTTGGTTAAAAATATTTACCGTAGGAAAGCTATGTTAGGAATGTTGTAGTTAAAGAAGTATGTAATAGTAAAGGATGGTAAATAGATTAGAGTATGTTTACAAGTAAGATGTTTCCTATAAAACGGAAGCAATTCGAATAATGCAGTCTGTGCTAATTAAAGTGTTGTCCTTACTACTTCTAGTCGTATGTATTTTACGTGATATAAAAGGGGCATTTAATTCAGTAGATTTCTTAAAGACTTTGTATTCTCTTGTTCTAGAGATTAATTTGTGACAGCATATTCTAAACTTGAGCCATAGCAACAGATATACCTACCGAACTAACTTCTTCTGGATATTTAAACATACTACAGACGACCATGACTGGTCAATAGCTGATACAATACTACGATTGAAAATGACATTAACATAACAACACAAGTTCTTTGCATGTGAATTAATGCTATACTCGATTATGTGTGCAAATACACTTTTGGGTATTGCAAAGTCTTCTGTTTTTCATTAATAAAGAGATTTATGATAATAAGTTTGAACTTTATGAAGTCCTTCAATATCTTGTTGATTGCAGTAAAACTAAATCGGTCGGAGCATATCAATTTTATACAATTATATATGAGATTATGGTTCTAGTAGTTATATAAAGTATATGTAGCATGTTAAGTCCCTAGTAAATCCTCATCAATCAAAATTATAGAGCCTTTACTGTGTTATTATGCCTAAGATCTGTAAAATCAGTTACTTTTTCTCATACATAAGCGTATAGTATATGATTCAAGATATATAATTACCCTATGCGTATCATGGCTCAATTATATAAATGTAAGGCCTTATTATATCTTTGTTTCTTGCTGTAACTTTAAAATAATTTCAGTAATCATTTATCTTGAAACTACTATCGATATGATAATTTCATACAAGGATTGTCGACGAGAAATTTCTATGATATTCAAATCCTCATCATGAAGTAACAGTTTTATTTATATTAACTCTTAATGTCCATATTATATTTTATAGCGGTTATTGATAATGAGAGTGTTATTTTTGATCGTTCAAAATACGGATTACTTTACTTAATTTCAACGCAGTATTTTTTGTGTATCAAATGATCCCTTTTAACGATCGTTTCTTTGCCAACGAAATGATACACTATATCGCCTTACTCCTTTAATATACGGCCGAAACAAATAAGTGGTATACTAAATTAAATATAAATGATATCGATTCCATGCTGCATAGTACTATTTAAGAACTAATTTTAACGTAAATAAATTTCGTTTCATAAGCTTCAAAATGGGAAGATTTATAAAGCAGTTTCAGATAGTGGTGAGCACCCACAATATCATAAATTTCCAGTTAATAGTTGTGAATTTGTATATGATTATAATATTAGACGTAAATTGAATAGTATAAATCATTACTATTTGTAAGCATTATCATAAAGAAGTTCTTATTCCGTGGGGCCTTTTCACGGCATTAAAGACTCTTGTAGTTCTCAATTATACCGCGTTATTTATTAGCAAAATGTAAATGCTATGCATAAAAGTTGTTAAAAGCTAATCATTTGGAGAGCTTCTAATTAATTTTCTTAAAGACGTTACTTTGTCATAGAATTAACTACAGTTAAAACGGATGTGAATGAGTTAGCGTTGCAATTGGATAGTAATATGAATATGCACAGTGGATTTTACCACCTGAATAGTAGACACAATAACATAGCCTGGCTGTAATCATAGTAATAAAACTCTTCTAACTTCTGCTCTAAAATTGTCTGTTCGATCACTGTGAAATCATATCGCTAGGCCATATAGTCATTTAATTTTATGATTTTTAAAGATGATACGAATGGACAAATAAGGCTCTTGTATTACTTCATGAAAAAAATAAATAACTGAATCTGGGCTTGCTAGCCATGCAAACTTCTCCAAGAACAGTATTAACTGATATAGCTTATACCTAGATATTATCTTTATAGCAGTATCAAAACCTCATCAGATAATTATAGTCCACTTTAAGTTTGCAAAATCAGGTGCCTGCGATAATTTTGTTTTACGAAAAAATATTTACCTAAATGTTCTTATAGATATTTTTTCTTAAAAACATGAAGACTTTATGTTTTGATAAAATATACGGAAACTAGTTAGTTATCTAATTAATTAACGATTTATAACAAAATTTTAGGCTCAAGTCGTGCTCTTGTTACCAATCGTATGATATACGGTACTTTCGGAGGCACGCTCCGATGAACTCTAAATGTTCGTTTTGAGATATTCACATTTAGACCTTCTAATTTCGGGAATAAGTTTTGTTAATACATATTCACGTAGATACTCAGAAATAAAGTTAAAGATAGACAAGTGAGCGACTTTTTTTATCTGTATAATAAATCTCGAAGTAGCTTTTTGTGTAATTAAACACGAATAAATCTACGTGCTAATAGGTCGACGGATTGTGCCACCTTACACGTAGTTCTCGTTTTTAATACCTAGATGTTAAGTATATTGATATTAATATTCAAGTTAAAAAGATGGCTCAAACTTGGCATGATCCAATATTCAAATCGGCATGAACCTTTTTCATATATCTTCTTTCTAATTACATTTAGAAACGAGTTGAATGGCTTAAAATTTACTAAGGGGAATTCAATGCTACAGGATTAAAGCAATATAAGATACGCATAGTTATGCAGCAGAGAATGAGATAAGTCATGCATATATTTGATTAAAACTCCTTTTGAGATTCGGTTAAACCGTAATCCTATCAAGTGGCTTCTATCAGAGTAAGGGAAAAGGTTATCCAATTTAGATAATAAGTACGATTAATTAAAAATTTTGTTACCACATCTGTTGATTTATCGTTGACTACGGTTGATATTTGAATTCAGAGTATATCATACGAATATCGAAATTTTCTGATTTAATTATAGGTTATTGATAAAGCTATCGATAGAACATAACATTTGCCCAATCGCCATACAATCAAGCATATCCATAGCAAATTTGATTAACAGTGTTGTTCCTAAGAGCAAGATTCCAATCGTAATATTGAAGGTGGGGTATAGCAGCTTTCAGGTCGTATTGGTATGTAGAAGGCTTGATAAATTTTGCCTTACAGAAATTTGGGCGTTTTACCTGAATGCTTTTAATTCTTCCAGTATTACCGAAATATAAAATATTGTAAGTGCAACCAAATTATGCATGGACATATGCTATATTGATCCAAATATCTAATTTAATTAATATATCTGCCAATCAGTCCTGGCAAGGTAGTAGCTAAAAAAGGCTGGCATTAATATTTTGCTACGATGCTAATTCAATCAAACACAGATATGTCCAGCTCTCTTAATTCTATCATTATTAAATATTGATGATGTATCTAAATTTAAATGATATTAACTACAAATAAAAATATCGCATGATACGGAAAATTATCTAGATACTCCCGCTGTTGACGTAAAATGATAGAAAATATTCTCTGCAGTAACTTTTCACAGTAATATTCTAGAACGATATAATAATAGCTTTACCTCGCTTTAATTTCAAGGTATAATTATTCTATGAGTAATTTTTCAACCATGACTGCACATCTAAATTTACCATTCGCAAAAAGTAGCTATCGAAAGGTAGTTTACGATCATGAAGACTTTCTAATTAAAAATTTACCAACGTATGAAATTATTGAAAAAATGTATACAAACCATCTACTTCAAGAGATCTTTTTCCTCAGTATCACAAATGTCGAACCTTCTGCGGTGGTTATTGAAAAAAATAAAGAAATTATAAACTTAATCTATGATAAAAATGTCGGTGAATTTTTTCAGTTTTATGAGATTCTGGTTAATTTAAACGATAAAACTTGTGGCAGTCTATTGAAGGTCAAGTTAATAGATTTATATCATGGACAATATCAAAATAACCATCTAAAAGGTAAACATTTTTAAACAGTAAGAAATATCTGTGCTTGTTTTGATAGGCTATTTCCCTTTCGAAGTTAATCTTGTAACATATTTCTTTCCTTATAACATTTATTTGGATCAGTAAATTAAATTCCTTACATATACTGCTATACAAATCCATACTTAAAATAATATAGAATATTAATGTAGCCGTGTCTTGTTGTTTCGATTTTTTTCAAGAAATTTTACTGCTTGTAAAAATCTTTATCTACAGATGACATTGCGATTTATTTTCTGTTTATTTTATCTTTATCTATTAAATATTAGAAAGATTAATCTTACTACTTTCTATATTTTCAAAATCGTTGAAACTGTTGTGATAAATTGCTAGAAAGTACATTTTACTCGTGATATGCGCTTTTGAAAATTCTATGCAATGTCTTATTGAAATACCATAACCGCTGGTGTGTAAATCTGCAAAAAGTAATCCTAATTGATATTCTTTTGAAAGAGAGTGGTTTAATTCACGAATTAAGATACTCTACTAATATCAACCAAGTAGCTTATCAGTGCTTATGATGATTTATCCACAGGCATATTTGATTATTTTAATTATTTCCACCCAATTCAAGTAATTTTTAGTTTCCGATTTATGTGCAAGCTTTGAAATGCTCGTATAATTGTAACAGATAGTATCTAAGAAAATATTAGCATCAAATACTGGATATTTTGTATATTCTTGCAATAGTATAAATTTAATATTGGCATTATAGCTATAAAAGTCTTACTACGGTACTTCATGTTATTTTAAATAGATTTGGATTATGGACCTTCTGTGGAAATTTTACATAAGCAATCGTCATCAACATCTTCCTTTAAGTGTTTTGCAAAAGTGCCCGAAGGTTATTTGAATTCAATAAGTTTTAGAATAGGATATTTTATTTAATTCTTATCTGATATAATGGATTAAGGGGCGCTGCGCTGCTCTTATAGCTATCTATATTCGATATCGTAGTAATATTGCAAAATGAGCTTATACATATGAGATCATATTAAATATTTTATTATCAATTCATTATTTGTATTCACGTGCTATTTTTAGAGAAAAGTTATGCTTAGTTTATAGCGATAATTCTGAAACAGAATTAGACTATAGTAGTGTAAGGCGTATAAATAATATCGATCTACTATTCTAAAACATAGTATTTTGTATAGGTTACAACATGCGTATAGAATAATGAATAGTTTGTGTAATATCATCTTTACCAACTCAAGTTTTGCTATTTTATAGTTATTATCCCTTCATTTTCTTCGACAACCATCACTTATTCAAAGACTCGTGTTTATATGACCAGCGGTAATTACTCTGGCTTAGAATTACAATTTGCTGCTAATCCTTCCAGTGAGATACGTAATATTAAAGCCGAAGTAGTTCCAGTTATTCCATCCACACCCGCATCGCTTTCTGCTGCATCATTAGGGATCAGGTTATCAGCCAATGCAAAGTTGGATAGCCATTTAAAAGAGATGATCAATATTCGCTTTCAGCTACCGGATTATTATTGCATCAATAAGGAGAATCGAATGTTAAAGCGTTCGTTAGTAATAGTAGGCCAAAAGAGTTCTAAAAAAGGCAACAATGAATTTATAGACTCCCATCAGGAATGTCGATTAAATCGACATGACGATGGCTTGGTCTCTACTCAAGTACAAGCAACATCTTTTGGTGTCGTTTGCTGTTTTTGGAAAATACCGCAGTTTATCTTAGATGCTGCTCGTTTAGGTCCGAAATTTTATTATCCCTATTTTATGTATGTAGTAGATTGTCTAGTCGCCATCCAGCCATGGAATAGTAGTTACGATATACAAGGATTCAATTTATTAATTATCCTTACCAGTCGACAATTAGATGTTACAGCTAAGCTTAAGGACTATCAAACTGTTGGTAATTTAAATAAAATCGACTTATGCTGCGGCAAATTTAAGCTTCAAGTTACTGGTAATATCATACCAAATCAGCATGTCTTTTGGCTTGAAAGTTTAGAAAAAATAGTTTATTTTACGGGTGGTTATACTTGCACTAAAATAGCCTGCGCTTTTGAGACTAATGAAGTTTCTCACCTGGAAGGCAAAATGACGATATCCTATCTAGGATTACCTGATAATTTGGATGATGCTGATCCACGTCGTAATCGAAGCTTATTCTGTGAAAGGATGCAAGCAGATATCGTAGTTGAGCTAAAATCGGACCAAAGTAAGTTATTGCTTAACAAAATTAGTATCTTAGATTGTGTAATACATTTCAGTCTCCTGTAAGTATTGATCTATAATTAGATCCTCGTATCACAGATGCTCCTAAAGATTTTTACACTTTAGAAAGTAGATGTTTGCTTAGTATTAAAACTTTTCGGAAATCAGGTCATGATATTGTCTTTGAAGATTTTATTCTATAAATTTTTATATTGATCAACATCAGTAGAGGTATCCCCTATGCCAGTAATTTCACAAACATCAATTATATCTACGTTGTCAAGTGAAATATCCGCAACAGGTAATTGTAATGTAGATTTAGTTTTATCATTTGTAAAATGAAGTAATTAACTGCGAACCAAAATGGTTATTGCAAATTTATTACACTCTCCCAAGATAAATTTTCGTACATCAATATGCTAACATTGTCTGTATTTCAAGTTTCGCAGCTTTAACTCTGATCTTGTCTTAACATTATCATTACAGAATCTATTGCATCGACACAAAGTTCAAAGATAGAGATTGGCATGTTAAAAAGAGGTCAGTAAGATATTGACTTAAGTTGGCAGTCCGAGTATTAGCGCCAAGACCCACGTTCTTGTAAATCTTTGTATCAACAGTAAAGATTTAATATTAGAGATTTGAAATTGTATCACTTTAAAGTTGTTTCTCATAGCAAGAGCTGTTCTAACAACGATAGTCTTAACTATATATTACGAACTGTGAGTCTGTTCTATTTATTTTCCTCCATTCAATTATAGAGCTTGAAACATACCACGCGAACTGTTTACTCATCGAATCACTGATAGAGAATATTGCTAATTTACAGCAATTGCATACGATACTTTCAAGCAATGGAATTGGAGATGATAGTATCGATGTACTAGAGGCTGGTAAAGATCGTCTACTCTTATATACTAAGCAAGAAACGGTAGAAAAAGTAAGTTACGCTTTAATTTATTAAGCTATCTTCGAAAAGAATAGTAATATTGGCCATATTGCGGAGACATTGTTATCAGGAAATTTTATTGAGATTTTCCTATTTTCATGGGGTTTAAAGATTTATCATCCAATATTAAATTCTCTGGAACAACGTATCAAAATGCAAAAAGAATCATTTGCGAAATTAGCTTCTTGTCAAGATATGCTTGAAGAGATTATCAATGCCCTACCTCCTCAAATTGCCGAATATGTTGCTGCATATTTTCCAAATTACTCACGAGGATTGCCGTATCTACGAAAGCAAGTAAATAGTAGCGATAGCAGCACCATTTTTGTAACAGGTATCTACTAATTAAAGAAATTGTTCGATTGATAACTTTTAGCGGTAGTCAACTATAAATATAAAATTATTTTTCTATTTTTAAATCTTCTACATCTTTATAGGTGATAATCAAGCTGGAAAGAGTACATTAATAAATTTCTTACTAGGCAAAGACATACTAACATCAAGCAATCTCAAATCATATCATAGCTATCAATTTCGCTATTCAACAGAAATTTCGGTCGAAATTATTATTAATAAATCTTCTATAAAGAATAGAGAAGTTTTACGTAGACGAAGTTTGGGAGATAGTTTATCTACATTTTTGACTGAACAAACCTCTAAAAATTCCGATAAGAAAGAAAAGAAAATCTTTAAAATCTTCTATCCATCCGCTTTGCTAAAGGTAATTTCATGAAAACATAACACTAATGTACAGTGCAAACGATTGATATTGCGATAGGATACCGTAATGAATCTTCAGTGATCTCGCTAGTTTCTGATCTTTCCAAGAACACTTTACCATTGCAAAATACGATGTTTAATAACAATTTAGATCGAATTAATAGACACCAATCTATTTTTAAGCAATCGTAACCTTGATAGTTTTATATTAGAAACACGTGGATATTATGATATAATCAGGAGTAATGATGGCAATTAATTGATGATCTATTTTGCACTAGAGTGTTAAACCACTTAAGGTTGCAATTCTTGTCATTACAAGTTAGTAATTTCTCTTGTCCTCGCTGATCACATAATAATGCATGCAAGCATAGCTGAATTGAATATACAGTCTTACGTATAGCTTAATTGAGAGCTATTGCTAGTTTACCAATGCAAGTTTATAATATATAGAATATATACTTGAACTTTTCTTACAAGTGAGATTATGCATTCTGAAGCTACTGCAGGTCAGTAACATTTTATTATCAATTATTGCATTTCATAAATTGGTGTACGATACTTTATCAATATAATATTAGAAAACTCCGTTAAAAAATTAGCAATATAGTGAGATTACAACAATAGCAATTATAATATCCCTTACCTATGAATGCATACTTTACCAAAAGTGAAACAATCATGTTGCTTTGATCAATTGTATACAGATGATACAATATTAGAGGATTCAATTCGGAATATTAATACCATAGTGATATTATAACAAAAGTAATTATAACATTCCTTACTTATTAATTAATACTTTGCCAAATTTACAAAATTGAAGCAATCCTGTCGCCTTGACCAACTATACACAGATGATATAATATTAGAAAATTTAATTGGAATATTACCAATATGATATTATAGCAAAAGTAGTTGCAATATTCCTTACCTATGAATTGGTGTTTTACTAAAACTGAAGCAATCATGTTGCCATCGCCAACTGCACACAAGATTTTTGCCATTGAGTACCTATCTATTCCTCTATTTAAGCTAGAATAGTGCAAAATTAGAATACCGTAATTCACCGGTATAGACGAAAAATTTCGAAGGATATTAATCTTTGTGACATTTAGGCTGGTATTACTATAATCGAAGATGATACAGAGTTTACTGGCATTCATGATGAAACTGCAATGTTGATGACAGGAGCTGCGGTAATCATTTACGTGATTGACTCTGATAAAAGGACGGGAGCACAAATTGATAAAGTAAGTTAAAGTAGACTACTATCGAACTGCTTATATAGATCAGATGGGGAATATCATGTCAATAAGTAGACAAAAATGTCATTCTTTAAGTCTATCTTAAAATAGGCTTGCCTATACGTCTTATAGACTGCAATTTCATTCTCACTACTATACTTGATAGCTATGTGAAATAATGAATATAAATTTGGATAACTATTTACACTGTAATCAGGGAAGAATTCGTTTTTTATTCTGATTCTTGTTTGCAACAAGGTTGCAAAATTTTTAAGAATTGTACGAGATAAAACACCAGATACTCTGGGCTTTCCAGCCGGCTCTATCCTATTCGCTTGTAATAAGTGGGAGGGTGTTGAATTAGATGAAAGACCTCATGTAAGCCATCGAATAACTCAAGAAATTAAAGATATCTGGCCACAATTTGATGACTGGCAAATAGCTTGGACTTCCTTCAAAAATGGCCTACAGCATTTTAAAGGTGGTTTCGTAGCTTCTGATATGAAAAACTTATTACAAACGATTCAAAAGCAATTGAGCTCTTGTTTTTGGTTCAGATTTGTTACCCATATTCGGTATGTCTAAAGTATTAATACGAAATTTTGCCTCAAATGATTCATTTTTGAAAACTATAGCTCGGGTACTAAAGGGATTTTTTCTGTAGTATGCTAGACATGTGTTTCTGGATGTAAAACTGACCCATAAATATCATACCTAACTTAATTAATTTTTAGAATTTGCTACATATAAATATACGTATATCCTATATTATAATCTACATGGATAATTCCTGTTAAAAAGGGGTTTCATTAATACTTGCTACACGATTTATTTATTTACCTAAAGCAGATGTTTCTATGTAGTGCATTTAAGCCAGCCTTTATTTTCTTCATTCAGATATTTAGAGCGATTTTTGCGGATGATTCAAATACCATATAAATTTTACTTAAAGAACTGTACCCTTCCATCCAATCAATTACGCAATCATCTCAAAACTATTAAGCAGGCGCAAGTAAAAATTTTAGCTCATCTACAGACAGCGAACGAAAAAGTCAATCAAATTTTAGAAGAATTTTACCGAGGTTGGTCTAGCGAATTGACAGAATCGTTGCAGAAGATGATCGATTCAGTAGAATTTGAAAGTGAAATGTCGAGGTGGAATCCGAAGTGTACAATTTTATACCGAAATACAAATGATACTACAGCAATTCTTAAGAAATTATTAAAAGACCGGATTATGCATTTATTGATCAAGTGGGAAAATGTAAGCTGTATTTTCAAGGATATGGAATTTGAGACAGAACGCATCATTACCCAACATTACGAATTTCCGCCATTAAGCAGAGATAGAAGTAACAGGTTACTACCACTTATTGGGCCATTATTTTTAAATGGAAAATTCAATTTAATTTTTCCTAAAATAGCAGAACAATCATTAAAGGATAAAGATGGTTTATCTATAGCCAAATTGGCATCGAAACCGCGCATAAATTGCGAATATGTCGATGCACTCTTAACATCCTTAATTGACACTATTCGATTTCCTCCTATCAACTCTGTTTTTACTCAGTCATTGATGTCGGTAAGATCCCCGCAATCGATCTTAGCATCACGAAAACAAGGAAATTGTAGTAATATATTACGACAAATAGCCATACAACTTGTTGATAAACTGCGCAAACAACAATATCATTGTAAGATTATTACTCATTTAATGATTACCTTTCGAAATGATGTAGCTAAATTTCAAGAACAAAACATGATTCAGATCAACGCATGTAAGAGAGTTTTACAGGAAGCACATCATATATACCGCAATAAAAGTACCGAATTAACAAATAGGCTGGACAGTATTCATAGAATTCAGGAAGAATTACGTCTTCTCTACGGAACTTATCGGCATTTGTTAAAATGAAGAGTCTTCTTTGCGGCTTCTAGATTTTATATTGCTCCAACACAGTCTCTTTTTCTATACTGTTACTCGATCACATTATCGATTTTTAGTCCATCCGGTGATTACATTAAATTAGATGAGTGTATTCTTTTGACTATTTTGATTCTTGTGACCTATTAACTTCGGTATTGCCATTTACTATTTTAATTTTAATTCTATTACCATATTCTTATTTTATACCAATTAATGAAGCCACTTTGGCCTTGATAGTTGATTATTTAGTATCTACTTACTTGTCAGTATAGTAAGCTACAAGTCTAATCATAGCATATCACCTTTACTTCATTCCCGTTTTATTCTACGGATTTTAACTCACTGTTAATTATTTTTGAGTTTACATATTGCTATCTAGAAAGGCTGGATTAAGAAAATATTGTTAATAAATGAAGTTTACTCATTTCATTCACTGCAATTGGTGATACAACGACCCAGAAATTTCCATGGTTCGCTGAATATAATGGGCAGATGCTTACTACAATTTCACTAAATAACGATGGCGTTGGAGGCAAGAAAAGGTTTGCTATGAGAAAGAGCAGACTAGAGAAGAAGACTCAATTTAGCAATCCTACTTACAATCATAAAGAGGCGGGAGCTAAGAATGACTTAATTCCTGGCGAATGGATACCAATTGTATAGAATTTACTTTACTGAAATATAAGTTTAGACATATGCACAATAAGTAAGAGTGTTTAAAATGATATCTACAAGTATATAAAGATCATCTCAACAATAAATGTCACCGGTCTGTGCTCATATAAAGTTGCTATTTAGGCATGGCGTTTTAACGAAGTGACCATCATACGTAAAACTATCATATGGTATCAGTCTCGCAACTATTCGTATATCAGCAGTAGTTATGCAATTTCTGTTGCATGTCCATAGCAGTTATCTACTGTATCTTCATTAGTTGGACGTAGATTCTAAGGGCTTAGAGCTTCGTTGGTGTCCATGAAGTTGTGTAGTATTTGCGAATATTGAAATCCCTGTTGTGCGCGTCTACTTTTGTGCGGAAATAGAGCAAAATATGGCAAGTAGTAATGATGCTAATTCTGTCTCTCTACTGCAGTTTACAAGCTCACAATTCCTTACTGTATACAGTATTTATTTTGTTTATTATTTTTAAAATTAATACGCTATCGCGGTCCATGTCTTTACTTCACTTAATTGTAGCATGTAACACTTCAGTATTTCGCTGATAGTTTCCGAAATAATTGAACGCTTTTCCTACAAGAGTCTTTTGTGTAATCATTTCATTTACGGACGATTTCAAACTTGAGCTAAGTATTCTATTCATGCTACGCAAATGCTTCTATTCTAGACTAAACTTGCAGAATTGCAATGCTTTACTATACAAGTCCATGAGTTAGCTATAGCATGGATTACTAAAGGTTTCCTTGTAGTAGTCCATTGCTACAGCAATCCGCAGATTGATGCAGTACTACAATTGTCCTTGGACTAACATCATCTTTGCACGTATAAGTACTGATATAAACATTTTCAATCAATAAAGAGAGTAGGAGTTAGTCGTTAGTTTTACCAGGGACTACTAAAAAGATTTTACATTAAGTTTACTTAAACTACATGTCCACCACACTTGCTCCCATGCTAGTTTAGCCATTTTTTGCTAGCCGTATCCATTACAACCCGAGGGTTACCCGTCCTGCCTTCCGTAGGTCTGAACTGAATTTTACAGGGTACTGCCTAATACAACTCATCCTGCATCTACTGTACCTTACACCATTATTATACAATCCAGTCATCGGCATTTAGTTATCCTATATAGTACTGTACTGTACCGTACCGTACCAGTCCCAGATCGTACGTTACGGTACTGTCCGATGCTATGGTTTACTATAAGCTTTACTGCCGTACTGTACAGTACTGTACCGTAAAGAGCTGGTTTACAATCAATAGTAAAGCTGTATTAAAGTTTTCGTACACACGTGTACCGTACCGCACCATACCATACCGTTCCGCACCGGACCGTAACGTACTGTTATGGTGCTGTGCAAGCTGAACAGGAGCAACTTCGCAACGGCCTCATTGTCCAGGAGCAGGAAGCAAAGGCAAAAACTCTGCAAATCTCAAACATCTCCAGCGATTCTGGCCTGCCTAGTGATCAATTCAACTAATTCGATCACTTTTAATTTCTCTTCCAGTGTTGGATGGAGCCAGGGAATAACCAGTATACCAAGTCATACATCATTTAAATAATATGCCTAATTCAAAGAAGCGTAAGCATCGCACGAAACCAGGTACTTTCTATGCTACTGCTTGCAAAGCAATTGCTGTAAGAAGTACATTTTGCAGTAAATTTTAGTCCATGAAATTGGACTTGATCTGAGCTATAGATACCTTTTTTATCATGATTGTGCAGTACGTCATAGCATAAAACTAACATAACGTGGATGATAAGCCCGTGCTAAGTTTCTAACTCACTCAATTCAGTATAGATATGTACTGTAGGAGTATTATAATAGGTGCTATTCATGATGATTAATTCGTTCAGTATAGCTAAATTCATCCCATAGCTTTGTAAAGAGAAATTTTCGACATGGGCTTACGAGTTATAGTCATGCAGTATGTATTTGACACACAGTTAGCATACGAACAGCATACTGAAGGTAAAACTTATGACAATGGTTCATGGATGCAACCCTTTTTTAGCTAATAGTTTCAAATCACTACTGTATGGCAATTGCCTTCTACGATTGGATTCACTAGCAGGACTATCAATGCACAAGACTAAAATAATGCTCGCGTAACATCGCTTTACAATTGACTAGACGCTTAGTGCTCGTCTTAGTTAGCTGAGATAGTGTACGTAGATGCTTTAAAGATGCGGTCATCATCAGCTTACTATGATTCTTTGTCATTGTAAATGATTAGGCCATAAAGAGCAGGTAAAGCCGACGAGCAAGTACAGTGTAGAAGATTTACTGGAAAGGGTAAGAGATTGCGTTATGTGGTAGAATTTCTGTACTGACTGATAACCCTGACATGTAAGAAATTGTTTTTAGGCTACCCAATGTCTGGAGCAATTTCAGTTCGAATTAGCATGTAAGTTCTGTGAGCGTGCATTGGAATCGCAACCTCAGAGTCTGCAGGCTTTAGAAACTTATGCGCCTATTTTACTGGAATTAGGAGATGTAGAGAAAGCTCACGATGTAAGATCCTATTATAATACGTACATATGTATACTATTTCTTGATAGATTTCTACCTTTTAAATCAACTAGCAATGACGAGTTTTTACCTACTCTCGAATCGCTAATTATAATAAAGTAAAATTTTCTTTTTATATGTGTAGTGTTTTCAGCAACTGATTAAATTGTCTCCTGATACTGGCCATGAAAAGTACATGTATTTAGGCCAGATGTGTGGCGGAGCTGACGCAGTGGGCTACTTCAAGAAAGGAATCGATATTTTAAAAGTGGAGGTTGATTTCATATCAGTCTACTCCTTTTATTATTAACTATGATATAATTAGTTTATCTCATTGATCAACAGTTACAACAAAGTAGTTCAGGGGCATCCAGCGTCAATCAGTTAAATCACTCACGGGAAATTTCTAGAGCTTATTGCTCTTTGGCTGAGATATACCTTACAGACTGCTGGTAAAATTTAAAATTTAATTTTAATTTTATGCCTTATCTCTAGTCATATTTTTAAAATTAGTAAATGCTGGCTCTGACTAAGTAACCCCAATTTTACTAGCTTTGATGACAATGCTGCGGAACTGTGTGAGAGTTATTGTCGTAGCGCCATTGAATATGATACTAAGAATGCAGAAGCTTACCAACTTCTGGCAAGTTGTCTTCTAAGTCAAGACCAAACCGATGTAAGGTTCTATCACCTACGGTATTGCCGTGATGTATTATATAGTAGATGCCTGACTTTATTGTAAACTCTTTATTGCATTTTACAAATGATCTTTATATAGAACGCTAAAGAATACATGCAAAAGAGCATAGCTTTATGGCTGCCCGCTTGTAAGGATATTGAGAACGATAATGAAGATATTGAGGTATCATAATATCGTATAAATTGAAGGGCTTTTTAGGAGTCGTTTTTAAGCCAATTAATCATTAATACTATACTTGCCAGGAGAACTGCCTGATTCCAAATTACGATTCGCGTATTTCTAGCGCAAAGCTCTTAATAGAACTAGAACAATATGAAGTATGTAGAATTATGTACCAAGTTCTTTGCCTTGTCCTTACTTTGTCAACTAGCCAGTAACTGTAAGTGTACTTTTCACTTAATTAGCAAGCTGGTGAAATCTTAGATAGATTATTACAAGAAGACGATGAAGTAGTCCAGGTAATACGATACTAGATATGGAATATGTTGATTAGTACTGATTAGATTACTGCTACAACGTTCAACAATGCTTTTATGTCTGTAAAATCAGGTTTGGTACCTACTAGGATGGTTACATTATTTAGAAAATGACACTGTAGCTGCTAGACAACATCTAGAAATGGCTCAGAAGGTTATTAGAGCACATTATTCTAATGTTATGCTCTTGACTATTTGAATAATATAATAGATATCTATGATTTCCTCTCTTTAACTTAATAGCTCAGCGAAAAGTTTCAGTGCGACGATAGTAAGGTGAATGAACATATTCAAGAACTTTTACAAGAGATACCAGATCATGACGTTGTAGCAGACCGCGACTTAGAAAGTGAAGATGATGAACATCCAATGGAAATGGATGATTCACCAGTTGGTGATACTGCGTAGTGTACAATATGTATATATATACTTACATATACAGTATAATGACTGCTGCAGTTGCGCAAGGTTAGGCTTTTATGGTTTATTACTCTGCAGGTTACCGATAAACAAATACTATCGGGTTATGCAGACAAGTTAAAGATAAAATTTTTCAATAATGTCTATTATGTAGCTACTTTTAATAATACTGGAGAAATAGTGCTCTTGGTTTTTACATATAATATACTTTAATTTTGTATTATCGCGACAGCTCTATGTAATAAATAAAACAATCCAGTATCCTTCCATATGGATCAATAAAATTTCAGCAAGATTCTATATAGATCAACTATGGCAGAATGTGCCACATTAAATTAACTCTATTTTAAAGCAAGTCAAGCCTTTGTCTGCACTTAAATATTTGATTTCGATGTGCCATATTAATTAAAAAAATATATAATTGTATTTGTTGACTTTGTGTGCCTAAGCGTTGTGCTTAAATGATCTATATATCGTGTTACTGAATTTCGCAAGTCTGGCATACCTACCGTCATTTTGTGTTTCTTGCCTACGTTTGCTTGCATAAGGCAAAAGTGTATAAGTCTTTTTTAACATGTAGTAACTGGCGCCTTATGAAACACCGTATGATATTTCATATTTTGAAATCCTTCACAAAATAAGGAAAGCAAGCTACTAAACAAGCAAACTAGGATTCCTAGATTATGATATTATAATACATTTAGGAATACGCGTACAGTAAACCGCCGCATCTAACCCGTCGATACGGTTTGATAGTATCCAAGTTGACAGATCAAGCAATTCTATCGAAAATATGCGTACAACTTGGCAATGGTCGCTCTTCAAGTCATGTTACGGCGTTAATCCTTAATATTTATAAAATAAATTAATGGTTGCCGTTATGCTATAACAATTTTCTTGAATAATCATAGCTTCGCATAGTGAAGGATGCTGAAATACGGCGTCTTATTTGAAATATACTCGTATAATTCACCCGGTGACGTTTACACTGCATTCGCAGCCAAAGCAGATATCTCTGATAATTTTTCCACAACCTTGTAAAATGAGAGAAGGAATAAAGAAAATATATTTTTTGTTATCGATGGAACACTATTGGATAATAATATTAGTAAATTATGTATACCTCGTTTATTTCAGGTCGATCATTAGGATTGACAACCAATAAGAATTTGATCAAATTTAACAGATGATCAGAGTAGCTATGGTAAAACATTGGATAGATATTTTTTATACGTTTATCTTGAGTCATTGCATATTTCATTGAATATATGACGTCGAAAAAGCCACGAAAAATTGTGAAATTGATCAAATACCTCGGATTGGGAGGAATTTCATATTTTCCGGACACTATGGCAAGCGATAGGCTACCACCTCTTTCGTTAACTTGAAATTCAAACGGTGATTGCAAAAAGGCCATAGAGTATAGTAAACAACCTAGAGACTATGATGAGCAAAATTCAAATGAGGTGCATCTTTTACAGTTCAAGAGACTGCAGAAGATGAGCAAAGATTACGTCAGCGCCTACTAACCCACACATCTATTTTCTCATCTATTCCACATACATCGCTGGATATATTGAATAGCTCGGGTGCTCTGTAAGCTATGGTGCACTTTTGAGCGGCTGTGTCCTACAATACGGGTATAGTCAATGTTAACATTTTCATTAGAAGGATACCTCTGACCCTATGGTTTTCACTGCGTCTGATAAAAATACCTCCATCTTCATGGCGTCCATATGAGTCTTAATTTCAATTCGAGCTGCCTCCATAGAGCCAAAGTCCATTAGCATAGGATTGTCATTTTCATCAATTAATATATTACCAGGTTTAATGTCTCTGTGTGCATAAGGTATAGCTCTTGATTTGTGTAAATGTTGAACAGCAAGGCAGACATCATAGAATATACGAAATATATAATCTTCGCTGAAGTAACTTTTGGTGGTCGAGGCCTTGTTAATTATATCATAAAGGTTACCTCCCTACACCAGCAATACATCGGTACAAAAAAATGCGGATTTAAAGATTGACTCTTCAACGTATACTCTATCAAAATGAATACTTTATCATGTCATAACACATGAATGCTAGATGATTATGGAACAACTTACCGTCAATAATGGTAGAAGCATTAATATTTCAACAGGCTTTCCCACAGACATTGGTCTTATAACCGATGAATCAATAATGCTAATTAAATTGGGATGATTAAACATCTTGTAGAAATCGATTTCTTTCGACGCAGCACGTTCTGCGCATTTATCATGGCATTTGATCCTCTTCAGGGCAAATTTTTGACCAGTTTCGACATCAACAGCCAAATCGACAAAACTGTAGCCTCTGTTCAAGAACAATTATAATTTAATCGGCCATGAATGGAAACTTGTATTATAAACAAGACAGTGGTTGTAGACCTATCGATAGCAATTGCAGTTCAACCTAAACCTTATGATAAATACACTTTACTGCGATATAATCTCATTTACTTCAGTTTATCAAGTACATTCTAAGTTATAAGAAGTCATCGATTGAATTGAGCTATCCTTTGAGCAGTGACTAAGTAGCATCCGATGTTATAAAGTGGCAGCGGCAACGTATATTGAGTCATTCGATCAATTTCAAATCGAAGACTAAGCTTGAAAATCATACACAGGAAACGATAGTAATTAACCTACATCGCCATGTCAAATTGTAGCGTTATTTTCTGCTAATTATCACTTCGACATGAACACTAGCTAGTCATGAATTTGCATCGTACTACTTGTATAAACACGTAGATATGCAATATTCTGCCGTCAAGTATGTCGATGAAAGATGGGTGATAACGGCCCATCTGGTATCCGACATGATTGAATTACAATGGATTATTTCAAGTTTTCTTATATAAGAAACAACAAAATTGATGCAATTACCCTTCTCCTATACGATTTTTGACCCTGACAAGGTGGTTGTTCACTTGCAGTCGCCCAGTAGTTTGATAGCATCCCATGATAGCTCATTCCGAAGGTGGTGGTAGAAATGAAAATTGCCAAGATTTCACTTGAGTCGGAGACGAAGAAAGTGACACGATAGCCAGCCCAGGGAAACTGCTGTTACACTGACAAACTGTGCGTCCGGTCCGGTACAGTGACTACCGTCCGTAGGATACCAGTTGAGACTAGTTGGGACTAGTTGCGACAGCCTTTCACCTACAGTACAGTACTGTAGAGTTGAAGCTTTTCACCTTACGGTGATACAGTACTGTACTGTACTGTACTGTACTGTATATCTCGACTTGAGACCGTTCCAGTACTACTGTACTGTACAGTACCTGTATACTGTACTGTACTGTACTGTACAGTAATTAAAGGATCTTTTAGGTCCGAATATAGGCAATTCACTGGCCTCAACACTCAGTCAACAGTCGTGTACTCAGTCCTGCTCCAGTCCAAAGTACTGTATTGTAAATGAAAAGCTTTGTATTGTAGGGAGACTACGGACATTGACTGGACTTATGACACGGATCGACTGAGTGCCTGGACCCTCCGATTAGCCCACATAGGGAACGCAGCCTGAACTATTTTACTCATCGTTTCTAATACGGAACAAGGCATCGAATAATTCTAACTAGCTTTTGACTTGATAGACTGAGTTGTTAGGGATACTATACTGATCATAGAGCGCGTCAGACAACCATCCAAGTACCATGGTGATAGACAGATGCATGCTGAGACTTTTGCAATGGACCTGGAATGATTGGCAATGGTAGCTTCCATACCTGGCTAGAAATGAAATGGTCACTTTCTCTACCTTCAAGCTTGCCACTGTTTTAATAAGAAATACTCAAAGAGCTGTTCGACTCGATGTCAAGCTATTCGATCAACATGTTCAACAGTTAATGAGATTATTTGAGCTACAACAATTCGACGTAGCTGTTCTTCTAATTGGACAAGCCAAAATGGCTGAAATAAATACACGATTTAATCCTGATGCAAAAGGTGCCACAGATATTTTATCATTCCCATTTCATGAAGTAAGTCGTCCAATTTGGATAGAAGAGATTCAATTCAGTGACGGTTGTGCTGTGTTGAAAAATCAAACCATTACTTTTGTAAACATGCTATTGCATTTACTACTCGGTTTACACAGTCTCTTGCATTCCTAAAATACGCTCATTTTCTGGTCCTTGCTAGCGTACAGTATGCAGCGCCTATTTGTTGGAATGATTTATTCTACAGCCTAAGTGGAGAGTAATGGAGGATAAAATTTCTAGTCAACAGTCTCCTTCAGTAAATCACAATCTCGATTCTTTGTCTCTATTGTACAGCCATGATAGACAATCTTTGCACAAGTAGTACTGAACTTGCATTAGGTTTTCGTAATGCTTAGCATTAAACGGATGTAGCTAGGCCATAAGTAGCATAATCGTGAAAATGTTACAACCTATAGTGCAATGATTACATCAATGTGTTGATGCAAATTGACGCATTAACGATCTGCAATGGCCTCCTCATAATACAAGTCATTGCTATGATAGAACTGTACCAAGACGTTTATTGTCGTAAATTATAATTTTATCCTTAATAGAATCTACGAGCTAGTCTTTCTTCGAAGTCAATATTACCTTGGGAGTGTGATTTAGGTGATATTTTCATTTGTCCAAAAATGATTTGTCAAAGATTTGATAAAAGTATACTGCAGGAACAGTTACCGGTAAGTTGGAAATTAAACGATATCATCATGATTTCATCACGATTTTAATTTAAGCCAGCACTATAAACAACTCAAAACGGGACGAGTCTTGCAGGATCCGTTCATTCATATTGTAATTAGAAAATTTCCTGTCAATCGCTGGAGTATTAGTCTCGATAAAATAATGTTGAAATGTTCATTAACTTACTATAAATTCATGACATTATGCAAAAATATACTTTCCTGCAGCAGTCAGTAATCTAGATTTGTAACAGTGAAGAAGTTGCTTACTTGCTGAATTACAGCGGTAATCTATAAGTCAAGCACGCCTTACTGTAATAGTTTAATTTCAGGGATTAATATTTTCATTACTCTCTTTATCCACGTAAATCACGCCAATAAAAACAGATAAGAATGCAATATTGTACAAGCACTACAGTTGCTAAACATACTTTCCATCGACTTAATAACGCAAGACATAAATATATACGTGTACATGAGTTTCACGACGATAACTAGAGGCTAAACCATCATACAGTATATATATTATGCTTTTTATTAATAGTTTTATTTGTAGACCTGCATAGGAAATAGCATACACATATAGATACACTGTACAGTATATGGTTGTTAAAATATTTATCAATTTAAAGTTTCGAGTAGATTTTTACCAACAATTCGTTGATTAATTATATGATAGGTTTACGTTACTCATGGGATATGTCACTTGCTAGGCTATATACATGATGACGAAAAATCACAAATTGAGGTACAATTATTAAATTTCCATCTTGTATTTTCTAGTCGTTAGCACTTAAATAGAATACTTGTATGGCAATTGGAAAGATAAATGATAAGCCTGAATTTAATGTAGGCAATGGTTATCAAACTATGAATTAATACACTATGATGTATTATGTTTGACTACAATCAATAATATCATGATTTTGCACTCGTTTGTAATGTGGCTTTGTTACAATTAATAGATGCATATTAAAGAAAGGGATATCTTGGAGAAGTTTAACCGTGCTAATGGATATTATTGTCTTCCTTTAACACCGCCTTCAAATAAATGAGAGCTAACAAGCATACTGAAACGAAAACGACTTCAATAAAGTATAACTATTAAATTGACATATATAAGGAAGTGAAAATCTGTAATATACTACTGCATCTAGTGTATGACTAACAATGTTTATTCACATGGTTGCTGTGCGGTGTTTAGAAGTGTTTTAACACTATTCCGATATTGTCCGTTCATTCGCGAGATTATATCAATGCCACTAATTTTAAATATTGACCATGTATGATAACTTTATTAGTAGGTTCATCCAATATTGTACTAAGTAATATGTAGAATTACTCCGGTTGCTGGTCTAAAAATGTTTTTCAAATAACATCTTTTTACAAAAAATGCTTGTGAAAAAATACTTGCAATACTTGGCTTCTTTATGTATGTGTATTGTTCAAGAGTTGTATTAGAGCGTGGTGGTAAGACATTTTATACTTTACTTTTGTTGTAATATAATAACCCTACCATTGAAAATTATTTTATTGCCCTATTTTCTATCTTTTTTAATTTCATATTGTTTTCATTATGACTGCTATTACGTAGCAATAAAAAAACATCCTGGAATAATAGCATCTTTATCAATTACAAAATGTAGCAGTAATTATATCTTAGTAAACACTAACTGGCAGTCAAATATGGAAACAACCACAATTGCAAGATTAATTTTATTTTTAATATCAAAATAAGAGAACTTTATTTAGTTTTTGTATATAAAGGTTGGTTTTGCAATAACTTAGCAGTAGAAATAATACACAGTTACTTCCACTTGTCACATAGAAATTATATAGCAGGATAAAGACTAGCACAATGAATAATAGGTACAATACTATTAAAAGAGTCTTGTACAGTTGGGTTTAAAGACAAATTGCTAATGTCTGACCTTTTAAGTTATCTAGAAAGACTTTAATAACGTCAAGAGCAAAAAAAAAAGATTACTTATAAATCGACTAGAACTTTACATCTATTAATGTATTATTATTATGATTATGCGACAAAATTCTCTCTCATGCAGTCAAATCATCAACAATTTTTCTGTTTATATTCATACGAGTAACTTATACACATCGATATGAATAAATCACAGTCTAGTTAAAAAGTTACACGTAATAAAAGTTGGCTTCAAGTTAATTCTATATCGTCATATTGTTATTTAACAGCAAGCCCTGCAGTGATTCAATCAGTTGCATGCATAATTTGATCTTATGATTTACTTCATGATTTTTATGACAATGAGTTAATTATTGTCAACGTCAACGACGTTGTTTTGAAATTCGCCTTCAACGTTACCTTTAGGGCTGTAATATGCGACAACAACGGTTTTACTATTCTTTTTCGACACTCCAATTCCAATTTCTTTGCTACCAGACCAAATCATTTGCGTGAATTTGGCAGCTTTGCTTTTGTAGCCAGGGAGTGTAAAGTCGTACTCTTCCTTTTGGTTATAGAAATCGTCAGCTACTTTCTTGCCTGAAATCTCAGGGACAGTTTTCTTAAAGGAAAATATTCCCATACTATCTCCAACATCATTATCTTCATCATTTCGAATAACCTTGCCTTCCTGGGCAATATTATCAGTCCACGTCTTCGCTTTGTCTGCTAAGTCATTACACCAAGATAATGCTGACGATCCATGCATACGACGATATTTGTTATGTGCTTTGAAACAATCTTTTTGTAACTTGTCCAATTCACCATCTAATTTAAAATGAATACGAGAAGGCGATTAGGGAAGTTTAGATTCGAATAAAAAAGAGTAAAAAATGGTCATTTTAATGATATTTCTATTGTAATGAAGAACAGTAAGCATCTATCTAGCTTGAACTATTAACAGATGTGATTTTAAATGAACTAAATTAAGTTACTACAGATTAATGACATAAGTCATACCATCTATCTCATTTCTATCACATTACTACATAGGTGAAAGAAAAAAAGAATGACATCTCGTCAAGGTAGTAACAATTATCGCCATTTACCTGGATCGGCTACTTCTTCGTCAGTTATGCTCTCATCAACAACTTTTACATTCGTTTCAAATTCTCCTTCCTTGTTGCCGCGAGGTGAATACAGTGCTACAATGATCGATTGACCATCAGGGGTACATTGATGTGCGATACCGATCTTTTCTGTAGATGCCCAAACAAGCTGACTAAAGTGTTGAGCACTATTAATAAATCCAGGTAATTCAAAGTTGTAGAGGTCTTTTTCATTGTACCACATTCTCGCTATCATATCTCCTGAAACGCCATCATCATTGCCATCACTTTCAACTAAGTACATGGCTAAGCTTTCACCGTATTCATCTACGGGAGTAGTTTTGATGCTTTCTTCATCAATAAGGTCGTTAGCTTTTTGTTGAGCTTTGGCCGCCAACTCGGTCGACCAAGCTAATGGTTCAGACTTATGTTTGGTACGATACTCATTTATTTCTATCAAGAAATCGTTCTTGAATCCTGTCAATTCGGTATCTAAACAAAATAGATAGCAATTCCCGGAGTTAATTTAAGAGATGATTAAATCCGTATACTAGCGCTACCAGCAGCAACAAGAGTATTGCAATGGATCAATTTTGTATTGTATAATATATATGTATAACTATCAGTATAATACTCAGTTACCAAATAAATAGATCATAAGATTTTGTTAATATTATTATAAAAGTGAAAATGATATAAAAGTATATTATGATTGTGTACTACGTAGTAGAAAGATGATTTTCGCTACCAGCATTATTATTACAACTAGTAAGTCTACAAAAGATATTGTAACTACGCTAATAAATAACAAGCAAAACAGTTAATAAAAATTTCACTAAGCATTCAAATAATATGAAAACGCGTTTTTCACTCCATTAATTTGATCAGCTGTATATCTACCTAAATTTCAGTTTACAGTCAATTAGCCGCAAGCGCGTATCTTAACAATTTATATTATTCAACGTGCCTAAACTTACTATCTATACAGCGCTGTAAATATATTTATTATTTATTTTTTTTCCCCCAATAGCTTACGAAATTACTACAATTGTTTTCGTCATTATTGATGAAGAAATCTTACCTGGTACATTAAGCGTGGCTGCGATAACGCCTGCTTCTGATTGACTATCAGCTTTATCGGCTTCATTAGATACTTCTTGCTCGTTACTTTCTGCAGCTGCAACCGATCCTTTTCCTACAGATTTTACTTCTTCCGCAGCCTCATTACTTTGTTCTTGGGCTGTCTCTTGCGCTGTGTCTTGGGCCGTCTCTAGGGCCGTCTCTTGGGCTGCCTCTTGCGTTGTCTCTTGTGTCGTCTCTGGTGTTGCTTCTTCTTTCACACTAACAGAATCTTGTTTTTCAGAAGTTGCTACAGATTCTTCTGCGGCAGGAGCGTCTGTAGTTGACTTATTATCGGTAGTATCTTCCTTGGCCTGTTCTGTCGGTACTTCGTTGGTTTCTTCTTCCTTTACCTCTTCCTTGACTTCTTCTGCAATAGTCGGTTCTGCTGTTGTTTCTACCGGCTCTTCTTTCTGTTCTTCAGGTGATTGCTGTTGAGTTTCGGCTACCTCTTCTTTTTTCTCTTCAGGAGGAGGAGGAGGTGATTCCGCTTTCTTAACTTCTTCCACCGGTTTAACTTCTTCTTTAGGTGGTTCTTTAACGGGTACTGAATTGGATGCCTGTGGCTTGACTGGCTCTTCAGTTTTTTTCGGTGCCGCTTGTGGCTGGCGCCCTTGTTGAGCAGCCGATACATTGGTCGCTTTGGAATCGCCACAACCCATATTTACCTGTGTATAATCAGACAAGCAAAAACTACATCAGTTAGGGGCCGGTTGATACTGTATGGAAAATATCAACAATGTGATACAGGCTCATCAGGGGAAAGTATACAAAATTAGCTAGACTAAATAGCCGATGACTGATGGACTCCAATATCACTTTGAAATCATTCACTATCAAAATCGAATTTATTTTTCTTTAAATGATAGAATTTATGATGGAAATTTGATATACTGTACGTGTCATGAACAGATTCAAGTCTAACTCAAGTTTCCACAATATCGGTTAGAAAGAAAACGTTTCATGACTTCAAATGAATGCCAGACAAATCATTCTAAACTTCTAGACTTCATTGATTACATAGGGTTACTGTATAATCAATTCTTTTTTTTTTTTAACTGTAATGATCGATTTTGGGGGTATTTCTTTCTTCAAGTCGTTGCTATTTTATTAAAAGTATCTATACTACGAGATAAGTATAGTTGAATATCCATTATCAATTATCACTGACGACTTGCTATCTAAAACTTCGAGATGATCACGTATTTTATTCTACCAATGGATCGATATTGATCCATGTTCATCTACAAGTATAACTCGCTATCAGACTATCTAATGAAGTGGATCAAAAATGGGGAAAAATCCATTAAATACTATCTACCGTTAGTAGAAGTCAATCTCTAGTCAATAAGTATGCTAGTAGCGCATTTTTATCATGCAGGCATCGAGTAAATTACAAATCAGGTTATCACGCTAATGTCGACTGGATGTTGACGATAAAATCCATTCCCTTCAAAAAAGACGGCCTGACTTTTTCATCATCGTTATCATCGGCCCAATAAACAAACTATCGTATCTAATCTAGTTTCAATGTGCATTTTTAGCCTTTTATCCTCCACTTACTGTTATCAATTTTCAAATAGGCCACTAGTAACTTCCAAGATGGAACAAATTGCAATTTAAGCAAAGTCTTTTTCCACTTTTTTTTTTTTCTAGACGTCTTGCTAGTGATGCTTCTTCTTTTTAATATGGAAAAGTAGCTGTGTCACTGATCTAAATTCAATGGTTTCATCAAGTGTTTGTATTCCTATCACTCGGTTGCTATGCTAGCAACAAACAAACTATTGTCTAACTTGGTTGGTCAAGTTTCACGTGATTGACCGACGTTAACAACGCATAGAGTGGTTGGAAAGGGAGGAAAGATGATTTGCATTTTGTCTAAGCCTTGTTACTATACAATAATCTCTTGCTTTTCGCTAAGCATGGAGGCCTATTCGATCCATTTTAAATCAATTATTGACGCATCAGTGAGTCAATGGATATGATCAACAGTAATGACTCCTTCTATAGCCTATTATGATAGCCGTAATTATTATTTTAACTACTTATTGTTATCGTTTTCTTCGATGCCATTGCTCTCCACTTGATACAACAGTTGTAAGCCAATAGTGGGGGTAAGTCTTCTACACTAGGATAGTAGTCAATGGCGATGGCTTAGATTTCGTTGGGGTCTGGCCTATACAAATACAACCTCTTCGATGAGCCCTACCCCTGCGGCAAATAGATGACGAACAGAGTTATTTTTATATCATCGACGTAAAAGGCAAGACAATCACCTCCTCAATTGGATTGCATTCTGTAGACTACTAGGTAGAAAATGACTCTACAGATGAGGCAAACAATCCATTTACAACTTCATAAATTCATCGTAATCAGCGAGAAAATGCGCAATAGAATGGATCACATTCAACGACTTATTTCCTATCTTGACATACAGATAGCAACAGACATTTTTGCGGGAGAATCATGCCGTATAATAACTCATACAGTATAGCGTTCTGTTTTTCAATCAACATAAACAAGGTTGTCTTTTTTTTTTCCATCATTCGTGGATACCGTTTGTCATGAGACAACGATTCTTTCTATAAAAATTGATCAAAACTTGAAAGAACATCAAAAATTAATCCTTTTTCAACCTTGACAATCATTTAATTTTTAAACTGTATAATTTCTCTTCGGAACAGAATGCTCAATCAATTAAAATGGCCGTTATGTTGAAACCATTTTATCCCACGATAGAAATAATCAATACAATCCATAATATATATTGTTGGTCATTGTATATTCCTGAGAATCTACGTCGACGTAGTAATCTCGATTATCTTTGAAGCAGAATGATAAAATACGATGATCCATCATGTAATCATTTGGATAACAACAACGACAAAAGAGTTTCCATGTATCTTTCTGAAACAAATTAATTAAAATTGTAATTAACTGATTAAAGGGCATACTGTAATTAATAATGAGTCATTTCTTCTTCATTATAACACGATATTTCAGTCAGTTAATTCACCGGTCTATTTACCATCACTAAAAAATAGCCAACAATAATTTCCTATCAATCCATCCGCTACTTTTGATTAATTACTCAAAGTAATAAACCTTGATACTACAATATAAGGGCATTCAATAAAATGATGATTTATTATCCATATATGTGACGTATGAATTCATCTTGGAAAGGTCGAAGACATCGATTAGGTTCGATTAGACCACAAAGCTTACACTATAGCAAACTGTGTGAACAATTTCACACCAAAAGGAATTATAAAAATTGACACTCTACTACACCGGATAGACAGAACTCGTATCGCTATTTCGTACGACTTGCTTTTACGTTAGTTGATATTTGCTTCTAATGATACATACTAATACCGTTGATAATTGATCGATTCTATGCAAACTGACACTGATTTGGGTCTAGTAGCAAATAAAATGTCTTATAAGAATGGCTATTGCTTCATGGTTACATTTCCAGCCTTAATCGTAATGTAGCTCCTTCATTTCTATATTAATGATTAATAACTCCATAACTATTAATATTCCAAGTACAACTATCCTAATGCTAATTCACAATCACTGTATACACTTAGGGAATGATATGATGACTAACCTATTAGTTAGCCTACTGCTAATGCATCACTAGGGATCTCCGCCAAATACGTAACTAGGTATCACTATAGCAACGGATAATTTATAGCACCCCCTTAAAAAGTAAATAATAGACAACTTGATTGCTTTGGTAATTTTGCCATACTGAACTACGAATTTTTAAGGTCATCCAAAATAAGTTTACGACAGATTATAAACTTGTAGTAAATAAAAAGCAATCGACAACGGTAAGTTTTTCACAAGACTTCAAGTACTGTACATCGTAGCCTATTGCATTCATTATGATGAATGGCTTAAAGCTATATTAAATTTGTTACTACAAGTAGCTATTTCAATACATTGCCCTGTTCTAATGGATAAATAATAATAAAACATAAAGATCATATCCTATCGAGTTATAGTATTACTAAAAAAAGTTATCATAAATCGATCTAGCACATTTATGACTGCTCGTAATACCATAATCTTCTCGTAGAAACCTGGATACAATTTTAAACACATGCATGTGGATATTGGTCATGTGTAAAAACATTCTTGTCATGGCAGGCCGTTTACGTTATATAAGCAAGTGAAAAGATTATAATCCCTTCATCATGTTGCATTCCCTTCTTAACTACTCATTATTTATCGCATCAGTTCTTCATAACAAATAATAGCGAGAATAGGACATTGCGTATTCTGTGAGTGGAGAGATTATATTGCAAATAAGTTGGCTGGTATGGCCTCACTACATATTCAAAATTACTTACGCTTAGATATTATATGATGTACAGAAATACTTTTGTCGAAAAATATTACAGGGCAGCGTTGCATCTAATTTTATTAAGAGATTTAAATTAGCCGAGAGTACATACTGGCTTCTTCTCTCAGGCGTTAAAAGTTATTACTATTGGAGAAGGCTTATATTTATTATCGGCATGTAACGACAATTCATTATATTCTAACTCAAAAATTAAATCACAACTTTATTTAGAAAGTATTCTATAACAATGTTATGTTAAATACTATACTTATAGGAAGGTTAGTTTGGTATGTAGCTATGAGGACTTTCATCAATGGTTCCGCAAAATACTATATAATCAATTGTAATCTAGTCGACTCGCAATTTATGATTTTCAGTTTTGTTGTCATTAGTCCATAATTAATACAGATTAAGGCTAGAAAAATATAAATGAGAATAAAAGTAAATTCTAGGAGTCACAATGACTAAGCATAGCAACATATTCACTATATTTATTTAAGAAGGTATAACATCAACATGATAATATAACTGGTAACAATTTATCAATCAATTCCTTAGCACCATCATTATTGGTTGTTTTATAACAGTTATTAAATGCAAACAGTAATACAATAATTTCACCATTGATGATTTGATTCATTAAGCTGTAGACAATGCAACCATTAATATTCTACTAACCTAAGCAAGCACCGTGAGTAGTATAACTATTATAGATTATCATTTCGCTCTGAAATTTTTCCTATACTGTATTATACCGGGGTAGGCAATGTATAATGCCGAACTGCAAACCTTAAACTACCAAAACTCATACACAAAATAGTAATATTCTATAAAATTGGTTAATGCTTAATTTGTTATTTCAAGTAATAGCTTTACCGATCTATAGCATACTATTGTACCTAATTCTAGCAATTTGACATCGTAATTGACCTTCTATTAGTCTATAATACCTGAAAGTTAATAATCAAATAACGATTGATTTTAATAATCGAAATTGGGTTTCCTATTGTGTTACTATGGTGACCAATTATTTACTCTATTACAGTAATGCAGATCGATTGCCTGCTAGAAGTTTGTGTCGAAATTGTTAATTATGTCAATTAAGTAATAGTTAACTAGAAGAAAAGGTACCATGTTGCAAATCTATCACTGTTCTTTCAATTACTGTAAAATTGATCCAACTATGATATGTACTGTATAGTCTAATTGATTCTTGATTAGTTACTCATTCTCCATATTCTGCGCTGCATAAACGATATGCTAATAACTCTAATAACCAGTTATACTATATAATTAATAACTTATGTGTACTTTAAGCATATAATGATAACAGGTAAGACGATGATCACTGTTACATCCTACTCAACAAAGTAATCATAGTTTTTGAGCTCATATTTTCATTTCAGTAAATCTCAATAGTAAATTTAGCCGAATCTAAAATGCAATATTCATATCAAGTACAAAAACTAAACAGCAAGAGCTTCAATCCAAGAAATACAATTATCAGCGTTTACTTTTATTTCTTCAGCATGATTTTCTAAAGTTAATTGGCTATTAAGACTTTTGAACTTACCGTACGAAAAAGTGATCTTATTCAGCTAGTTTGCCTAAAAGCTTAACGAGAAATATCGTACAGTTAAGAACTATCGATAATAGCTATGATATTTAGTAAAAATGAAGAGAGTAAATGTCAAATAGTGACCAATCTGCAGGTGAATAAAATCAATGAATAAGGATAATTAAGAAGTTACTATGTGTTACAGTTCGTTTTTAAAATCTGACCTAATAACTCCGCCATTCGGCAATTAGAAGAAACGATATGCGAGTTAATAACAAGATTTATCTAATTTTTGAATAATATTATCTTAAATCTAAGTGCAGGCAAATCCAGTCTAAATCTGATGAGATCATTTTAAATACATAGCAGCGTCTTAGATTCTAAGATTATAAGGAAAATGATAGTAAGATTAGTACCGTAGGAAGGAAGATTAGTTAAAGTTGCGTTGTGAAGAAATTAACAACATAGTCCAACATATTTCTGTTCAAAATAAACCATTGTTGATTATTCATTTTATAACTCTGGTATAATTGCAGCTACTATTGCTATGAACTATTTTACTAATCAACCTGTCTATCAAGCAGTTATCTAGGTAAAGTAGTTTGCTAGTTATGGATTATCAGTCAATACTTACATTATGTAATTAATCACTAATATCAAATCTTATTGAGCATACAATTTAGGATCATTAATGAATACGTACGTATACATACGATACCCTATTTAATTTCTGTTGGCGAAGCTATATTTAAGAACACTTGTTACAATGTTTATAAGTATTCAATAATTCGAGAAATAGAGTTGAGTTCATCTTAAAATTTATTCACTTTCTAGGTAATGATGGATTCCAATATTTCATCTTTGAATACTGCATCGTTATTTACATTTACATTATTAATTATTAACACATGAGTGTCTTGTCGATACATACTTTATGCATTTACATAAACCTGTTTCGTTGATACAGTTATACTGTATGATGTAGCTAATTCTTATCGCTGTGTGCGGTTACATTTTTACAAGATAACATGTACTAATGTACAAATATATAGTAAGGTCACCACATTCGAAATTTATTACAATTACTGCCCATATATATATATTACAAATGACAAATGAATAACTAAAATTTGCATGACAGGCAGTCAATTTACATGGAACTTAAACACTAATGCACGCACGCCATGTAGCATGGTCTAGTAAACATACAATACATATACGTATATATATCAAGATAGTGTAAGTTTTACATTTAGTGAACGAGATTCATGTAATCTTGTGTTGATTTGTACAAATGTTAAACGCAAAAAGTTAACGGACGATTAAACAGCTATGTAAAGGTGATTACAAAAGTTTTTAGAACAAAAAGCAAACATTATCCAAATATTTATATGGGGAAACGATCGAATAAGTTGAAATCACTGAGGTTCAGTTGAACAAATCTGAAATGATAGCCGTTGTATTTACAGAAATTGGTATCATAATTTTATACAGTATTTGCGAATATCCTAAATAATATAATCGCAATGTACGAAACATGCAAATACTGGATCCCTTGATTTGTATTCCATTTGCATATCGCTATATCGTCTATACTGGCATATGCATAATTCCGAAAATACAGTATACATTTTATATGAATACACATATTCCTTGTTATAGTTAACTAAATATAGGAGAATACTGCCGCACAAGTAATACTTTTTCACTATTTACAGGTCTTAATCGTGGCAAGGTCTACGCAATTCGATATCATATTCAGTTTTACGTATTCCGTATTAAATGCAAGAAAAGATTTATAAAACGAACATTTAATAACTTACCTTATGGTAAATAATATGCTATATACAATAACTCAAGTAAAATCAACACAACATAACGAATTATCTTCAATACAGTTATCTTCTTGCCTATCTTTCACCTGAATTGCAACAATTTCTAGTACAGTTTCTATAATGCAGTAATATGCTATGGACTTTCACGCTTTACATCGAGAAACTTTAAACGTGTACAGAGACATTCAAAGAAGGCATTATTATACACACACGTCATTCATCAACATTAATGTCGAATGGAAATCATATAAAATTACAGATCTCATGTGCCACATGATATTCAGGGGCATAATTTTCGACCATTTGCAAGTCCAGTTACGCTAGAAATCGAATACTGTACTGTATGTACTTTTATGCATCATATCTCTAATCTGGATACTTTTCTGACAGGATGACATAATGAAAGATCAAACTATACGTAAGAAACCCTTCACCATGCGCAACGTTGGAAACAATTGTTTGCAAGACAATTTCTATACCCCGAAATTCATTACTGAGGAAGGAATTAAGACTTTGATCTTGGCACTTTATATAAAAAGAATGCCCATAAATTGTCGTGTTTCTCAGTAAAAGTTACATATATTTGCAACAATGAAGAGCACTAACGTGCGCAAATATTTCGTATCATTGGTGAAGTGTTATACTGTACACTTTGAGATTAATTCTATTTAGCTATATATATTTATATTAACAGGTACTGCATACAAAACAGATTTCGGCGATAACAAAAAGTCTTGATACAACCAATAATACATTGAAATATATATTTTACATCAGTCTGGTGGTATTTCTTATAATTTTTCTAGTATCTCAGAGTATACGATGTCGACATTGCCTTATCATCCCCCAATTGATAAAATCTTACAGACATGTAAGTGAACATGTAACGGAATAGGAAACCACATCAAGAAAATATCATTCATTTAGCAATCAAAATTGACTGCCAGCTGAGCTCAAGTTGCTTCCGTAAGAAGAACTATGGCGAATGGTAGGACGTACTTGTTTATCCTAAATAGTGAAATGACATTAAATATATTTCAATTTTGAGCTGAAGCTACTACAAAAGCCATTTTCTCTTCATGAATATTACACATACCGTACCATGTGGTGGAGGAGATTTAGGAACAGTAATACCTGAAGAAGGTATACCTCCTGGATTAGCTGGCTTCACTTGCGATCCAGCAATTGACTGGTTGCTACCTCTTGCTGAGTGCACTGTGAATTGTCTGCCACTTTCTAATGACGAATTATTCGTTGCTACAACTGATTTGTTACCTGATTGGGCCTCTAATCTTTCTTCCTTTCGTTTCTGTCTTTTTAAGTTTTTATACCATAATTCGTGGCAATCCTGACTTGGAAAACTAATAATAGAGGAAGATAACAAATTATTGCGATACCATTAAAGTAAAATTACAACTATACGTTCAATATAGACTTTCGTTATTAACTTACTTTGGTAAATTTTGAGGGGTTGATGGAGCATCACGAATAAAGGGATGCTGTAATGATTGTTCAGCGTTGTATCTCATTGAAGGATCAAGTATGAGCATGTATTGCATTAAATCGACAGCTAACTCGGGCAAGCTGCAAGAATACATTGGCAAGATATTCGAAAGGAATCGAGCATGAGTATAGAATATGATAGCCGGTGATAATAAACATCTAAGCAAAGCATACTCATGAAATTCTTGTTCTAATCGTCTTTCATATTTTCGTAATTTAAAGTTGTTATAGTAAGGAAGTTCAACTACAGAGGGCCAGTTTTCTGGACATGGCGTACCACATATTTGGCTATTTGGTACAATCATGGTAAAGTAATATCACAATTAGATGTTGTCAATACGGATCAATATGTCATTGAACGATCACCTACCTAATTAAATCTAACTGATTAATTTCCGAATTTGCTTGAAATATTGGCTTTTTCGTAAAGAATTCACCCAAAATGCACCTTTTTGATCAAAAGAGTTGTATTTTTTTACCAAATTACCGTAAGTATTTATTAATGTTGCCTAACAGCATACATACCCGCAACTCCAAACATCAACGGAAGGTCCATAACGTTCTTCTCCAAGTAATAATTCTGGTGGACGATACCATAACGTTATAACTTTATTTGTATACGGGCGACTATCGATGTGACAAAAAATAATGATACATAAAATGAGATCTTCTTCAACGAAGCTTATTTAGGAATGTAGCATCAATAAGATCATTACCTTTTATCGTCCGGATTGTAGAATCTTGCCAGACCAAAATCAGCAATTTTAATTTGACCCCTTTGGGAATAAAAGCGGCCTTGATTAGTTTTATTGCCTACTTTAGGTGGAAAAGCTGTAACAGTACTGCCCAAAAAAGTTCTTACTTATTATTCATTAGTAAATTGGAACATTTGATATCTCGATGCAATAGCTGGCGCTTATGACAATAATTTAAGCCTTCCATGATTTGCCTCATAAACGATCTTATATGCTCCTCATCAAAAGTGACCAGACCAGATTCTAACAGGCCCATTAGGTCATGATCCATATATTCAAATACTAGATAGAAAGCACCTATAGAGAGTACAATAGGTGGGTTCTACGTCAATGAACTAGAGCTATTGACTATCGCATATTATTCAGTATAATTCAATCTTACATCGATCAGTTTTAAAATTATTAGCGTCAACGTTTGAGACTATCCCTAACAGGTTCACGATACTTTGATGATTCAGTTGTTTAAGTATTTTGATTTCACGGACTGCAGTAATGGGAAATCCTTCTCTTTCATGATCCGTGCGGACTTTTTTCAAGGCAACTAGCTTATCTGGTAGTAAAAAAAAGAAAGCATGAGGTTGTATTAGGATTATTCTTTTCAAGATAGACACTTGTAGGATAAAACAGGATTGATATTACTGCTACAATATCGAGTGAGTGATTTTATGATCTTTGTATCAGTTGTCTATTTCATAAGCAACGCTATCTTACGCTACAACGTGGTCAAACAAGTTACCAGTATCTTTAATTTTAGCTTTGAAAACTTGACCATAAGTTCCTTCACCAATTTGCTTCAGAATATCAAATAATTCATAACAACCGCGGCCTTTAAATTCAAAGTCGTAGGGTGGGGGTGAGAGATCGTCACTGATAGAAGATAACGGTTCTACAGGAAGTGGTACAATGCTTAATCGATCTTTCTTGACCGTTTTACTTGCTTCATTTGGAGATGGAGGTAAAGGTGGCGGGATATCAGGTAATGGAGGTGGTTCCTCTTCGGGTGGTGGAGGTGGTGGTGGTGGTGGTAGCGGCGGTGGTGGAGCAACGCTAGTCAATGCACTTGTAGAAGGTATTTTAGGCGTTGCTATGCTATTGGTCGATGGTATAGGCAGTTTGGTGGTAGAAGGAAGCGGTTGCTCTGGTGATTTCAATTTTCGGCTTGGCTTATCATGGCTGATGGGAGATGCTTTCCTATGTTGAAGCTTTCTTGAAGAAGATTCGCTCTTATTACTGCCTTTGATATAGCGACCATCTGCATCACTTGGGGGACTACGGTCAACATCGCTATCACTACCATAATCGTATGAATAATGACCACCTCGATCACTGGTACGCTTACTACTTGAAGAGGTTGCTGCTCCACGTCGATCATAAGACGATGTCCGATAATTAGTAGGAGAAGCTCGATAATTGGGTGGACTTCTATAGCTTGGTGAAGGGCTTCTACGATTTCGATAGCTTGAATAGCGCCGACTACTTCTACTACTGCTACTATAATAAGGAGAACGTGAACGACTGCGTCGTCTTCTTGACGTAGAATTCCTATACCTAGAAGAATGATAGGATCGATCGTGGCTATGCTCTCGACGTCGACTCCTATAAGGTGATCGTGATCGATCCCTTGGTGAATAAGCTCTTCTACTTCGACGTGGCGAAGAATAATAATCTGAACTATGAGAGCGACGGTAGTCTCGCTTGCCTCGATTAGAATCGGAAGTACTGCTATCAGTGCATTCACCTGATGAAATATCTTCGTAATAAGGATCATTTAACATGTCTTTATCAGCTTCATCGTTGCGTTTTTTCCTCTTTCTTTCATCATTTCGTTTCTCACTGGAATCCTCCGACGGTTGGCCCATTCTACCTTCTTGAAGGATAAAATGGAGAATGAGGATGCTGAAAATGTTCAATTTTTCACTGTTAGAGCGCATGCGTAGTTTAGTTCAGCACGCAAGGCCTCATAGCTCAACCAGAGCTGTCCTGGACTCTATTGTGTCTGTGTCTGGCCAGTAAGGTTTGGTAGAAAATGCTATGGCGTACAGTCCTGTATGGCACATTCTATAGTCTATACTATGCAAAATCATTGCAGGACTCTTTTAACAGCAAAACCCCCTCGAGTACGGTTCGGTACGGTTCGGTACGGTACGTAGCTTTGACTTGCTCGTACTGCACACGTGCAGACAACGAGGTATACAGTACTGTACATTAAAATATCAATCTCCAAATCTTTCCAATTTTGGCTCGTGAACATCGAGATTTCTTGTATCTCTATGGGCTCTTTACTATTTTAGGATACATATCATGCTTATTATTCCATGTATGTTACTTTAAAGCCAGGCATACACCAAAATTGCAAGTTTAATAGCAAGCAACTTTGCAAAATGATGTTTTGACCCAGTTGCGCTGGCAAGGGGGCAGTCAGCAAACAACCGCTACACTAGAGACCACACCATACACTACTGTACACTAGAGTTGATACGGCTGCATCATACAGTATAGTGCCATACTGTACTCTACAGTATGCTTGGTATGGATTGTACAGTACAGTGTACAGTACTGTGCACTGTAAGCAAGGGCAACACACAAAGATCTCGACTGCCCAAACATGGAATCGAGAAATGTCGATCAAAACTGCTACAATTAGCTGTTGATGTAACTTCAAAATTTGATGTAAGAATTCAGCTAATTGCCATCGATTACAAAGAGAACACTATCCTCATTCGGCTGGAGAGAAAGTTAACTGCTATCATCACGAATTCGTTCGTTTTCCACCCTATTTGCGGCCCTTTTATCATCATTATCGAGGAATGATACCTGCAGGTGTAAGCAATCACCTTCGTCGATGAGATGGCTGAATCTTTGGAAGGCTCTCCTGCTGACGATGAGCTGCAAGTAGCAAACCGTGATTATGAGAAACTACTAACTGCATATGAAAATGTAAGTATAGACAGTACACAATCGAATTCAATGATAATGTGCATACGGTGTGCTTTATTCGTAGTCTCCGATTGGCACATTATTATTTCTGGCTATAGAATTATAGTTGGATTCGAGAAATCCGTAGTCTACTTGTCAGATGGATCAATATAGCTGCCAATGTTGATAGTGCTAGAGTATCGATCTTATTTCTAATGCAGTACGTATCAGCCGATAAATTATTCTTTTGCAATACTAAATAATCAGCAATAAGATACTGTCCTTTCAAGTCATTGCATCCATGGTCTTCATAAAAATAAAAAATGATATTTCAATACTTGGATTTATAACTACTGTGCTATATATACTGCCACGATTTCATCAGGTAGGATACAGTGATGGTGTTGTCGCCGGTGAAGATAGTGCTTTACAGCATGGATTTAACCAGGGATTTGTCCAGGGATTTCGTCAAATGATGAAAATTACCAGAATAAAAGGCATGATAAGGTAGATGTTACCTGCTTAAAAGGATATGCACAGGAAATACACATACAATACATAATTTAGTGAGCCATTGTCAACGATTAATTTTGATACCATTTGAAATACTACTGTACCGTTTCTTTCATATTAATTGCTGTATGTAGTTCTTGTAGTAAAAATTAAATTTTTTTAGCATCTCAGTGGTCTTGTATACAATTTATAGCTAGGCATAATAAGAAACCGTAGTGTTTCTTGCTATACTCACAGCAAACATTAATCAAAAGATTAAAAATGGATTCTTGGATCATTTTTATTAGTGCCTTGCAAGCTTACCAACAAAACGATGACGTTGGAATTAGACGTTCACCTGCCGGCATTTCGAACATGGAAATATTACTTACTCGAATAACTGAACTAGAAACTACCACTATTCAAAATATTCAAAATATACCTAATGAATCCCGTCTTAAAGACAGTGGTAAAGATAATGAAAACACAAAAAGTAGCAGCAGCAACCAACTTGATAAATGCAATAAAACAAGTTGCTGTCGTGAATCCAATACGACAGCAGTAGATGATGATAATGATAACAATGATCGGAAAACCCAATATAGTTGTGGGAAAGAAAGTGGTTATGTTTGTAACAACGATGAGAAGGCAATTACGAAGAAGTGTGATAATTTGGCAGATGAAAGTGTAGAAAATAATTTGTCCAATTTAAATGAGGTATTAACGACTATAGTCGGTGAATTAAAACAAGTGCTACAAGATTATGATATAAAAATATATAGCGCAATGGCGCAATTTCTAGATGTATCATAAATACGTTATACACAATATCTTGTAAAGCATTTTATGGCTGAGTATTTCATGTTGAAATTGCATATGGGCGTATTATGCAGATTTTTTATTAAATTATAGATAAAATAATTACGGTACATTCAATTTTACAACGAAATTTGTTGTTGATCATTTTCTTCTTTAAAGAATACATTTGTCTTGTAACGTTTTTGCAAATTTGGTGATGACTTTATATCATATTCAGCTGACAATATAAACAAAAACAAACCTGCGCTGAATTTTAACTTGTGTTTGGTATTTGAAATGCTGGAAATGCTGCATTGCTGATATTGAGCATGTCAGTTAAAAAGTAGATGGTTCCTGACAATCCTGTATATTTAAATCAATTTTTATTATCGAACGATATCTTCGTAAATAAAAAATCGTATTAATTAGCTATATTTGACAGATCTTTCAATTTTGTAGTGGAATGAGTAGTTACCTTCCATTAAAGATATTGGCCTATCAGCGGTTCTAGCGTGTCCACTTGACGAATCCATGCACCATTCAGCAAACTAAAGCATAGATAGAACTTCTTGTAAACTGCAATGGCAAAGTACGTACTGAGCGAGTATTCATTATATATTTTTAGCATCGTCTCCGATCTTACCTTGCAAGCCATGTATAAATAAGTTGGATCTGTCGTTGTCTTGTATATACACAAAAATGCGTATCCATTACCAGCCACTCCGTGGCATAAACCATATCCTTTGTAAAGTAATCCTCGTTGCCAGATAGCCCTAGCACAAGTTTTGGCCGCATCTAGATATTTAATTTCGTTAAATACCTGTTGATAATAGACCAGCACATTTCTAGGTTAAAGCTTCTATGTTTAACACTTAATAACAACGAATCCACATTAAATGGTACAGTCTTGATTGCAGCACCTTGTGTGCTTCACAAAGAAGGTAAACTATACCAGGCGCACCATGACACCAATGAACTAGGCGATCACGGCTATTACCGAGTGATGACGGAAAATTCCCTTCACGAAATTGTATGCTAAGGATAAAATCGATTCCACCTTTGATTACTGATAAATTTTCTTGTACAGCAGCGGATTTACTTTTGTCCTATAAAATTTGGGTCAAGTTGATATTACATATTTTATCAAGAGTTTTGCTACGTGATATTCGAAAATGCACTTGCAATGAATCTTCATTTATTTTTCTACCTTTAACAATAAGTATAGTATACCCGCGAGTCCATGAGCTGCACCAATATACTCTTTATCATGCCATTTATACATTAACGTTGAATGACAGCTATTCACCTGAGCATAGTTCATGCCACTATTTATTACAATCTTGATCACCTATAATGCAGCCGTCGTCAACAGTAAATAATTAAAATGATAGCAGCAATGATGGATCGATAGCGTGAATGTTGACAAGAAGAGTTCATTAATACATAGTATATTTGATGCAAGAGAACCTCGTCAATAATCTGTTGTTCTTCACAGCTGAGGTGGTATTCAATAAATTTCATAGCATACACATATCCAATTCTTCCCGTCAATAACTCATCTGGTAAAGATTCATTTTGACATAAATTTGATAATCTTCGAAGTTGCTTCAGACATTCTGCCTTGCGATTTTTATCTCCCATACGATCGTAAATTACGCAAGCGATGGCTAGCAAACCGGCAACCCCAGACATAAAGCTGACTTGGTTTTTATCTTTTAAATGTTTAAAGGAAACTTGCAGCAAGTTTTCTGCTTTGCGTAAGTAATTCTGACTATAGCCATCTTGCATCATCTTTGATAATTGTAAATATGTTAATGCAATACCTAGATGAAATCATATTAGTTATCGTTATTTATTAATTTCAGATATTTAATGGCTTTTTGAAAGCGTAAAGAATATTATCGATTTATTCAGTTTTTATTTGCAGATCCCTACGATAATGAATACGTGTACTATGTATCAGATTACTTTTGCAAAAGTATAAAGTAGATGATTTGGCTACAGATCACATGAGTACATAATCTATAGATCGAATATCATTGTACAATTTGCTTGTACATACTCCTATACCAGTAAATTAGAGCACAATACTATCACCAGTTATTAGGCTTAAAAATATCTACAGACTCTAAAATCTTTATAGCAGGTTTATAGTTGTATTGATGCTCTTCATCAGTACGTTGATTCATGTAATTTTCTTTACAAAAACTGATGTATGCTACTGCTGAAATTGCACAAAATTCACGCTGATTTGTACAAATATTCTTAGTTTATGCAGTAATATAATGGACAACACATCGCATGGAGTTTCACAATTTTTACCTCCGGATCCACCATAGACTGATCCGCTCAGGCGATGATGTTGCAAGCTGAGACCATCCTCCAACTTCCTGAGGTATGCGTAAATACTTTCCATTAACTTCTTCTTCCACTGATTGGTGCACTATAGTAGTAATTGGTAGAAAACGTTATGATACATTTTATAGTGTTTTATTTCATATATGATAGTTTTCATTGCAGCAGCAGGAGAACCGAATGTATCCTCATTCGTTTATATCATGCTGTCTACTCAAACTTGGACGTCATAAGTATTTTTATGTCGTAGTATCCCATGCGGGTACATTAATTAGCCTCAGTCATTTTAAATAATGACTAGAGCTAACATGCATGTTTATCACTACTCTGCTACTTTATCTCGAAACAATTTAGCATCCAAGAGAATGGTCAAGGTAAAATTATTGATGAAATTGTATCTAGAATTCGTGATTATGCTGACTACGATAACTTTCAAGTACAGTACTATGCAATTATAGTAGTAAAGCTAATGCCTTTTTAACGTATAAGCTGAAAAGATCAATATTAGAATACGATAATGGATACGTATGATCATCAAGAAGAGAGATTTGAAAAAGAGTAATAGCTGTTGGATAAAATGGCTCTATTGATAGCTATTTCTTACATTTCCCAGTTGATCATAAAATTCTTTTTCCATACCCGGTACATAACTATCAAAATCGTTTTTAAAGTGTCTTCCATCATCCATTTTAAGTTTGTTATTATTTCCCTATTAATAATTAATATAGGGAACGTCTTAGGAGCGTAGTCTGTGCTAGTTGTCCAATTCAAGTGATGGATTATTATTGATATTACAGTGGTGGGACTGACCGTCTGGACTGCCTTTGTACCCTTTTCAATATACTGTAGTCTTGTACAGTAATTTAGTAACTGGACTCATTCAAAGATGGAAATCATCAATCAGTCATAAATTATGCATGAGCTATTAATTAAGCTAGTATAATGCAATACACACAACGCGTATTAACTTAATATTATATCATGCTAGATAGGATCTCATCAATTGACATTGTACATTCAAAAATACAATTAAAATTTCAATCCAGTAAACGTCAGTGGATGAAAAATAGCGTTGATTTATTGAGAGTCCAATGGAACGGAGAAGAAGAACCAACAGCAAGACCTCACTATTCGTATAGACAACTGATATTGTGTATTACTATCTACAGTTAATACTAACAAGCATATTGAAGGCTCGTACTATTCTCAATCAGCATGGAAAACAAGAAATTGTACACGCAGTTGATGTTATTATAAAATTTAACTACTAACTCCTATTCTCACTTTATTGTATTGAAAAGCGGCGGCTTAGATACGTCCGCCATTCACGTTTACAACGCATTATAATTACAAGTTATGACGTTCTAATTAGTAACGTCAACAGCGATTTAAGTTAATCAATCTTGCTCATGTTGCAATATTGTCTTGTATCATTATACTTCAACATGCATTATGAGAGGGAAAAGAACATCTGTATTCTTTTGCATGGAGATTTGAAAGGCAAACCACAATGCACTACAATATTATTATTATTACACCGTAGAGGATAATGCTGCTCACAGAGCAGAGTGGATTCCATTTCTACAGTACGACTAAATACGGGAAATGCGATGGCCATTCATTCATGAAATCATTATAATTATTGATTGCACAAGTGTACCTGGACAATGTTGCTACTTGAAGTATTATTTATTTATATCTATGCTGGTAAATAGCCTTGTTCAGATAAAGTAAGTTTTTTTTTTGAACTTCCCAACGTACAAGATTCAATACAAGTGAAACTCAATGAACGACAAACGACATTTTACCAATCCTTATCCACCATTTTTATTACCGGAGTTGAAGAAGTATTACGACGACAATGGCAGAGTAAGTTTCTCCTTTTGATACTTACTGAAAGTATACGTTAGAAGGATGAGAAGAATAACACGATCTATCTTACAATTGATGGATTAGAGATAGGAGAAAGAAACTCCATGACCAACTAAACTTCTAAATGAGATATTTTTACACTATCGAATTTTTCATTATCTTAATTGTATCCATGTTGTTAAGCCTCAATTAATAACAGTAACTATTGAAAGTAATAACAGATAATTAATAATAATACTTTAGGCGCCTGTGATCAGTGGTACAACCAAAGGAATAAAAGTACAATTGCTCCAATTACTTGTAATTAATTTTTTACCATCTTCAGCTATTTTATTGCATTAAGCGTGGATAGAGAGGGTATAAAAGATAAAGTACATTACTATGCGCTTTTGCGGGCTGTTGAAATTTTCTTCTTGGAGAACAATAGAATGATTTTTTGGATGTCAATTTTTCGACTTTATACCGATCTACTTTGATTTATCAGTAGTTATACTGATATTCTAAATTTTCTTGGATAGTACATAAAATACTTGCAGATCAATCTCAGCAGCACTAATACACCATTTAATATAGGTGTCGAATGAATGGTAGCTGAAGAAAATTAGTCTAATTTGCTGAAATACTAAATTAAAATTGTAATCCATTTGCAAGATTAAACATCAGTAAATTAATGATCCTACAGTAGTAATAATTAATGGATACAGTATTCAATATAAATCTTACCCTGATATTATGAGTAAACTAGTGTTTTCGATAATACAAGCTGCTCTTTTGTATCACTAAAGACAATATTAGTAACGACTCAAACTATACCAAGTAGCGTGCTGGTAGACAAAAGGGCATTCAAATTTTGGGTTACTACAGTATATGCCATTAAAGTACAACAAAAGCCCAAGATTATAGCTTTTATTTCATGCTTAGGAAAGAAAAATAATGTAAAAAAATATCTGAAATGAATAAGTAATACTGTTCGTATTTTGATCGCATATATTTAGTGTACCGAAACTTGGCGGACTAAATTGCTTCAATATATCGACATAAAACTGAATGAATTATCTGCAGGAACTCAGCGCCGGTATCAACGAGCAGATCCAAGTATTTACGTTGGTTATGCAGGTACCTCTTAGAGCGTTATTCAATCATGACCTTTTAGAAATTATAGATACGGCACCATCTGAAATTATCTGTATTCTTCGACGAATTTGAGCATTGATTGTATACTACTATCACAATATTGCTTACGGAAATATCACTACTAATTATAATAATTCTGATTTTAATATAATATAGGAGTTGCTATGCTTTATATTCGCTTGTCAGAAGCACTAGATAATGGGAAAAAAGAGCTATACCTGAAAACTGCATGGAATTATTTGAGTATCTCCTTGACTATGATTAGTAACACTAGGCGCCATAAAGATGTAACGTTTCTTTGTGGCGATGCTGGTATATATGCTTTGGCCGCTGTTGTATGCCACAAGCTTGGTGTTGAACAGCAATCTAAAGATTTAATTGAACAATTACAAGCCTTACATGTTCACTGTGATGATAGAAGCTTACCCGATGAACTTCTATATGGCAGAAGTGGTTATCTACACTCTTTAAAATTTGTTCAATTACATCTTGGCAAGGATGCTATTAAACAAGAGATTATTGATAAGGTCTGAAAAACTTGTTATGCTTCTTCTAGTAACATTTCTTTTATCATTTCCAGAGATAAAAGTAGCAAGTTTTTTATTTCTCTAGCAATCGTATTCAGGAAAAATCGGTATTCAAATTTACCGAGAGTAAGTAACATTTCTACATGTACTTCAATTAATTTATAGGTAGTAAATGCCATCATCATGTCAGGAAAGAATTTTTCTCGTGGAATTAAAAGTCGCTCTCCATTAATGTTTACATGGTATAATGACCTTTACTTTGGGGCAGCCCATGGTCTATCTGGAATTTTGTATATGTTATTAAAAGTAGGTATAACGATATCTCATCATGACTGGGAACCGTCCTGCTTTAGCTACTAATATATAATGATGGATTTCTTTCTTAGTCAGAATCTCCTGTTGCTGTACAGTATTATGTCAACTTGATCAAGCCTTCAATAGATTATATGTTGTCGTGTAGACTATCTTCAGGTAATTATCCCGCAACTATCGATGAATCGAGAGATTACTTAGTTCATTGGTGTCATGGGGCACCTGGAGTTATTTATACCTTCGCTGCGGCATATCAGGTAGTTCTTAGTCTTTACTTATTGAAATTCGATGTCTATCATAGCCACTATCGTTAATTTATGATGTCGTAATTTTAAATTTGATACAAATATATTTTGAAGGCTTTCAATCATACACCTTTCCTCGATGCTGCAATTGTCTGTGGTAGCACAATATGGGAACGAGGACTACTTCATAAAGGTCATGGATTATGCCATGGTGTAGCTGGCAATGCTTACGCGTTTCTGTGTTTGTATCGACTTACCAAGGATCCGATACATCTTTATCGGGCAACACGAGTGAGTTCTTATCGTTGTTTTATTAACACTACATAACCAAATGTTAAGCTCGTATTAAACGATGGCTAAACTTATTTTAGTTTGCTGAATGGTGTATGGATAGCACAAATCATCACGCTAGAGTTGCTGATTCTCCTTATTCATTAATGGAAGGTTTGTTTCATCGTGAATGCTTACACAGAATCCTGTCTACTTAATCAATTTTTCGTTCCGAAATTATAAAATATCAAAGTTTAATTATGATTTAATAATTTAACTGGCGATAAATTACAACATTTTGTATCACCCATTATACTTATAGGCTTGGCAGGTACCCTTTGCTTTTTATTAGACATGCTAAACGTAAAGAAATCGGCTCTTCCAGCGTTTGAATTATAGCTACAGGACCTTTTATTTGCTTATTCTCTACTTTGCTATTAATTACTATAAATTATGAGATAGGCTACAATAACTATATCACCTTGTACAGTATGTGTAAACATACCATTATTAGTCAATATACTGTACTATGCAATGCAAAAGTGTGCATCTTTCGTCGTAGAAGTTTACTTAACTAGCATTTCTTCCATCATGCATTTTAATCTGAAATTAAACTGTAAAATAGATGTGGAGATAGCATATTTTGACAATGGCAAATATTCTGCCTATTTGCATTGGCTAACTTCTTAAATTTCATTGAAATTTCATCAAGAGTCTTGTATTATGATATGCTTTCAATCTAGGTGCTTATAGTAAAATTACTATGAACAGCTGTAGAAAGATTTTACCAGATGGGTCAATATATACCGATTCTACAATTCAACTCTTAGCATCCACCCTAGTCTTGAATATCAACACATAAATTACTTAGGTAATTGATACTCATTACTTCATTACTATACGCCAATATTAAGTTATCCATCGACATAATTCCAATAAAATACTTCTATGGTAACTTATTCTATCGACATGATTCCAATAAAATACGTCTATGTTAACTTATCCCCCAATCGATATGATTGTAATAAAATGAAGGCCCAAGCTAATGTCCAATGCGAGCGTCGATGCAGTATTACTGATTAGCTTAAAAGGCCAGGCTAATGATGTAACTAGTTTAAAAATATCTCCAAGTTAGCAATGTCTCTCATCGTTATTGGTGAATAGTATGGTGTCGTTGCCGTGATCGAGATAGGAGATTATGAGCTCGAAATAATAATGATGACATGTTAGATCATTCCAGTCGTCTTGCACTCTTGCGCCATTTACTATATGTAATTTTATATGATGGCAAAGTCTGTACGTCTGTATGCAGGGTATACAGCGCATAGAAGCGACAGTTTTTCTCTACAGTCGAGCAGTCAGTACGCAATCTTCTATGTTTTACTATAGATTACGATACTATCATCTCGTGTACTATACCGTAGCATTCTCTCGAATAGTCACTACCGTGCTCGTCTTGTTCGCCGCCATTCTCAATTAAAGGGTTAAGCACAGGAAAGTTGAGCACCAGCAAGCATGGCAAACAAACTTTACAGATTGCAATCTCAAATGATGACCTCGTCAGGTCTTCGTGTTCTTACGATGCAATCGTTGTCGTATGTAAGAGGGAATTTTACCGCGGAAGCCAGTAAACTTACCAGGAGTAGGTTGCAATCAGCAGACCTTGGAAATTTTAACACGATGTGGGTACGTGGTATGGCTGGACATAACAAATGGTCTAAAATTAGGCATAAAAAAGCTGCAAATGATGCTAGTCGAAGCAATGCTTTCAGTAAAATTATCCGAGATGCAACGCATGCCGTTAAAGGTACAACTATGAGGCGTAAATTAGTGCAGTTATACTTTGAAATTGATGATAGGATACCTTCAAACGTCACTTGATCAATGGGAATACAACTGCAGTTGATACTATACTTGATGTCATTTGCAGAAGGAGGACCTGATCCTGAGTCTAATTATCGTCTTGCAAGCTGTATCTCACAAGCAAAATCCATCAATATGCCCAAGGCGACGCTCGAATATGCCATTAAAAATGCTGCAGGCGTAAGTTGCATTTTCAATCAACGTAATACACTAGTACAAGTACAGTAATGACATCTCCATTTCGCTACACATTCTAATAGGAAAATAATGATGTGGCCACTGATCAAGTACTTTATGAAGGTCGGGGCCCTGGCAATGCTGCCTACCTTGTTGAAGTTCTGACCACCAATCGTAATCGAACGCGTTTACAAGTCAAGCAGATATTTACCAAATACGGGTTTGTATCTTATTAGTAGAAAAAGACTTTACACGATTAGGATACGATTGAAGCACTAACGGTGAATATTTGGTTGATTCCCTTACAGAGGGTCGCTCGCTGATCCTAATTCTGTAATATTTCAATTTTCTCGAAAAGGTATCTAAGAAATAATACAGTAATTTGCATTATAGCTTGGTGTATATGCATGTATAGATGTCAGTAGTAATAAGCTTACGTCTAGAAGCTATGCTTTTCCAGTTGCACATAGCGCTTATGTAATGCTATCTAAGGACCCTTTCTAATATCCATAAAATATTGCCTGTTTGAAGGTTAAGATTGACAGCGTTTTTATCACTGTATTGAATAATTTGCGTAGTCTTTGGTTCCCTTAACTAAAATTTCTTAGCTATCAGTCAAGATCAAATATGTGATGGCAAAATACTTATACGCGTATGTGCACCTCTCGAACAGTTGAAACCCATTAAAGCACATTATGTTCCTGTAACACACTAATACATATGTTATGACATGTATATATATAAAAGGTGCTTACTCTGTTCTATCGCCCTAAAAATAACTACTTATAATAACTAGGGTGTATTGCGGTAGAATCATCCAAGATTGATAGTAAAGATGCACTAAATAAGGTGGGATGTTGTATAGGATAGTAAATAAAAGCTTAGTAGTATGCGGTTGTGATTTGGTATTTATGTTAATGTGATAAATTATGATCTTATTGATCAATTAATTATAATTATAGGCCTTCGAACTGGCAATTGAGATTGGAGTAGAAGATGTCAAGCAAGTAGAATTTAACGACCAAGATTGCATTCAAGTAGGTTCATGATGATCTACAAATTTGACTATCAATGTGCTAATATTACGAACCCTTTTTATGGCTGCTTTTAAGTGTTAGATACGGAATCTAGCATTGTTTACTAAAATACTTTTAATAGTAATCTTAGTATTTTGATTGACTATGCTTTTTTGTTGAGATAATTCGATAATTTGCGATTATTTTCTATTGGACTATAGTTCGTATGTGAAGTGAGTAGACTTAATTCCTGTAGTAAAAGTCTACAACTCATGCAGCTGGAGCCGGTATCTGCAACACTCGAATATTTACCGCAAGCACCGATTACGCTATCCAAATCAAAATTGGATCAGGCATCGAAATTAGTTGAAGAATTAAGCGACCATGACGATGTAATTCGTGTACATGATAATATCTCTATTTCAGGCTAACTTAGCTAGAAAATTTAGAAAATCTATGCAAATGCTTGCATGGTAAATGATAGCTATTCTATGTTTTGAATTATAATCATGCTACTGCATTTGAGGATGGTCACCGAGATAATGGATAATAGCGAACTTGAAAATACATCTATGTTTCGAAATTAATACTGATTTAATATATATTGGCATATTCGGTTAATTTGGTTTGGTTTCAGTATTGAAAATTGTGAAAGATTTCTAACTTAAACCAAACTGTGACTAGATGTAGATAGGAGGTTGCATGATGTAGTACAGTGTATTGTATTGCAATAGTCTGAGTATGGTAATAACAAAATGGCTGCGGCTGTAATCTATTGCAGTCTTAGGGATCATCATCGGATTAGCATTCTATAATAATTAACAATTGATAAGAAAGTAAAATATATTTTAATGGATTTATCAAGTAAGTTCTATTGACTTTATTATTCCATCCTATCATTATTTACAAAATCATTAAGCAAGCTTGTCATAAACTGCTATTTTATGATTTTAAGTTCCAGTTCTACTAATTCTATCCGTCTCCTTAGCATTTCTATATCTACTTTAGTTGCCTTGGATTTTTCTAAATGACGGAGCACATAATGTTTTAAAAATATCAGCAGGCCTTCTCTAAGGTCTGACAGGTGTGATAAATTTCCTACTCTGCCAAAAATTGACCTAGCAATGTAAATAAATTAAACAAGCTATATGTCAAAGAGTTGATTTTAATACAAGCGTAGTAGTTTTAAAAATCAGCGCCTAATCAGGTTGCACAATTTTACCTGCAAGACTTTTCCGATTTATCCAGTAATAATTGCAGCAATAAAGAGCGATAGAATTTGATAGAAGTTTCATTCAATTCGCCAAAATTGACAATCTACGATATAAAATTAAACCCAGTAAGTTAACGACGTCTACAGCGTTGCCAATGCTAGATGTGGTATAAGTGCAATGTTAAGTTTAAAACTTAATTAAGCTCAAACATTGATATAAAATTTTTCCATAGTTAACAAACCTTCAATGCAGAAAGCGATAACGAGTTGGATAAAAATAAATTAGCCAATAATTTAGAAAAGGTCAGGCGTTGAATTTTTGAAAGATCTTCCAGCCGCTTCAAGCGATCCCATATCGAATACTGGAACGTGATCTATATCAACGAGAGTAATTGTCTCACTATCACGGTTCGATATTCAAGAATATGGTTAAAATAATTGATTACTTCTTTACATTGTTAACGAACCTGGTAATTGCGTTTATATTCACAAAATTTCTGTCCTAGGTACGCGTAAAATGGATTAAAAGATTTCTCCTACAGTGTAAGAACATCCCATTAGACTTGTAATACACCAATATAGAAATTACGTCATGCCCGAGCAAATCTTAACATACTTGCAAACAACAATCCAATAAAACATGAATTATGTCCCTTTCTTGTTTATTTTTCAGTTTCAATTTCAGTAAGTTCTCAAATGCGTTAACATAGTCCTATTATAAATCGGCAATGCAATGTCAGTGAAAAGGAATACGTACACATATGCAATGTAAAATTGAACAATTAACATAGTTACATACCTGACTTGACATTATGATGCAAAAGATATTTCGTCTGATGTCAGTATTCATTCTTTGCTTCTTAGCTAGTTCTACTAATCGATTATCGCCAATACCACTACCTGAGAGTTCTTTATCTTGCCCTGTAATGTTGCAATGGACTTAAGAAAGAGTTCACAAATGAAAATTGTGCTAATACAATAAGCTGAATAGCTTACTTCCAAAAGTCTCTCTATCGGACCACGATGAACCTATAACCCACCAGCGACCTTTTTACAAAGACAAGAAGTTATCAGAAGAGTTTTTGCATGTTAACATTGCATTACCTTAGTTAAGTAGTAATACATGTATTACCTGTTTTATTGCAAGCTAACAGATCTTTCAAAGAAATTTGCATTTGTGCATCACCTTGGCGCTCTATAATCATATCGCAAGGTACATACGCATATAAAAGATAGTGATGTAATTCAGTACTGTATACAACTATAAATGTAATTATGCCTACATAAAAGAAATTTTACCTTTACTTAAACGCCTGCATATAACCTTTAAATTTTCTAAAAGAGTTGGATCGAATAAAGCTAATTTCTTCGAATTATTATTGCAGACATACTTGAGCGTATCAAGCATAAAATTAATTCGCGATCTAAAGTTATTTATACACATAAAAAGAAATTCCTCGGTATAGAGTATAATTGTATCATCGAGTTTCATAACGATAAAATTGTATACTCAATTATAGACTTACGCGTCATCTACTGTACAAACCAGACTGCCAGATTTAGAATGAATTTGACTAGCGATCTCCTAATGATTGATAAATGCTTATAATTTTGAACAAAAAATCAAAAGAACGAATTATCACATCATGCCATACCTTCAAGGCGGTGGGATCATCATTTCGAATTTGTAGCCCAACATCTTAAGTCATTTAATTAACATTGTATTCTTTTAGACTTTATCGATAATATTGAAGTATTCTTGATTTCGATGAAAGTTTTAAATCTGATCTATAAATCGAAAGACTAGTAAACTTACTCCGGAGGATATGCAATAGTAATTCCACGTCAAGTTGGTTCATACTTTCAATAGATTTTCGAATCAAATCGTATATTAAAGTGCAATGAATAACCTGCAAAGAGAAAGAACGCGACATCGTTCAATCTAACTCGCTTAGTAACTGAAGTCGTATAGACAATTTATTAGCAAATTCAATCATGATTGACTATTCTTCTTTCACCTTAAAGTTATATAAATGGCAAAACAAAGATAATGCATTATGGCACCGCTTATTCGTACCAATAGGACCAATTTCATTGTATAAATTTTTGTAAAATAGAGCTAGTTTTTCTATAAAGTGAGCACCTATGCAAAGTGAGAAAATTTCGTTGAAAAAGTGCTACTTTACGCCTTGAATATACGCACATTAGTGAATTCTAACCGATTTCAGTGCCAACGTTGGAGTGTAATACTGTGATAACAACAACATGCTCCATAATTAACTTTTCAGGAATCAGCGTATTTTGGATGCAGCTATCAAAAATCAGTTGAGTCAAGGTTTCTGTTACGCCTGTTCAATTATATATAACATATATGTAATTATTTACAATAGAATTGGAGAAAAGATTAGTCGTAACATAAAAGCTGCTTAAGATTGCTTGTAGTTGATTAAATTATTAACCGAATCTACTGTAGTTCCGATATAAATTTTCAATCTGATTAATGATAATCCCAATGTTAGACTCGCTCAATCTGGTAAAAGCAACAAGTTGATATAATTAGTACAATTAACCGCATGGAAAAATACTTAAAGTCTACATTGAAATGTAATATTTTCTGTAAATAATTAATTAAATTTGGTAGAATAACCTATTAATATAGCCCTTCATCTGTTTTCGAATAGCATCTATTTCTTTGGAATCATTCTCATTTCGCATTCTTTGTTGAGGAGGTATATATTTTTCTGTCTTAGTCGTGAGTAAATCCTTACGTAACTCATTACTTTCATTATTTACGGATTCCGTGTGGCTATCACCATCATTGCTAGCGCATTCATCAGCTGTACTGTTAGATTTATTTTCTAGGTCAACTTCAGAGTCTTCCTCCAAACTTTCTTCGTCATTTATACAATCGCTGTTATCACTGTCCAAATTCACATTTTCTCCTTCGCTACTCAAATCTTGGCTTACGAAATTATCTTCGTCTGCCTCGCTTAGTACTTCATCATCACTTTCACAAGAATCATTATCATCGCTAGAATTGTCTGACTGACGTTTTAATATGCTCTTTGTCTTTTGCTTTTTCCGAGTAATAACCTTATCAACGTTAGTATTTGAATCAATTCTATCGCATGCCTCAAGTAAATCTGAATTTCAAAGTTAAGGATTTATTACTGTAAATTTAAGCGTATACAATAGATCATCCATTAAACTTGATAGTATCCTACTTTGCAATTAATTACCTCTACAAAATTTGAAGACAGTATCACTGGATATTGAAATCATTGTACACGTAGAATATACTTACTGTAGAATAATTAATTAAAGTTATTTATCATCTGCTAAAATATTTTATTACGAAAGATTGGAGTTAATTTGGCAAGGTAGATACAGTCAAGCCCATCACTTCGAAAGGCTGATGGCAATGGATTTTTCTTATTAAGTTTTAATTTCCACTCTAATTTTGAAATTACTTTATCATCCACTTTATTAGCCATGGAGAGATTTATCTTTGAATTATTGAATGATTGATTATCCTGAATGAATTGAGTATTAAAGTCATCAAAGAAATTTAGATAGTAAACAAGGTAATATTATAGTGCTCGTTATGCCATACTATCGTATAAGTACAGTAAATTGATCATTTTATATAATATTATATTTGCATGGCGCATTCACAAAACAAGGTGTCTATCGATGACTTACTTCATCTTGAACCTGGTTCCTTTTCCTTTTTTTCTTTGAGCTAAGGGATTTTTTACGATTATCGGATGTAGGTTCTTGGCTACTCTTAGGATGTTTTGCTTCAGTGCTATTTGTGGTCATTTTCTGTCAAAGGGAGTATTTTATAATTTCCATTGAATGATGTAGTACTAGCTTATAACATAATCTATAGCATAATGGAATATTTTTAATTTTTTGCAACTTCTCCAGTATTATCAGCGTTATTACAGCGTGGATTATTCAGCTTATATAAGGATAACTGTACAAGTAATGGAAGTGCATTATAGATCTATTATTAATACTGCAAATTAAAATAATTTATTGGAGAAAAGTGAGCACGACAGCAAGTTAAGCTTCCATACAGTATCTATTTATTAAGTAAAGACATGAAGCATTTTTGTAGGTGCTATGGAATCGATTGATACGCAAATTAAGAGAATAGCAAATGCTTGAGGTGAATTACTAGTACTTTATAGCCATTCAACTGAATAGACTAGCTTGATGTATATCATAGGCGAAGATGGAAGAGTGGCAGAGTTCATAATGAAAAATGGTAAAGCGTCTGCTATCATTGTATAATATTTATTATCAATATTTGAAAAGTATTTCTGAGTGGAGAATAACTAGCGCTAATTAACTAGATCGAGAGTGATAATAAAATTGCAAGTTACTTTTAGAGTTTACATACAGAATAATATGCACGTCTGTTTTGTTTTTTAGCTAGTCTTGATTGCTTTCTTCTTTCTTTTCTAGAAATGGTTGATGAAACTGACTTTATGGCATCAAAGTCTTTTTCTATTGAAGAGAAATAATATTAAGTTGAAATTTTGATTTATTGTGCAATAGGTTTGAAACATGTAAGCTCAATGTAATCTGTAATTTAAGCTATAGCAATCGCATGTAGTTTTACTCAACGTATTCATACTCGTCAACTCTACTTAAAGGTAGTATGCAATTCAATCAAAATGTAGCTATAATCGACAAGAAAAAGTTCTTGGCTAAAACAAAGTTCATGCGTGATGAAGCTAGTTTCACTACCACTGCCTAGCTTGATTCCATTCTACCGCAAGCTACTGTTGAATTATTTTCGGATCGGATTGACTATAGCTATTTCATCCAAGTACCCGCTACTATAGCACAGTAGTCGCTATCACACCCAAAATTGAAGCTTATATCCCCCCATTGAACAAAGCTCAGTAGACGGCTAGCACGGACTACAGGGCATCCATTCTCTTATTCAAGCAGTTGAAGCAGTCTCTGTAACTAGCTAGCATAAGTGATAATCTGCTATAACGATACGATATCGTATTTTGTCATCTTTTACAATATTGGCATCATCCTACCGCAGCGTGATTGCAATGTGGGCATCGATGATTCTATCCTGTCAATTACGACAATGCCTTACAACAGATCAAATATGAAAATCAATGAATGATGTATCAATGGTGGAGATGTTCACTGCTGTACAACTACTAGGCTGCCATTAGCAATACATGTATCGATTACATCTGATGTGCTGTTGAATGGGTGCTGGCTGAAAGCTGAGCCAACAATGCAAATGCAATGAAGTATTTTGCAGACTGGATGACTGTCAAGGTATGCAAAAGTAACATGCCTGACCATAGTAATTGAATTTTGCAATAGTAAATAGCAGTGATTGTCGATAATCTATCACCGTTTTATTGTTGTTATTTCCACTACTTTATGCATGCAATTGTAAAGCCAGGCATTACCTTCTCCTCGAGCTGTTTTTGCCTTTCCCATTGCTTCTCTTTCTTTCTGCCACCACTATTGAGCAGAGTCAAATCTCGGTCGTCAGGTCCTGTACTTGTACAGTATTGAACAAGATATCCGATTCTATAGTACTGTAGAGAAAGCTGAACGGTATCCTAGTAACGATAGTACTGTATTGCGCAGTTTGAACTCAGTGAGTTGGCAACTTGGCATACTGAACAGTCTACTGTACAGTGTACAGTACATTGTCACAGCACTGTACTCTTTCAACTTGGTATTGTACACTGTCGCAGTTGCGCAGTTTGAACTCAGTGAGTTGGCTTACAGAACAGTCTACAGTACTGTACTGTACAGTGTAAAGCACATTGTCACAGCACTGCACTCTTTCAACTTGGTATTGTACACTGTAGCTTGTGGTCCTGCCGTCCTGTAGTCCTGACTCCTGACGCCTGACAGCCGGTCGGCCGGCCCACCCCTCCCTGAAACCTCGCCCAGGTGTGAGTCAGCTTTCCCGTAAAAGAAAATGACAGAAACTGAAACCGCAATCAATCTACAGTACACTACTAATTTAAGCAGAAAATGTCTAGGTTGTAGAAAGAGTGTACACTGTACTGGATCAAGCAAGACCTGGTGGGAAAGATGTCATTTTCCTTGTCCACCATACTGGACTGTCAGGGACTACTAAGAAAGACCCAGTCCTGACTCAAACTACTGAACCCAAAGGAAGACCACTGCACTAGTAAGGCACTCACTGTACAGTGCACAGTGTACAGTAGAAAGTGAATTTCCACACCCAATTACTGTACTGTACTGTACACTGTGACTCTGTACTGTACGTACACTGCTGTCCATACAATACAGTAGTGTAGTGCATACTGAGTGCAGTACCGCCCAGCAGTCTTGGAATAGTACAGTACCATAGTAGGAAAGGCAACTTGCTTGCGTCACTGGACATCCTCCTGTGATTGGTGACAACCAGAGGATGGAATCCGATTGTCCGACTTGGCCATACAAATCCTTCAATTAAGGTGAAGACTTGCTTGAACGTCCATTTGTTGTAGAAGAAGCAAATAGTGGGGGGAAAAAGCCACCAATTCATCATGTCGAAGGCGAAAGAGAAGCAATTACCACTGCATAAGATCATTATGGTCGGTACAGGTGGAGTTGGCAAGTCGGCACTAACTTTGCAATTTATGTACGATGAGGTATGTCTTACTATGTAGAGGGTGGTTGATCCTTGTTAGTTTAGCAATAGAGTATCAGTATAAACTGGAGGCAAATTGACCGCCCAGTCGTTAAAAGTAACACAGACTCTCTCTCTCTTTCTATCCCAATGGATGACAATTTGCCAATATCAAGTCTAGCAGCCTTATTGAAACAGATACTTTATAAACTATTTTTACAGTGATCGATTGCATTCGTTTGCAATGTATAATTTGATAAAGCCTTGGTAATTTTTTTCCGTCCGCCAACCGTTGCAAATTGCCATGGCTATCCTAGTACAGCTGCTCGTTGCGGTCAAAGCGTATGCTAGATCGTACCCATTTCTCTTCCAATAATGACTTACTATAGACTATACAGTAGCCCACCATGGCAATACAGTCGTCTTATGGAACCATAATAATTCAATACTTTCATCATAATTTTGACAGCTTTACTCATCAACAACTTGCACAGTAGACAGTCGTTTCACTTCCAAAAGATACCCTGAAACTGGAGCAATCCTTGATTCAATACTAGAATTTTCTCATTTTCAATATTCATGTTGACTTGCTTGCGAGATTTGACTGGGTCGTGATTCCCAATATCGTTGTATCAAGAGTAAACAAAAAGTGACTTGGGCTACAACATTAAATGAATATCGCTCAACTCTTGATACTAATAAGTAACTGGCAAATTGTTGCTAAAAAGTGAAATAGACAAGTAGTTCTATCCAACAAGGAAATGAAATAGGAACGAAAATTGCCTATAGAAAATGAGAACGTGACTTGGTGGCTATTATTGTACACCTTCACTTTTATATAATTTTAGAGAGAAAGTTCTCATCCATCACAATTGAAAAAAAAACAGCCAAACTAGCATGCATAAACAGCCGACAATATACCCCTTATCCACTGCCCATACAGTCGGTACAATTTTCCAACCTGATTAATGATTGCTCTCTCCGCTTATCAAGTCAAGTAAATGATACAAAATAAAATGGCTACCTTGTATTATTTCCTTACCATCAAGCGCAAAGAACGACATGATGACGAGTCGTTTTGATGATAATGAGTACAGAGCATAGAAGAGCTAGCCATATCTTCGTATACTATGATGAGTACCATGCTTAAACTGTAGCATACTTCTTGACGGCAAGTTTTAGTTATACATTGCTATTTATTATGACAAATGATATACTGCATTCTCTACCATTTCGTCATTTTCCAGTTGGAAACCTACCAGAGCACCCTTACCCATTTTATGCGGCATATTATGATCCAACTCTATACCAGACAGTTTAATAAGAACAACCGCTAATGATGATATCCATAAACTAAGTAAACTTGAAAATACTTTTCTTTACCCTACAGTATATTGTAGTATAGAAAGTGGAGAACAAAAAATGACTAAGCAGAACAGGTTCGCTTAACATCGACTCTATTGTTGTCTATAATCCTCGTAGTGTATATCTAAATTGAAAAAAAAAATATTTTAATAGCCGAACTTACGCTCGTGATGGAATCGGATCATCAGTTATAGGGTTATTCTTCGTCTTTGTCATTGATTCATTTAGACAGGCTATGAATACTTGCATTGCAATATTCTCTCTCTTAATACACGTATGTACTACTTGCATGAGATTGTGTCATAAATTTCTAGTTCACTGCAGCTGATGCTGCGACCGTAGATATGTCTGTATTCTAGATAGAATTAAGATAATAAATTAATAGTATTTACTTGAAAGCAAGAGATTGAAAAAATCTTCATCTGTACTGCATCTTTTACATTTAGTTAAGCACATTCCCAATATCTAAATTTTTGCAATTTCTTATACTTATTATGATCTCACAGCTGCACAGTACAAAAATGGGAATAAAAGGTAAACCCCGTAGACGCACAATTACTCTACTGTATCATAATGATGATTGCTTACGCATTCAAATACGACATGATATCGATTTCTTCTAGCTGTGATGCATGCTATGGTATACTTTCCCTTATTATAATGTGTGATATTTTACATTCTTGACTACTACCATTATAATGATTCTCAGCAGTATGTGTTTAGCGATTCCATTGACTGTGTTATCAGTAAAAATACAATAGCACATTTCCGCATTTTACTGTACACTAATCCTACCAACTTGGAATGACACATTACTTGTTGTACTTTGCAAAGTTCTAGCTAGTAGCCAATAGATTATAGCTGTGCTATATTTCTACAATCTTGATTTCAAGCCATATTGTATGTGTTTCAATTAGAACAGCAGATTATAACATGCACGAAAGTTTTCAATGAGTTCAATTCTTTACTCACGACCCAAACTAAATAGCCTATACTGTGCGCACATATAGGATTTAATTGCTCATCTATGATTGACTTATACTTTTATTTATTGAAGAAATGATCGTCAAAAGTAGTTGTTATAACAATTGACAAATAATATTATATATCATCAAAAGGAAAATGGATCGTTGGCTGAATAATTAAAATGGTGTACGTGATTTTATACATGTTCAACTGCGCATGTAGATAATACATACATATAAATAGAATCGATCATGTAGCCTATGCAACAGAATAAAAGAAGATGTAATATATATATATTAATCATTAGTATACGAAAATATGGTTTAAAGTACTATACGGGTATGACGGCTTACATTAAACATTAAAATATATACTCGTATAGAATTCTTGAATTTTCCTTAATTTATTGTTATAAGTCTGACTTAATCTTCCCCCCCCCCCCCCAATAAAAAACAATTTCTCTTAAATGTACAATAAAGAGAAGATGTAGTGTTGTTGATCGTAGATTAATGTAAACGTCGTATTGTAGAGTAATAATTCAAGAAATCAAAAGTCGCCCACTATGCAAACTTGAGGTAGCTGTGGCCTTGATGATTATCACTTTTTGACTTTGTAGTTGCAGCCGAGGTGCTTATTTGTATTTCCTTGTCATCACTGGCAAGATTATTATTATATGCTGTGATGTACTACAGTACTGTACTTAGAAATAATGAAATGAAAAGTCCTCCGTATAATAATGTAATAAAATTTTTCAATCAGTCTTTCGAACCAAATGTATCTCTTACGACTATTTTCTATATACAGTACATATAAACATCGGCTAATGACTTTATTATCATCATGAACAATTTTCTATCACTGTATGCCTCATAAAAGCAGAGTCAATATCGTCAATATAATTATTATTGCCCTGTATAATATATATTCTTTAAGTAAAAATTTTTGATTACTGCCAATAATAGACGAAATTTGTAATTAACTTTGCATTCGGCTTAATTGTAAGAAGTAGATGCTAATTTTCATTTCCGAACGCTTTTATTTACAGTTCGTCGAAGACTACGAACCAACTAAAGCCGACAGTTATAGGAAAAAAGTTGTATTGGATGGTGTCGAATGTCAAATTGATATTTTAGATACAGCAGGGCAGGAAGATTACGCTGCTATTCGGGACAATTATTTTCGGAGTGGTGAAGGATTTCTGTGTGTTTTTTCCGTTGCTGAGCGAGAATCATTTCAAGCTACAGCGGAATTACGTGAGCAAATTCTTCGTGTTAAAGCTGATGAAAGAATACCCATATTATTAGTTGGAAATAAATGCGATTTGGAAGATAGACAAGTGACTGCGGAGGAATGTCAATCTAAAGCGAATGAATGGCGTATTTCGTATGTGGAAACATCAGCTAAAACAAAGCTAAATGTTGATAAAGTATTTTATGATTTACTCCGAGAAATTAAAAATCGTAAAGATCAAGGCGTTGCTAAAGCTCCTGGTAAGAAAAAGAAAAAGAGCAAATGTACTATATTGTAAAATAGGTGTCCTTTTACATTGTGGGTTATTTAGCCGTAAGCGGATAGAATTTATGAATTGGAAAGAAAATGGATTACAAGTTTTTTGCGTCTATAAAAGTTGCTACAATTTAATTTTCTGTGTGTTGTTGTACATTCAATAAACATTTGGAATATGATACACCCATATGCTTACCTTCTACAGTACACTAACATGGGTATCCTCTCTATATATACTGTAGCCTTGTTTTTACCATCACCGTTTTATGCCTGTATTGGAATAGTGCTATTAATTGTTAATTGCTCTTAGCCTCTTTTTCACGCTTTTTGTTGTATGTCAAGTTTTATTCTAGGCTTCGATATTGTTGTTAGAGTTTAAAGTTATTGATGCATATTATACTACTTAAATAATCGTTTATAGGATTAATGATAAAAAATCATTATTGGATACTGTTTAATATTTCCGATAATAAGAATTTTGTTTTAAAATATGAAGGCAATTAATCGAATGGATGATAGATCTACGATTCGTTGATGTGAATGCTGATCTCTCAATCATAGTTCTATGTTGATCCGTTTTGATAATAGAATTTAGTGGCTGAGATAATTTAATATGCGCTGATTGACCTTTTAAATTTAGTATCAACATGACTATAATTTGAATTCAACTAGTCGTAAGAAATGAAAGATTTTCAGTTTATGGATATAAATAAGCGTTATTAAACCTCATTATCTCCAATACATGATGTCTGATATGACCTTGATTCATCTGGATCTGTTAAACTTTGTATCACTACTTTTCGTACTTATAATTAATTGCTCTGTTCCTTCGTTAATACTAAGTTTCATCAGCGTAAAGATAATAGTGATAATACACTATTATTCCTCTAACGTGTGTCATAAAATAACGGTATGTGAAGTATTCAATTCTTTAACAGTTTCTTAATCTTCTACTGATAACAACTATCGTCAATGTGATGGTAATGAGGATAACATCGTTATATCGACGTTGGACGTAAAAAGTAGTACTTATTGAGGGATTTTATGCTCGTTTTTTTGTCATAGTAAAACTTTGTAACGTCAAAGTTACAAGTACTACGTTGTATTTCCATCATACTTGTGTGTTAATATATGGCAGAAATAGATTGCATAATGAACACATCTAGTTATAATTCCAGTCTCTTTTAGTGTCATAAGGTTTTTCACTGAAACAGTTTTCGATCATTGACGAACATGGGCTGTAATCATGTTTACCGATAGCATTTGTATAGCATCCGAAATCGCAACAGATACTAGAAATTTATTATATAATAGCGGAATGTATTCGAACGTTTTTCGTTTTAAATAAAATTCACATAAGCACAAAATGATTGAAATAAAAGACCTTCATTGCAATGATTTCCATCTAGTGTAGACCCTTAATATGTTATAGACAAACCTAATGCTATCTCAAGTCCAATTAAATTAGAAATACAGAAGAAATGCATAATGTACCAAAGTACGATGTTGTAAAGGTAAATTATCACTAGTGAGCTGCGTAAGCTGCAGATTCAACGTTAGTAATACCGAAACGGCTATACACGTATCAAAGGCTTAAATTTAAACGGAATGTGGTCATTATACGTCATAATAATGATGAAATACGAAAGCACAACCTTACAACAGTCAATTTTCGAACGTCTCTTTACACTTTGAAGTTTTACTTGCTATAAGTTGAATTTGTCTGAATTGTATAAATATACTACTTTGTAATGATTTCAGCTAATTGTAGTCATACAGTAGTCTGGCTAATAGGATAAGACGGCGCACTTATACTGTCTCTAGTATAAGAGTGTAGGGCGTATGTGAACCAACGGTAATAGCTGGAGACTATTACTCGGTCATTACATGCTTAAATGTAGTAGAATATGAACTATGATAGACTGATCGTATCGCTTTTCGGATATTTCTATAGCTTTCATATATTCGTAGTCTAAGTAGTATTAGAGTAATTAAAAGAGAAAAAAATTAAGTTATTTTACTTTGGACGTTGTTCAACTATTCGTCGTGCATACGTAAACAAAATCAAGTATTAAAGTAATTGCCATCAAACAGTCAAAAGTAACACTTAGACGGGAGATTTTAAACTATGGAAATAAGTCCACAGCAACGGTTTTCCTGAATTACGATGTTAGGTACCTAGCAAATAGTAATTTACTAGTACCTATATTGGAATACATTTATTGAATGATTCAATTATCACTCGAATTAATTTACTCTCAAATCTTTGAGGAATCACGACTCGAAAGTTATTCTACTTTCATATAATGTAGGTATCGATAATCAATTATAGATTTGGAAGTCGATCTAGCAATATAGATTGCATTACTTTCAATCATTAATCTTTCATTTGATACCAAAGAATAAATTAAATTTTGTAAAATTATGATAGAAAACACCACATAGAATAAGTTTCGAATCTAACTTTGAAGTCTGTACATTATATTACTGTATTTTTTTACATTAAACTCAGTAGCAATAGGCCAACAGGGAGTAGATTTTGTTGATATTCATATATTTCGCATCATCCTGAAGATGCCCGGCTATGGACTAGGTATAAGAAAGCTCTAATACAACCATAGGCTAATATCAGAATATTTAAAAGAGTTGAAGTACTGTGAAATGCAACATGTACTACTTACGCTTGGAGTAATATCGAAATATTCAAGGGAACTTAATAATATATATTTGCCTATACTCATTTCATCTAAGATACTATGTATTTTTCATGAAATTATATGCCCCTTATGGCGTAAATATTTCAAAAATATCATTTGTGCGTATCTATAACAATAAACTCGTTGGAATAACAAGCAATGTCGGAGTACTCTTCTTAAATCTTCTAAATCGATTTTTTTATTTCGAGAAAGCATAAAATACAGGTCGGCATTGAGCATAATTACATGAATATATCTTAGAAGAACGCGTAAATAAATACTCTAAGCAATACTTGCCAAGTATACCAATAGATTTGATTATTTCAATTATATATAATTATACACTAGAATTTTAATTACTTCCATACGACATGTAAGATACCGTTGATAAATCAGTCGATGCTTGTGCACCGAGATTTAAAAAATGTTAGCAATTCTAAGGTATCTAAAGTTAATACACGTACAATTACTAGCTCTTACTTTAGAATCGAATTATAACAAGCAATTCAATTTAATATATTATACAGCATATTTTCTCTTTCCGAGCGCGTAAACAGCTCATGATTAATCATTACTTGTCTTAATTCTGGATTATTCATCTTGATAGATACAAGATGAGCGCGGATAGTTGGTAAATAAGGATCAACAAAATTCCGTAAATCATATTTCAAATGATCAATTAAACTAGTTAATTTACATCGTTTTCGAAAACAACATAAATGGAGATTTGCGACTACTTCAACCAAGTAGGATTTTTTACCTACAAATAATTCAAATGCAATAACTGTATCTCGAATTATTTTAATAATGTAGTATTCATCAAAGCGAAAATCAAAGGTAGAATTAAAGCAATATGGAATAGCTGCGTCTAACATGATTATCTTTACACGGACAGTATAATATAAAAAATAAATTATTTGCCACATGTGTTGAATTTCATAAAACTGCATAATATACATTTTACTATTTTTTTTCAAGAACTGCAATTTATACGTATTACCTTTACTTTTTACCTTTTTACGATATATAGCTGTTTTAAGTGGATATAATTGCTTAAGAAATTTGTTATAAAATTGAATAAAAATTTTAAAGTGGCCCGTTAAGGGCATAATTCCAACCCTACACGTAGAATTACCAATATGATGATTGAAATTGATACTGTTCCGCCCAGTCAATATTACAACCGCAGCATTTATCGCATCATAATGATATCGATTACAACTAATGGTATATTGATGTAGATTATCTTGCAAATAGGATGCAGCATCGGTATTACTTTCAAATTGAGTTATTAACGCTTGCAATGTATATACAAAAAACTGAAGAGTATTTTCTTTCGTTGTATAGCCCAGATAATTTTTCCATGTACCAAAATTTGATATTATGCTCATGCTGCTTGGTATAGAACAAGGATTGATGATACTGTAGTGTTCGCTTGGAAGAAGAGATTCGTTAATGTCATGATCTTTAACATTATCTTGATTTAAATCGTCGCTAATAGATTGTTTCAACTCAGAATTATGTCTGGTTTGATACAATTCGTTTAAACCTTGTTGAGAAAGATCTGTAGTCGATGGATTATTAACAATATAATTATTTTGACAGATTGTTGAAGTTATTTTAGGCGGTAGATAACTTGCTGATATACTTGAGTTACAAGATATTAGATGATCTATTCCTTCCGTACGACTTCTGCTACTAAATTTACTAATAATTGGGTCTTGATAATCTTGACCTTCTTTATTGGATTGAATCATTTCAACGTTGCCTTCAGATTTTTGCTTAACTGGATTAAAGCCTAATGAGAAAGTTGTACAATCGGTGAATTTAAGATCCATAGGATTACTTTGAAGTCCTTTAAGAGAGTGCAATCAGTAATATAGCGGCTTACTGCACTTGTAAGATATAGGATGATTTATTCTCTTGATTCGATTCAATGTATTAATACCACGTTAACTATATTTCGAATCTTTTTTCCTTGCAATTTATTATAATTAAGTCAAATAGTTTTGAATTGGATCTAGATGTAAAGTGTGATCAGTGTTGATCCTTTGCTTTTTCCTTTAACTTTACTTACTAATGTTCTTTCTTAACATAGAAAATCAGAGTTGATTTATCAACTTCTTGTATTAATTCGATGTTCAGGTTGTTCTTGCGGTAAGGTAATTTCCTGTTTAACAGATTATGCAAACTGTCGTCACTCACACATAAATATGTAAGATTATCCTCAGTCCGAAAGGTTTTACGTCCATATTTCAACTGATGACAAATCGATTTCATTTGATAGAAGTATTTAACTCTATATAAGTCAATGTTGCTATTTATATTATACATAATCGCTTCTAAAAATAGCTCATTTTTATTCCAGTGGTACATTAAAGTAAGTAAGTCAACATTTACAAGTTAGTATGACGTCGTTGGTTTCCCAAATTAAGTAAGTTATCATAGTTTTGGATAGGATATCATGAATTAGCTAATTTAGTATTTCAATGATTATGTTAGTAACTACCGAAGATTATAATACGCTGACATGGGTTATTATTTTACTCGTACTTAGTTATGTGTCCTAACCGTATCCCATTATGGCCTTTCCATATATGCCTTACGATACCTTATTTAAGCTTCTATCGCAGTTCGACAGTACAAAAAATGATCATATTCTACCTCATCTATGCCACTACTGTATGCCCGATTTAATACCAAAATAGAAGCAATTTTTATTCATATTAGGATGCTAAGCAAATATATATACATCAATCTTAATATGGATCATTTATCGAAAGTAAGGATTCTAGATTTTGTTCTTGCACTCAGCGGTTGCGCTAGGAATTTGTTGATATCATTGCAGCATTTGCGAAAATATTTCTATGGCGTAAAAAACAGGCATCTAAGGTTTACCATATTGAATTAAAAACAGACCGAGACAGTTAGCTTTATTAAATAAGTTATCAAATCCTTATATCATTGATTGATCACACGTTTTCAGCTATCTTAAACCCACAGGCTTAGTTAGGCCGATTTTAATCTTTTTGTCAATCATCTTCTTGAATTTTAGACTATATAGTGAAGATTAATATGGGCTTAATTTTATTGGCTGCCAAATATAGAGGTTAGGAACAACAGATTTCAATCGTATCGGTGAGAGAAACTATCAGAAAGGCAAATACAAATTGATGTAATAATCTAGCTTCTACAGTATATACCACGAGGTAATGTTGGAAACAGTAAAATGACTTGCTATTCGGTAAAAAAAATAACTTGATTGCCTAACTACAAGAAACTGACTTAAAACCTATTTTAATATCATAACGTTCTAATGATTATTAGCAAAGGCACAATTTTGATAGAGATCAAGCACGTATCGCTATTTCAATATTTCACTATAAAATTTTAATTACTCTGACCATATCAGGCTTATTAATTAAAATGAGTGATTATAGAAAAGAGACCATTTCTGTCTAACCATATTGCCTATTTACCCCCTGAAATGGCGGGTATATGCTTCCAGTAAAATCAGTATATGAATATAAATTAAGAACATATTGCAACTGCTACAGTGATAATTATTTGCTAGATTAAAATCTATTATTGGCTAACGAAAGTTATCTACTACTTTAAGGGAGAAATATCCTTCAAGGTAGTTACTTCGAAGCGAAAATTTGTTGGTATTGAGGATAATTTCAGCCGGTAAATAGCCTTGATGTCGTCAAGCTATAAAATATAATTTAAATTGATGAACACATTTAATGAATGAGAGTATTTAATGTCAGTTAACAAGTATATGTATGGTATGTAAACTATTTAAAAATGAAAATCAACCTTGAGATATCGTAAACATTTACATATGCATTGAAGTATCTATATACTAAACATGCAAATCGTCGCTCTAGTCAGATATAAGTTACTTTTAGACAATTATGACCTTTTCAGTCAAAACGCCAGTTTTTGATTCGGCAGCTAAAATAAAACTTGATTCTCCTTTACCGGAGATGCTATGCCATAATTTACCAAGATCTGGTTGTTGGTTGGACTGCAATTTTTTAAAATCAACATAACAACCACTAACAATAGCTTTAACGTTATGTTTTATCATTGGTCGCTGATCTATATCCACAGCCTCTAGACTACTGAACGAAGTACTTCCTCGAAAGCAAAATGGAGAATTGGAATTGAACTCTTCGATATTTGACATGACTTCCTTGAAAGTATCGCTACTTTCACGTTGTGATGTCTTCATTTGCGCTGTAAAAGCTGATTAAAAGTCGATGAAATCTTAGATAATAAGTCTTTAAAACAATTATAATATATAATTGCATTATTCCGGTATTTATAATTATATCAAGGGATATTGTTGAATTGGAATTAAAAATAAATGGTATTTATATATTACAGGCTACTAATAATTTAGCATACTCCTTTTAGATTGGCTTGATAGGAATGCAATCATAGAAGGCATCAATTTATCATTTGTAACAATCCCGTCGGCGACATGTGCAACATTTCTTTGTTGGATGGACATCGTATACCCTTTTAAAAATTTATTAAGTGATGCGATGCCGAATAAATATCCAGTTTTGTTCAAGTTAGATGCATTGCCGTCGGTAAAATAGAGAGTAGCATGATGATGCTTGGAGTGCATTTTAAACGCGATAGATTTTTGTTGAACCTAGTGATAGATAATAGGATGATGCTTAAATACGATTTTAATGATTCCATTTTGTTAATTAATTCTAAATTGGTCCATTAGGCTACAAAAATCAGGCGGGAATATATCGTAAGTTAGCTAAAAACTGTCGCTAGCAGCTACAAACAACGAATAAGAGTTCTGATCGCAGTAGTAACATTTGACGATTACCTGTTGGCAAATTTCATTATTTGATGGAGAATATTTAAGTAATTGAGTAGTAGTATTTGCCGTAATCATGTAGGTACTGCCCTGAGGAATAAATAAAGTAGCTCCTGAATCTAATCGCGCTGCTTGGCCATTAATTTCAGCATAAATGTTGCCTTTTAGAATGTTAACCATGACTGAAAACCTATAAAAACGTTATAAGCATTTGTTACAACTTAAATGTAATCATTCGAACGTGATAAGCAAAGCACGCTATTTACCTCCTTTTGCTTAAAAAAAACAATTATAGATTAAAAAAAATCATCAATTTTAATATTTTAGACAAACATCAAAGATTGCATGATATTGATATCAATTTCACTCCATTTTGTCTATAAAAATCGACATAAGTAACTGATGTTGTCGTATCATGTAGGTAAACGAGCGAAAGTACGATATACAATCAACTATATATTTACAGCACAATTAAAATAACGGTAATTAAGATTTGATATTAAATCAGAAATTATTATGATTTGGTTTAGAATAGCAAATTATTAATGCTGTTGCACGTCCCAGAAATATTGATCATGATACTGCGGGCTATATCGCAGATCGCAGGTACGATAAAGTTGATTGTAGTCATATAAAAATTCGCCAAACTTACTAGAATGAAGCACTGGTACTGAAACTAATGCAAACGTAGGTACGTAATTAGAGAAAATATTCAGTCAGCAGTTGTGTTACAAAGCAAATGAGGCTGGTAAAATGTAAAATTTTTAAGTTTAAAGGAATGAGGTAGAGGTGCTATTGATAACGTGGGATGTTAGCAAATCGTGTAAGGACTGCCTACTAAAGTATAATTAGATAACTGTTGGCATTAAATCTGCGTTTGATAGTCTTTACTTTCGCAATACTGCATAAAAATATAAACGAGATTGTTAGCTTGAAGTATACCCCACGAATATCTCCTGATATGTAGTTTAGATTGTCAGAAAAGAAATATAAATATCTTAAAAGGAAAAATTTTACGTTTATGATTATAGCTATAATTTAAGTGAGCAGAAACTACTAGTAATAAAACTTTCGGTAATTTCTGTAATATACCATATTGACTAAACTCACCAGTATAGCACAAAACATATTATCATATAATACGTAGGTCAATATTATACTTGTGTAAGAGGAAGACAAGTGTTCTAGCAAGACTATTACGAGAGTAACAAATCGTATCTTACCTTGTATTTTCACCGTATTCTCTTGCTTTAACAGCCATCGACTGATGAATAGACATTACATCTTCTTTACATAATATCTTCTGTTCAATTCCTTTCGATGGTTTTAGTTGGATATAATCTCGTTTTTTGTCTGGATAATATTCCTTCCTTGATACAGGATCAGCCGCTTTAGAATCGACGCTTGATGCTTGATAAATTTGGATTACTGCACGAAGTGCCGACTGTATAGCTCCTTGAATCCAAAAATGGGTAAACGAAGTATGTTCACCGGCAAAGAAGCAGCGTCTTTCTCCTAAAAATTCAGTATACTATTTCATTAGCTAAAATGGCAGATTCAGTGCTTGCTTAGTTTCTACTTATTTGATAAATAGTAGACGGTATCCAATTCATAAACTTCGTGCCAATTAGGTGAATTTTTGTAGATATACTCACGACTATAGCTGTTTCTGAATAACAGTTCACGTTGCTGAGGATAAAAGTAAGAAACCGCAGCTCCGGTATAAGGTTGGTTCTTCCATACTTGTGATGTTCCAGTTTCAAAAAGATCATAGGCTTGATCGCCATGCATTTTAGCTACATATTCTAGTGCGCGACGTAATCTACAATTTTCATCCAAAGATCCCCAACGATCTGCTTCTGCTTCCCAGGTGTATGCTGCTAAAAGTACCGCTATATACATAATAAAATTCATACTGATTAGTCTCAGACTAGGATGATCGTTTAAAACGAAGTTTATTAAGAAAATGATGCATACTCTATGTATGTCATAAACTTCACTTTTTATGGATGTAGATGAAATGGTTTAACTCGGGAACATGCAAATAAGGGATTTCTGCAAGTTTGATTAAAATATTAATTTATAGAAGTTACTATTACAAACCTCTTTGGTCATATTTTACACTTCCAGTCGGATAATAAATCGCTCGTAAAGGAAGATCTGTTGTTGAGCCACCTCCATTAATGATGCCGGTTTGATTGAATTCAGCTGCAACCTAAATAGTAACATTAAAAATGATAGGTAAAGAGCTAAATCTTCATATTTCCTACGAACAACTTTATAAACGCTTAGGACCTAAATTTGCAAATGTATTATAAGAAACTGAGAAAGATTTGTAGAAACTAACCAAAGGATTTGGCTTAACCCAGAACGCTTTACGAAATTGTAGTAAAATTTTTGTTGCACTGATGTAATGAAACTCTCGGATAGATTGCCTTTTGGCCGGAGAAAATGGAGGATCAGTAAGAACATCTCGTAAGACGGTGAAGGGCAATGTAATCAAGACAAAATCGAAGGTGAGTTTCTTTTTATAGGAGTTTTGAACGGTATATTCGACGGTAGCTAGACTGTCTGATTGCTTAATGCTACGAACCAGTGCGCCAAATATTAAGTTGTCTTTTAAATCTAAATTTAATTAAGATATCACAGAGAGTGCTCCTTTAGTTAAAATTTGCAACCTACATAGAATTATTAAATTATAATTGCCATTGTAAAATACCCTTATACGCGCACAAAGAAAGGACGATCGAGTGATAACTAAGTCATTTTATCCCATGACAGAATTACATACGGTAATTGATTAGTTATATTCATAAGTTCAGATAAACTGAACTTTATTTACAGCCTAAATTGAATCACTTAAGATTGAGACTCATTTGCATCAGCTAAATTATATGATTTATAGTTTAGATTTCATAAGTTCTTGTAACCTAAAGTTTAACAGCCTAATTTGAAGAACTTAAAATTCAAATTCATCGGAATCAGCTAAATCAAAAACTTATTGTCTAGATTACATAAGTTCATATAACCTGAACTTTAACTGTCTAATTTGAATTATTTAAAATTTAGACTTATTTATATCAGCTAAATTATATAATTTGTTGTTTAGATTACATGCATTCATATAACACAGTGGTGCAATATACTTTACCAATCGAGTAGTAGTTAGATAAAATTTAGGCTCGCTTAAGTTAGCTATCAAATTTATCATATGGCTATGAATGCATAATGTTCAAACTTTTGCTATTATAGCATAATAAGCACCCCTATCTTTCTAATTCTTTTACCAATAGATTTTCAATATGTTAAATGAAAAAATACTTACGTTTATAGAATGCAGATGGTAGAGCATCAGTACCGTTCATTACTTGATGTAAGTGGCTTCTAGGTAATCCACGATAAAGATTGTCGGAATCATTCTTTGGATATGAATAATAGGCATTATCGCTCCAAAATTGCCCAACATAATCCTAATATCAATAGCATAATAAAGCTTAAAATTTAGAAAATTATTTCTATTAATTTTGAAATGATATAAACGCATTCATATCTCAAAATAGGTCAAACTGTAATGCACTGTAGATATTTTGTAGCAACAATGATCACCAATCAATGGTCTAATTAGGTAGATGAAAACTCTCCCTCTGTAAATTTCTCACGTTTATACTTTCTTTTATATCGTATCATATATATTAAAAAGTGAACATTGGTTTATTGTTAAGGCACCTTAAAATACTCGATAAAACCAATATCCAAAAAGTTTTCTTGATTAATAACCACGGATAGGAAAGTAATATAATTTTTTGACCACATCAAGGATTCCAAAAATGTTCTGGTTGAGTATTGGTCATATTTCTGCATCATATGTTCCCATCCTATTTGCACATGTCAAAATGTGTTAATTCGATTAATTATGATAGCAGTGAGTTAATGTTAGTAATCATCAATGTAAATCGTATATCTAGCATCAAGTGTGAATCAAACAACATTACCGCATAATTCTAATTCTTTGATTTGCGATTTCATCGCATCTTCAAATCGTTTAACAGGCCATATGCATTCTTTTGATTCGACGTTAAAATCAGCACATAGCTTCATGACAACATCGTGCCGGTAATCTAAATATCCATTAAATAACGATGGATTGTTAGAAGGCTTCTGATCCTTGATGATATTATGTTAAAATATAGCATAATATAGTTATTTCTGCTAAAGTTGTGTGTTCATCAAAGTAATTTGATTTATTGCACAATTGACTGTTTTCCAATAGTGGATTAGTCAAATGTTGCATGTAGTTCATACTGTATAAATTGAATAAACGGCTTATACTTAACTAGTAATCACTTAATAAAGTATTGGGATGGGACTTCTTTAGAAGTTGTATTATATTTAATTAACCTAGAATTTGAATAGCTGTACTTTACGGTTTATTAAGGGCAAGGACAAACTCATGATGGACATACAAAATTTTGATACTATAGACGGAGCCAATTATACGTGCCACAGGATACTTGTTGTCTACATTTTATACGCTTTCATTTCTTATGCTAATTTTTCTAGTTACCTTTGGTTTTCCAATTAAAAATCTTTTTTGGATAGGGCCTGCTTCTACCATCTTTACTGGTAAAGTAGTATAAAGATTCAGGTCCGGCTGTTGTAAAGCTGTTCCAACTCAAACCCATTTCTTGCAAATAAGCAAAAGTAAGGTAATGAGATGGAGGGAAACGCATTGGTCCTGCTTCGCCGTGTAAATGATCCTGATTGTGCATGGAAAGGATGTTTTAAAAAAATTTTATTTAAAAATAAATTCTTCCTCTACTTATTCGGTAATTAATCGTACATACTATTAATAATAAATAGACTTGGTAAGATTTTTATAATAGTCGAAAGAGATTATGAGGTTACAAAACGAAATAACACATGAGAAAAGAAATGAAATGTGCCAAACATATTTCGAATTGAATTTGTTCCAAGAGATTCATTATATAGCAAAGCTTTCGATAAGAGTTGCTACAATTTTTAATATTTTCTATTTTAAAGTGTTAAAATAATGATAGACTTACCGAGAAAATTTCACTTCGGAATGTTTTGGCTCTGCCTCCGATTCTTTGTGTGGCTTCTAGAATAGCTATGTCGTAGCCAAGGCGTTTTAATTCATATCCAGCAACCTACGGAATAATATGACAGGCAATGATCATACTATCACAATTAGCAATATTTGAATACATATGAGTAGTTGTAATTATCTAATGTCAAGATTTAAGGAGATAACAGAATTTTAATATCAGCTAAGGTATTTCCAAGGCTAATTTGGCTTTTATTTTATTTATGCTCTATAGGTTAGGACTGAACACTTACCAAGCCCGACATACCAGCTCCAACGATTCCGATTCTGACTTTTCTTGTCACTTTCTTCATATTGCTTTTATTTCTGACAATTCTTAGTAGACATTCTCGAAATCGACTATCTTCGGTATGGGATTCCTTAACGAAGGTGTTGAATTTCTTGGTAGAGCCTTTACATTGTTCTTTAGTGAACCTATTTATTGAGAAAGATATGGCTATAGTGCAAATGTAGTAACTGCTTAAAGATAATTAATTGGAGCTAAGGTATTGTCATATTTTTGCTTCTTTAGATTGCTTTGATACTTCCATGTTGTTATAATAATTATAAATGGTTTAGATATCGCTAATCATTTTATACTGTTCTTTAGAAGTTTAGAACTTATCGCAGAAATGAGTTGGAGCAAAGCAATATTTTAACGCCATTAGTCGTTGTATGCTACACCCTTACTGGTATTTATCATAGCCTTCCCAATGCTTGCCAGGCGGAGAGTTTTCGACGTTATATAATACTGGTTCAGGTCCAGCAAGGTAATCTGCATCAACATTGCTGTAATAATTTAAGATAGCACTACAGTTATAATCATTTCCACCATTACAGTACCTGCTAATTTATTTTTAATAGTGACGAAATTATTAAGTCCAATTTGCTTTGTATAAAATCTTTCAAAATTGTCAAATTATGAATATATTCAGTATCAACAATAAACTACAAATCGATATTACCAAGATTGAAATTTGATATTATTACATTAGAAAACATGTGACGAGTTCAAAATGCCAAAGATAATTTTCAAAGATAGAAAGAGCTTTACTTACTCGAAATCGCATTGTTTTTGTTCTGAATTATTTTCCGCAGTAGCATAAACTGCAATCTGTAAGTAGAATATCTATCTTAGCCATTGACTCCATTATCCAATGTAAAGACTCCTTTCAATAGTAAGTAGAATTTGGCATAGACCATGTTTATTCAAAATGAATAATCATTTGAGCTTGACTATTCGTTCTTTAAGGGTAGTTAATTCATCTTGTATGCCCCCCTCTACATTACTAAAAGAAAATCAAAACTAGAAGACTAACTCTATTATGATTACCGATATTCAAAGTAAAAGTAATACTGCAAAGATCTTGTTAATACACTAGCATAGGCCGAGCATGATGAAAATATATAAATTGACGTGCTGTTATGGTTGTACCTATGTCCTGATCAACTCATTTCTCAAAAGAGCAAATGCTTACTACGTGCTTTTAGCTATTGCTTTAGCTAGCTTTTGCACAGCATTTGCGATAATTGTTGAAATAGCTACTGTAAAGTATAATGTATGGCACGTGCTTTGACATTTTAAGACGGCAGTCATTTTTTTAAAAAACCCAACTAGACACTTTTAAGGCCTCAGCTATCAATACCATGTTGCAAAATACAAGTAATGATCACATTTTTAGTCGATACCGTACGATTATTGGCATAAAAGTCCTTGAACTGAAGCAATTGATCGTCTTAAATTAGTCCTTTTTAAATGTTCAATTCTTGTAACATTATAGATAAGTTCAAATATTGAGAGCCGTATATAAATGGTGAAATTAAGGTATCGGCCGTTTATATTACACTAGCCGTTACAGTATCTAGTTCCAATATTCAACAATCATATTATGGCCAATCTTAAGGAATGTCCGGTCAATCCTAGATATTCCAAGGCAGTAACCATGTGTCTGTTCTAGACATTGCTATTTGCGTTGTCTTACAACGAACAGCACAAGAGGATTAATTTCGTAGAAAGAAAAAACATGTTTATTGTGAGATTAAAATTGAAATCTCGCGCGTAGATATAAATGTTGCCGTCAGTCCAAAGATTGACCTACTATTCCTATGGAATTACTTGTACATTCCTTGGGATTGTTTAATTGTAAGAATTGACAAAAATAATTCAAATGTTCGCTGATCAAGATCAATATTTAAGGTTTAAATTACTGTAATATTTAATTAAATTAATCGCCTATTCTGTCGAAATACAAATGTTTTACACTATCGAGGTAAAGTACATTCGCTTTATAGTAGGCTAATTTTTAATGTCACTAGGACGAAAGGTCTACAATATCCTCTATTCATTTATTGACTTTTAATGGACAACACTAAACTTTAGAATAATTTACCTATCAATTCATCGGTTAATACTCAAATTTATAGTATTTTAGAAATAGCAATAAACGCTCGATTTGCAGAAAGTAGGATAGACAGAAAACCCTTAGAGAAGCCTAAAATCTTAGCAGAATAAACAGCTATTTCGGTACTACCTCGTAGTACCATAATTAGCTCTTTAATTAAGTTTCAAGGGATTTCATGTAAATTTGACTAAAATTGCGCCCAAATAGATCCTTAAAACCTTGTGCAATTAAGATTGAATGTTTTTTATTTAATTTTTACTGCAGTATTGAGTTACTTTATCCTTTATCAAATTTCTAATATTAACCCATCAGTGATCAATATACGATCGATTCAAACAGTAAACAAGTCACGTACTAAAATGGTTTAACCTTAACAGGAAGTTAAAATCATTTTATTACATGCTTTCTAGTATAAATAACGTACGATGTGACCCAATTATTTCGAAAGTTATTAGTGATTCTATTGTGCTATTTCCTCGGATTTTTATTAAGGAATAGGTTACCAAATAACACTGACTTAGAGCAAAACATCGGATCGATTCATTTTGTAGCGCCTTAGTTGACGATCATTTAAGATGAGGAATATGCCATGAAAGATTAATTTGATATCGTATAATCATTAAAAATTAAAATCGGGGTGCGAAGAAATAAACAAGAAAGAGTTAAGCCCTATATATTCAATTGAGAACTACCGCACAGAGTTGACAGGAAATTATCCAATTAGTTTATAAGCCGTATGGCGCTAATATCATATTATAACCAAGTGGATTTTGAATTTATATTATTATTAATTAATACCCACTTAAATCTTGGCTAATAAAGATAGACGTGCTTTTACTGATACACAGTAGCTCAGGCACTAACTTTAATGATTTGCAGTTTATGTGTAATATAGCCAATTTTGAAGGTCTGAATTATATTGGTTTGATCTTTCTATTGTACTGTATATCCAAAACTACAGTAATCAAGCATATTTCGATGTATTTGTAAAGCTTTATTTTATTGTATAACGATATGTAGCTTACTTACCACAACAACCAGCAAGAATAGGATAGTCTTAGTTGACATCTTTATTTGCTACCAGCTATAGGATGGTAATAGCACTACTTTAATCACGCTTGACCAAAAGTTACGGCGTCGTTTGAAATATTTAAATATCTCCAATCTGCAATAATATTCAATTATTTCAAATGAGAGTTGAAAAATTTAAAGTTCAAAGCAGATTTTTGTTTTAATCATAATATTGATCAATTTATTATATACGATCATTATAGGCGGTGGAAAATATCTGAAAAAGAGTTCTATACGCATAAAGATACAGTTTGAGTGATGGCAACATTAATTTTTATAAGAACAAATTCTCCGCACTCATCAGCACTTACTTATAATTCGAACTATATTTTAGTTATAAGATAATGTTTGCATATAGAAAGAAAGTGATGCTATTAAGGAGGGTTGATGCTCATTATTAGAGAATTCAATTACTGGAGTGTGTCGACACTTACCGAAGCCAATTAATGTAATTTCGTTAAGGTGAAGCCAATCTAAGACTATCTTAATAAGAAAATTTGCAAAGGTTACTCAGTAAACTAATTTATTTTTTTTTATCAGTTTATAAATAGCTAGAGAAACTGTAAAGAAATTAGGAAGATTCTATCGCTTCCAGACTTCTCTAGCGAGGTTTGTTCTGCTATGAGGACAATCACTAGCAGAGCTTTAAATATATGCTCGGACTGCTTGTTTATTCTATTTCAAGATTTCGCAGCGCAGTTTCCGAGACTCATTACCATAATTATTTTCGGTATATTGTATAATATTGGATCCCTTAAATGCATGAAGATTCGCATCAACAAATTTTCGGTTTAAAAAATTTAACGAACGATGGCTGTATACGCTTAAGCTTTAGCTATAGGTCTACAGCTTTAAACGTGACTGCAAATCATGTGGACGTCATGCTGAAACCTTTCTGATGCAATCAGACAGTCTTCTATATTTATTTATCTAGTCTATATATATATATATATATATACAGTACAATTATCTGATCAATTGTAGGTTAGAAAGATCTAGATACGTGTATACATGTTCTATTAGTGTTTGGTGGACATTGTTGTTACCGTACACTATAAAGTAATAACGAATTAGACTTGTTCATTTAAAACTAATTCTTAATAGTTATTACTATAAGTAATATCGACTACACCATCAAAATTAAGTCTATGAATCATACTTGTATAAGATCATGACTAAAAAATTGAGGAGTTATTATGCTACCGTAGTTTAGGGTAAACCAGAGAATAAATCATGAAATCATATATTAGCCACATGAGGTCGGTCTATGCTATGGAATGTTGGTAAATTTTATCTATTCTTTCATAAGGTGTCACGTAATAATATTTCAAAAATCTCGATATTGAACTTTGCTCCAACTGTTTTAGGAAAGATAACTTCCTATCATTTGATTAAGGATTTAATAATTGGTCTTGATTGCGCAAAAACTGGTAAGAGTAGCGCGTTTATTTTAATACGGATAGGAATAGAGTTGCTGTAGATAATGTTCACAGCATGAAAAACAAAGATAGGGAAAAACATCAGTTATACCTTATTAAAAAAGAAAACTCGTATTAGGCCGTAGAATCACTATATTGGCAGAAATCATGCATACGGGATAGTTTCAGTAATTAGCGCATTATATCGAATAGATGGCATCTTCATACGTTTCTTGTACATTGGAATGAACATAAATTAAAAATCTTGCGAAAAATTCCCATATGTCTACTCGTATAAATAATAAAATTGTGCATTTTTAAATAAAAACGTAATTTATTAAATTTGTTGTAATAAAATCAAGGTTACAACAACACGATTTAATTCAAAGAGTAATTTTGGTTATGTTAAATTATTGATAGTTCAAGCTAGATGACGACAGTAATAAGCCTACGATGACCACATGCCTCATGGTTGCATGAGTAAGTTATAAATTTTTATTTCATTTAAGAATACGTCCGCATACCATAAAGCATAGACAGGAAAATTCTACATTTTCAAAACAACAGAGGGAGATATTTTATAAATGTTTCCCGCCTATATTATTATCAATTTTCTGGCTTGATCGTTGCTAGGAATCAAAGTTCATAGATTCATTTTATTATCATTTGTCGTACTAAGCCACATAGCGACAGAATACCGCATCAGCAAAATAAGATCGATAAAATTTTTACAGCAAGCTTTAAAATTCACTTTATTATTTTCAAAGTAAAGTTGATGTAGTATTCCGAGCATAAGGCGATAGATTATAAAGCAGAATTACTAATTTAATTATGGTGATTATTTTACATCTTGAAAGCCAATAAAAGCATAAATTTCGTAGAGGCAATTGATGGTATTGACAGCAAATAAAATTACCTGCATATACATGTACTGTATGTACATTTTCGTGCTTATATTTAATTTTTACCGCCAGTCTGAACTGATATTATTCCCGCTTCAGAAGTTCTTGAAAAATTTTTTGTACTAACATTGAAATATATACAAGAATAAAACCTTCAAGTAATATAATCACCAACCTCCATTATAATTAGATTACGGCTATCACTTTCCAACTAACATGACATTATCGAAGGAATAAACGATGTGTTTACAGTTTGGCAATCTGGCATCTACTTGAAGATGTATCTTTGCTATCGTTTCTTATATACACATGGTTTCAATAAGGATAAATTAGCTACTTCAGTATTACTTTTCTTTAGCTGTTTTGATACTTCAACGAACTGGAAGCGGATAAACATTTTCGATAATACAAGCTAGAATAGATATAAAACAAAATATGATAAATTTTTATAAATTGATACACTTCTTTGAATGCCATAGATTAAACAATACTGATTCGTATAACCTGTTCTACCCTAATAAAGATAGAATATATCGAACAGAATATACCTTCTCCTTTAATTTAAATCCAAACATCGATAAAGAACGAACGAATCTAGCTTCATGCTCAATCCTACTTAGAACTTCCGCAATTAGGAGGATTCCTCTATACGAAAGTGTAATTTTCGGTAAGGCATATAACAGTTAATTATGCTGACAGAAATGGTGTTTGATTAATTATCCATCTACCCTGGTTTAAGTATGCGCTTTGCTTCTTTAACATAATCTAGTAAATTGGTGCCCATAAGAGCCAAACAAAAGACGACCATATCCACATGAGCATCCTCTAGCGGCGTCTTAAAAGTTGGCAAAAATTTAAAATTAGCATTTCTTATAGCATCTAAAGACGGTATCACCATACTGTTATATTAGCTGCTGATTACACTGCTTTATCGTCTACTAGTAACTCTAAAGCCAATGAAAGGTAAATATCAACCAGATAGCACAGTTTTAGAAGTTATACTGTGCATATCGTATTACTGTAGATCGAAGTACTAATTTACTATACCGTGTGCATCATTTTAACTGTAGTCTACATACGTTTGCCATATCGCAAGCAATGATGTGGTCGGCGCGAGAAGCTAAGTCAATAGAATAGACTTTATTTGGAACTGACTGAGCCAAGCGACCTTCGCCACAACCTAAATCGGCAATAATTAAGTCTTTGGATCTAATAGAAGAGGTGGAGTTCAAAAGTATCAGGTTAAATTAAATACTTCCTTATGTATGAGCAGCAAATACTATATAAGATTATGTATAACCAGCCACCCAAAAAAGCTCTCGGCCGGCGAATATATTCAGAGATTCTAAGTAAAGTAATATTAAAGCATATACAGTACGAGTATAATCTCCTAGGGATGTTAATTGTACGTGAGCATTTTAATACCATATAATAATTAAATCGGGCGTATAAAATATGCCGTGCTACCCAATATGCATCGTATCAACTTTCCATTTTAAATATCTTACTTTTAATTCCTAATATCGAAGTACGTATACGAGTATACAGTATTTTTGTTAATTTTAAGAATTTTCTTTTGAAAGTTACACACGTGCAAATAGATTACACAAGTTGGTCATGGTTGCTTCTACTTCAACCACTGAATTTTAACGAAAGAATTTATTATTGTAGAAATGATTCAGTGCACGTAAGACTTGCACGCACTTTGGTATTAAATACATGCATGATGCTACCACAATCGTTCACTGGATCTTTCTTCAAACAAAGTAATTTGAGCAGAACTACCACCATGCATGAAAACAGTTACTTGGATTTTATAGAAAAATTAGGCTACTAATGCACTTCCTCAAGCATTAAGTATTCGATTTATCTAGATTGTCTCTACAAATACCCGTCTCTTATAAAGGATTTATTTATTCATTCACTTTTTTTCAGGCCTATTTATTTTAGAGCAACTTTATGACGATATAAGATAAATCGAACATGGCTCAATATTATACCAATACAAATGGTGTATTGTAGATATGCAGTAAAGTACATACTATAGAGTAAACGGCATGCATTCACTTCAAGCTTTTTAACCTAATAAACATTTCATATTGTAATGTTGTATCATTGATTCGAAAGCACTATATCGAGAGCAACAGATTAGCTTATAAGTGTACTTGGGCTGGTCTTTTGACTTGGTGTGCAGAGGTCTGGCCCAAAGTGCATCTTCTTTTCTAACTGTCGGTAATTTCAAGCTAGTACAAGTAGTGAAAGTTATGTAGCTACTGATTTTGCATGCACTATACTAATGCAGTAACAAATGCACCTACTCCTAAGCAAATTACCCATGATGTTCCAGCTAGGGTACGTTTATTCAGTTCATGGCATTACCTACGATGCTAATCTATTGCAATGTCAATCCTGAGCATGCTAGGCTACAGTATAGTGGTGTGCTTATCTCATGTCAAGGACTGGTACTAAAGGATAAATATCTTTTAGTAGGGGAAATTACAAAGTGTTGCAAATGTTTGGACTGGACTTTTGACTTGGTCTACAGAGGTCTGGCCCCAAAGTGCATCTTCTTTTCTAACTGTCGGTAATTTCAAGCTAGTACAAGTAGTGAAAGTTAAGTAGCTACTGATTTTGCATGCACTATACTAATGCAGTAATAAAATGCACCTGCTCCTAAGCAAATTACCCATGATGTTCCAGCTAGGGTACGTTTATTTTTAGTTCATGGCATTGCCTACGATGCTAATCTATTGCAATGTCAATCCTGAGCATGCTAGGATACAGTAAAGCGGTGTGCTCATCTTATGTCAAGGACTGGTACTAAAGGATCAATATCTTTTAGTAGGGGAAATTACAAAAAGCAAATGTTTGGACAGAAGGTGAGCATAGTACCGTGCTGTATCATATTTCGATGAGATGCAGTCTTCATCATGCTCTAGTCAAAAGGGTATAGCAGTCAAAGATGCAGTCTTCATCATTCTCTACTCAAAAGGGTATAGCAGTCAAAGATGCAGTCTTCATCATGCTCTAGTCAAAAGGGTATAGCAGTCAAAGATGCAGTCTTCATCATGCTCTACTCAAAGGGTATGGCAGTCATCATCTCGGATGGTAATGTCTATCTCACCTATTTCTGATGAAATCGATGATGTTATCCAACGGATTGATAGGCCATTTATCAACCTGAGTTTGGAATCCAGAATGATAAATATCAAAGAGATTGGGATCACTTTTAAACATATGAAACGCTTCCAATCCTTTGATAGTATAGAGTTTCTCATTGACCCAGCGAAATCTTCCAGCTTGTAGTCTCTGAGCAAACTTATTATTTCCTTGTGTTTGGTATTGACCTGAGCCAACCTTGGTGTCTTTGCTGGTTGCTTGTACATTAGATAGACCTACACCATTTGCATGCAACTTGTCCATCTCCGATCGCTTACTGTTGTCTGACAATTTGACCTGAACTGGTGTGGACTTTAAGGGATCGGTATACAGTGGACAAGCCTTGACCCTCTTTTCAACATTAGCAAGCATCTTCTTGTTCCTCTTATCCCTTATTCTCTTTCTGAAATGATTCCATTGCTTGCCTGTTAATTTCTTGAATAGTTGGAATTCTGCATAGGAATAGCGATTTTCATCACCCCGACGGTGATTTAAGGATAGCATTGGCAATGGAGGGATTTGCAGACGATAGCGTTATTCGCTTCTTCTGCAGATTTCCTGTGCTCAATATCAAGGCAAATTTTGTACACAACCCGATCAGCTGGAAGAGAAATTCTCTTCTACTGTAAGTCGGTATAGTTGCTATAGACATGTCGCGAAATTCAGGTACAGTACAGCGTACAGTACAGTACTGTACGCTCTACACGCCTAGTACTGTAGTGTACTGTACTGTACGTACAGTACAGTATACTGTAGTGTACAGTACTCGATCCAAATTGTACCGCCCCCCCTTTGGACAGGAGTGACAATGGTTATGCACGAAGTATCGTTTGGAATGGCGTCATCTCTGCCTCTTGACCCTTGACTGCAGTCAGTCAGCTACAGCACGTTTGATCTGCCAAGTGACGTGCCAGCGTTGCAAATCCTAATTGCAATGCAGTGCAGCCCAGTAGTATTTTGTGGATGGATTACTCAATGTAATAAGATGAATCAATCTCTGTGCCTTCGTTATGCTTGAAGTATAGTCCGATTTGAGTCAGGCTTACATCCAACTTCCAGAAGAACTGGACAATTTGGTTCTGCTGTACAGTGTACAAGTGTACAGTATACAGTAGTGTATACTGTATACACTCGTGTACTCGTCCGCCGCAAACGATGATCCATTTAGACTGCTATAATCCTATTTCTGGCGTACAGCCTACTGTAGCTAACTGAAGTTGAGTGATTGCGCAATACCTTATTACAGTCACAGTACTTTCCGTTATACGGTACTGTAGTGTACAGTGTACTGTACACTGCACAGTACTGTACTGTATGGTACTGTATGGTACTGTGTACAGTACAGTGACCACAGCGGCTCACCATTGAAGCCATCGCATTGCCATTGATGATTGGCTGAGTGTCTGCATTTCTCAGACAGTCGTGTCAATTCTCAGGGAAACGAACCAACGCCACGACGTCCAACATAGGTGAATGACGCTTCCAAAGCGTCAAGGAAGTTGATTGCAACGCGTCCATTGAAATCAACGCAACTTCCAGAAGAACTTGGACAATTTGTTTATGCTGCACAAACGATGATCCATTTAGACTGCTATAATCCTATTTCTGGCGTACAGCCTACTGTAGTCAGCTGAAGTTGAATGATTGCGCAATACCTTGTTACAGTACAGTACTCTCCGTTATACAGTACTGTACACTGTACAGTGACCTAGACCTTGAGTGACCACAGCGGCTTACCATTGACGCCTTCGCATTGCCATTGATGATTGGCTGAGTGTCTGCATTTCTCAGACAGTCGTGTCAATTCTCAGGGAAACGAACCAACGCCACGACGTCCAACATAGGTGAATGACGCTTCTAAAGCGTCAAGGAAGTTGATTTCAACGCGTCCATTGAAATCAACGCTACTGTCGTCAGTCTTGTGTCGCAAAGAAATGATTCCAATTTTGGGGGCACCCAGGTTGCCGCCACCTTGAATCCAATTTGAAAGCAAAAATTGGACTGTTGAGCATGGAATAATTCCAATCATTCCGTGGTAGGCATTGGTACCAAATTGATACAGTCAGCGCAGATGGCTCGGTATACTTGTCATCAATTTTACATTCTTTTCCAACTATGTCTAGTATTGATTTTGATACAGTGGACAATCCATCATGTCAATTATGCCAGTGATCGTTTATACCAACGCCGTAATGGCGCGTTCAAGCTGCATTCCCTACAGCAGTCAGTCCAAGTTGAAAAGGCGAACCATAGGATCAGAAAATTAAGTAATAATAGTCGTCAATCAGTCAATTTAATCACCATCGAAAGTGCTAGACGTAGTAACCGTGATATCTTTCCTGTCAAGTCTTATTTTATACCAATGGTGATTTTTTCATCATTTCGGCTCCATTATATCACTCAATTATTACAATCATTAAAAGTGGCTGCTATGACTGCTAATTTAGATGGCGCAAGCCCTTGCTTATTTGTATTACATCGGAATAAGGATGTTTCACAACAGCATATCCGTGATATGCAACGACTGTTGAATACCATTCAATTTTGTAAGGTGTACCAGTGGAGAGTGCATGCTCCTAATCAAGGCAAAAGGACAGCTTCGTCCTTTAAAGCTGTCTGGTTTGATGCTGTTAAAAGAGCCTTTGAAAGCCAAAGTAAGTTCGAAATTAAAATACTGTAGTATGAATCCTGCGCTATGACCAAGTCGCGTAGCTCGTATTTCTTCTTCACAACGTAATAACTGGTAGTAGTAGATCAAGTTGTAATTCATATCAATTAGCATTGAATGGATCAAGGCCCATCATATTTTCTTGATAATTAACCAAAATGAGTACTAGTCTGGTTTTGTTACTTATTTTCTGTTCTATTGTCCATGATTATTATAATAATATTAATGATATGGAACACACGTTTGCGGTATACAACCTATCAAATGGACTGTATACAGTATGTTATGGCCAATCCTAGAACATCAACTCGACTATTTCTTTATACTTACTTTTCATTAGAATAAAGTCTGTTCTACAGCATTCTTATGGACAGACTGAATGGAGTTGACAAAATCTACTAATCGCTTACCTTGACTACTATTGGTACTCAAGATACGAAAATCACTCTTCTAATTTACTCACCACCGTAATACAGAATAGTATACTATTATACCGGTGCTGTCTTCTTATTGATAGTGTACATAAAGTGTTTGTAAATGATTTTTTTTTCAAAACTTAATCAATCAATCATCATAATGCAGAATACTAATCTACTATACAGTACTCTTATTAGCAGACTTCATGGAAATGATAGAAATCTATCAATAGCTATCGTAGTACTCTTTGGACTCTAGATATTTCGTAAATGACTATTTCTTCAAACTTAATAATCACCATAAAATACAGAATACCATTCTAGTATACCGTACAGTATTATTATTAGCAGACATGCTAGAGAGGACACAATCTACTAATTACTCACGTACTACTAATTGTACTCAAAATAGATACTGGAATGATCTAGTTTACGTTTATGCATGCATATTCAGTTACTGACAGTAGAATACAGCCGTTTTGATCACCTTTACTTTCTACACTCTGATAGGACTTTCTATGTCAGTAATGTCATCTTCAGCTGATTTGAAGCTGACTTGAATGGTATCCTCAACTATATCAACTCGTATACCTTATGTGCGTTAACTCTATAATAAACTATAAATGATTGCTAGTAGAACAAAGATACTGTGTATGGAAGGTACCCTCTTGCTATTGATCCAACCTAATGATGCCTTTTAACTGGAACGAGTCAATTTTCATTTATCAACATTTTTCCATAATTGAATGTGATTTATCAATCAATTGATCTGCTATATACAATTTATTACTAGTATGGTATTTTAGTGCCTCAAGTTCGAATATACTAATTAAACTATAATAATTCATATCAATCGAGATGCCAATTGCAATAGTACTCAGAATACTAATAGCTTATTCAATTATAATTTGTTCCAACAATTTTGATACTCTTAGTACCCATAATAGACGTTATATTATGCTAGGCCAAATATTACTTGATAATTCAGAATGTTGTCTTTTGTACCAAGATAGCTGGAAAGAATTTTTAAAGTATTCAACATAGATTACGTATTAAGCAACTGCTATGAATTATGAATTTTAAATTTGAGTGGTAGATGCAACTGTATTTGCTTTTATTGGATTGAATATATTACAACCGATATTCATGTTCTTTTGCCTAGTTTTAGTACCGATTCGTTTCCAGTAGTTAAATAATGTCGCTATTTGCTCGGGATTGGAATAGCGGCTATATTCAGACACTGTTAAAATTTGCGATTAATTGAACACTATTTCCTGATAGATAAAATAATAGGTTAATTTTCTACTTTATAGTATCCTTATTATGATGTATTACAATTCTATAGTATCGCCATGATATACAGTAAATATTTTAACAGACAATGAAGAACTGCTATAGCTTTGCTATAATGCGTAAAATTAGTTACAACAACCAATATAGCCTCTTTCACTCGTAACTTTCTGTGATCCTCCAAATTTCGAAGACTATACGTTTATCAGAGATGAATGAATAAAATCGATAAATTTTATAATGAGTTTCATAGTTATGCAACAGTTGAACTGCTAGTATTTAATCATCTATCTAGTTTCTCATATTTAGCAGTACATGAATATTAATCTAAATTCCTAGAGCCGTTACAGCAAATAGAGAACAAGCGTGAAATTACGACGTGATATTCATTGAAATGTAATTTCCGGCATATGCATACTAGTAATAGATATGTGGTAACGTTTTTGCGATGTTGGTCTTACGTGAAGTACAAGTTCGCATACTACTGATGTAACTATAGATCAGGGGATACTGGATCCATTATGTATTCCTGTACATGATAACAACGGATAGAACATTTCATTTTGTGAAGTTAATTTCGCAATCTGTCCTAATCGATCATTTGCAATTACTGTATAATGGTAATGTTGCTTCAAAATTTACTTTAATAATAGTGAATGAAGACAAACAACCGCATATGTATTTAATGTAGTATCCAACCAATCATCCCGTAACCACAATGTATAATCTGTAAACTATGAGTGATATTGATTGATAATAAATTTAGCAGTAATTCATGCACATCTTTTCGACATGTAACACCTAGCTTTTATCTTTGCATAATTTGTAACTTTAACCCATGATTTTTACGATTTTTATGATTTAATGTTGACGTTGCCTGTAACGTTAGCAAAAAGTATACCTTTATGAACAACTTTACTGTAGGTCACAACACTAGCTAGTGCTATTTACAGGACGCACAAGTACAATTATAGTAATGTTATTTTTTTATAACTTTTAGAGTTTGCTACTAGTACATCATCGTATGAAGATGATATCATCTTTTTGGAAGACGACATTATCTTATCGCCGGATGCGTTAAAAGTCTTCAGATATGGTATTTATCAGAAAAATCGGCATAATAGCGTGATTGCTGTTGCATTAGGAGGTTGGTCGGGTGAGAACGTTATTAATGCACATCCTGATACATTTATCGTGCGCCGTTCATTCCATTTTCCTTCTATGGCATATGCGTTTAATATGTCAACTTGGAAAATCATCAAGTCCTCTAAATTCTTAAAGCATCGCAATAGAGATTGGTCAGAAGCTTTAGGCGATATCGTTAATAGACGATTGGGTTGGGTGCCTTATTTTATTGTACCTACACTTGGCCGTATTTGGCATATTGGTTCTCAAGGTTTAGGTTTAAGAGGAGATTCATCTATGAGGCGCCATGTTGAATTACGCGCTCATTGGACTAAGGCGCCACGATTAATTAATTTCCACAGTGCAAAAGTAAATAAAGGTTACAGAGATCTATTTGGTTTTTATTGTGGTCAATTTATTCTAAAGTCATCGTTATGTCCAAGATCATATATTCGATTTCCTCCCGGCAGAAGGTTTGATATTATTTGCATAGATGCAGGGAATGGTCCGGAACCTTGCTTGCGGAAATATCCGTATCTTGAAAGAGATTTTACTAATTGGATTCATTAATTTGAAATGCATCGGCTTAAGCTTTGGTTGCATAATGGATTGCTACAATTCGCCCCATTATAACACGATATTTATTTATCTTTACAATCTTATAAAGATTGTGAAGCGACCTTCATTGAAATCAAGATTTTATTTTGCGATTCATCCATAATCCGGTCCTAAAGTTAAATTTCGATAATAGTACAATAATCCCAAAATATCGAAAATCGAAATAAGATTTACAAGAGCATTTTATGAATGTTTTAATGTTATTATACTTGACACTAAAGCATATATCTTGTAAAAAATTGATTCATCTGTTACTAAGAACAACTTAATGTATTAACACCTGCAGCTAACCGATGGCAACAAAAGACTTCATTGAATATCAGTTGCATGACATGCCTATATATCCTGTCGTAAATTATTTAAATTTTAATTAGTTAAACAAATTAGTTATGCTGTATATGTTGCATCAATGGCATTCAGACTTTAAATATTGATTGAAGAACTGAGCGAGGCTTTCATAAGTTGGACTAGTATTCTGTTGATATATTTAATATGCTTAATTTTGATATATTTTAACTAATTAATTGCTGAAATATCTTTGTTATACCTAAATATATCCGAATTTACAAATCATTTCTGGTAGAAAATATGATCTAAAAATTGTACTAATTAAAATGAGCATAAGTTAACCGTCAATAATATAATCTATGCAGTAATATGACAATGTATTGTACCATAGACTACTAGAAGAAACATAGTAGTCTATGATTGTGCATGCAGTGATATAAAACTTATAATCCAGTATTTCTATAAAATTTTGTTAGTTAATACCGACTTATACCAAAAACTTTTCATTAATAAATATATTCAAGGTATAACAACCTTTACGTGCTTTTCTAATTTAATTTATCAACCAAAAAAATAACAGAGTAAACGTAATGCATAAGTGGATTATTTATGCCATTTTTGACAGTTTTCTTACTAGTAACAGTTATCTGGTTTGAAGAGAGGATGAAGACGCATCGACTCCATTGCCTAACGATGATCTATTAATCCTAGCTTAAAATATTTTAGTTCAAAAACAAACGATTACGTTCGGTAAACAATATACAGTACTTTTGTACTTTATGAAAATCGGTACGTCAATGCGAATGCACACTGTACTACACTACCATACTGGTTAATCTTTTCTCCTTTTCAACTTATTTAATTTATAGATAAACAACCCAATAAATATGCTACTGTACGTACAGGATTTCAAGAAATCTATCGTTAAGTCATTTCAAATATCGTCCAGTAACACTAAATCTTGCGCTGAGAACTGCATAGAAATTGAGATTACTGTTTGGTGTTAAAATTTTAATATCATGTAATGGTAGCTTAAATTGTAATACTAGTACATTTCTTGCACGTCATCGTGGTCTCCAATTTCCTTTTATGTTATTTTGTTTTAATTTGATATCGAAAAATCAATATGTAACAATAAGCAATTGCAATTTAAAGAATTACTTATTTAATATTTTTCGGTTATATATTAGGTTATCTATACATAAATTGGATGTTCATATTGACAATTTCTGGTCTACAATAGTTTGCGGATAATCATTTATCAAGTCTTCAATCTGCTACGTTAATTATTTATGTCATTAAGCAATAGCTTTAAATAATGAAGAGCCAAGCTAATGCCATAATTTTATAATGAACTTCGCCCCGCTGTAACTTAACCACAAAAGGAATAACTAATGAGATTATTTAACTTTAACCCACATATAATAAGGCATAATCAATACAGAGTTGCTAATGCAAGCTTTTGATTGTTTACGATCAAGCTAAAGAAACTTTCGCTAAAATTTTGAAATTAGAGTGAGTATAAATAAATAAGACAAGGTTTACATCATTTTAAAACATTATATGGTTGCCTCTCATCAATTTTATAAATTGATAATCTAGGTATCCGTTTTTTTCTGTCAAAAAGGCTTAACAAATAATTAAAATACAATACACCGAATGCAAAGTGATCTGCACGTATACTTGTTACGGCCAATGTCGGTAATCCCAACGTTACCGGTAATGGTACTAATTAAATGACGGTGGAAATCATCTAATTGAATACAACAGACGCTATTTTAAATAATTATAGTATATTTACATAGTAGGTTTAATAAAATTTTACTATTCATAGCATACATACAATCTAGAGCTGCAACACTGGATTTAATTACATATCACAATCTTCATTAAATTTTAATATTACTGTGTCATCATATCCAATTATTCTCATTAATTAATCGCGTCAATCAATTACGTATGATAATTCATTCATGATTTTGAGAACAATGCTTGCGGTTACCAGTATGTATATATAAATAGCCTAGGTTCAATTTAGAATTCCGAATTGGTCGATAGATCATCTTCCAAACTGGGTAGTTATTTATCTAAGTAATTGACTATAAAGCAATATTCACCACAGCATTTACCTAGAGAAAATGATGTTGAAAAGATCATCTTTGCGGGTATTACTTGTGATTGTCCTTGCCGTTGTAGTTTTGACATGGCAAGATGGCGTAGAAGCAAGAACTGGTCCTAGACCACATCGAAAACTAAGTAACATTTTAAGCAAAACCAGTCATCATTCATGGATGACCTCCAACAGCTTCGGAACCAAAGTCCTCAATCGCTATTTGAACTACTTTGATGATATATTGAAAGCTAAATGCATCACACAAAAAGGAACCAAATTTCGCTTCAGTAAACGATGGTATGATTTTTTTCGACGATTTTGGCGTTTACGCAAGAGAAGACAATTCAAATTCTTCCCTCATACAAAATTCAGTACAAACGAGAAATTTCGCAATCGAACGTTCGATAATTTCTGTTACGGCTCTTTACTCGATTTAAGTAACGCAGAATTCATTTATTCCAAGATCGATGCTGGCAATAAAAGTAAATAAAATAAGTTACTACTATCCACTGCTTTACATTGCTATTGAGAGTTCTTTGATAGAATAAAGCTATTTGCATAAAATGAGTGATAGCTTGATCTTGGGCTAGCTTAATTCTCAATTTGTGAGGTAGTAAAATAAATAATATCACGGATTATTGCGTTGCAATATGTCAAATATAATGCGAATAACTCTTAATTTTTTAAATTCTACCTTATTTTTTTAGAACGCGGCCGAAAGATTAAATACTCCTTATGGGAAGGTGATATTTTAATACCTGATACAACTATGGATGCATTCTTAGAGATCGTAAAGAAAAATTCAAGTAAATCCGGCACTCGAGCAGATTTTGATATACAAACTGGAATAAGTGGCTCTTTGTGGACTGATAATATAGTCCCGTATCAGTTTGCTTCTGGCTATTGTAAGTATCATATTATCATCATTTCAAGTCGATTGGATGTACTAATAATAATTCTGATACTATCACAAATCTTTAACAGCCCAAACTGATCAGCAAAATGTTAAAGCAGCAATGCAACGTGTGGAATCTCAAACTTGCGTCAAATTCGTTCCTAGAACCACAGAAATCAACCATATTGTGATCAACGCACTGACAGGGTAAGCTTAAAGTTATCCATCAATAGATATTACAGAATTAATATAATTATGGATAACATAAGTATATATTCACTCTATTTGACCATCTTTACAGCTGTTCATCACTTATTGGAATGCATTCAGGAGCACAAACTTTATCCCTTGATAATTATTGCGCATCTCAACCGGGCATCATCGAACACGAATTGGCTCATACTTTAGGAATGCACCATACGCATTCCAGAGTCGATCGCGACGATTACGTCGCTGTTAATTTCAGCAATATTAGTCCAAGTTAGTACATGAAATAGTTAACCTTCGTCTTGTATAATATTATTTTAAATGACTGTATCATAATTATATCAATAACCTGTGTTTACGCGTGTGCCGGCATAAAATCTTAATCACATGTTTTACGAGGAAAGACCAGAATTAATATCATAATGAATAACATGCCATATTCTAACGTAGAGTTCAAGAGATTTTATTATCGTGACATCTAAAACTATAAGTAAAGAACTGAATTTACATCATAATAAAGAAGATAATATAATCTAGTATTGAGTACTATAATGAGACATTTTCATCCTATTTTGATATAGTGTCTTTTTTTCATGAAGAAACAAAACGATGATTACTCGCTTAATCATATAATCTCAACTCTCCTATATTTTCTTTGCACTCCTTAGAATTATTACACAATTTCAACATTTATCCTAATGTCCATTCGGATCCACTTAGCATCGAATATGATTACTTTTCGGTCATGCACTATAGCGAGAGCGACCATGCCATAGATGACGATATACCTGTAATTGATCCACATGTTGAACAAGCAAGCATCGGACAACGTGATGGTAGCAGTTACTTAGATTATGTCACGATTAATCAAATGTATGATTGCTACGGTAAGCAATATAATAGCTAAAAAATCGTATAGTTGATCACTTAAAATGACCTTAAATGATAGTATAGAGGACATTTTATTTGTATTTGAGGACTCTAATAAATATTACTATAACTGTGTATCGTATTTGAGTCGATTCTACTCGACGGAGTAATTCTAGCAATTGATGTTCTAAATCCAATTACAGTAGTAATATTGTTGCGATCAATAGATTTTAGTAAGACGATAAAGGTGGCATACTGGTGATGACATGATCTTTCTTAGGATATCAGAAGCATTACAGATTGACCAATTCAACGTCATACAATTTTGATTTTAAATTTATATAAACATGTACTTGATGCTAATCATGATTTTAGACAACTGTAACTAAAGTTATAAGGATATACTTATATTCAAACTACAAAACACCTTTGTCAATTGATTGATTTACTTCCGTAAAGAAAAGAAAATCAAAATACAGTATAGTTAGTTCGGATAGAAGTCTCTATCGACATGTTCAAGATACTAGTAGAACATTTTGGTATGATACTCCGCTTTTGTATACAGTTTCGACTCCTAAATATAGTATATAATTACATGTATACTAGTATCATGGTTCTACCTAAAAGTCGAACTCTTATAGATAGCTGTTTCAAATACTATAATTACTGGTATATCTAAGCCTGTTCATTGGTCTGTCATTATAGACAAAACTCCTCATTACTGGCCTATGGATGAAATCGATGAAACGAATGGTTACATCTTGGGTAGCGATCTTATCTATCCTCCTCCTGCTAGTACTCGAAGTTCTGAATATTTGTTAGGCCTAGATGTTGGTTATAAACTTAGTGCATTACGCGTTCGCGGTGCTGATTCCTTTGCCGACATCGGCTCTTATCCAAATAAATGTGTGGTTGATCCTGAATTTTGCAGCAATGGCTTAACTGTAGCTTTCTGGTATAAGTTCGACACTGCAACATTACCAACGCCAACCTACTTGATATCAACCATGAACGAGAATTTACTTATTGATGCGGATCGCGGCTATGAAATAGTAGTCAATCGTGCCTTTAATGATAAACTCCTCTTTAGAATCTCTATTGTCCAACAAACAACTTGCTATATTGGATCAACTTTACCTTTCGGTGATTACATCAACGATAACTGGGGTCATTTTGCTTTCACTTGGGATGCAACAATAGGTATGAAAGTAATTAAATTAAAAGAACGATTTTACATGACCGATTGGTAATCTATATAATAATTGTTACTATATGGACGAATTTTGTGTCTCTATCAATAGGTGTTCAAATGTACGTCGATGGAGTTAGCCAAGGCTTTTCTGTCCCATGTGGAATTTTAGGTTCTTCATTTAGTGTTGACGAGAAAAATCCATCATTAATCATTGGAAAACCTGCTAGTTTACCTGATAATCAATATAATACTGACTTTTATATGGGTAAGATACAGTAATAGCTGCTTCGTTGATAAAAATATTACTGATTAATCATTTAGCTAATGTAAGGTCATCATGCAAAGATGAGATTTAAATAGTAAAGAATTCGTTTCAATGACTATTTTCTATGCGGAGATTATTTTAATCTGTGTTTTGATGTATTTTAGATGATTTGGTAATATGGGAGAAATCCTTGAGTAGCAATGAAATTAATAGCATAAGAAATGGCGGTCCTTATCACGATATGCCGAGTAATGTCGGCAGCCTTGGCAGAAGAGAGATTGTTATAGGAACTGTGGCCGGTTACACGGAATTGTAATAAAAATACTCATTCTATGCTTTCCTATTATACAATGATTTATACGCCTTTAAGACAGCAGAATTGCCTTAATTGGAGATAGTTAATCTTATAATATAATCTACTTCACCAATTCCTAATTTACGGGCCTATAGACTTAACAGTCTGTATACTGTTCTTGATAACCTATTAGTACAATATATAATTACAAATTACAGTTATGTAATTTATCAAATTTTCCCTGGCCGTAACATTGACGAATAGTTTATAATATGCATTAATACGATAGATACTTGTATTAGCGAATGTCGGTATATCTAGCCAATAGCCAACTATTATAATAATAATTAATGAACTAATGGATTAATTGCATAATTACTAGCAATAAACAGGAGAAATTAAACTCTATTGTGAAGTTCAACGCATGATTTGTAACAACTACGGTAATATAACAAACGTATTTCTTGCAATATGCTACTAGTAGCAGAAAACAAACACGGCGTTTTTTAAATACTACTATTTGTCCATTTGGATTCACGACCAATATCTGCTTAGTTGATTAATTTTGGACAGTTATCATGGGTTGTTCATACCGTAGTAATTTTAAGGTCAACCTACGCCGGAATATAGTATCGTAGCAAAAGTAGATCCAAAAGACACTAGAATAACATAGATGGTCAAACAATACTAGTTAGTATTTAAATTAAGCTGTACGTTCGGCTTTGAAAAAGGTTGCAGATTGCATATTAATACTGTAATTTTTAGTGTTAACTGATCAAAGCAACTGTTATAAGGAGCAAGACACTTTTCTAATAATGGAAAGATTATTTAATTATACGACTTCAATGGTTCGATTGATTATTCTAAGAAAGTTAATCCTGATCCAATTTTAATTCAAACGATGCTCGATTAGCAAAGAATACAAAAGTCACTCTATGATTCAAAATTAGCTTGGAACAATAGTAACATTTCATAAAAATTTCTAACACAGGACAAATATAGCTAATTTATCATTACTAAATATAGAATAGAAATATAGGTATAGAAAGAAGTAAAACAATGTCGGTAATTCGATATACAGTAAATGTAGTTGATAGTTTTCCTTTATTAAAAAATGATCGAAATTCCTGATCGAAATGTTTACTAGTTTTTGTTAGAGCTAATTTCTTTATTGTTGTGAAGAGTTCCTGAATTTAAGATTATTGTAATTGAAATTAAACTAGCCTAGTCATTAGCAGACAGTTGCTATCGTTTAGAAATTAATTAAACTGCTTCTGGAGATTCAGCTATGATTTACTTTAAAGGAGGTCGGCTTCTTTGCAAAGCAGTAATGACTAGATCATATAGGTATTAAGTGTTGAACTCTGTTCATGATTTGGTTACCACATTAAAAATTGTCGATATCTCATCAGTTTAGTTACTGTCATGCCTGCAATTGCAGAATTGTAAGATGATGGTTAATTCGGATAAAATATACGCGTATCTTTGCCATTTAGTCTCTACTAGACCTTGATTAAAATGAAGCATTCTGCCATGGTCAATTGAAGAGCTTACGTATAAACTAATTAAATGAAGGCCAATTAACATAATTTTAGGTTAAGCGATTAGAATATACCAGAATCGGAATTAGGAAAACGTTATTGCTTAATTAATAAGCTTGAAGTATTTTATAATATATTTGATCCCATGTATACTATTGGAAATAGTAGCTTTCAGGAGTTAATGTTATCTTTACTACAGCACTTAGTAGAATGTCGATGTGTTGCTTCAAGATTGATTACAAAAAATATCTACCCTTATGTTTGCTGTAATTCGATATTAAATTTCACTACAACACCATTATACTGAATATATTCTTTTTAAGCGAAAGCTTACTTATTAAACTGTATCCTTACTTCACTGAACTTTAGAATATATCACAATGCTATTAATTAATCGAATATCTATAATGGTCGATATCTATGTAACTTTGTTACAATATTTGCGTTTAATCTGTTGACGTATATGACCTATTTCATATTTTAACGTTAAAAGATACCTACGGTAGGGAGCTGATTGATAAACCGTTCTCATATCATTAACTGGTTGAGAATGATTGCTTTCTAAAAGTAAAGAAACGAAACTAGTAACTGATAAAAATGTAACGACTAAGAATAAAAATATAAAAATTAAGTTACAATAATCTATTATATAGGTCCGCAGTCGCAGACCTGGCTGAGGTAAAATTGGTTACTTATTTAACTAAACCGATAGGAAATTATTTTCGATCCAATTTCCATCTTGAAGGCTATTTAAGTCATTTAATAATAGAGTAATGATTATTTTATAGGTCTTATAGGAAAATTTATTTATCGAATAATAAACCTTTCCCAAGATAAATTTGTAATTGATCGCAATTTATAAATATATAAATTTTCATTAAGTCTAGCGGATCTAATTGTGCTATAAAAGTTAACATTCATTTATCTATGTATTAATAAACTCTAAGATGCGATTAGATACATATATCACATATATCAATTGATGACAAATATAAAGTGATACTATTACTATGACATAATAACTAGTAACAATTTTGAATCGAATAAATAATTTACTTTCTCGGGTTGAATTTCTATTTGTGTAGGATATTTTAGGATAAATACCTGACTGGCCTGATCGATATATTTTTAGAACAGGATTACATTCCTTTTGTTCTACTGGATTGAACACCGTAATGTCAAGAATTATTATTTATTTGCAGTCTATTAAATCCTATCGCATTTTACATTAAGATACGAAGAACAAAAGCTCTTCTACCTGCTTTGTGATCGATTTATTTAATTGAGCTGCTAAAACTATTCCATTATAATATCAATTGTGAAAGTAACTGTAATAGTAAGCTTGACTTGAAGCTATTAATTGACCAATCAAGAAATAACATAATTTATATGCATATTGCACTAAAGCCTGGAAATAAGTTTAATGTGAAGATAATCTATAATTGTGGTATTTTAAAAACCATAAGGACACTACAATTGAAAAAAATAATATTCAGATCTGAAATTTTATTGTTTCATCAATTCAAGGCGGTTTAATTAATCAGTATATTATTTAAAGAGAAAAAATTACTGTCAATGTTTGGGCGAAATTAAAGAATGATATCATGATATGTATCACTTGCAGTGCATGAAATTATTTCTATTAGTATCGAATGAAGGGTAAAAAATTTATTAACAATAATTAATTATACTGTACGCTTGTATTCATAGCTGTTATTGCTCTTTGAAATTTATTTTCGAAGTAATTGCGTAGGAGGATATGCTACCAAATTAGCGGAAAATCTACAATCTGATTCAGATAGTAATTATAAATGCGTCGTTGAGATGAATTTTGATCAGGTATAGTGTTTGATTACATTATTAGACAATATTTTCGGTCAACTAGCCGTTACCGTTATCATCGAATAAGTAATAAAATAAAACTATGTGAGTAAACATATTAATAATTAAATTCTTTAATTATAGTTGAAATCTAGATTAGTAATAAGAAAATTAATACATTAAGTTATGCAATTTTATGGCTAACTTGCAAATATGATCATAAGAACATGCGAGTAAACAATGATGTTTACGGATGTTTGAATCAAGTGGATCAAAACAATCAGTAGGAATACCACAAAACCATAAAAGCGTACCTTCCTTATTATAATTCATTTCACAAACAAATAATTCCTTTATCTTTCCTAGCTGCTGTATAAATTATATTTGTTTTCAAGATCTAAGTCGGCCATAATTAATTATGCTGCGAAATTTTATTGCGAGAAATTACCGGTATTGACTTTCCTTTACATTATTAATGTACAACTTGGCATTGAGCTAATTTTCATGTCATCTGGAATTGGGGTCTACAGTATATATAAAGCGATCCTTATCCAATTTTTTTATAATTTGAAGGACCTTTTTTGCTGTGGATATACTTGACCTTAAGTATATTTATTTACCGTCATCCTATAGTAAAAATTTATATTTTCAATCAGTTACTAGTCATCGCGATTACTGTAATTATTGACAATATCTAAGATACTTTTCTAAGTTGATTTCAATATTTAGACTACTCTATTTCCTATTACCCCATTCAAAATTATCGGCGGCAATTTCTAACTCTGACTAACCATGGTAACAAAATCTAGATTTCTATACTTTTGGAGCTGCCTGACTATTTGCACGCTACATACAGAAGTTTATGCAACTACAGCATCCACCTCCTCAACTACAACCAAAAGTACATCAACCCTTCGGGGCACCGCTACACCGTTATTTTTAAATCCAGATGATTTATCCGCCATTACAGGCCATAAGCCTTTATCGGAAATGGACTCCATTTACTCATCTATGGGTAAAGATATGGCCTACAAAGATTACTTAATGCAATTAAATTCTCAGAGACAAATCAGCATTTACAAACATATTGAATATAGTACCAACCAAACTTATCGAGACCAGTTTCGCAATACGTATTCCGCAGATGCAAATATTGACGTTGTTACTGAAAACCGCCCATTTACATCAATTATCAGCGATATCAATTCACGTAAGATTTATAACAATATTACAGTATAACTTGAGTTCTTACTCCTTAATTATATATATGAATATTGAAATATTTCATTTATAATATGTAATAGAACTTGGTCTAAAAGATCATTTACTGGAATCGGATATATTAGTCCCTAATTCAATCTTTAATAATCGAAGTTACGATCAAGGAACAATACGCAAACGTTATCTTCCTTCAGGTGGAATTGCTGGTCAAATTTGGGGCTTAATGGTACCCTACAAATTTATTCCCGGTTACTGTAAGTTGATTACATTTATCATTTAATCGTATATGCGATACTAAAATTTGTAGGCTCTCTAGAAAGGATATAATTTATATCATTTAATATCTCTGTCATTACTTTTTTTGTTAGCATCTGGTGATAAACAGAAAGTATTAGATGCAATGGACAAGATTAAAACGGCAACATGTATCGATTTTCACGTTAAATCGGGTGGAGATAGTGATTATTTGGACATTACAAATGTTGTAGGGTAAGCTTTCATCATAGTTTTCTAAGAAATTTGAAGATATTAATCGGCAAATGTGCATGGAGAATACATGTTTCTTAACTCTGGGAATGCAATTTCCTGTTTTACTATTATTTTATTTGGGAGCTATAAGAGAAAATAATTTGAATATTGGAGATAGATATAATTCTATTAAGAAAATAATATAGATCAATTTTGTGTACTCTTTATGTAAGGCGTTAATAATGTTATAAGTTATAATAAGTTCTTATCCTAATCATAATTGCTGAAGAGGTTTTTTAGCATGTAATACGCTTTCGTAAAAATAATTGTAAGTTGAAAATAGAATCGAAAAGAATGGACAGCCTGCCTAGTGTTTGTTTTGATAAAATTCCACATCAATAATTAATTTTATTAAAGATAAAGTTATTTATAGTCGATAAAGATCATTCGTATTTTAATGATTTCTGTAGTTGTCTTCTTACAGTCTGCTAAAGGTAATTAATATCCAAAATGCCTCATAAAGCCCTAATGTTACTGTAAATAGGATTTAGGATTCCAAGGAATATCCTATAATGCTATGGCTATAACAAAACATACTTAATTTTAGTTACAGCAATGAATGAAACGTATAGTGAGAAAAGTTTTATTCCGACAAAAGATGGTTTATAAATAATGTCTTATATTAATTATCGTCACATTGAGTCATTACGACGTTTTAAAGAATATCAATCTGCCTGACAATCGTAATCGTAATGACAGTAAATTAAATATTTGTGAAATTAAGCGAAATTTTTATATTTTAACTGGATATCTAATCTATCTGCTCGGTGATATTCAGCATTAACTTTGTCATAGATAATTTTGTTCGTTGATTTGGAATTTTTATGCGATATGTATAGAGACACTGCAGCTCATCAGTAAATTCTATCCCAGTAATCCATTTCTTAAGAGCTATACACGCGATAATTAGTGAAATTATGAATACGTATTATAAAAATACAATATCTTGAGTTCTTTTCAAGTACATCTCTCATACCATTTGTACACATTTATAAAACCATTGAGACTCGGATGATGTATTTTTATCCAATTGCACGATTTAAATCAAAGGTTAATGCTCATTTCTAGGTGTTCATCAGCCGTTGGTAAACATGGCGGGGCTCAAGTTCTGTCCTTAGCTAGCACTTGCGTTAGTGAAGAAGGAATTATTCTTCATGAATTACTACATGCATTAGGCATCCATCATACACAATCTCGCCTAGATCGTGATAATTATATTAGTATCAATACTAATAACGTTGCTCAAGGTGAGTTCATAATAAGTAATTAAGTATCGGATTCAATTTATCCAATATTAAATTACTTAAAGATAAAATCGATTTTGGATAGCTAAAAATAAGTCATTATCGAAAGTTACATACAGCATAAATTCATTCTCTAAAGTATTTACCTATTCAAAATCTACAGTATATATGACTGAAATAAATATTATTTTACACGTATCATTATGCTATATCATCCTTTGAATGATATCGAAATATAATCAATACATAAGATACAAATACCAACAGCGATGGTTATTAATCATTCTTCAATGTTTCTCAATTTTCATTAGGAGATCTTCCCAACTTTGATATCTATCCTAATCAGCATACCGATCCATATTCGGTCGAATACGATTATCAGTCAGTTATGCACTATGGGGAAGACGATTTTAGCACCGGTGGTACAGTTATTACACCATTAGCTACTGGAGCAAGTATTGGACAACGCAATGGTTTAAGTTATCTGGATAAAGTAACGCTAAATCTATTATACGGGTGTTATGGTTAGTTATGTTAATTTTAGGATATTAATAGCGCTTAAGTCTATAGTAATAAAATAACATCGGTGATGACGAGACCTTTGAGATATTCAACTTTGCATTTTTTTCTTTTATTTTATTTAACACTATTTAGATAAAACACCGCATTATTGGCCTATGGATGAAATTGATACGACTAACGATTTAGTAGTTGGAACTACTGATGTGACTGGACCTACATTCAGTAGTGACCCACAATTTTTAACAGGACTTGATGGTGGTTATCATCTGAATGCTTTACGTATCAGAAGTGAAGATGGTTATGCTAATCTAGGTAAAAAGTAGATCAAAACTTTATGACATTCAAGTATCTATTAATGTATTACTTTCCCAATTTAAATGATCTTAATAACAGAATACTAATTTTGCTTTTATTTAGGCTCACACCCAAATAAATGTCTTGTTGATCCAGAAAGGTGTAATAATGGCTTTACTCTTCTATTTTGGCTTAAAATAGAAGATCGCCATCTGTACAAACAGCACATAATCTCAAGTCTTGATCGATCTAGTGAAGATCGCGGCTTTGAAATACAATTCGATTCACTACCGCTTATTGGTCGCTTTTTAGAGATTCATGTCCAACAAGAAGATCAACATGACATCTTACCAATATTCAATGACTACAAGTACTGGAATCATATAGCCGTGACATGGAGTACCACTAACGGTAAGTTAATTGATGTAAGGATCTAAGCTATTGACGAATTTTGCAATAATTGATAAGAGGAACAGCTTTGGTCAAATTCTTAATTAATTATTTCAGTTGCGTTCATAGTTATATCACGACGTATATTATCGATATGATTTAAATCGTGTAGTGGGCTTTAAATTATATCTAGATATGGAATAGGTCATTCTTTCAATATCTCTTTTATTCTCTAGAAATAAATGCACTAATATTCAACAAATTTTCTTGAATGTTATCTTCATTGTAGGTATAAAATCATACGTAAATGGCACGGTCAATAATATCCCTGCTATACAGATCCCAAATGGAATGAGTATAGACGATAACAAACCTAGCTTGATTATTGGTAAATCGCCTGATCTTAATGGGAGTGATGATGCGGACTTTTTAATAGGTAAAATATACTCGAATATCACTGTACACGGTATATTGCTTTCAAGGCTACATTAAATCGAGCTGCAATAAGTAATAGTACCTATTTTAAGGTATAGGATTAATTTTATTCTTTATCCAACACGATTCAAATTCTATATGGCCAGTCTACAATGCAATAGAATTAAAATAATAAAAAAGTACATTAAATGATTTAAAGGGTTCAATCGACGATTTTTATACCATATGCACGTTTATTAAACTATTTTTCATACTACATAAATATTGTATTTGCTACAAAAGAATTTCTTCGTACCATTTATGATCTAATTTTCTCTCTATATTTTATAATACTACTATTCCAGACGACGTAGTATTCTGGGAGAAAGAAATTTCGGTAGCAGAAATCTGTAACATCAGAGATAATGGACCATATCATGATATTCCTTCTGGTGAAGGCAGCCACGGGAGACGAGCTACCACAATTGGAACATTAACATCTTATGTTGGTCTATAATTTTCTTTACTAATGAAGATGAAATGACATTAAATGTCATAGGCTTAAAATGAACACAATAATAAATTTCATTGCCAAATATATCCGTTAGTAGACTAGAAATTTAAATCAGTAGAAAATTGAAAAATTTTCTACGAGATGATAAGCTAAGACATCCTTTATTGTATTATATGGTATTAAAGATAGTTCAATACCCCTATAAATGTATTAATTGTACTCTTTTATTAGGAAATTATATGTATATGATAATTTTAACAAATCCTGCATTAAAAGCAGCATAGCAATAACTTAAGCAGACGCTGTGAAAAATATATAGATATTCCAGTATAAATTAATCATGACATATATCATAATAAGGAATGCAGTTTCAAATTTGCTCCAATTGACTTTCGTACTATTAATTAGCGGAGGAATTGGAATGTATTTCATTAAAAAAAGATAGCCTCATAACATTCCTTTTCGTAATTACTACCAATTCTGTACTAGAAATTTAAGAAGAAGAATTATTCAATCGGACGCAAATTGCAATAAAAATATTGACATCACTAGCTACATCTGCATGTGTCATTTTATTCTTGAGAATGATGGATTGATCATAATTTAATGATTCAAATAATATTAATTATTTAAGTAGTAGAAAAATGACTAGGCCTATTATAGTTTTATTCACGTAACGGTAGGATGTCTACCGATAAAAAGTAGTAAAAGACTAGTTTATTTTAATAAAGAAGTTAGTGGCACACATGCTTAGAACTACTATTATCATATACTTATGAAATTTTATACACTGTCACAATAATAAAGCAAATTCAATAATACACTCCTGTCATTAAAAATGCAAATGGAAGGAAATGCTTTGAGCCTTGCATTTATTGCAAATCTCATTACAAATACTACCTGATCGTTCTAATATCTGGCCTATGTATTACTATTGTCAATTGAATGTGAATATTCAATACTCGCAGACTGGGTCAAATTTCTTGTAATACTACATTAAATTTAAAAACATGCTCGATAGATAGTTTGCATGTATGCTGATATCAAGATCAATTGGAGTTATAGTTCTGGCCATGTAGTAAGTAGTATAGTTTCGATATTCTGCAGTACCAATGTAAGAGTTATTGATATCAACGGAGTTAAAGGCAGGAAGTAAGAGAGTCAATATAGTATACTGGGCATGCTTTTAAATTCAACTCCAGAATGTATCCGATATTCATTATAATTATCCGCGAACATCCTATAAAGTAACAAGAATTATCTTGAACTGACAACAGATATTCAATACGATTGGTTATATCAAACTTAGTTGCCATTTATGGAATCAAATATGATATTACACTGCAATTTTTTAGACTATGCCATTAAATTATATGTAATGTTGAAGCTATAATTTGCTATTACAAGCTCTTGAAATTCTACCAGACTTTATCACTTATGCGTGTACAAGTATATTTCCATAAACAGAGACCAGAGACTGAGTCGACAATGATCTTGATTTACGATTATTGCTATCTAAGTCTTAATTATAAATATAATATTACCCTACATTTTACCGGGGCTCGAGCAACTAGTCGTATTAAACTACGCAAGTATTATAGCCTATGGTAGTGCATATTAGTAATTCTACATTTAATTAAAAATTTAATTCAAGTACTAAACTCACGGCACTAGAAAACTATACCCGGGTATTAATTAATGATTAGGGCTAGTCTTTATTGTAAAGACAGTGCACAGATAGAGATTGATAGTAAAGTAATAATTTTTCTAATTCTATTACAATCCTCAGGACTTTCGTTATAGAATGATACAGAATCAGAGCAGAGAAGCGGTTGCTAGTGCTGATTTAAGTTATAGAGTATCCTACACGCGTTAGCACCAAGTTGCCACAGACTTGGATACAATCCTTAATTTCTAGTATAGAGTAACACAGAGTTAGAGGTAGAGCAGCAGCATTATTTCCAAATGGGAACTTGAAAGTATCCAGAAAATAGCGTCTTTGCAACCGGGTGTTTCTCTTCTATCGATCATTCTTTCAGTAACAACATTTTTAAAATCTGATACAACTTATCTTGCTTTTAGGTATATATTTCTGGTAGAGAGGCTCATTAAATTGCCCTACTTTACTATTAAGGCCGCCATTTTATGATTAGTTTAAGTATGATGGATATTATTGCATACTAATACGAGTTTATCCTATTTCTTATGTAATGTTTCTATCTAGGTAACGTTTCTTACAACATAATCATGGCGTTAAAAAGTGACGAAAATGAAAATTGTGACATTGGCCATCCATATCTCCATACCAATTTCTTCTTTAAATATTGCTCATTCTGGTATGTCCTCCTCACAGTAGCGTACATGCTATAGTTATTATCAATATATATTTGAATATCAGTGCATATATCATATCTAGGCCTCCAAATCTAAAGAAAATTTAATTCGTGGTAGCTTTGTCGTTCGATAACTGATATAAAGACTTGAAGTTACTGCAAATTTTGCAATTATTACCGTACTGTTTCGTTACTCGATGATAATTTTATAACCTTAGGACACTTTGGCTTGCTTTAAAAATTAAAATTATTCTAGAGCAATCGTACTATAGCTATGGATATTTCAAGTTATCGCCAATCTTTCAACTGTAGTTGTATACTGAATTGTTGTTTTAGTGTATGAATTTTATTTAATATAAATCAATCGTTTAATTTATATTTCATTAATAATTTAAATTGTGGTAAAATTTGTATTGTTTAACGCGATGGTGTGGCTATCACGTAGATATTCTAAGTGGATTATACTTGACATTTGTAGCATTTGCTGGTGTATTCAGTTTAAAAGGTGAAGTTTATAAAAAAACTTTTATAATTACTATTAAATGTTGATGTCAAGCAAGTATAGAAAGAAAGGAATGTGTAGTAAATGAATGATAACAAGTGTTAATCCATTTTTATAATGTGAACTATTGTAGCAATCTCGTCTAAGCCCTAACCTGTAAGCATGAATAGAAATTTTAGTTAGATGAGCTATACTTTAGAGGTCTTGACATTTTAAATTAACGGAATAGTTATAGCGAAAACTTATAAAATGTGAAGTGATTAAATATATAAATCGATGTTATTCGCGTATTTTAGATATTAGTGCTGGTGGAATCGGCCTTTCCTTCACTTACACTGTCCTTTTGCTGGGAAATCCGTAGTGGTTTGTAAGGCAAACTGCAGAACTCGAGAATCAGATCATTGTATAATATTTTAAAATATTTATATCTGCGTTTAACCAATAGCTATTTTACTCATTATATTTTTCCTTTTTTTTGTGGCTTTAAAAGAATATTCAAAGCATTAGATGAGAGTTATACCTCATCTAAAGCAAGGAATTGTATTGTATCTATTAGAACATAAAATGAAATATTCACTTATTACATTTTTAGATGACATCTGTGGAAAGAATTAAAGAATATACGGAGATAAAGCCTGAAAGTGCCAACACTGAAGTTACCACACCGAAGGATTGGCCAAGTAATGGTAGAATTAACTTCGAACATATGTCATTCCGTCACCATAAGAAGTTGCCTTACGTTTTCCATGATATAAGCTGTTCTATTAAACCTAGAGAGAAGGTAGATTCTAAGTTAATATTAACAATTACCTCTAGACATTAAAATTTAATATACAGTGTAATGTACCTGACTGTTTAATTGAATTACTAATGATTTCTGATCCATTGGTATTGTTATCATGATTGCATACATACTAATGTAGATTCTCACTGGAATTATTAAAATAGATGGAGTTCGATATCCAATGTTGGTCTTAGCTTTCTTCGTGGTAAGATTTCTGTGATACCCCAAGTAATAAAGTGCTGTCCTTGATTAACATTTAAGCTTTGTACGAATTTTTATGAAATTGAAAATGCACTTTGATTTATAGCTCGATCTACTATGTACTTTATAGTAATATGAAACCTGAAATATAAAAGTTTTTTCGGTAGATTTTTTTATGCCTTAGAAACTATAATTTTAAGTTTAACTTATGATTTTATTGGTACAGGATCCATCATTGTTTGTCGGAACATTACGTAGCAATCTTGATCCATTTAATGCCTATGACGATTCTCAACTATGGAGAGCCTTAGATGAAGTATTTTAAAAATATAAATTTAAATGCATACCATAACAGCCTATAGCTTAGGAGTCTTGATAGTATGACATACCGTTCTGTACTAAGGGCGATACTCAAGAAGAATAAAATTTTAATAATTGATGAGGCAACTGCTAATGTCGATTTCAGGTATTCTGTATGTTAACATTCATGAATCTTCGCATTATATTAAGTACTGTACACAGTGATTATTAACCTACGTTGAGTGATGTCTAAATACGTAGATTTGTCAATTCTATTTACTTGATTGCTTACCTTTATATCTAATGCTACTATTTTTTTTTATAATCAATCATGGCTTTGATGCTTATAGCACCGATCAAATCATTCAAAAGTCGATTAGAAACAAGTTTCGTCATTGCACTGTCATAAGGATTGCTCATCGACTAAATACAATAATAGACTGTGATCGAATTATGGTAAGTTGCAAAGTGACTTCATCTTATTACGGAATTAATTTTAGAAATATCGCATAGTCTCAAAATACCTGTATAAATGCGTACTATAAAGAATCGTATTTAGTTCTAAATGCCTTTCATTACAAGGTTAAAAACCATGTAATATGATATTTGCCTTATAGCTACCTCTGCCCATGTAATTTTATTTTACTTTCTATTCAAATTTTTAGCTGTTTAAAGATGGCCGATTGGTTGAATTCGACTCGGCATTCAATTTACTACAGAATCAGAATTCTCAGTTTTTTTAAAATGGTGAATAAGACTGAATCAAAAGCACGAGAAAGACTTTATGATATGGCAAGAAAAGTTCATCTACAGGGTAATAAATCAACTCGTTTATTGGAGTCAATTCCAGTTACTGACACTGACGACATAAATGCCAAGATTTTGCCGCCTCCAATTGCAAAAAAAACTAGTTACAACTGTTTAGTTGTGTGGCAGGAAACCTTTATTATACATTTCGATTTGATTATCTCGCTAATTAAAACCATCCATTTATCAAAATCTTTGCATTAATAATTTGAGATATTGTCATAAAATTCAATGAATTTCTAAATTTCAATGTTTATTGTTGATCTGAAAAGCAATATAAGATGCGCGTTGTTATTTTTTCAAGTCGGTATCTTGTTGATTTATTTTGTTTTTAAGTATCCATTTTTTGTATATAGCCAAACAAACATCTATATTATTTTAATTAGAGTGAAACATAGGGTTTGCGGTACTTACAGCTAAAAATTCAATTTGCATGATATGTTATGGAATAGAAAATTTGGGGAATACTGTGTAATTGAAAAAAAACTTCTTTTTTTTTCAAAATATCATGATGTAGCATTATCAATTTCTTATAACCATGCTTAAATCTATATAATACAGCATGTATTGCTTTATATAACAAATAGAAGAGCATCGGTATAGCACTATGCGAAATATTTCCATCGTAGATCTTCATTTGATTCCTCATTGCCAATAATTTTTTGAATACAGTATCTTACAATAGAATATTAAACATATCATCATATATCGTTTTGGTTCCTGGTAACTAATCTTGATGCTGAATAATGAGTTATTGGATAAATCATAATTCATTAGGTATAGTATAGTATGTCAGAATTTTAAATGATCGTCGTGTATCGTTATTGGTATCAGATACCCACAGTATGCTCGTAGCAATCCATTATTGCAAGATATAAGAATTTGAGACTCAGTGTTTATATATAATTTGCTATCTATTCCAATCGTGTTTTATATGACTATCCGGATAATATTTCATGCTGCAGTGTCTCAAAAGGTTAATCTACTGAGAGTATGGATATCTAAGTTGTTACTTTGTAAAGTTTTTAAGGACGCGATTTAGCTACTAGAAGAATTTTGAGAATCAGTTTATTGTTAGCAATGCCTCGTATTTCTACCTATTTTACATAACAATTCTTATAAGGTCATAAATTAGAAGAAACCTCATTAATATTCAATTTATTGTAGTTATTTATAGCATTCGACATAATTAATATACTATTACCGTTTATAATTAATCCATGGTAATACTAAAACATGCATACTATGGTATAATACTAAATAAATCAATATTACATACTAAGATCATGTAACCCATTCACCATGTAAAATCTTTGCTTAAAGTATTGAAATCTCCTTACTGAGCTACCACTAGTATGCTTATAAACGAGACTGTAGATTAAACAAACAACTACATACATTAAGAGATGTCTACCTGCTGCACTTTAGGAAACGGTAGGTTACATGAATGCTGACATCAGCACAATATCGTCTTAATTTCTACTCTATTTTCTAGAGATTCAAAGTCCAATTTCTTCTCTACCACCTTCAATGTACTATAGATCATTTATCTTATTCCTTTCTCTTATTATAGCCCTTTGCCTTAATTTATCTTTAAGTTGAACAAAATTCGGTTCAAATCAAATGACGTAACTGGATTTGCAAAATATCAGAGATTTTATCACAAGGTAAGTCGGTTTCATTCTTGAATTCGGCTTGCATTAATGTTTACTCCAAGCTAAGATTCGCTTGTTGTTAAGTAATTTGTAGCGATTTCAGCTAATTGCGGTATAGAATGATGTGGCGTAAGATAGTATGAGATGCGTAATAAAGTAATTCTAGATAATGGCCGAGAGGACTAAAAACTCATTCGCTACACAAATAAGTAACTAAATGACTTAAGGTGATAGCTGCTGTAGTGATTACAGCTAATTACCTACAGCTGTTATGTGTTAGGAAATACAGTAATAGTGTGTAGTGTAGAACTGCATATCTTAATAAAGTAAGTGTCGAAGAATCCATGCACTACACCTCTCAATACTGGTCAAGAGTAGAACTTATATAATTAGATTATCTATTTCGATAATTTTATAAAGCTTAATAGGGAGGGTGTTAAATTTTAAAATAGCATTAGAATCTGTATTTGCAACTTCAGGACACTTGTGAATCAAGTTCGTGGAATGGACTTGATCCATTTTTAGATTATAATTCAACAATGCTTATTAAAGCAAAGTCAACAGATAGGTGGTCCAACGTTAAAATTTTCTACCATGGAGACAAATTGTATGTTACAGCTAGTCTTTTGATATCGTTTTAACGAAACGTTTTGAAATTAACTTTACAGAGATCAACAGATATGACTACAGAAAAAGTCTCCAAGCGAAAGGAGACCGACGACGACCATCCATACACTCGCGCAAATCCGTTCTTTAAGTTTTGCGCCTTTTGGTAAGTTGTTTTATTTTTAATTTAGTAGATACAGTTAACGATGACTTGATATTAATTCGTCTAGATTCCCAGGTAAAAATATCCTATATTTCATGACTACAATAATATATGAAGTAATTATTTCATCACTACATTATCAAAAGCTTAAATTTAATTGTTATATATTGTATTTCTTTATTTAGGTGGTTGTATCCGTTATTTAAAATCGTAAGAAAACGACAATTACAAGAATCGGACTTATTTACTACTTTACATGATGATCAATGTCGTGTGTTACTGAAGCTCTTTAATAAGTGAGTCCAGAAATAAAGCTGTGTAATTCCTTACTGTAGAAACAAAGAATTGAAATTGAAGTTTACCATGCCGCCAATCATTAATGTAGTAACCTTTATTTACATAAATCTACTGATCATTCTTTTAAACAAATTCTCCAGTAGGTTATTCATGTACTTCATCTAACAATTTACAGTTTATCATCTTCTAACTAACTGAATAGAAATGGCTGTTGAATTAGTATAACAAATAGGAATGAAACTACCGTATTTTGCAACACATTAGCTGATATATTTGTATTTCGTTTTGCTTAACAAGGAGTTGGAAAAATACAAAAGTCAAGTCTGCACAAAGAACTAGCTTATTTAAAGTTTTCTGTAAATGTTTTGGTCCTAGGTATTTATTTATGGGTATCATCCTTTTTACTGATGTAAGCATTACTAATATTGTTTTAACCTTATTAACTAAATCTACATTGAATTCATCTGTTACTTTACTCTTGATCAAATTGTAACCTTTAAGGTTTATGTGTTGCTCACATTTTATGCTGCATATTATAAAAATGTTGTCGGTAATCAATAGTCTAATAAGCAAGTATTGAAGGCAGAGTGCTATCAATTAATGTTATTTCATTATATTAATTTGTTAGTGCAATGATGATTACTATAATGAATCTTTACCATTTAAAGCAATGTTTTGATTTTGATTCAAGTTGTAATGTCATTCTTACAATATATGCTAATTCTTGATATGCAGATGGCATTAATAGTTATTCAACCGCTCTTTATTGGCTGGTTAATCGCTTATTTTATCCCTGACTCGAATGTGACTCGGACGCAGGCATACTTATATGCTCTAGGATTATCATTAACTACGCTAATATCGATAAACTGTGAACCATGGTACTTTTTCATGGCCGGCAGATATGGCATTAGGTCTGGTGTACTGCTATCATCTGCTGTATTTCAAAAGGTATTGAAGCTGTAAACGGTTACCTTTGCGTAGTAAAGCGAACTTTCTATATTGAATTATCGCAGAAAAGACTATATCAGAATTTATTAGTAATCTAAAATTGTAAGAAATTAACACAGCAATGATAAATGTTAAATTTCAAGCATAATCTTGCTGATTAAGCGGATAATATTTGATGTGCATGAATGAGTTCTTGCTAATATATTTTTTTGCTGCACACTCAGGCCTTGAAGCTTAGTGCTAGAGCTATGGCAAAGACAAGTGTCGGTCACATCGTTAATTTGTTGGCAAATGATGCTTTGCAGTTAAAAAGTCGCTTCTATTTTTTACACTTGCTTTGGATTTCGCCTTTATTAATAATCACGCTATCCGTGCTATTATGGCAGCAAGTTGGTGTTGCTTGCTTTGCAGGACTAGGCGCTCAGATATTTATTTTAGTACAACAAAGTATTAGTGCAAGCTTCTTAGTAAAATTTAGGTAACATGATAAGTTTCATCATTACTTTATTTGTAGTTATGAGTTAGTACAACGAATAGATTATCGTTGATATAATTGATGGCATATATTAATGAACTGACGGGTTATTTACTAGACAAAAATATTTGAAATTTGCTGACGAACGTGTTCGCATAATGAACGAAATTATTGCCGGTATGAGAACTATCAAGATGTATGCATGGGAAAAATCGTTTGCTAATATAATCAAAATATTACGAAGGTAATGCGCTAACATCTAATAAACAAGAAATTACGGTAGTTGCTACGTAAACCAAATTGAGGTATACACAAGTATACTTGATAAATCATAAATAAGCTATCGTTATTATTGCCTACAATCTTGTACGGTAGCTGATTTATGTTGTCATAGAATGTAAACTTGGACTTATAACTTTACCAGGAATGAAACTAAAAATGTGTCATCTGGACAAGCATTGTTGGGGCTAAATCAAGCAAGCTATTTACTCATAAATACGATTACATCATTCACAACGATCACCATTTATGTTCTTCTTGGTAATTCGATCGATTCTGCAAAAGTTTTTACTGTATATTCAATATTAAATGCGCTGCAAATACCAATGTCTATTGGCATTCCACAAGCCATTCAGGCTATTACAGATGCTAAAGTCACATTTAAAAGAATAGAGGTAGATGGAACTTGTTATTTTAAAATAATGTTCTAAATTCTGCTGATACTTTTATAAAAAGTAGATATTGATTGGGTAATAGTATTGCGTACACGTATAGCTAGTTTCCTTTTTTATTAATATTTCTTGTCTGACTTGTTTTGCTATATATTACTAGGAACATTTATTGCTCGACGAGTTAGATGAAAACATAGGCTACAATCGAATACTAACTTCTGAAAATGGAGGCGAAGTAATCGCCGAAAAGGTATCGGCTGCATGGAGTAACGGTTTTAATTTACAAGAGATTTCTTTTACCATCAATTGTAGTAAATTATACGCATTGATTGGACCAGTTGGATGCGGGAAAACTTCAATATTGATGGCTTTATTAGGCGAGTTGCCATTATCTACTGGAACAATAAGGTATTATTTATATTCACTATCAATGATATTGTAAATGTACTCATATTTCAGATTTTGGTATCCTACATTTACTATATGATATTATGAAAATTTAAATTATTATTTGCACTCTCATCCATGAAGAATTCAAGGTAAAATTGGATACGCTTCCCAACAGCCTTGGGTATTCTCAGGTACCGTAAAGGATAATATTTTATTTGGATCGGAATATAAAGAAGATAAATATATTAAAGTTCTTGAAGCTTGTGCTCTAACTAAGGTATAATCATAATTATTGCGTGGATTCATTGCGTTATAAAAGCCTTATATATGTAAATACAGTTCAAGCACATACTGAATATCTCAGTAAATTCATTGTAATTATTCTCGTACTGTAGTTATAGAATCATAATTATTGCGTGGATTCATTACTTTATAAAAGTCTTATATATGTAAATATAGTTCAAGCACATACTGAATAGCTCAGTAGATTCATTGTACTTTACTCGTACTGTTGTTATAGAATCGTCATACATTTATAATTATAATGCGAAAATAAATATTTTATCATTATTACAAATTCTTACTATTGACCGATTTACAGTAAGAAAAGCTCATAAAGTTAACTCTATTAAGATCCTTAAAGCTTGGATATGAAACGACTTTATCTGTATCTTGCCTTAATTGTACACTGATTAGGATTTGCAATCATTACCACATAACGATTTAACATATGTCGGAGAACGGGGAGTACGTTTAAGCGGCGGACAAAAAGCTCGTATTAGTTTAGCTCGGTAACGTAAACTAATTTTTTTGCTTTTAATTACAGGTATAATCATATCTAAGGTATTTTATGAGAATTAAGTAAATTAAAGTACTTACAGCAGTTATTGCTGATTTTTTAAAGAGCTGCATATTGTGATGCCGATATCTACATAATGGATGATCCTTTGAGCGCCGTAGATGTAGATGTGGCTCAACATTTATTTACTAAGTAAGTCATCTATATTATAGAGAATATTCGTTCATAACACCTGAAATACGGTAGCGATTGGTATTGGTGTAGCACTATTAGTTTGCCATACGTATCACTTCAAGAAGTGGATAAATAAATAATTTTTGTTCTGTAAAGCAAACATTTATCTGTTATAAAGGATTCAGATAAGATATAATTTGCTTTGGTTATTTACATCAAATTTTTGAATAGGTGTATTTGTGGATTATTGAAAGATCGAATTCGCATATTAGTTACTCATCAAATTCAAGTACTGGATAAAGTCGATCATATAGTTGCAGTGCAAGAGGGAAGAGTAACACACAGTGGCCCTTTGACACAATTAATGGCAGAAGGTGTCGATTTTACAGAACTGTTACAGAATAATGACAAGGGAAATCGCCATGAACTAAACAAGTCTAAGTATGTATTATGTACATTGTAAAGTATGTTAGTAAGGCACAGAATTTACATGTATGTAACATACTTGCTTTATATATTCTCTTTACATAACTTATCAACATACCTATTTCGGTAAGGTTTAGTTATTATCAGGTTATTAACTATTGTACTTTAAAATTTTATTAGATCTACAGTAGAAGATACTAAAGGCGCTACTAAGGTATTTATTGTACATTTTTACAAATTTGACAGATAGCGTATTATTGAGAAAGGAGCGTGATTTGATGATTTATAAATTGTAAATGTTCTAGTGATCGTATAGAAGTAGTAAATTTAGTACAACATAAGCTTAGAATTACGATTGCAGTATACTGTAGGTTAAATGAGTTTAATTCTGTCTAGAAATAAAGATTTTGTAATTATACATGTATAGGATGATAACGAAGATACAGCGTTAAGTGAAGAAAGAAGAGATGAAGGAAAAATTAGTTACAAGACATATATTATGTTTTTAAGTTCGGGAAATGGTGTCATTGTCTTCGCTTTATTCCTATTAATAAGTTTGATAAGTCAAGGATCAATTGTAGTAACAGATTGGTGGTTATCAAGATGGTCAGATAGCTTTACAAATTCAATGTCGAATGGAAATAACAGCAGTAATATACACGTACTCGATCGAAGATCAGCGTTTGGATTAACGAATAGGATGACGATAATCATTTATAGTTGTCTTCTACTTGTTACATGGATATTGACTGCAACTAGATGTATTGCGACTGTAAAAATTGCGATCGACTCAGCTATCAATTTTCACAATCGAATGTTAAATTCAATATTGGCAGCACCTATCTACTTTTTCGATACTAATCCAGTCGGTAATTATCTATAGACTTATATATGTATATTTTATACGTATACTGGATAACGCATTAACGAAAGAGTTGAACAGAAAGTTCAACAGGTTATATAATTACAGGAGTATGTTGAATGGTATTTATTTTTATGTTGTTAGGTCGTGTATTGAATAGATTTTCTAAAGATCTATCTCAAGTAGATGAGGATCTTCCAACTACAACTGCTAACGTTGTACAGGTTCGATTCTACAATTAAAAGAATAGTTATGTAATTAGGCAATTCTTAAATATTATATTTCTATACAATAACAGAATGGGAAATTTTTAAATTTAGATTGGAATTTACTGCTGTGGAATTATAGTACCAACAGCTATCTTTAACCCATGGGTTTTAATCCCTGCAGCTATTATTATGATCATTTTTGTCATCATTCGTAAATACTATGTGAGTCTGTCAAGAGAAGTTACACGGCTAGAAGCTGTAGGTATGGAATAATTTCTAATAACTTCGAAAACTTCATTGTAACAGGTTTAACCTAAATGATGCAATATATTAGTAGAATTACAGTGTAAAATAATTTATGCATAATATAGTAGAATAGCTTATTACAAATAGATACTGGTGCTAATTAATACTATTTTGCTAGTCTAAAAATATACCGTAGGAATACTTAACGGCCATACTTTTAAATTTATTAGCCAGCAGTCCGATTTACGGGCATATATCTTCTACGCTCCATGGATTAACAACTATTCGTGCATTCAATTTACAAGATCGTTTTATGGAACAGTTTATGATATATCAGGATAATCATACGCGGCCAGCTGTTATAAATATAGCGCTGACACGATGGTGTGGCTACCATCTGGATATTTTAAGTGGATTATATCTAATCTTTGTAGCATTTATTGGGATTTTCAGTGCTAATGGTATTCATCTATGTATATTTAGTATTAATGCTATATGAATACGTTGTGATTCAAAAATTATCTATGATTATTGCAATTGGAACTAGTTTGATTTATGTAATGAATAATGCATAATTATCAGCAAAAATATTATAAGAAATAATAAAATCTACACTATGGGTAGTCCGTAATAATAACTTGTTAGCTTGTTATTGCATTTTAGAAAAGCTTCAAATGAAGATATTTAAAATTGCTATCTGACAGTAAATACTTTATCATTACAGATGTCAGCGCTGGCGGAATTGGACTTTCTCTCAGCTATACAATCCTTTTATTAGGGAATTTCCAATGGTTTATAAGACAGAGTGCGGAACTTGAAAATCAGGTAATTGATTGAGGTATTGACCCCGTCTTTATTCATTTAAGTAGATATGGGTATATTGCCGTCATTTGTTATCATTTTTACTACTGAATCTTCATTTTCTTTGTCTGAGCTTTCATTCCATTTTGAAATTAATTAAATGATTTAAATATTTCTAACTGTTTATTCACAATAAGTAGGGCATATCGAAAGTTATTTATATTTAACTTTAAAATTTTGTCATAACAAAGACTTATTATGAATTTGAATTCTTTCTAATTCAGATGACTTCAGTAGAAAGGATTAAAGAATATATAGAAGTCAGTTCAGAAACTACCATAACGAAAATCACTTCTCCAAAAGATTGGCCAGATAAAGGCAAAATATATTTTGAGAACGTATCATTCCGTCATCATGATAATTTACCTTATGTATTACATAATATAAATTGCATTATTAACGGCGGAGAAAAGGTAAATACGAAGTTAAATCACAATTTCTATTACTATTTTCAATAGAGATTTTATAGTCTTAAACCTGTGATAATATTACATTATATGATATCGCTTAGTATAAGTAAATAGTGCAATGATTGCAGTTGAATGCGATCATATATTTACGATTAAGGTAAAAATAATGATCGTATATTTGTGAACGCTTTAATAGGTCGGTATTGTTGGACGAACTGGAGCTGGAAAATCATCCTTAGTGGCAGCATTATTTCGCATGGCTGATATTACCGGAGATATTAAAATAGACGAAATTTCAACTGAAAATATAAGACTAGATATTCTTCGTAGTAATATATCTGTGATACCTCAGGTATTAGTTAAAACTTATAAGTTAGTAAATATATCATTTCTACCTATTCATTTTTCTTGCAAGAAATGCATTGTATGTTTGTCGCTTGCATATATTTATACGACGCAACTTAAAAATTTAAATTCAAGTATAGCTGTTTGATGTCGTTAAATGATGCTTTGCAGGACCCATCGTTATTTATCGGTACTGTACGTAGTAATCTCGATCCATTTAGCCTTTATGATGATTCACAACTATGGAACGCCTTAAATGAGGTAGAGTAAAAATTAGTGTAATTCGGGCTTTGTATTGTTGAATGGAATATGATTTAGAAATTTTCATATAGATTTGAAAGAATTTATTTTATATCATTGAAATTATTTTATAAATTATGACAATGGAATACACTGATTATTATTGTTGATCATATTTTATAACTGTAGGTACAACTATCAGATTATGTTTCGAATTTATCTCGTAAATTAGACAACGAAGTATTAGAATCAGGATCGAATTTCAGTGTAGGACAAAAGCAGTTACTTTGCCTTGCAAGAGCAATATTAAAAAATAATAAAATTTTAGTAATCGATGAGGCAACCGCGAACGTTGATTTTAAGTAAGTTAAAACTTTGAATTTAAGTTCCTAGAATAGAGAGGATACCTTGGCGATATGAATGCATCTGCTCTTAGATTGAATTTTATTAAATGGAAAACTTATATTTATGAACTATTAAAAAATAAATATTTCGGTATATACAGCAATGTACTGATTGCAAGGGCTAATTGTGATATCTTTCATTTGCTATTTAACAGTACTGATCGCATCATTCAAGTATCTATTAGGAGTAAATTTCGTCATTGTACTGTCATCACGATCGCTCATCGACTCAATACTATCATAGACTGTGATCGGATTATGGTAAGAGTTTCGTAACACCTAAATGTACGTTCATAAATGAAATGATCATGAGTAAACTGAATTACAAAATATTAATGTAAAAATGCAGGTCTTTAAGGATGGCCGATTAGTCGAATTTAATTCACCGTTCGTTCTACTGCGAGATAAGAATTCTGCATTCGCCAATATGGTCTGTAAAAGCGGCTGGAAAGAATATGAAAGACTTTTGGATATTGCACGAAGAGCTAATGATTCTGAGAATGCGAGTTGTCAATCAAATAGTCGTACGCGAATGTTGTTACCAAGTATTGTTACAGATGTTGATGAAATACAAACCAAGGTTTTATCTTATCGATCTAATAAATCTCAATCTACCGATGTTTAGTACTTGATACATCATGATGAGTATTGTAGCTTTCCAAATATATGACTTATTTGGTTGATTATAACAGTAGACTTTACTTAATATCATAGCATATTGTAAACCCGACTGCTTTATTCGGGTTAGAATTTAAGATAGCTTGTAGTAAAATTTTTGTTCGAAATGAGATATTGTGAAATTGTTGTTCAAAGGTTGCAATAAAATATATATATGTAGCTAATTTTGATCCTTGATCAAGTAGAGTGAATTGAATGTCTCTTCGTGACATGCTCTAGGGTATCCAGACTTGAGAGAGAGAGACTAATAAAGAACTAATTTATAACTCATGTCAGTAGTATTCTTGAGAGATAAGCCTAATTTATTTTGTAGGGAGAAAATGGTAGCAGTTTATGAGTTGCTTTCTTAGTTAGTTCTATACAGATTGGAGAGCAAACTGGATTTTGTGGAAGCTTTGTCGGGAGTGGGAACGAAACGACATGATATTTTGATGGTGTCAAATATAGTAGAGTACAGTCATACTCTATCTATAATACCGTACTAAGCTTTATGGTAGTAGGATAGAGTATCAAGGAAAAAGGTTAGTTAATGGCAGACAGTCTAGTCTATTTTATTGTTCAACAATTTATCTGAAAGAAAAATTAACACTCGTGTACTAGGTGATCCCCTCTCAAAATACTTTTGAAAGCTTTGAATGGATGTACTTAATAATTTAGTCGATCCTAAGCTCGTTGTCATGTAGTTTGCGTTCTATACTGTACCAATGGTACACTTAATAAAGTTATCTTCAACCCTCTCCCGTCTGGAAGGATGGACTTTGCTAGAGTACTGGGTGGCCAGCTATAGTACATAAAGTTCTTAGAAATACTGTACAGTACAGTACAGTACAGTACAAGAACTTTTACCGTACTGTACTGTACAGTACACAGTACAGTACCCTGTACAGTACTGTATGGAAGGTGGCGAAGAGACGATATAGAAAATGATCGAATTGCGCATGAGTGTCGAACTAAGCTTTAATTGCAAAGTTATAAGCTTTGAAAGTCACGATAAGATTTTCTTTTAATGCATGGCCGATCTATTCTATGTTCTTTCATGTCAACCGAAAACTTGATAAAATACTTGTCAAAATAGGACTGCAGACTGAAGCTTGATAACGTAGCGGCAGTGTCTTTTAATGAAATAAAGAAATGCGAACGAAAATGCAACGAATCCAGACGTGATCAGTGTGCAAATGATGAAGCATGGTCAAGTAGTCCTTGTTCAATGCACGATTTTGTGCCTCCTGCTTATGAAATAACTTGGATATTACGTATACATATGCACTGCATGCCTTTCAGAGCTTGGTTAATACAGTGTCATAATAAATGTGTGGAAAATGATTGTCTAATTTTGTATGATTAGTATGTGAAATATCAAATAACTTCCCAGCACCCTGTACACGCTATCTGTCACCCCACCTATTCTATCTCGTCAACCCGTAGCAACTAATAATATCTCTTCTTGGGTCGGGTCTGTCGTCAAGACATGACAGACTATTTTGCACACAAAGTCAGACCATACTGCATCAAAACTATACTGTACTGTACTGTTACTGTAGGATGAAAATTTGAAAGTCATTGACAATATTGCGTCATACCCGTCGATCTGTATCAGCAATTGTCAGACGTACGGTACGGACAGCATGGTGGTGCAGTCCCGTCGTGGATGAAGCCGAGACCGATCAAATAGCTGATGCTGCACATTTGGGGAGTTTATTGATGAAGCATGGTCAGGTAGTCCTTGTTCAATGTACGGTTTTGTGCCTCCTGCTTATGAAATAACTTGGATATTACGTATACATATGCATTACATGCCTTTCAGAGCTTTGTTAATACAGTGTCATAATAAATGTATGGAAAATGGACGTCTAATTTTGTATAATTAGTATGTGAAATATCAAATAACTTTCCAGCACCCTGCACACGGTATCTGTCACCCCACCTATTCTATCTCGTCAAGCCGTAGCAGCTAATAGTATCTCTTCTTGGGTCGGGTCTCTCGTCAAGACGTGACAGACTATTTTGCACACAAAGTCAGACCATGCTGCATCAATACTGTACTGTACTGTACTGTACTGTACAGTGTACAGTACAGTAGGATGAAAATTTGAAAGTCTTTGACAATATTGCGTCATACCCGTAGATCTGTATCAGCAATTGTCAGACGTACAGTACGGACAGCATGGTGGTGCAGTACCGTCGTGGATGCAGGGGAGCCAGATCAAATAGCTGATGCTGCACATTTTGGATTTTATTTATAGGCCAACAATAAATTAGTTTACCGTTTTTAATCGCCTTTCAATTGAGTGCTTCATTAATTGATTAGCTCCAAAGCTGGCGTGGAATACGTATTAACTTCCAATATCTTCCATTGGTTCAAATAGCTTGTATTCATGTAAGTACTAACATGAGGAAAAGTGACTTGTCTCCATTTTTGCCATGATCACTGCGGATTGACTGTTCACATCAATCAATCAATAGCATCATTTCTTCATACTTGGAGTAGAATGGCCTCATGGACGGCCTCAACTTCATTACTATAGAATGCAAAGATTTTCAATTGGCATAACTGACTGTTCGATTCTTTTTTGGAGTAGTCTCTGTTATAATTATTTACTTGTAGTTGGTAGAAGTTAAAGTAAGTCATTGATTCCCATCTTGAACAGCAGCATTGTTCAATACTTTCACATTCAAGATCTCCAATTCGCTGCAATCCTTAACATTAAACCTTCTTTTCCCTTAGTGAAGGAATGATTTCGACATACTGTAATTATGTTGAGTCCATAGACGTATAGACGTTCATTATCGTAATGTCTGGCTTATGTACGTGTATATTGTAATTATTCCCTTAAAATGATAGAAGCAAGTCGAAAATGATTATGACTAATACTAATACAGTGTATAATAATTATACAATTAATAAGACTATTGATTCATCACCATGCAGCTACCATAATCCAATATGACGATAGAAAAAGATTTCAATCAAGATAAATCCGATGACAAATCCGGTGACCATCCCTACAAACGTGCAAATCCATATTTCAAGTTTTGCTCATTTTGGTAAGTTTGGTTCAACGAATTAACATATTGATAGTAAATGGAAGTGAAGTACTCTCAGCAGAAGATGAGCTACTAGGATAGACTGTATACTAACGGCCTAGAATACGCGTATATAACAATACAATAACACTGTATGCTTTTGCACGACCCAAGTATATAGTAAATGAAAGTGAAATGCTCTCAGCGTAAAATGAGCTATGAAAACGCCATTATAACATTACATGACTACTTTGCTGAGCTACTCATCCGCTGTCTACAGTATAGTTATACTGTAACCTTTCTAAAATGGTTGCGTAAATTGGATACTGTAATAGATTGTTGACGAACTATTAAACACCAAGTCTAGTATTAGATTTAGTTCGATATTGCAATAGGATTTCTATATAATTAATTCAACATTTAATGTACTATTTCTTAATTGACTCATTTTACAGCATATTTTCATACTGATTTCTTCATTTTATCCATTCGCCTAGGTGGCTATTACCATTATTCAAAATTGTAAAGAAAAGACAACTGCAAGAATCAGATTTATTTACTACATTACATGATGATAAAAGTCGAGTATTACTAAATCTCTTTAATAAGTACGAAGAAGCTATAATTCTTGTTACATTACACAATTGATCAGTGTACAGTACTATAGTAGATATCATGATATATCAACATGCATATTAAATAAATATGATAAAGTAGCGGCTCACTATGTGTTGAGCGTGCATCTGTCGGCGAAGGCGATCATTCGCCGTAACATATACAGTGCATCTTTAATTGCAGTAATTTATATAACTTTAAACAATAATTAGATATAAAACTCTGTATTATCGAGTCAACGGTCGTTACAATTTTAATTAAAAGTTTTCTTCTTGTAATTTATGAACAACTTTTCTATTTGAGAATATCTTTTTAAATCTTAGTGGAAATCTGTAAAATATACAATTAGTATATGATCCAGCCTATCAGTTAATATCATATAATTAATTAATACTTTGTCTTCACTTTTTATAATTTTTTAATTATTTCAATCTTTTTAAATGAAGGAATTGGCAGGACAAGAACCTAAAGGCTAATCAAAAAATTAGTTTACTGAAAACTTTCTGTAGATGTTTTGGCACTACTTATATGCTGATTGGTATTATACTCTTTATTAATGTAAGTATTTAATTTTATAACATTTTCATTACCTTGCAGCATAAGCGCCAATTTATTCTAGATATTACTGCTACTCAGTAATATCGTATGACTGTTAGATGAGTTTTATAACATAGATCAACAACTATACTAAGATGGCCTATGATTGTACTGCAAAGCTAGTCACTCAACCAACATTTGATTTCCACTATAATTGCAGATAATTAAAGATATCTGAGGCCTGATTGCTCTTTCTATGAGATATTTACAAATTTAATGAAAGTTTCTTGTCGCTTTTAATTGTTATTTAGATGGCTTTTACAATCGTTCAACCTCTATTTGTTGGCTTACTGATTGCCTATTTTATTCCTGGCTCTAACATATCTCAGAATCAAGCTTTCCTGTATGCTGGCGGGCTATCATTGGCTACGCTATCCATTACAAATAGCGAGCAATGGTTTTTTTTCACCACTTCTCGGTATGGCATTAAAGCTGGCGTATTGCTTTCATCTGTGGTCTTTCAAAAAGTACACACAAGTACTATTCTAATCTAATTTAATCTAAAGACTTGGTGTAATTCTTTCTTAAATTACTGTTCGTAGTGAAACTAATATGTTTTTATTCTAGCTCTAGTGTGTGCAATTATAGCATTTACGATAGTTTTTATAAATCGGTTGATTAAAAATTCGATAAACGATCGGTCAAGTGTAATGATGCTTTGATAGCTAAACATTTTCCGTATAATTTTTAATACATGCGTACCAGCTCGTACTCTAAGATCTGTCAACTAATATTTACATACACTGATACGATACTTATTTAGGCATTGAAACTTAACGCTGGCGCTATGTCAAAGACAAGCATTGGTCATGTTGTCAATTTGTTGGCTAATGATGCTTTGCAACTCAAAGAAGCTTTCCATTTCTTGCACATGCTTTGGATTTCACCTCTATTAGTGATTGCATTGACGGTATTGTTATTTCAACAAGTGGGTGTCTCTTGCTTCGTTGGATTAGGTGTTCAGATATTTATGCTACTACAACAGGGATTTATCGCAAGCTATTTAATAAAGTTTAGGTATTTAATAAAGATACAAATAATACAAGTTTTTAAGATAGAACAGTATGATGTTATTATTCAGTTATAGATGTAACCAGTAATATGAGCTAATGCTTAAATTACATAAGTTTTTCATTAACATTATTACATTGAACGGATAGGCAAAATTATTTAAAATTCGCTGACGACCGTGTACGTATAATGAACGAAATCATTGCGAGCATGAGAACTATCAAGATGTACGCATGGGAAAAATCGTTCGCTAATATGATTAAACCATTGCGAAGGTATATGTACTACAATGTAATTGAGAGCATGATAATAAATTTGGTACGAATCATATTATAGTAAAGTAATCCAGTACTACTTAGAATGCTTATTTATTTTCAGCTAAGTATTTCATATGATGACTCTGTAGAATATGATACAATGCGTAATTTATTGTATTATTATATGAGATTAACATGAATGTTACTGCTTACCAGAAATGAAACTAACAAGGTGTTTTCGGGGCAAGCATTGATTGCATTAAATCAAGCCAGCTATTTACTCATAAATACGATGACATCATTTACGACGATTACTGTTTATGTTCTTCTTGGCAATTCGATCAATTCCGCCAAAGTTTTCACCGTTTATTCAATGCTAAATGCACTTCAGATACCGTTATCTATTGGTATTCCTCAAGCAGTTCAGGCTATCACAGATTGTATTGTTACGTTTAAAAGAATTGAAGTAAGAACTTTATTATTTCTCAAAATACTACTTTCATAATTTTGAATATGTTGATAGAGGTGTTCCATTCCTTGTATTCCTATTAATTTTATATATTCATACTGTATTTGTGTCTTATTTGTTTTATACATACACGTATTTATTTATATAGGAGCATCTGTTACTAGATGAATTAGACGAAAACAAAGGTTATAATAGAATACCAACATCCGAGAATGGAGGCGAAGTTGTCGTAGATAATGTATCAGCTGAATGGAATAACGGCTTTAATTTACAGAATATCTCTTTTACTGTCGATTGTGGTAAATTATGCGCATTGGTTGGACCTGTTGGATGTGGAAAGACTTCCATATTAATGTCATTACTAGGCGAGTTACCATTATCTACAGGAACAATGAGGTACTGAATACTGTATCCATTTTAGCTATCAATAATACTATAATATATATGGATTCATATTTTTATAAAATTCTGCAATTTAAAATGTGTAATAGCATAAAAATTAAATTTTGTTATGTATATACACATGGATATGAAGGATTAAAGGCAAAATCGGGTATGTTCCTCAGCAACCCTGGGTATTCTCAGGTACCGTAAAAGATAATATTCTATTCGGTTCCGAATATAAAGAAGACAAATATATAAAAGTCCTTGAAGCTTGCGCCCTGACTAAGGTATAGATAATGTAGCATTTATTAACGTACATAATTATAATGCAAAATTTAATATTTAACCGCTTTTCATATATATATATATTAAATATGCGATAAGTATGTAAATATTGTACTGTATATCTATATTTATATAATTATAAAATTTTTATGATTGGATTAAATTTTGAGGTTGCTTTACTACGCGCGATAACTTCTGTATTAGCAATAAATTGTTAAAGCCGCATTATACCTAAAAATTGATTACTAGATTTGCATCTACTAATTTTTTAATATGTCATACTTCAACTGATTAGGATTTACAGTTATTACCATATAACGATTTAACATACGTTGGAGAACGAGGAGTACGTTTAAGTGGAGGACAGAAGGCTCGTATTAGTTTGGCTAGGTAATAAACAGCAATTACGTCATTTACAATGACAGAGTATCGTAAGATATTTCAAGACTTAATATGCAATTGTATAATTACTTATTAACAGGGCTGCATATTGCGATGCTGATATTTACATAATGGACGATCCATTAAGTGCTGTAGATGTAGAAGTTGCCCAACATTTATTTGACAAGTAATCATACCTATATTAAAGAAATTTACTTACTCATACAGTATACTGCATATTCTAGAAATTTATCGCGATTGATGGTACCAGTCACTACCGGTATTTGCATCATCGATAACGATATAATGTTCAGATAGAAAATATTGTAGATAAATGATAAAATTTATTGAATTTCACGACAAATCGAAATATAAACTTAATTTGTTAAATCTAATGATTGAATAGGTGTATTTGTGGGCTATTAAAAGATCGAATTCGTATATTAGTAACTCATCAAATCCAAATGCTAGACAAAGTCGATTATATACTAGCTGTGCAAGGTGGTAAGGTAAAGCATAGTGGCTCATTGGCACAATTAGTAGAGGAAGGTATCGATTTCACAGCATTACTAAACACTGATGACAAGGAAGATCGTCCTGAATTGAAAAAGGCTAAGTATGTATTAAGATGTACACGCTGATAATCACATCAATATTATATAACTGTATTCTGGATTATATGTAGACTGTCAGAATAAACTTGTATTTCAGTAAATTTACTGGTTACGTGTATTACTGACGAGTCACGATATATAATTTTAATTTATTAGATCAATTGTAGAAGATACTAAAGAAGTTATCAAGGTATATACGATATTATGTAGTCTTATATTGTTGATTTTTTAATTTTATAAATATTTTTGAGATACAACCGTATTTCAGACTTAAAAATAGAACGAAATTTATATTAAATTTTTTGATAGTCATAGAATTTGTAATTATGCATGTATAGGATAATAAAGAAGATACAACGTTAAGTGAAGAAAGAAGAGACGAAGGAAAAATTAGTTACAAGACATATATTACGTTCTTAAGCTCGGGAAATGGTGTCATTGTCTTCGCTTTATTCCTATTAATAAGTTTGATAAGTCAAGGATCAATTGTAGTAACAGATTGGTGGTTATCAAGATGGTCAGATAGCTTTACAAATTCAATGTCGAATGGAAGTAACAGCAGTAATATACACGTACTTGATCGAAGATCAGCGTTTGGATTAACGAATAGGATGACGATAATCATTTATAGTTGTCTTCTACTTGTTACATGGATATTGACTGCAACTAGATGTATTGCGACTGTAAAAATTGCGATCGACTCAGCTATCAATTTTCACAATCGAATGTTAAATTCAATATTGGCAGCACCTATCTACTTTTTCGATACTAATCCAGTCGGTAATTATCTATAGACTTATATATGTATATTTTATACGTATACTGGATAACGCATTAACGAAAGAGTTGGACAGAAAGTTCAACAGGTTAATAATTACAGGAGTATGTTGAATGGTATTTATTTTTATGTTGTTAGGTCGTGTATTGAATAGATTTTCTAAAGATCTAACTCAAGTAGATGATGATCTTCCGTTTACAACATCTCAAGTTGTACAGGTCCAAATCTGTAGCAACTAAAAGAATTAAATTATGCAATACATAAACAATATGTTAGATTTGGTAAAATTAATATGAAATTGTGATTTTATATTTTAGATTGGAATTTACTGTTGTGGAATGATAGTAGCAACATCTATATTTAATCCATGGGTTCTAATTCCTGCAAGTGCTGTTGTGATAATTTTTATTTATATTCGTAAAGTTTATTTAAATTTATCGAGAGAAATTACACGTCTAGAAGCAACAGGTATGAAAAGAATAAGCGAATAATATTAGGTGCTTGTAATGGCTCTTGGCATTAATTAACTTGTGTAATACTGAAGTAGAATTGTAGTAATAATAGCTGTTATTAATATGCTATATATTAAATTATTTGTTGTCTAACTGTTCAGATTACATAGTTTCTATAAGTATAATCAGAATACGAAAAAATTTGAATTTAATGTTTGAATTTACTTAAATTATCAGCCAGCAGTCCAATCTATGGTCATATATCTTCTACCTTACATGGATTAACAATTATTCGAGCTTTCAATGCACAAGATCGGTTTATGGAGCAGTTTATGACATACCAGGATAATCATACAAGAGCAGCAGTTCTAATTGCAGCGTTGGCACGATGGTGTGGTTACCATCTTGACGTTTTAAATGGATTATTTTTGACGTGTGTAGCATTTGCCGGAGTATTCAGCGTTAACGGTATTTATGCTATAGTTATATATAATTGGGAGATTTATTTTTTGTTAGCAATATACTGTACTACTATATATTACAGTTACGTGTTACTATTTTGAAATTTAATCGTAATTAATTACCATATAACGACATGCAGTTATAATTATACAAACTTACGATGCAAAACTGAAGTATTGCATATGGGCGAAATTGTTATCTATTATTCAATTTACATTATATGACTATTGCAGATGTTAGTGCTGGTATAATTGGTCTTTCTCTGAGTTACTCAATCCTTTTATTGGGAAATACTCAATGGTTTATAAGACAGTCTGCGGAACTTGAAAATCAGGTAATTCGTGACGTTATGTTATAGAAATATGTATGTGCTTGCATTGCTATCACCATGCGTCATTAAGCTCACGCTCTCACTGAGATTGTCATCGCATCACTCAAATTTTAGTATAAGATCAGTTGACTATAAAATCTATTTTCTTCTGAAACTAGATGACTTCAGTAGAAAGAATAAAAGAATATACGGAGATAAGTCCGGAAATTAGCAATGCAAAAAATAATTTACCAAAGGATTGGCCTAATGATGGCAAAATACGTCTTGAAAATGTATCATTTCGTCATCATGATAATTTACCTTATGTACTACATAACATAAACTGCGTTATTGAAGGTGGTGAAAAGGTAATTACCAATTCGTACCGTAGTCTGTAGTACTTATAATTACGTTATTTACAGATACTTTAATCTTGTGATTCATTTCTATCCGTGGACAATGCGGTACAATGATATACATGACTTATCGTACTGCTTATCTGTATAAATGTTTTGCTATAGATCGGGGTCGTTGGGCGAACTGGCGCTGGAAAATCGTCATTAGTAGCAACGTTATTTCGTATGGCAGATGTTAAAGGAGATATTAAAATAGATGAAGTTTCAACTGCAGATATTAGATTAGATATCCTTCGCAGTAATATATCTGTAATACCTCAGGTAATAAACTGTTAAAAATCATTAAGACTAGATACAGGGTCTGGATTTTGAATTATATAATAAATGTTTATTGCATACCCTTCTACTTTGACTGTATGGTTGCTTTGTATTTGTATTTACGAAGATGTTAATACTAATTGATATACGTATTGTAGGACCCTTCGCTATTTATTGGCACTCTTCGTAGTAACCTTGATCCATTTAATATTTATGATGACAAACAATTATGGAACGCCTTACAAGAGGTTTAGTAAATGTGTATATTCAATTTATCATTATCATACTAAACTTCAGTTAGAAAGTTTTATGTTGCCTCATGTTGTGTTTAATTGTCATAATACCACTTCAAGGATTCTACATTCACATTCGAGTCATTGATGCATAGATTATAACTGCAGGTACAACTATCGGAATACGTCTCCAACTTGTCTCGCAAATTAGACGATGAGGTATCAGAAGCAGGATCGAATTTCAGCGTAGGACAAAAACAATTGCTTTGTCTTGCCAGAGCAATATTAAAGAAGAATAAAATTTTGGTAATAGATGAGGCAACCGCAAACGTTGATTTTAAGTAAGTACATTCGTTTTCGTTATACATCTTATCATATAAATATTAAGTCACCTCGACTACATAATTTACCTGTAAATTAATATACTCGAATATAGACACTTAAATGTATAGGTTGAAATATTTATTTATTAATTACTATTTTGTATTGGGTTAGTACGGATCAAGTAATACAGAAATCTATTAGAAGCAGATTTCATCATTGTACTGTCATCACGATCGCTCATCGACTCAATACTGTAATAGACTGTGATCGGATTATGGTAGGTATTTCATGGCATGTATTATACTGTAAATTATAAATATAAGTGTAAGAATGAAGAGGTTGAGTATGTACTTACATCAATCTGGCAGCCACAGAGATAAAACAGGAAAATACATGGTTACAGCCTTCCAAATAATTGATCATACTGAGTTATAATTTACATACTTTGTGGTTATTTTTATCTCTGAGAACAAAATGAAAATTACCTTTCTAAATATTTAAATGAAAGTTAATAATGTAAAATTATATTTTAAAATATAATTAGGTTTTTAAGGACGGTCGGTTAATTGAATTTGATTCACCCTTCGCCCTACTACAAAATAAAAATTCTGAATTTGCTAATATGGTTAGCAAGAGTGGTTGGAACGAATATGAAAGACTATTCAGTATAGCTCGAAAAGCTAATGAATTTAACTATAATAAATCAAATGGTACCATACTATCACGAAGTATTGTTACAAATATCGACGATGTTGAAACGAAAATTTTATCTCATCGGTCTAATCAACATCGTTTTACAGATGTTTAACTTATGATTACGTATTATGTATTATCGTATATTATTACTGTATCTTATTACTTGCTTGTTGATTAGAAGGGATAACGATATCTTGGAAGCCAAATTACGGAAATTTCTGTACAAAATCGATTGTTAGTTACAAAATTACCCATTTATTGATGCCTTGTAACTACAAAATGATCAGTAATATACTTTATCGACTGAATTATTGATATTCATTGGCACGTGTTTTTAATTATTTCGGTTATTGGAAGTTGTCGTGCATATTGTTAGTCCTAGTTTATACAGAAGGTCCAGATAATAATGACGTATCGTATTTTTTAATTCAACCCAACTACCGCAACATTGGTATTATGTATCAAGAGCGACAATTGTATGAAGATTAAAGAACCTTTATTAATTGCTTCAAATTAATATGTGTGTGTGACGGAGTACAGACTCCGTAAATTAATTGTAGCGTTAGTTTTAGTAATTAGTAATTAAGATTTTATTAATTGTTAATAACCTTTATTTATTAGGTATTCGATAATTGTAACGTTCTTGGTAGTCTAGTTATACTTGTTGTAGACTCTGTGCAGAATAGTGTATTTACAGGTGAGGTGACAACTAGTATTCACACATAGTAATTTCTGTTACTTTGTGCCGAGCCTTTGATTGTTAATTGGCTCTTAATTAGTTAGTAGCTCATTAGTGTTGTTTACGCCGTCTGCCATACTGAACCATATAGACAGTCGGCTATACGAAAGCTATATATTTTTAGGGTTATTTATCTAAGCTGTGCACCGAGTGCAACCGAGCTAGGGTATATAAAGCCCGGTGCTCTCATTAGCTATTGAGTTGACGATTGACCGTGTAGTGTACGCTTGTAGATGCGTATGTGCCCATACGCACTTGTAGATAGAGTAGTCTTGGATGTCAAGACTACCTTTATTTAATAAACTATTTTAAAAGCCTAAGTCTAGTCTACACTTAGCTCGTTGGGGGCATATTTGGCTGTTGTAGCCTTAGTATTCGTACAGATTCAAAGACCCAGGTTTCCTTGTTGTGGGCTGAACCCGACAGTGTGTAACTTCCTATCTGCAGTTACCTTGATATTTAAAAGTTATGTTGTTCTTTAACTTCTATACAACTAGAAGCAATATGGTGAAGTTTGTAGCCTTTAAAAGAAAAGCTTATGATAAATGGCTATAAAACATGTATTTATCGGTTCGAAATACACATCAATTGTCTACACAAAAAACTAATTAATTTTAAATATATAAACTTCGCTTTAAGTAAATTCAGTACATTACGCTCTATACAGATCGTAAATACAATAGACATAGCTTAACAGTTTACTATACTGTTGTTTCTAGTAATCGTGTTCGACGAAGGTAATTATCTCTTATTTGACAAGAAGTAACAGTCGCAGTATCTACAGCGCTTTCTAACTTTATACTTGATTGTAGCAATCCAGATGATTCGTTATTTTCGTAAACTTCTCTTGTAATTTCAAACAGCCTTTCATATTCTGCTTGGCCTACCTGTTTCACCATAGTTGCAAATTCAGAATTATTGTCTTGTAGTAGTATATAGGGATAGTCGAATTCAGTTAAATTTCCTCCTTTTAGTACCTGCGAAATGAATGTAAGTAAATGAGTTTATAATCTCTGCAACTGTTGCCTGATAAATCTAACTAAAGCAAATTATTTACTTTTAAATCTAACTATGTCCATTGCAAAGAATTTAGTAAAATTGAAAATTAACTTACCATAACTCGATCGCAATCTATAATTGTACTAAGGCGGTGAGCAATTGTAATGACAGTACACTGGTGGAATTTATTTCTAATCGATTTCTGAATTACTTCGTCCGTACTAAACGTTATCAAACATAAAATAACAATTTTACAAGTTCTTATAAGTTTTCGCTATCTATACACTTGAAATTACTAATAATGTAGAATAATCCTTGCCGTCTTGGTTTATATCACGAAATCACATTTATAACATACTCAAAGTCTACGTTCGCTGTAGCTTCGTCTATAATTAAGATTTTGTTCATTTTCAATATTGCTCTCGCAAGGCAAATTAATTGCTTTTGCCCTACGCTGAAATTTGAACCAGCCTCAGATACTTCATTATCCAGTTTATTGGGTAAATTGCAGACGTATGGGGCTAACTGCACCTATGTATTTTAAAAAAATATTATTAAGTCAAATGCAGATCTAATTTCGGTTAGTTTCATTTTGAAAGAAAGAATATACAATTGTATCTGAAGGTACTTCTCTGTACTACGTATAATAAGAGACATGTTAGACTATACTTCTCGTAATGCGTCCCATAGCTGAGAGTCATCGTAACGATTGAAGGGATCAAGATTATTGCGAATGGTTCCGATAAAAAGAGATGGATCCTAGATGTATGAAAATTATAGGAGGTAAACAATTTCCCCTTATCGTTATAATTTTCGTTAATAACAATAATATACGTTATAATATAGATTGATAGCTACCTGAGGTATTACAGATATTTTACTACGAAAATAAGTAAGATCAATCGTTGAAGTGGCTATTCCGTCAATTTTGATACTACCATTAACGTCAGCCATGCGTAATAAGGATGCTACAAATGAAGATTTCCCGGCACCGGTACGACCAACAACTCCGATCTTAATAAAAAGTTATTTTTGTGATTTGATAATAACATTAGTAATTACGTGTAATATTTCTCTTGGAAAGTGCTACTGCTAGTTTCTGTATTATCAAATTAATAACATTACTGTTATTGATTTAAAATTAAAGTCTTTACTCAATATACCAGTTTCGTACGGTCAAAGACTTAAGTAACGTACCTTTTCACCACCACGAATTAAGCAATTAATATTGTTTAATACATATGGCAACTTCTCATGATGACGGAAGGAAGCATGTTCTAATGATATATCCCCGTTGCTGGGCCAATCCTTTGGTAAGATAGCTGTTGAACTTGATTGCTTTGGTTTAATCTCTGAATATTCACGAACTCTTTCTACTGATGTCATCTAATTGCATAAGTATCGTACTTCATTATTAACATTATTTTCTGCATTATTGAGCAGGAATTAAACTGAATGGAATAGTCGATAACTAATTAACGTATTCAGGCTCTAATATCGCACTGAATAAACGAATTCAGGTTCAGCTGTAGAATTGTACAACGTTTGTGCAAATAAAGTTCATCATAGCATGCATGCGTTGAAGTAAAAGATGTGCAAATTACAAGAAAAAATTAGGAAATGATTTCTCAAATAATACTAACAAACCTGGTTTTCGAGTTCCGCAGTCTGACGTATAAACCATTGAGTATTTCCCATTAGAGGTAGTAAGTAGCTTAAAGAGAGGCCTATTGCACCTGCACTAATACCTACAGGCAAGCATATTAAGATCAATAAATTTTTATGAAGCCTATATAATGCACAAAATCGTCATTAATACCAACGTATTACTTTCTATAGTCCAACAATCGCGTTCGCAAAATAATTACTTTGATAAACTTTAACCCTAACTATCGAATAATCATTTATTTTGACATATTTTTGGTACTGTATAGTTATGTTGCATCATTATCAACTAGTCTAATATTTAATAAATATTTCATAATCTGGCCTATCAATCAAGATATAGTTTATAAGGCCGTTCAAATATTATCCATAAAGTAAGATTCTACTTCGAACTGATAAATGAATCTAAACTGTTAAAGCTACATCATAAGTTTTTTTATATCACCGCAAGATAGTTACATCGCGTTTACAAAAAATTTCATATCCTGAATATTAAACCCGTACCGTCAGCAACGAAAACTCCAATAAATGCTACGAAAGTTACGTATATTGAAGATAGTAAATCTAAGTGGAAACCATTCCATCGAGTCAACCCAGCAATGGCAAATGCTGGCTTAGTCTGATTATCTTGATACGTAATAAATTGCTTCAGGAATTGATCTTCTATCTTATATGCATGAATAGTCGTCAATCCTTGTAAGCAGCCAGATATATGACTGTAAATTGGACTGCTTGCTATAAAAAAATTTGAAATGTATAACATATCGATTTCAATGGATACCATAAAATTTAGAAACAATCAAATAAATTAAAGATATCTTGCCTACGGCCTCTAGGCGTGCTAATTCTCTTGAAAGAGATACGTAAAATTTTCGTACAATGATGAATGATACAACAATAACAGCTGCTGGAATTGCTGTCCAAGGATTGAATATTATTGTTGTTATCGTCAGACCACTGCAAAATATGCCAATCTAACGATAGAAATTTCGTAATTCATTTTAATACCTAGAAAAAACTTTTAATAACTAATTTAGAAAAGATGACATTACAGTATTTACTTATTGTACGATGTTACCTGCACAACTTGCAAAACCGTAAATGGTAATTCATTATCCATGTGATTTAAATCTTTCGAAAATCTGTTCAGTACACGCCCTATTTAATAATGTTACAAATGGTTGATGTATCAATAGTACTTAATACTATACGAAATTTGCATTAAAATTATATACGCGTACATGTTATTTTAAAATTAAATTACCGACTGGGTTAGTATCGAAAAAATAAATCGGTGCATGCAAAACTGATTTAAGCATTCGATTATGAAAAATTCTTGCAGAATCAATAACCAGCTTGACCGTTAGCAAGCATCTACACATATTCAGAATCCAAGCACCAATCAGTAAACAACTGTAAACAACAATTGTCATCCTATTTGTTAAGCCAAATAATGCTGTTTCTTCAAGTACAGTGACGTTGCTACTGCTTTCATTCGCTGAAGCTTTCACAAAGCTGTCCGACCATCTAGATAGCCACCAGTCAGTAAGTACAATAGCTCCTTGACTGACAATGCTCATTAGAATAACGAAAATGAAAAAAAGTAATCCATTCCCAGCTTCAACGAATTTTAAGTAGGTGCTAGAAGTTACTTTGCCTTCCTGACGATTTTCTTCTTGTAAAGTTAAATCCTTCGTACAATCCTAAATAAAGCGTTAAGTTTACATCGTCTGGAAATATCACTACTCGAAACGATAAAATACGAATTAACTATCAAATTTCTGTATCAATCAGATAATTTACTGATGTTGCAAACAACGGGAAGCTAGGCTAATAAATGTGATGTGATCATAATGTAAATCCTACCTCAAGTTTATCCTTGGTTTCGCGGTAGACAGAACTGATAAAAATTGAAATTTAAAGTAGTCACTATATAGAAATTATCATACCTATGTAATAAGATAATTTAAATTTTAAAGTGCTAACTTTCTTCGCGTGGCTTTATCACCGCCACAGTCCAGTAATTTTTCAAAATCTATCCCTTTATCAGTTAACTCCTTTGGTGAACCTTTATAATTGATTTCTCCGTTTTCTAAAGCAACGATCTGATCTGCCTTATCTAACATATGAACTTGATGTGTAACTAAAATACGAGTGCTTCCACTCAATAATCCACAAATGCATCTGTAATTATAGTTAAATACGCAATTTAATACCACACACATACTGAACAATAATAGTAAAAGACTATTACTCGGTCATTACACTATTTGTTATCAAGTGACTAAGAAACTGACTCGTCAAATAGATGATGGGCTACTCCTAGATCCACTGCACTCAGTGGATCGTCCATGATGTAAATATCTGCATCTGAATAAGCGGCTCTAATAACCGAATAACATAATAAAGTTTCTTCAGTAAAATATGCGTAAGAATCCTATCATTATTGAGAATTTAATAGTGTAAATTAGTCTACCTGGCTAAACCAATGCGTGCTTTTTGACCTCCACTTAATCGAACACCTCGTTCGCCAACGTATGTCATATCATTATGGGGCCATTGTTGAAGGTCCTAGTAGTATTATATCGTTTTATTTTCATTTTAATAAAGTTGAATATCGTCATGATATACTGTAAGTCTTCTTTAGCTCTGACCATGCGTATTAACTTGAAATTGAAACTAAAATCTGTTCTTACAACTCGGATACAAGTACTATGTATATATGATAACCAGATGCACACCGAAAATGCAGATTAATTTTGCTAACAACTGGCAGATATGTTTGGATAAATGTGTTAAAGATATAGAACTAGGGAAATGACTGGGAATAGCGTACATGCAGTAATCAGATTAAGTCATATGTATATAATATATTCCATGTGAAGTGACAGTGAAATGTAAAGCAAAAGCTAAGGGACAAGTACGCACAGTAGGCAAAGAGTAAAAAGTGTGGGTTCTATTAATAATAATAATAGACATTCTAGTAGCGCAAGAACCTTTCTAAGGGCACAAGCTTCGATAACTTTTAGATACTTCTCTTCATGAAATTCAGATCCAAATAAGATGTTTTCTCTAACAGTCCCCGAAAATATCCAAGGTATTTGCGAAACATACGCAATTTTTCCAGAAATTCTATCAATATTAACCATAATTTAAGTTCATAGCATCTTTACAATACAATCTCATTTGCCAAAATATATTCCTTTGCAAGTAATAACATATTACAATTGACTAAGGTATCATACAGCATGAATTTACTTGCATAATCAATAACCTAATTAGGTTTACATACTGTATAGCTAGAGATAACAGTGTACTCCTACGTGACAGAAATGAAAGTGGAACGAAATTGCAATACCACGACTCAGAAATCACAAACGATAGTTCATTTATACTCGCTAATGGATAATAAAATATGGGCGATCTTATTTAAGATTCTAAAAAATCAGGATGACTCAAATAAGCTACTAAATAAATACGAGTTTACTGTATAAATGATTAGCTAAAGCAATCGTGCAAAATATTTACTTAACATTCTCTTATTGCACGGTTAAATTCAAATTAAATTACGATACTAGCGTTGTTTAAGGGTTACGTCGAGATTCCTTTAAGCAAGTCTTAATTGATGCGAAAAGTAACGTTAAAGGATAGTGAAACAATTTGGGATGATACTTATAAATGGCCACTAGAATTTATTATAAAAATTATTCCAGTATACAGTAAAGGTTCAATACTTCAATGTTCCCGCTGATAAGGGCAGTTCTCCCAGCAAGACCATAAGTAATGAAGTTTTTCCGCCGCCAACAGGTCCAATTATAGAAAGGAGTTTTCCATGTGATACTGTTAACGATATGTCTTTCAAACTAAAACCGTTGTACCATGAAGCAGAAACATTATCTAAAGCTAATTGGTCTCCAATATTTGACTCAAGAGATTGAATGTATCCAGGATTTTCTTTGCATTCATCGAGCATTAGGTGTTTCTTAAATTAAATATTAGACACTATACATTAATGACACTGTACTGACATATTATAATGATGGGACGATGTAGCATAATTTTATTCATACGACAAGAAATCATACGTCGTGTAATTTTTACATTCTAAATAAGGTAAGGCTGCAGTCTAATTTCCTATTGAACGGTTTACCTCAATTCGGTCAAATGAAACTTTGGCATCAATTATTGCTCGAATCGCTTCAGGAACACCAATAGATAAAGCAACTTGCAAGGAATTTAATAATGAATAAACTGTGAATACTTTCGAAGAATTAATTGTATTGCCCATCAAAACGTATACGATGATAGTTACAAAGCTAGTTATTGTATTCAGTAATAAATAGCTTGCTACATTTAATGCATAGAAAGCATATCCAGAGAACAGCCTATCCATTTCTTTTCTAAATTCGTAATACAAGCAAGTTAAAGATGGAACAATAAAATTAGGTTACCATCATACAAACGAATATCCTGATATATTATATGATATGTATATATATATATATATGTATATTAATCAAGTAATTTGTTAAGAATAAATAAAACCGAAGCTAAGCTATTTGTACAATTAATAATATAAACTCTTACGATGTATATTTACAATACCTTCGTAATTGACGGATAGCTTTAGCAAATGAATTCTCCCAAGCATACATTTTTATTGTTCTCATACTCGAAATGACTTCATTCATGATCCGCACTCTTTTATCTGCAAATTTTAAGTATTTCTGCCTAAAACGAAAAAGTTCCAATAAGTCGTATTTAATGCCTATACGTATTTGAGTGCAAAAGTTAATTGTTGATAATTAAAATAATTTAATTAAATCAACCAGCTCTACAAGGTTTAGTTGTAGAATAAATGTCGGATATCATACCTAAACTTGACGAGCAAAGTGACAAGGGCAGACTGTTGTAAAATCAATGTTAATAATACTCCTAATCCAGCCAAACTAGCAACCCCTACTTGCTGCCATAGTAAAGCAGTTAACGTAATAGCTAAGAATGGCGCAATCCAAAGCATGTGTAAAAACTGATATGCGAGTTTCATCTTCAATGCGTCGTTCGCGAGTAGATTTACAATGAAACCAATACTTGTCCTGGATAATGCACTACTTTTTAGTCTCAAGGCCTATGTAGTAATTTAATAGAAATATGAATATCAGGTGCATTACTATCTTAAGCAAATATAACTAAGAAATACCTGCAAAATCAAAATTTTAATATTTAACATTGCTATAACATTAACTAGTGTGATTTAGTTAGATTACGCACAGTACCGTACCTCTTACTGATATGTGAGCATAAGCAAGATTTCAGGCATAATTAATTTATAGTCACAGATAATTACAAGCTATCTAACTATTTAATATTACGACATTAAGCGTAGAGCTCTTTTCAAATCTATATCGCTTACCTTTTGAAATATTGCAGTCGATAGTAAAACAGTAGTCCTAAATCCAAAGCGATACGTCATAAAGAAATACCATTGCCTACTTAGGACGAGTAGTACAGACACTAACGATAGTCCAGTAGCGTACAGATAGGCTTCTGCAGCAGTCACTTGAGAACTGGGAGTAAAGTAGCTAACCAACCAACCAACAAAGAGTGGCCTTATAACCGTGAGGCTCATCTAATCAACAGACCAAGATAATAATAAGAAGGTATGTTGTAATTACTTGATATTGCTTGGCACTACGTTCACCCTAATATCAAGTACATATTCGGTAATAAACCGTAATACAAGAGTGTAACTGCATAGCGGAATTATTGCCGTAAGTGGCCGTATGCACTTACGGTAATAAATGCCACGATACCGATTCCCATAAAAGGAATCCCATAACATTTAATTAATAACTTGAACAGATTATTTGTTCGACTTCTATCACGAGATGGATTTTCATCGGACCAGTATCTGTTATAAAATGTCAAAGTGTTGAAGAAGCGCAACTTCAGTTACAGATAGTGCTACCTACTGTACGCGTATAGGCATAAATTTATTAATCAGTAGTTGCCTGATTCGGGCGTTGTGATATTGCGCCAAGATCATTTTTTAAAATTAACTACATTAACAGTTTGACAGATAATTAGGATAATATTAGGCAGATATCAGACGAAGTCTATAGTCAGTTACGTTACATTACATATCGAACTATTATAAGTTACAATAAATCCTTAATTCTACGTAGATATTAATGTCTACTTGCAGACTGAAAGTTATTTCTATATGTGTAGATTGTGATCTAAATAAAATGACCTGCAATTGCAGTAGTAAGCTAAAGCTAGATAGTAAGTACTGTCAAAGTATACTCAGTTATCTCTCTGATTTATATTATACAATTACAATATACATTCATGTAATCATCTAGGCAGCTATATCTGATATATCTGATATAGTCAACAATCCATCGTAGATTTAAATTTAAAATCCGAATTTACAGAATTATAGTGGTCAATAAGTTGTTAAACTCTTATAGTCTACAGTAACAGAGCTTATTAACTTCTCGACGCTATTATGTATTGATAGCAGTAGGTGATATATACCGTAGCCCATATGGTAAATATATCCGGCTCAATAGTAAGCATACACTGATCATCAGTCTATATTGTTTTCACCATTGAACATACAGTTTAATTATTTTGTAGTAATACAGCATCGTTTCTATTTTATTTTCAAACCTTTCGAATAAATCCATCTGTTTCCGACTGGAGTCGACATGTAATACTGGAAAAATATCCGATTCTTGTAATTGTCGTTGTTTTATTATTCTAAATAGAGGATGCAACCACCTATAATGCGAAATAGGATTAATTTATACAAATATTATATAGCGCTACATTCTAAATACACATATGCTGTACATAAATTAATGATGTACAAGTACATAAATAATCTATCCAATACACGCATGCTGTAAGGGTATAAATTGCTCAAGCAAATTATTTGTTGTTGTTCATTCTTTAAATACGTATGTTTAGCAATTCTAAAATTGACATTTTTATCTAGTCGATTATTGCTTTTCTAGTGATACATGTACTTTAAGCTGTATTTTTTTTCTAGGAATTTACAACAGGGGTTCACTAGCTGATTATAATTATAGGTTCTAAATATACAGTACCGTTCCGATATCGCACTGGAATTAGCTCACCATAACATGGCATTTATGTTAATATCGCATTATTCGGTGATGAGTCGAACCCCGCTTTGCCACAAAAAAAGCTATCATTCACCACGTTCTCACAGAACGCCATTTAATTTATCAAAGTTTATTTAATACAAAGCTGACATCTGATGATTAGTAAGGTATTCACTTCTGTGATGCATTACTTGGATAACTCATTTAGAGACCAGTGTCATATGATCCAATTTAAAATCGTCTCCAATCTTGAAATGAAGTGCAGCCCATTACTATCACGTAAAGATCATCCTATCATGTGGTCTATCAATAACGTGTTCATTGTTATAGAACAGGCAGGCTTTCATCATCAAGTATTTATCAAAATGCATCACTGACAAGGACTATGCAAAGCTCTATTTATTTCCTGTGGTGTATCCTACTGGTAAGTCACTTCGAATACTAAATCTTAATACCAATGTTTAGAACCCCACCTCAATTTTAGGAATGGCGTACTACATTATAAATCATCATTAGGTAAGCTAACTATAATTATATTGTCAATCATGAATTGCTGTTATACGAGTACAATGCTTACTGTGCCCTGTGTAATAAGGAACTAACTTTTTATATTTCATGAAAAATGATTGAATACTTAGCTCGAATGGGAGGCATTTTACGGGCCATCGATATTATAAATCAATCCAAAAAGTGTATATAGATTCCATTGCTAGAATTCAGCGTCGTAAGGTCATAATTTCATTGCAATACAGTTGATGTCTAATCCATAGTGCATCAATGATTTGTACAGTATAACAAGTCGTCATTTCAGCTGACCTTGTTTCTGCTATGCATACTGGGTGTCAACTCGATTGAATGATAGAGAGTAAACGTTGATTCGATTACGTATGGGGAGTTTATTAATTATTATGTCATTCTCCATGCTGCACTAATAAAGTGAGTTGTAACTAAGGACGAAAAAGGAGAAAATTCCTAAAAGTCCTAACGGTTGTACACTAATGTGCAGTAATACAATGACATAATCAGATAGGCGAACCCATCAAGTTAGGGAAGACTACAGCAAAGCATCGTCGTTTGACTAGAGAATCTCATTGCATATTATAATGATTTCAGTAAATTACAGAAGTTATGTGATATATTTGACGTATATTAAAAAGCAATGTTTGCATGAAGATGAAGCAGATGTGAAGTTATTGCAGTTAATCCTGCCATTCAAAGTAGATGAGGCCAGTAATAATGACTATAGACAAGAACAACTGATGGTGATCATTGCGACTATCACTTACCAAAATGAACAATATTTTGAAAACGCGTAAGCTTGATTATACGGATGATGGGCATCGTTTATTTGTGTCTTGTCCAGATCACTAGACATTTTCTAGCAGGTGTCTACAATCTTAAGCTTGACAGTGAAGAAAAAGATATTCTATGAACCCATTAAAACGGCATCCATTGGACTGAAAATTTCTCTCTGCAGTAGCTGCTACCATGGGCCAGAAATGGATGAAAGAAGACATTCAGGTCAGCCTAATGCTAACAAAGGTTATACTGAGATACTAATCGTGTTGCATTGATTGAAGCCAATCGCGCAGATGCCAATCGTACAGGTATCAGGTATGATACCGCCCGACTACGAACTATAGCGCGGACATACGGACACTGGACAAGGCTACTGCATACAGGTAGGAATGGAATTCAGCAAAGTTTGCACGCATCTTCCAGCAGGTAGTAGTCAAAGTTTCCGTTTGTCCAGTGTCCAGTGCAGCGCAAACAGTACCATAGTACCTGAGATCAGAGTGGAACTTTACTTCGCTGATTGCACCCAGCGTGGACAATAATTATAAATTAATTAATTATTTTCTTAGAAGCAAGTGGAGACACCGATGAGCTGATGATTGCAGACTTGTTGCGGATTACTGAAGTAGATAGCAATTCAGAATGACAGATCGGCAGGATGTCCCTTAATTTACAAATTGCAAAAATACTCCAAGCAAACAGTACTATAGTACCAGAGATCAGAGTAGAACTAGCTTTACGTCATGGATTGCACCCAGGATAGACAATAATGATAAGCAAGTGGAGACAATGCTGCGCTGATGATTGCAGACATATTGCAGATTACTGGAGTAGATAAATTTAGAATGACAGATTGGCAGGATGTCCCTTAATTTACAAATTGCAAAAATACTCCAAGCAAACAGTACCATAGTACCAGAGATTAGAGTAGAACTAGTTTTACGTCATTGATTGCACGCAGGATAGACAATAATGATAAGCAAGTGGAGACACTGCTGCGCTGATGATTGCAGACATGTTGCAGATTACTAGAGTAGATAAATTCAGAATGACAGATAGGTAGGATGTCCTTAATTTACAAATTGCAAAAGTACTCCAAGCAAACAGTACCATAGTACCAGAGAATAGAGTAGAACTAGTTTTACGCCATTGATTGCACCTAGCATAGACAATAATTATAAGTAACTGGAGACCTGCTGCGCTGGTGATTGCAGACATGTTGCAGATTACTGGAGTAGAAAAATTCAGAATGACAGATAGGCAGGATGTCCTTAATTTACAAATTGCAAAAGTACTCCAAGTCCAAGCAAACAGTACCATGGTACCAGAGATCAGAGTGGAACTAGTTTTACGTCATTGATTGCACCCAGCTTAGACAATAATTATAAGCAACTGGAGACACTGCTGCGCTGATGATTGTACGCATGTTGCAAATTACTTATCGACAATAATTATAAGCAGCTGGAGACACTGCTGCGCTGATGATCATGATTGCAGACATATTGCAGATTACTAGAGCAGATAAATTCAGAATGACAGACGAGCAGGATGTCCGTAAATTTACAAATTGCAAAATACAGTACTCCAAGCAAACAGTAGTTACAGTACAGTACTGTAGTAGTAGATCAGAGTAGAACTTTGTGTCATTGATTGCACCCAGCATAGACAATAATTGTTATCAACTGGAGACACCGCTGCGCTGATGATTGCAGACATGTTGCAGATTACTGGAGTAGATAAATTCAGAATGACAGATAAGCAGGATGTCCATTAACCTTAATTTACAAATTGCAACATACCCCAAGCGGTCCAAGCAAACAGTAGCTACAGTACCATAGTACCACATCAGAGTAGAACTTCGCGTCATTGATTGCACCCAGCATCGACAATAATTATAAGCAGTTGGAAACACCGCTGCGCTGATGATTGCAGACATGTTGCAGATTACTAGAGTGCATAACGATTCAGAGAGGCAGATTGGCAGAATGTCCCTTTTTTTAATTTATAAATTGCAAAATACTCCAAGCAAACAGTAGCCACAGTACCATAATACCAGATCAGAATGGAACTTTACGCCATTGATTACACCCTGCATAGACAATAATTATAAGCAACTGGAGACACTGCTGTGCTGATGATTGCAGACATGTTGTAGATTACTGGAGTAGATAATTTCAGAACGACAAATTGGCAGGATGTCCCTTAATTTAAATTTATAAATTACGAAACACTCCAAGCAAACAGTAGTTACAGTACCATAGTACCAGATCAGAGTAGAACTTTACGTCATTGATTGCACCCAGCATAAACAATAATTATAAGCAACTGGAGACACCGCTGCGCTGATGATTGCAAACATGTTGCAGATTACTGGAGTAGATAAATTCAGAATGACATTTTGGCAGGATGTCCCTTAATTTACAAATTACAAAATACTTCAAACAAACAGTAGTTACAATACCATAGTACCAGATCAGAGTGGAACTTTACGTCATTGATTGCACCCAGCATCGACAATAATTATAAGCAACTAGAGACACTGATGCGCTGATGATTGCAGACATGTTGTGGATTACTGGTGTAGATAAATTCAGAATGACAGATTCACAGGATGCCCCTTAATTTACAAATTGCAAAATACGCCAAGTAAACAGTACAACAGTATCATAGTACAGTATCAGAGATCAGAGTGGAACTTTACGTCACTGATTGCACCCAGCATAGACTATACTGTAATTAAAAGCAACTGGAGATACCGCTGTGCTAATGATTGCAGACATGTTGCAGATTACTGGAAAGCATAACAATTCAGAGTGACAGATAGGCAGGATGTCCCTTAATGTATAAATTACAAAATACTCCAAGCAAAACAGCTTTTCCATTTGTTGAGGAAAAAACTGTTTTCGTACTCGTCTCAAGAGTGGTTCCAATTGATAAGGAATCAAATCAATCGTCATTAGCTGTGATGTCAGCTCAGTATCATCAAGCATCTGCAAGAGGAGAAAAAGGACGCAGTGTTGAATCTAATCATCCTTTTGTTAAAGCGAGTTTCTTCTCCAAATTTTTCTCGTTTTGGTAAGGCAATCATGAGCATTTGACTGCAAAATAATCTTAATTACTTTAATTTTACCCATGGTAATAATCAATACGAATACGCGTACAGCCTGTAGTTGACTACTCGACGTTGATCGATGCTCGACTGTCTGCAAGGTAGTTAGTTAGTAGCAAAGTATCAAGAGGCAAGTCAGTCAGTTGGATTATCTACATTGGATATATTGCATGATTATATTGTGACGGATTCAGTTAATGTAAACCCAGTAGAACTAGAACTGCAACAATAATGCCGGCACAAATAACTGTAGAACTGCGAAGTAGCACATGTAGAGATAGAGAGAGAGAGGCTAAGAGTGGATTCAATGAGTTTAATCCATAGGTTATTACCCAATTTCAATGTAGTCCTTCATGCACAGCACTCGATATCTCAATCAATGGATCAATTCTTGAAATTTGATCGTTGCAATATCGATAGTAGGTACTGTACACTTCATTTTAAAGTTGCAGGGTGTGATAAAATCCGATTACGAGAAAGAAGTCTTTTAGTAGTTGTATTCAGTAAGAGTAGGGCTGTGTGTAGCTAGTCTTTGTATTCAATCTAATAAAGTTCTAATTTTCAACTTTGGAATTTTCGTGATCGGATTTATCACACAGTGGTATACTGGTTTTACGGATAATGTCAAGTAAAATCTACTTGATTGGGAAACCATTTTTTTGAAAAGTATGGTAATAAAACATAATGACAGCAAGCCCAGATATATCAATAATTTCAAATTAGCTCAAATAAGGATATAAGCAATCATCTACTTATTTGTATATTTACGCTCTTCGTTGTCTAATAAGAGTATAAGATACAATGCTTTCCACGTTACAATTCCATCTTTTTTCCTATCTAGGTGGCTAAATCCACTGTTTAAAATTGTAAAAACAAGACAATTACGTCAGTCGGATTTATTCGATGTTTTGCACGCGGACAAGTGCCAAAAGCAAGTTGATGCATTTAATCAGTAAGTGGATGATAAACATACAGTACAATATTGCCAAATAAATGCGTGAACTGCAATAGCAAAGTATACAGTAATGCATTACTACATTTTGCTTAACCTGCTTATCAATGTCCTTATTGATCAAAAACAACTAATGCTGGTAAAATAGTATCTTCAGTTATCATCTTGTCCCACTAACTTAGCACATCAACAATTACTATGTAGTAATACGTGAGATTTGTTACTGTTCACGTTCACTCATGGATTAGAATAATCATATCGAAATGCATCTTATACCGTAAATGAATGCCCATCGCCATGTACAATGCCTTTAATTACCGTATGTTTTAATCAATAAATGATCCAATGATTCCATCCTGACAGAATCTGGTCTGCAGCAGTCGGAAAGTCAAGCCAAAATGAAAAACCTGACCTGTTATTATGTCTTCTGAAACATTATGGTGTCACTTATATGCTTCTTGGCATTATATTTTGCCTCCATGTAATTATAAAATAATTTCCAGTACGATTGAGATCTAAATTTAACCTTTTCAAATACGTTGATTAAATGATAACAACTAGTAGGTAAAAATTCTCCTTCTATACAGTACATAATGTCTGTAGCTGTATCAAATATAGCAAAGATGCGAAAAAAGTTCACTTATTATAATAGCAGTATCATCTGATTTAAGTTGTCTACGATATCGTAATAAATTCAATGCTATATAATTATAGCTTTCGATAAACAATATTATGCGTTATTGCCATTGTTGTGAGTTTACGGCACTAATTAATAACTGAACATATTAGCAATACCTGAAAATATTTTCTTAATTATGATGGCATAACTTTTTTCTATCAGCTATAAAAAATCACAGCTTATTTTTACACGAATCGATTCTTGCACGTACTTGTCGTCTTGCACTTTTACGCAATTTAAGTTGACAATACATAATTCTGCTTACTAAAACAATTTCAGCCTATTTAACGATATACATCTGCACTTGTCCATGGTTTAGTTTAACGGCGTAGACTTAAGTATAGTTAATTTCTTTTTGATATCTAGATTACTTGTACAATTATTCAACCATTCTTTGTCGGATGGTTAATAAGTTACTTTGCCGTAGATTCTGAAATGACCATCAAAGAAGCTTGCTTATATGCCGCCGGCTTATCATTAGTCAGCATGTCAATTTCATTAACCAAGCAATGTTACTCCTTCATGTCATATCGCCTTGGCATACAAACAACTATTTTCCTTTCTGCAGCTATATTTCAAAAGGTAAGAGATAAATTAACACTTAATATAATGAATCATACTGTAATTTATGATAGTTTACATCATTCTAGAAATCAATAACATCTTTTGATTAACATCGATTCTTGCAATTATTTGTAAAGACATTAAAACTAAACAGCCATGCTATGTCGAAAACTAGTACCGGTCATATTGTCAACCTACTAGCAAATGATGCTTTGCATATGAAAGATACTTTCCAATTCTTACACATGCTGTGGATTGGACCTCTGTTGGTGATAACGATGTGCATTTTATTATGGCAGCAAATAGGGATTGCATCATTGGCTGGATTGTTCGTACTTGTAGCTATGATAGCACAACAATCAGCTTTTCTGAAACTACTGATGAAATTCAGGTATAGTTTAATGCAATTATTATAGAAGGGTTCAGCTATTTTATTATTTTTCTGCGGGTTTAATTAATAATTATTTATAATTATTTAAATTTGGAACAATATGACACTTTATGCGGTAATACGTATTATGCTAGAGCTTGGCTAAGTAATGACGATATTTAAAGGCTTTGGCTGTAACTAACATATATATCTATATTAAAATGTTGAACACTATCAGGCGAAAATATCTAAAATTTGCCGATCAACGAGTAAGAATAATGAATGAAATCATAGCCAGTATGAGAATGATTAAAATGTACGCTTGGGAAGTACCGTTTGCTAAAAGAATAAAGCAATTGCGAAGGTACCCTTATCGACATTGCTAAATACCTCCTTGTATATAGTCCCTAAAGACTATACTGATTGTAACTTTTAGTTCAGTCATTTACTAGAATGCTATTACTAAATGCGTCACGGTTTTAAAAAATTTTAATTCGGACACCTTTTAGAGATGAAGTCGATAGAATGTATACCGGATTTAAGTTCTATTCAGTGAATGCAGCAAGCTTTCTATTATTAAATACAATAACATCTTTTACCACGATAACGGTATACGTGCTACTTGGTAACACTATAACTGCTGCTAAAGTCTTCACTGTTTACGCAATGTTAAATTCTTTACAAATTGCGCTATCCATTGGTATTCCTGAAGCCGTTCGAGCGATAACTGATGCTAGAGTTTCTTTTGGTCGAATTGAGGTTAATTAACTAGTTTAAAATTATACTTAGGATCTATAAATTTGTTAGGTTGCAGCACAAAATCTTTAAATATCATGCATCACTTATCAATTTAGCATTAGTCAATAATATTTTACGATTATCATCGTACATACTTCGCAGAAACACTTGATGCTGGAAGAATTTAGTCAAAATCATCAAGAAAATATAGTTTCTGAAAATGATTCTCGCATTGTAATTGATGGAATCTCGGCCAAATGGGGCGATGGTTTTGGTCTGAATGATATTTCAATCACGGTACCAAAAGGAAAGTTATATTCCATTGTCGGGCCCGTTGGATGTGGAAAGACATCAGTAATTATGACTTTACTAGGAGAATTGCCTTATAAGTCTGGAAAGCTTAGGTAATTTATTTTCTTTTCATAACTTTAATAAATAAAACTGTTAACTATTCCTACGGCGGTAAATAAGTCGAAGTAGCTTAAAATGGCAATATTATTTCTGTATTACGATACGAAAAGATTCTAAGAAGCTCCTCACAGTAATTTTATTTTTTTAATTTTTTCAATAATGCAGCATAACTGGTAGAATGGCCTATGCTCCGCAACAGCCGTGGATATTTTCCGGGACTATAAAGGAAAATATTTTATTTGGAAGTACTTTTGATGAGGACAAGTATCATAAAATTATCGAAGCTTGTGCTTTAGTTAAAGTAAGATTTACTGATCTTAACTTATTCTACATAATGGATGTATTACAACAGGCTTTAGCATATTTGAGTATTAAAACTGTCTTAGCCTAAACTTGAAAATGTTTACTTTTATTTAACTTGGTAATATCATCAAATATAAATTAAAAGTCAATATGTATATTTAACGCCCATATCAAGGATTTACAACAATTACCTAATGGAGACGAAACTTACGTTGGAGAACGTGGTATGCGACTGAGTGGTGGTCAAAAAGCACGTGTTAGTTTGGCCAGGTTAGACCTGTAAATTAGGACAAAATGATTTTCTGTTGCTAGAACGAATCATTATTTATGTTATCGTTAGAGCTGTATATCTTGATGCCGATATTTATATCATGGATGATCCTCTAAGTGCTGTTGATATCGAAGTTGCTCGTCATTTATACGACAAGTAAGTTAGCTAGTTTTTATAGTTTTATTTAATCTTAGAATTATAAAGCATCAGCATAACATCTGTGAGTATTAGTGATACAATCTTGGTTACAAAATGAACATTTTATTGGACCCAGATGCATTTGTGGACTATTAAAGGATCGCACTAGGATTTTAGTAACGCACCAGATTCAATTACTGAGCAAAGCTGATCAGATTATTATATTAGAAAACGGGAGCATACATCAAAGCGGCTTACTTTCTGAATTAATCCAAAATGGTGTCAATTTTACAAAATTACTACACGTAGAAGATACGGAAAATCTTGACGAGGAAATCTCCAAAAATGAGTTGGTATTTGCTATTCACTGATGGATTGAATAACGTAAACTTATCATTGTAGTTAACTCTCAAAAGCCTAATATTTTTTATTTGCTAGAACAAAGAAGAAATTAAAGGAAATACTGAAAGTAGTAACAGGAATCTATAGTCTAATCATTAAGGCTACCTGATATACAGAAAATATAGCTACTTTTTAAATAATTTTGCTCTTATTAAGTTATTCTTGCTATTATGCATAGATTGATTATCAAGAGTTGACTTCATGTCCATTTTACTAGGTATTTTAATTAAGTGTAAATTTTTGTTAAAATTAGGATAGCAAAAAAGATTCGGCTTTACAAGACGAGCAAAGAGATGAAGGAAAAATTAGCTATAAAACCTATCTGTTATTTCTCAGCTCTGGAAATGGAATCTCTTTTTTTATTTTCTTATTATTTGTAAGCGTTGCAAGTCAAACATTAACAGTCATCACAGATTGGTGGCTATCAAGATGGTCAGATAACTTTACCACTATGATAGCCAATGGAAGCAATACGAGCATATTAAATGAAAAATCTATTTTTGGACTGACGAATGGAACAACAATCATTATATATAGTTGCCTTCTCATAGGCTCTTGGATTCTAACCTCTGCAAGATGTATATTATGTATCAAACTTGTTATGGATTCTGCACGGAGCTTTCATCATCGAATGTTAAAGTCGATATTAGAGGCGCCTATATATTTTTTTGACACCAATCCAGTTGGTAATTATCACCGTTATTATGACGTTACGACATAATAGCTTATTCGAGAATTTTTACATAATTTAAATGTTTTGATATCGACATCAACTATATTGCTGGATATATTTTTATAGTATTAAGCGTTCTAAAAAGCATTTTTTATATTACTTATAAATATAAATTGCTTAGGTCGTGTACTGAATAGATTTTCCAAAGATTTAAGCAGTATTGATGGTGAATTACCCTTTACGACTCTGCAAGTTATTCAAGTAATATTAAAATGTAATCCTGTTATCGGTGTAATACGTCTATAACAGACTCTTTTTGATCTTAATAGATTGGTATATTCTGCTGCAGCATTATCATCACAACAGTTGTCTTTAATCCATGGGTACTGATACCTGCAGTTGTTCTAGTAATTTCGTTTATTTTTATACGATCATATTATCTCAGTTTGTCACGGGAAGTTACACGCCTAGCAGCCGTAGGTAACGTCTAAATTAAGCGTTAAAGCTAGCCAATTTATTCGATATATTAGCTTAATACTGCATATTCAGAATGTTACCTTAGTATAGTTGTTGCAGTAACTCAAAATAATTATTTCGTTTTTCCGTCTAAATCGAACGATCAGCCTTTCTAAAAATTGATAATTAGTCATTGATTTACTATTCTAGCCAGCAGTCCAATCTATAGTCATATATCTACGACTTTACATGGTCTGACTACCATTCGAGCATTAAAATCGGAAGAGTTATTCATGAAGCAATTCATTTCTTATCAAGATAATCATACAAAAGCAGCAATTGTGCGTATTGCATTGTTGCGATGGAATGCATTTCATGTTGACATTTTAAGCTCCTTTTACTTGACCTGTGTAGCTTTTGCTGGAATTTTAGCCGCAAATAGTAAGACAACCACATATGTATAGCGACTGAAATATAAATCATTGTATAATGTTTTATTTGTTAGATGTACATTGGTGGTATATGGCATTACTACATTGCTATAGTTTTTTGACTGTCTTAACCTTTGAATGTTCAATAACACGTAGCAGTTAGTGCAGGTGGAATTGGCCTATCGTTGAGTTACACGATATTACTATTAGGCAACTTTCAGTGGTTGATAAGGCAAAGTGCAGAATTAGAAAATCAGGTAAGTTACATTTTTAGACGATCTTACGAGTAATAAATATATACAATATTACAGGATGACGCCTATAAGGCAGAAATAGGTTATTTCGTTCATTTATGAGTATATGCTTACATAGCTGCACGCGTTCTTTACTTCCATATAATTACTGAATATGCATATCGTATATGAAACAGTGTAAAGAAAACTAAATTTAACGCCATTAAAGATAGATTTCTCATCTTTACGCTTTTACAAGTAACTAATGAATGTGAAATAATTTAAAGCACTTCTAACAAGTACTACTATTAGATGACTTCTGTAGAAAGGATAAAGGAATATAGTGAGATAAGCCCAGAAGATGAAGCTTTAAAAGCAAAATTACCTAAGAATTGGCCCGTTCATGGCAGGATACTATTCAAAAATTTATCATTTCGCCATCACGAAAGCTTACCTTATGTTTTGCACAATATCAATTGCGCTATTGAAGCTGGAGAAAAGGTATGTTTGCGTTTTCTTACAATATTTATGGGAACGCATTTACAATCCATTGCCTTGTTCAATGCTTATTTATTTAATTATAACCCGAATTTTCATATTTAAATATTTAAATGTATTGCCTTACACATGTTATGAATGGACATAGATTGGAGTAGTAGGTCGAACAGGTGCTGGTAAGTCGTCCCTGGTTGCATCCTTATTTCGTATGGCAGATCTATCCGGAAATATTGAAATTGATGACATCTCAATCACAAGTGTCAATGTTAGCAGTCTACGTAGTAAAATATCCGTCATACCACAGGTACTAATTTTGAATTTATGGTATACCTCTTAAGATACAAAAGTAAGTAATTATTTACCTTAAAAGATCTTATTAATAATATCTATTATATATTCTTAACGTTATATTAAAGGATCCATCACTCTTTGTCGGAACATTACGTGACAACCTTGATCCATTTGGTGAATACGATGATATCAAGTTATGGAATACATTGGAAGAAGTAATAAATCATAATATATATTATATAGTTTTACCTAGTTCATATTATTTGTCAGTCAATATCGAGTAGGAATAATTAGATTATAAAACTTTAATAATGGAACTTTTTAACAGTCTTGAGTCTTGCTGCTTTCGATGCTAATTTTAAAATTACGATAGGTGCAGCTATCGTCTTACATTCGACAATTACCTGGTAAGCTTGACAGTAATGTTTCAGAAGCTGGATCCAATTTTAGTATCGGCCAGAGGCAGTTACTCTGTCTTGGAAGAGCAATCTTACGGAAAAATAAAATCTTAGTGGTTGATGAAGCAACTGCCAATGTTGATTTTAAGTAAGCTTAGTACATGCTTAAATTTGCGTTATCATGCCGATGAAAAGATTAATTTAATTTCAATTGATCTGCATAATAAGATATTGTAACCGTGAAAAATTTTTAACCGGTATTCTTTGCTTTTAGTACGGATGAATTCATACAAAAATCGATTAAAACTAAATTTCAACATAGTACCGTGATCACAATTGCTCATCGACTTAACACTGTTATCGAATGTGATCGCATTATGGTAGGAATACTACAAGTAGACAAGTTTATAATTCAAAATTTTCCTTAAACTTTTAACTTGATACATTTGTCTAAATAGTAATTTTTTATTCAACGAATAGCTATTTCGAGATGGAAGATTAGTAGAATTCGACCACCCTTTTGCATTATTACAAAATATGAACTCTGAATTCGCTAAAATGGTCATGAGCATTGGAACCACTGAATTTACAAGATTAATGGGCGTGGCTATGAAGAATCGTATAAGAAGTAAATCGGTTGCCCATAATATAATGCAAACTCAAGACAGAAATACCAGTAATGCTGCCATCAGAATTTTTCAAAATAATGACACTGGTCATGTCTGTAATACCAGCATGGAGACCATCGTGTAATATCTTATTGTTAATAATATTATGTTGGCGATTTCAATTATGGCGTAACTGTAATACCAGTCACGTCACAGCTTCATAGTGATGAATATGGTACAATGTACTCGTATTCAAATTAAAGCGATAGCTTATGGAGCCTATTATGGTCTATGAAATATTCATAATTTTTACCATTTTGTTTCTGCATCTATCATATGTAGACACATTACGTAGTCTTAGTGGCTTATAGTAATATTCTCAAGTACTGATTGATGATTTTACAAGATTACAACATCATATTATAATTATTAAATGCAATACTATCGGAGATATTTAACTCATTATAATTGCTCAAGTCAGTATACGTATCAGAGGCAAGTGTACAGTACTGCCTCGTAATCATTGTATTCTAATGAAGAACAATTTTTAAAAATCTGTTTAATTTTATCAATACTATATACTGTTCTGTTTTTACGTATTGAGTTATACTCTGCGAGTAAAATTTGTAACTGGCTTTATTATTACAAATGCCGGGTATTTATAGATATTCTAGCTCACACCTTTTTGCCTGTTTGCGTCGTGGTATTAAACACTGATACCTAATTACTAACTGTTAGAGCTATCGTTTACTTTACAGCATATGGTTATCTATAGTAAATGATCAGTCTGCCTTTTACAATATAATCACGAACGGTCTTACAAGGTGTAGTAGTTTCAGCTAATTACAGTAGTAATTGAAGTACGGTAGCATTACGAAGTAGAATAGTCTACTATGCTGATCCTGTGTAGCGTTAGAGATTTGCTTAATTTTAATAACTCAGATTTTGAGTTGGACGATTGTGAACCTAAGAGGTTTCAAAACCCAAGCACTACACAAGGCTACAATACAGTCATCGTATTACAAATACTTATATAGATGATATTCTAATCATTTAGTTAACGCTCTATCTAATAGCTAATGTAACATATATCGTTTATCTATAACAAACCTTAGCAAATAATATTAAAAGTTTAATCCATATCTTTTTCATATGTATTGTGCTATAATTACGTTACTCCAAAATTTTTACAGTACAAATGCGATAAAAATAATATAACGTAAAGTTTTTAGAATACCATATAGTGAAAGAATTGAAAGAATGCAAATATTAGAATTCTTTAAAACTTTTAGTGAATGTAGATTGCAGTAAACGATATTTATCGCATAGAAATTAAATTAGTACTTGAGCTACTGTAGGAACACTATCATCGCTGATCAGAAATGACGACGTACTGCTATAACTAATATAGGCGTTACATTTATTCAACAGTAGTTTAACGGCATTGTCTACATCGCTTTTAAGTGCTTAATTTACTCGCAAAAGTTTAAAATAGCCTAAAGAATCTATGAGGATAACGTAAAGGCATACAAACACAACAGTAATTGAGAATAGGCAACTTAATAATTCGGCACGTGGGAAGGTTATCTGTCTTGATGCCTTCGAAAGATCTTTGAAGATTAGTCTTCAAAATAATCAAGCAATTATAGATAGAAATTTAGAAAATAGGGCGATACAGAGTATATTCAATCTTTAGTAGTTTTACATCTTGCAGATTTTCAACTGATAGAAACTACAAAGCTGTGTACAGGAATTTAATTTAATAACGTTAATTAACAATTCTTGAAATTACCAGTAATATAAGTCAATATTAAATTCTATATCATTTTCACTGAATTATGAAGCTTGATTATCTATGTAATTGTGAACGATATAAAACATTTTTTAGTGGATTCCAAATATTGAAATGCTACCATTCAAGTAATTGCTGTCAATTAATAAAAGTAATGCAATCATTAATCAAAAAGCTTCGTGATAGTATCAAGAAGGAACAGATAGATATCTAAGGACTCACAGCTTAGGTACGAGAAATGTTATTCCAATGTATATAGATAAGAAATAAGGGGAAAAGTGCAACTTGATTTTTTATCATATTCGACGAAATGAATATATATTCTAAACATGGAAGCAATATACGTGTAGGTATACTAAAGAAATCTTTAGCTTTTGGGGTAGGACTATGGTAATTACCGTAGCTATTAGTATTATATCATTCTTGCAATTATCACTACAGTTGTACCGTCATTAAAAACAGCTAAATAATATTGAGAGCAATATACTATCTTGATATAACAACAAGAATGATTGTCACAGAAAACTCTTTAAGATATTTTTGTAATAATTAAATAAGGAACATAAGGTTCATAAAGGAAGTATAAATCAATTATAAATCAACAATGAGTAACAAAAAATTTTAGCTGGTACAATTTGTATAGCAGTCATGGAGATACAATACTGACGATAGAATAAGATGTTTAGGAATGATTGCTTATGCCATGTTTAATAAATTTTTGATAGAGCAAAATATCAAATTGCGATTGGAATCATTATATATCATGTCAACGAAGGGATTAGATTCCACGATCAATCCGAACACAATATGCAACGCTGCAACTATCGATCTGTAGCTGAGATTGCAATATAATACTTTGTAGTTTATTGATATTTTATCCAATTTCTTGAACGTAACATCAGGAGTAGAAATGATACTGGAACTTGAAATCAATTCAGTATTACTACTCTTTCATTCTGACGATATCAAATTTGATATCAATTCTATAAGCTAGAAATGCAATGAAACTACTGTATATTATAGATGATGCCATGTAAGCATTAAAATATTTTTCTTTACCATTTTAAAACACGCTACGATAAATAAATGGTAAAAATATGGACTGCTAAATTGATGAAATAGATGAAATAGCAAATAAACTACAAAAATGATCGAGAACGAATACAAGATACTAGTTAGCATAGTACAGTTGATAAAGATAGTAGCAGAAGAGTGAATGTATTATTTCTCATGGGTTAATAACAGTCATTAAAGTTCACTATTAATTTATGCTTGGACAAAAATACAAAAGAAACACAAATACTTATAAGATGTAGAACAGTAAATTTAAAATATTGATGATACAATTATTAATATCTGGGGATTTCTTGATTTATGACTAACACTAAATTACTAAAAGCTTGAATCCTGTGGTTTGCTAAAAGAGACTTGAACTTTCAAGAAAATGACAAACTGAATGGATCCTAGTGACCAAAGCAGCACTCAATCGCATTGATTTATTGGAATAAAGATGGCGATAGTTTTTCTTTGGATGCAGGGGGTTCACCCGAACAACATAAGTATTTCCCGTTATTCTCGAAATCAGTTAAGTTCTTCATGACTTTTTTCAACTCTGGAGCCTTGTAAATTTTTTTGACAGGTCCAGTCGTCAATCGAACAGCATTGGTAGAAGCCTGTAACATTTGATCAAATGTACGAAATTTCTCTTTTTTCATAACAAGCTTTTCACCAGTGTGATGTTTATCACCATTTCGATATAAAATTACGCTAATAGGCTTGTCCATTTGAGTGCCAAATTTCTCTTTTCCAAGTGCACTGGCCACAACTGGTTTATCTGATTTGGAAACGTTACTTTTATTCACAGCAAAATCGCGCGATTGGCTGCTTGTACTGCCGGTATAATCCACCATATTTTCCCTTCCAGCCTTTCCAAGGCCCTTCCCGGAATCATCGAAGCGATTTTTATGGCTTCCCTATTGTATCAACGACAATAATAGTGGTTAGTACCAATTTAATACAAGGACTCATTTCAAGCTAAAGTTAGAACATTATAGCAATGTATAACATCAAATTATTTACAACTATTTGGGCCTGATCATTGGTTTGCTAGCAAAATCGGTAGTAGTGGGGCGGATCACAAAATTATTGCATCTACGTACGCTAATCTCAGTTTATTAATGTAAGTACGGTAATCTGAAAGATGCGATACTATAATTTTTAAATCTGTCCGTTGAATTTTTAGAGATAAAAAGAGGTAAAATCGTATTGATAAGTGCTCCATCGCTCAAGACGGCTAGTATCGTTGATTCCTCCATCCTGTTTACTGTAGAAAACATGCCAGGCCTTAAAAGAAAGCTTGCGGTAGGAAAAGTAATAACACAGTAAAATAAAATGATGTTCATCTTGAGCTAATTGCAGGAAAAACCCCTTCATAGGATAAAATTTTTAATGCTCTTACAGTATATTTAGACGAGTCCGTTAAGCGACTAGTCACATCTTGAGATTTCTTACTCGCCATTTTTGTTGTTGTATGTGTATTTTTCTTCTGTTGTTTTGCAAGTAGATCTGATCGGTTTCGCTGTATGTCGGCTGCAATGTTGTCTTATACTTATAGTAGCAAGCTAGGCTTTTATAACCATATCACTGGCTGAAATTATTCAACCAATAAGCGAATATAGGTAATAGGATTTATTAAAATCAGAATTTCATTTAACGCTAATTAATTATGCATCTGCATACAGGCGCTGAAGTTACCATGGCAACGTTGCAAGAGGAAGTTCTATCTGCTACATGAATGGTTATGTCTAAATGTTTTCCCTTTATGTTGGTCTTGGTAACATTATTTGTTAGCTAACAGTGTAATTGATCAATTAATGATGATGACTGATACAATTTTATGGTCTTGTGTATTATTATAATTGAATCATTCAAAAATAACTTGAAATGATAATGGAGATTTAAAGTGAAGCATTGTATTACAATGATTATTTTCTACAATTGTAAATCTACTCTATAGTTGATGATACAAGTAGCACCTTAATAGTCTCTTTCCTGTTTACAATAGTAATACATCTTGAAGAAGTACCGCTCCAATAGCAAACAAGCTTTAACTATTGTTGTTGTTGTTATAACATCCAATGACGAGCGATGTCAAAGGTTGCCATTATTTCCATCTGGTTTTATGCATATGTATTGAACTATTATTATTCTAGTAGATCGTAATGACATGTTGTTCCATCATCTACTTAAACAACAATACATATGATGTAAAGTTATGTTGAGCTCAGCTTTGAAGTAGAACTTTGTTCAGCTGGATAATATCAATTTTAATTACATTATTAAAATAATTTATTCACGGGCTAGCCGTTAAGTATCATATCTATCTGTCTTATAATGCAACTCTTTTCAAAAATTCACTGCATTTAGTATATCACAATTTATTAAAATATCCCATATAGCGATTTTCTTGCCATATACTAACGGGCATGTTCTGAGTATCCCTTAAATTAAGATCATAATGTGTAGTTAAGCTGTTAAATAAGTTATTGTTGTCAATGTGTTATGTAGAAGCGAATTAGAGATAACTTAAAAATTATACCAAAATCTAGTACTGTTGACAATAACAGGTTTATATAAGTAATGGTTGTAATAATTCAAGTATGTTAATTTCAGCTTCGCTTACTTCTCCTAAAAATATTCCTGATAAAATATTGATTATAAATAACAGAGTTTGCATTATGTGTATGTTCTCATCAGAGATTATGAAATTGATGAAAATTAATGAAATTATCATCCAACATGAATAATGAATAATATATTTAGGTTTGAAAAACATATTTTTTTCCGAACCTACAATTAGGATCGGAAATTCTGTATTATTCAAGTCCTTAATATACTTATTTTTGATTTCTAATTATTCCTCGTAGGTTTTGACTATTGCCGCAATTTCTGGTTCTAATCCTTGAATAAATTGACGTATCCGTTTCAGTAAGCCGGTTAACTGTGAAGTCGTCAGCTTGAACTTAGCCATAGCATCTTAGATCCTTTTACCAGAATTATTAAAAGAAATTCATGTTAAAATGCCCGACAGTAGTTATAGCCCACGTTATATTTCAAGCTGTATACAAATTCGTACAAAACGAAATGATACTTTAATACTAAACAATGATGTTAGCAGATTAAAATGCAAAGATGTTGGTCATACGTCGATTACGTTTCATTTTATATGTAGAACAGTTTCTACAACAAGACTAGCCCATTTTGGACTGCAACCGTAATAGACTAATATACTGGCACTGAGTATCAAATGATCTTACAGCACGTGTCAACTTTTTTGTATATTTGCGAAAAGGGCTGGAAAGTTTAGCACAAGTAGAAAAGGTAGAAGCCTGCAGCGTGCCTAAGATATAAAATATCTTGACCATGATTAATCTTATTACCAGATAAACATACGTCATTGCTCGTGCTACATGAAAGAGTAGGAGCATCTAGCTATTTGGAGATATTTACTAAAACCTAAAGAATGAGCGTAATATAACATTTCATGGCTAACATAATTACATTACTTTAACGTTCAATAATGATTAATCTTAACCCTAATGAGATACTAGAAGTATGTAGATACTAAGCATACAAGATGGCAAACCTGATAGCTAATTCACTGTCAATAACTGTACGAATGTCGGATTCTTCAAGCATCAGAAAAATTAGAATTCTATTAAAGCAGTGTTCAAAAGCCAGCTAAGGTATGTTTTGGCGTCCTTGACAAGTCTTTATCATTAGCTGTTTCAATAAGCAACTAGTATTACCTACATATGACGTCAAGATGTAAAAATATAATTTGATCAAGTTGTATATTACACTAATAAAAGCCTTTAACCATTATTATGTACGATACTGTAGTGTATGGCGACTAGACTAACAATTGATTAATGTGATGTTTCAAGAAAAGCCTATATTAATATCAAATTTGCTACAGTACGTTGTTTTTCCATTGTATATTTGCGTGTATAATGACCGATTAAAACTGAATAATTAAATATTTTTTACTATTCTACCTAACAATGAAAGTTTACTAATGTCTCGAGTGAAAGTAGAATTTAGTTAGATGGTCCACTGTTACAAATTGCCTTCTTTGTGAACGATTAACTCCTCTAGTAACTAATAACCTAACGCACTCGGGGTGCGTATAAGTAATCAATTACTCGAAAAATATTCAGTTAAAAAGTTTATTATATTGCTCGACGAGCCTTATGACTACTGAATTTCGGAACAACTAGTCGTTGGGAGCTCGCTCCTTTTATCCTCTCTGGGAGCGGCTGCTGGTACATTCTAACAAACTGAGCTCTAATCATTTTCTACGTTTAGTATAAGATTACATCTCACAATCAATATCAGGACTCAGTATAGGCAAAATTGGTAAACAACATTATAGTGGCAAAGCACTATAACATCCACTCATCCAGTTCAGATAAATAAAATTTCTTCTATGATTCTACTTATTTGGACGCATATAGTATTAACTATGATCGATCAATAGACAGGCGATAACTTTATTCAATTGTAGTGATATATATCATTCAATAATATTGCCATCAATAATTCTATCTGACTTAATAGTAATTGTATGCTACTATGGTGCAATAATAATCTATGTACTGTATTTGCAGAACTCTTCGCTAGGTTAAGAAGAACGTTAGTATTATCATCCCTCATAGAAGACATCGTAAGTGTTTAAATAAAGTAGTTCGATCTAATAACTGAGGATTCTATCTGTGTGTTTCATTGATCTGTGACCGTAGATAGTCGGAGTACCTTACAACTCCTGTCAGGCATTAACTTATCAGACACAAGATTGTAACAACCCTATATATTTTACTTTCACTGTATTTTCTAACACAAAACTACTATAATAAGCTGAGATCTTTACATTTGACATGCACTGGTGCTCTAATGTTTCAAAAGATTGAGAGATGGTTACAATAGCAAGAAATTACATTAAATTAATAGAAAAAATAAAGGAATAAATAAATATACAGTTTTTATTGCAGTTGGTACTTGTAGAAACTTTATGTTAGAGTGTTTCTTAGATACAATCAAATTAGAGCCTATATAGAATTATGTACAATAGATTACTAAATATAAATCATGTATATATGAAATTATTATCCATTATAGTACAAGTTAAATTGTACTATTAATTAAATATGTAATAGACTAAATAGTACGGCACAATGAGTTGATTAATTTTTCAGATGTTTTGATGATAATTTATATGGAAATTATTACTATGTGTCATAGCAATTTTTGCATGGACAGTTACGGCACATTTTATATATATATGTTACGGCTATATATCAAAAATTCAGTTCGCATTCTACATGTTGGTATAAAGTACTCCATTTATGCGCTAGCTTAAGTCACATTTTTTATATCTCAAACAAATGTAAACATGCTGGTTTATTGAGATATATACTATATGTTCTTCTATTTTTATAGATATTCGAGAAATATATAATACATATTGTTCTATTTACTAGTAGAGCCCACGCTCCTTAAAATTCGCTTACTGAATTCACTTGTACATTTTTCTTTAGAATATTAAATTGTTATCATTGAGATTAAGACCTAGATTTGTGTATCAAAAGTAATAAGTTTTTGTTCTGCTTCTACTTCTTAAACTTAGCTTCTGTATCTGCACGATTGGTATTGCAAGATGTCCTCTACCCTTAATGATGTACCGCTATAAAACATTATCGTCTTGTCTCTAGCGATAATAAAGTCCAGCTAAGTGCCTAAGCTCTTATGAATTCGTCTGTGTAACAGCGAAGTCTACTACGAAAATTATAGTAGTTACTATAGAATATGTTGTATGTAGTGGCTATACTATATTCTAGAAATGTAATACATTTGTCTCGTTCTACTTAATAACCTTAATTGAAGCACTATGACTTTAGCAACATGAATTATTGTTACGTTAGTCGTTAAATCGTTTACTAGTTGAACATTAACGCATTTTACAGGTAATCACTTTCGAATTACGATATACCTTACTTTATTTAAAGAAATTAATCATACATTAATAGAGTTTATTTAATTTAATGCGAAAATAGCAGGACTTCACAAGTAACGAAAATAAAATGAAAATTGTCTTCTTCGCTAGCGGTTGAAATATGGTGCACTTATAAGGGAAATGAAAGACTTTAATTGAACTTTTTAGATGAAACTTTTTGTATTACAATATTAACTAGAACACCTATATCGTTGTATTGCAATATTGATATGTGTATATCTAATTTTAGAATACCACCGTATTGACTGGAGTAACGTATTGTAAAAAAATAATAGCAATCTTTCCATAGATTACGATATTTTCAAGGATGCTTTGCTTCGGTACTTTATATCAACAGCTTATTGAACCAGAAACGGTGGTAAAATGAATCCTATGCAGCTGTGGATAAATCAAAATAAATAAGTATTATATTCCGCAGTCGTAACTATTGAGAACATCATTAATGTTTTTCCTGAGTTTATTAATAATGCTAATTTTATCTAAGGCGATATCCCTTGCCATAGAATAATCTTTTTGATTAACTTGATTAATGAGAGTTTCATTTGCCTCTACTTGCCGAATCATCTGCCTTCGCATATTCTCGATAGATTCTTTAACTGGATTGGTATAATTTAGTGCAACTTGTCTCGCTTTATTTTTTTGGGCCAATTCCGAAAGAATTTTAGGTGAAATTTTTTCTAATACATGCAGAATCCTTTTTGTTTGTCTATTGATTTTACTTGCAGACCAGATTGCAGTAACCACAGCAGCCGCAACAATGATAGTAATAATAATTCCTATACCAGCTGTTGCTCCACCAATTACTCCTCCGACAACAGCAGCACCAACTCCATCTGCAATAGTAAGGCCGACAGTAGCACCTACAGCACTACCACTAAGTGTTCCAGTAACAACTCCCAGACCGGCAAGTAGACTTCGACGTAATCCTTTTCCTTTAGACGGAATACCATCCGCGTATGAGCTGTTTTCTATAAGTGACGAAACGTTTTCTAGGTCCTGTATATTATTTAAAATGGAAACATCCACTGCTAACTTATTTTCCAAATCATCTAATTCCTTTAAAGCCTGTTCATAGCGCGAATCTAGAGATTTTCGTACTTTTACATAAAATTGTTTGAGTAAATTGTTATGATCTTCCCAAACAGTTAATAAGCGAATAAATCGATCGTCAATTAGTTTACTAATAACATCTTCGATATTAGTAACTTTTTCACGAATTGGTATGTCATCTAATGTCCAATGCGTCATCGAAAATTTAAATTTATTACTATTAAAAAAATGAAGCAAAGAAGTTGTAATTTGTTCAGTGTTATCATCGATAATTTTTTCAATGCCTATATGAAAATCTTGATTTTCTACGACAGTCTTTGCAGATGAGGTGTTATTTATTAGACTGTCCAAGTAAGAGATACGGTTTTTCTGATCCAAGCGAGAGCAATTCGCTAACAAGCGGTATCTATGGGCTACAACCTTCAATAAAGTGTCCAACCAACTATACATAATATAAACAAGACAGTTACAATTAATATTTAAACTAATGTATCTATTTTGCATATACATTGGCATGCAGTACCTTATAAAATACGCTACTGCATTAATATGAACTATTAATTCGGTAAAATAGCTAAAAATATCTATTACTACTTTAACAAATATCCTAATTGCGATACATACCAGCTATAATTTACTATTGTCTTCTTCAAGCTATCTTCCAGTAGCTGAGAAAGAAGGGAATATACTGTTTTCAAATCGTCCGATATATATCCAGCTTTGAGATGATTTGCTGTGATTTGACTCGATAATAATATGAGCTGAGAATCGTGAAAACCTGGCCAAAGTCGTTTTAAATTTTTCTTAATACTTTCTTCAACCTTGGGTCGATTTGTATCGGAGATAAGATCCCATTTATTACAGATAAAAATGGCTGATTCTGGGGAGAATCTCTTAAAATTTCCATTTCCTGTATTTTGAGCCACTCTTAAGAGTCTTACAAGCTGTAAAGTAGTGAACTATTATTAGCTATTATCTTAGATGGAAAATTTAAATAATCACTTGGTATCAGCTGTAATTTATTAAAGCTTACTCGGTCTTCTAGTATACCCCCAGCATTTGAGGGATTGATGACGTAAACAAGCGAGCAGGCTTTAGGCAAATAATTTACGAGCTGCTGTGTTGCTAAAGATGTTTCACCTATCCCTGGGCTATCTACTAAGAAGATTCCATCCTAATCGAGAGCATGAAGAATTCTATGGTGATGATTTTTGCATATGCTAGCTGAAATTGTCTTTGCATTTTGAACAAATTTTACTAACGGCAATAGCACATTACTAAATCGTTTCAATAAAACAATCTTCTCAAGTAGACACCAGAAAATTATGATAGACAGCCAAGGCCTTGTCTATTTTAATATAGTCAAATACATTCTACAATGCCAACTATTTCTCTATTTTAATCTATATTAATCAAAAATGTCTTAACCAGCTCGTTGGACAAACCTTCAGAAAGTCAAAACTCCAATGAACTTCAATCTTTCCACTTGTCAGTTCTACATCAGGAAGATCACAATTTACGGTAATATCATTTACTGAGGTAGAGAGCACAGGCGTTTCTTCGGTATCTGTATAGTCTTCATCTTGCTGAAGTGAACTGTGACCTTCTTCGGCTGCATTGGTGGAGATCTTTTTCTTGGATATCAGGTCTTGGGCACTTTTAATCTTTTTAACCAGGTCAGAAACTTTATCGATATGTATTGGCTGCAACGGTTCTAACTTTTTATCCCGTTTATTCCAAATAAACGGTTTCAAGCAAGAGTCTATGGAATAATGTAATTGACATATACACTTTGTGGTATGCAAATGGCCGACTGGCAGTACCGATTTTCCTAAGATTAAGTTAATTAAACTACTTTTTCCAGCGCTTACTTCTCCTAAGATCATATACAAACAGATAAAAATATTGACTGTATTATTATCATGCGTAGCTTGCCGTATATTTCTAATTAGAATTATTTAAGATACGAGGATAAAATTAGATCGTTCATTACAAATAACGTTGAAAGGATAAAAGTTTATTTTTTATCCTGAACCTGCAACAAGAATTGGATATTTCATATTGTAAAAATTCGCAATCTGGTTATTAATATTCTCTAAATAGTGTTCGTCAATGACATTGACTATATCGACAATTTCCGGTTGTAATTCTTGAAATATAAGCTCCTTTGCTTGTAACGATAAGTTGATTACTTGTAATTTGCTTTCCTCAAATTTAGTGATAGCAGCTTGGATCCTTCGTTTGCACTGGTTATTTCAAGATTTGTTAGGTATTGATCAGGGTACGAAAATACAATATTTTTATTTGATTTAGTAAAGTACCGGTAGCAGTAAGCAATAAATTGATACCAGAGTTAAGACATGTAGTTTTTATTACAAGTACTTGATAATTTAGAACAGAAAGCAGGTTATATCTTAAATTTGCGTTGGTCTAATGTTATCGTGGATTAATCAACTTAAATAGAATACGATATAGTCTGCCGAATCGTAGGCTGTTTTAGTCACGACAATAATTTTATCCAATTATGTTGCAAAGATATAGAGATGTAATAATCTAATTTAGAAAGTAATAGCACTTACGTAGGAACTTTTATAGTTTTCAATTGTTGCATCTCTTCGAAATAAGTCTAATCGGTCTTTAAAATCCTGCAAAGTTTTTGTTCCGGTTGAATCGATGTTATATTTTTTACAGATATTTCTTGCAACTCTAGCGCTTTTTATTTCATCAATTTCACTCTTTGTTATGGCAGAAGCCATTTTTAAACGATAGCTCTCACGATTATCAGTGCCGTAATCGAAAAGCTTTATGTAATGGCAAACTTGAATTCTGTAATTCCTATTCTTTGGATCTGAAATGTGAAGGAGAATGAAATTCACTTTTAATTTTCTACCCCGTGAAACAGTTTTAGTAACACTTTTAGTATCATATGCTACTAAGAAATATCCATTAGTAATCTACTCTTTGATCTTTGATTATGGATGGATTAACAATTACTAACTATGCTTATTATGATGTAATCTTTCAATTAAGACTATATAATTCCTGTTGAAGACCTGAAAAGAACTTGTACAGCTTTATCTACAGTACGTCACTTTATCGTACCTTGCTATATCAATATTATAGGGGAGTAATGAAGTATCGACAGTTCTATTCATACATTGCATATTCTTAAGTCCATTCTACTGTATGTATATACGAGTACTGTAGATACCTTTTTGCTACATAAGGGGGGGGGGGGGCTCTTCAACCTACAGTATAGCGATCAGCGGCACCAGCAAAAATTAGTTCTCTACTACAAACGTAATATCAATTATTATAAGATTTATAAAATTTTTTCATGATAAGATCGGAATCTAAGGATTTGGTAGCATGTTTACTTTTTCTATTTTTTCCTGTATTGTAAAAGAATTTACTTTCTTATTCAGACACACATTAATTCGCATGAAAGCTAAGTAATAATTCTAAAATCACAATTCATATCTGAAAGATTAATTGAATTACGTTAGAGCTTTACACTAATAAACCATACCGATACAACGAGATTCTCACAGTAGCTGAATGCTGATGATGCTCTATGATCAACCTGATGATCAAGCCTATTTTGACGTTTCAAGGGTTGTAAACTGACTTGGTTACGTAAAAAATTGCTTCATTAAGAATTGATATAGTCTATTTTATTGGCTTTGTTTGTTAATAAAAGCATACATTATGAAATATATTACAATAGAGCATTCTAAAAATTAACTATCGTACTTTTGTGTCAAATATAAGGTGTTCCTTTCAATAATAGCCTTAGGCGACGAAAGCATTGAGTTAAAAACATCTAATGCAAATGAAATAAATTCCACACCTATTTAGTGATGCTATTGTGAATGAATCCTATCTTATTGCTCTACCATATTTGTGAAGCCGGACAAATTTAACAGTCGATTTGTACTAAAATTTCAAAGAAATAAAATAACTTAATACTGCAGTAAAAATTAACAAAAACATGAAGAGCCGATTGTTCAAGGTTGTAAGAATCCGTTTATGTGAAATTTGAGCCAAATTTAATGTGAATGCCTTAAAAATTGTAAAGATTGAATTGAAAGCTGCACTATAGCTGAACAACTTGCAACCAGTATACAACAGAGAGCTCGCAGCACCCCTGCAATATTGGTCGAACGTTAACACACGTACAATATGCAAAATATGGCGGAAGGGACAATAGATGACTTAGCCTAATCAGCACGGTACTATAATAATCTTATGCACAAAAGTCATCTATGTCATTATAAAGTATTACTTTCGTACTTTCCGAATTGCTTACAGCAGAAGTAAGCTAAGAACGATTGGTTGATTTGTAAGCCTATTAACTAGAAGGTGGCAGTTGTATTGTCTGATAGACGCTTATTGAATACAAATCGTTAATAAGAAGCGATACAAGCAGCATAAGTATAGGACATAGACGTCGTCGAGAGTTTTATCCGTTGAAAACGCCAGAGCCAAAATAGTTACACAAAATTTGATCAACAGCAGCAACATTTATGGCCAACATCGATAGCGAAAAAGGTATACTCATAATTACTCAATTATTTCTGGCAATCTTTCGTGAGATTAATTATAACAATTTGTAAGCTTAGGCAAGTAAATGACATTATAATACAATGTAATGATTCAACGTCAATAACATCGAAATAACTTGCTGTATAGGAATACTGTACACGTACTCGTACGTATGTAGGGTCTTGAAATGCCGTGTTGTTTTGTAGAGTTATTTCATAAAAAATGAAAGAATGCTAATTAATCTTATCATATCTTAGTCAAATCACTTTTAGATCAATTGGAAGCAGCCAAGTACGTCGACGAAATTTTCGATATCGCCGATGAATTCGACTGGGACATCGATGATAGTAAAATCGAACCATTGAGGAGACAAGCTATACAGAACACACTCAAACTGCTGCCTAATGAAAATCAAAATACATATCAAGATGTAAGTGCCGCAATTGTTTCAACTGATATTTATCAGCAGTTTACTTTAACAATTATGGACGCAGTAGATTCATCAGTGCACGCAGCGCAATCTTCAATTAACATGTAGAATTAACAAGTGTAGAATATCACATTTGTATAATACTATAAATAATCAATCACGATTATTATTATGCAATCTGTGGTAATAGCAAGTTTGTAACGTACTAAATTTGATAATATCGAATTAACGCAAACATACAACAGCAATCTAAATGTACTAATGCTATATATAGTAATACATCACATTAAATGTACAATCTAATAAATACAGCGTGGCGTAGTATATAGTAGTATCAACTGCATATTGAAGAAAAGTATAAAAGATCTATATTTAAGAATGTATTAGTTATAGGATAATCTGAAAACACTCCAGTTTTCAACTGAAATTGGTCTATAATTTCTTTTAACAATTATTAACTTTTCGATCGAATAATAAAAAATCCCAAATAATAATTACAAAGTAGTCAAAGTAGCGTATAAATGACTTATACTGCTAAAACGAATTTAACGAGATCGATTGGTTAGTATTAAAATAATTATCTTTAGTACCTTATATAAGATTACTACCATGTATAGTATGGACGATGTCTGACAGCTCATTTATAATATTGTGACGGAGTACAGACTCCGTAAATTAATTATAGCGTTAGTTTCAGTAATTAAGATTTTATTAGTTGTTAATAACCTTTATTTATTAGGTACTCGTTAATTTTAATTTTATTAGTAGTCTAGTCTTACTTTTTGTAGACTCTATGCAGAATAGTGTACTTTCATTAGCTAGTTAGCTGACGATTGACCGTGTAGTATACGCGTGTAGTTAGAGTAGTCTTGGATGTCAAGACCACCTTGGTTTAATAAACTAATTTAAAAGCCTAAGTCTAGTTTACTCTTAGCCCGTTGGGGGCACATTTGGCTATTGTAGCCTTAATATTTATACTGATTCAAAGACCCAGATTTCCTTGTCGTGAGCTGAACACGACAAATATTGACACAAACTGAAGCATAACCAAGAGTTATATCCGCAACTTAATTGTTATAGGAAATTGAAAAATTAAGTCGTATCAGTGTTGATGACAATACGGCAAGAAGCAAAATAAAAATTCTTCATGAAAGTGTTGAACGCCTGGTAAAGATAAGTAATGAATCGTCTCTAATACATCAACGGGAAGAATATGAAAAAAATCTTAAGCGAAGTGATAATCATTCCACGCTAGAAGATTTTAAATATCCAGTTCTAGTTACGGGTAATGTTAATGATAATTATATAGTTATTTTTACATACTGGTAGTTTATATCATTAAATACCTATCTAGATCGAAATTAGATGCGGGATATTGCTGTTGTCAAATTTTATTGATTATGATAGAGAAATTCCATTTTCTTAGTTCAACTGTGGCAATGATAATGATAATTGATGAATATAGTAATTAACTATAATTCAATTTTAGGTGAAACTAGTGCTGGAAAATCCTCTTTGCTGAATTATCTACTTGGTATAGAGTTATTGTCAACTCATACACTAAGTTGTACTAATAAAATATGTGAAATCAGATATGGTGAGATGCCAAAAATTGACATAATCAATGCTGACAGTGGTGATAAAATCAGTACTAATAGTTGGCCGCTAGATAGTAAAGATTCTGCCATAAAAGAAATTCGGTCATTAACCACGGATGAAGGTCTTTTTGGGCACCTTAATAAGGCTAGTGGAATGAAAGAAGGTGAAGATCCATCCAATCAGCCATTGATATTGGATGAAGATGTTTCCCAATACTCTAGTGAGAATCATGAAGTAAGACCAGGTGAAGACCCATTGACCCATACGTCGATGCTAGATTGTCTTTCCCGACACCCTAAGCAAGAAAATAACATAACAGCGCATAAAGACTCTCAAGATCAGTTATCAACACCAGAAAACTGCTTCCAAAACACTAACACAGACAACGAAAAGAAAGTAAGAAGAGACTCATCAAATCAGTCGGTAACATCGGAGGAAAACCTTTATCGATCCCTGCACGAGGACTTTGAAGCGGTGGCAAGAAAATTACCATTCAATCAGTCAGTAATCTCTGATGAAGACCTTTACCAACGATCTAATATGGGTAATGAGATGATGTTAAGTGAATCCTCATCTAGTTTGACGTTTATATCGGAAGATCCTTTGCAACATTCTGACGAGGATGACGAAATGATAGAAAGTAAAAGCAAGCCTAATATACTAATTAGAATACATTGGCCGTCTAAATTCCTTAAGGTAAGGACGCGATGGTGTCAAAAATCCTAATTACGTGTATCAAATCATATTTTGTAAACAACTGTTTTATTGAATACATAGAAGCTTATCTAAGAAAGCAATATCATTCATTTTATTTTTCTCAAATATTTACTTAATATGTTCAGTGTACAATTAAATTACTTGTACTTAATAGTAATATAACATCATTGTGCAAACGATTTAATACTATATTTTCTTTACGGTACTGTTGTTTTACTAGCACCTCAAGTAATTCATTGTATCGCGCTCTAACAGTTTTAAAATAGAGTTACTTACTTGAGTGATTATGTTTAAGGGTGGCATGCAAATTGTTGACAGCCCAGGGATTGGCGAGAAAGAGAATATACCAAAGGTCTTGAAAAAGTACATTTACAAGGCGGTTGCCTACGTTATTGTTATCGATTCTGGTAATGCTGGAGGGATACAGGAGGGAAGGGTAAAGTATATTTGAATAGAACTATATAGAGAAAGGTAATTTACATGATGTTTTATCCAATGTTTGATTACGACTTCATTTGATGCTACATGACCTAGCTTCAAAACTTACTACAAGAAATATCCGGTGTACTGGGAAAGGATGGCTATTCGAGTTTTGAGTCTTCAATGGCTGTATTTGTTTGTAACAAATGGGACACCGTACCGTTTTCGGAAAGAGAAGAAGTGAAAAATGATAGTTTAAGAAAACTGAAACGCTGCTGGCCTACTATGGTGGAATCTCAAGTAATATTCTTATCAACTAAAATATTGTTGGAGGCTAGAGCTTACAATCCCGATGCTTTAATATTACCGGAAGCTCATCGATTATTTGATAAGCTTATTGAGTTGATTCCTATTAGTCGTAAACGGAAACTTTTCAGATTTTACAGGTTAGTATGTCATAGTCAAATAAGTATTAGCTAAAGAAATAATTCATACGGTATCTTTGCGATATTTTACTTTTATCTTCAGGTGTATGATAAAATTCGTTGAAGAAGTTCAGGAAACATGTTGGTGCTATCTTCTGAAAGCAAATTCAGAAGATTATCGAAAACAAATCTGTGAAGACCAAGCAAAGGAATATCAGCTACTACAAAAAACACATGACTTATTTAAAACACTAGAAGCAGATAAAAATAAATTAATTGATGATGCAATAACGAAATATCTAAACTTACTTAAGTGTCTGAATTTTAAATCTATTGCTAAATGGTCTGAAAAGGACCTCGCAGATAAAGAATTTGAAGAAGATAATCTAAGGATACTACAAGAACATGCCGCTAAAAAAATTAGAAATCGATTAAATACCCATCTGCAATCTATTGGTGAAACGATACATAATGATCTTTGGAGCAAGAACGATTCACTAATAGAAGAATTCAATGTTAAACTAGATGAAATCTTTCATTTAGTAGTACCTAACTCAATTGAATCTACTAATTCCTTTAAGCACAGATACAGGAGCAGTTTTGACTTGGATGAAAGAGTAGGATACTCAAACTTTTCAGAATTACATGGATTTTATGATTTATGGGCTGACATCGATGCAAAGAAAAGAACTGTTGTAATCCTTACTAGTCCAGTATGGGTGGCTCCAGTAGTCATAGCTAGTTCAATTAATCAACTTGCGAAATCATTCAGACGTAAACATAAACAAGAAGAGATTCAGACATATAAAAAAAAATTGGCAGAAGAAATGAGAATGAAGACATTGGAATATCTTGAGGATATTAGCTCGGAAGAGTTTGCCAGAAAATTTATCTTTGAAAAAATCAATTCATTTACCAATACCGTAATAGAAAATGTTAAAATATCTATATCCAGATCATTAAATTCTAGAATTAAGGCCGCCAAAATTGTTTTAGAGGATAAATGCACGCCTAGAGAAATCAATAAAATATATCGACCGATTGAAAAAGTAGCAGAAAAACTGCATTCCCAGTTACGTGATTTCTATTCGAAGGAGCTAGCTGTATCATCAGTCAAATTCAATAATCTACGTGGATATGATGAAAAATCTACTGCGATATCCTTAGGATTAAAGGTCAATTTATATCGGGCAAGTATCTATATAAGCGGTAAAGAAATTAAGGTCATTATCCAAGTTCCGGTAAAGAAGTCTATGCGTGAAATGCATGACTTTACTAATAATTGCAACACCATTATGGCTAGGTAGGGCGCAGTTTTCATCAATAGTAAAAAGAGATAGAGTGATAAAAAATTTTTTTTACACGCATATTAAAGCTAAAGAATCACTTTATTTCTTGCAATATTAAGAAAAGCAACTACTATAATACATTCTTAATAATTAATTTATTTCATTTTTGATATATTTAATCTCTGTAATCAATTCTATGACTAGATCTCTAGAATCGACAAGTATCGCAAAATTTCTAGGTATTTGCCATTCTCCGAACGTAACAGCTATTGGAATTTTCGAAAATTCTCTTTTTACACTCGAAGACTTAATTCTATATGACCAAACCCTTATTGCCGAAGCTGATATGAATATTATTCGCCAAAATGATCCAGATGTAATACGATTAATGAAGATTTTTTCCATGGTTTATCAAATCATAGAAGGGATCAAATTCTTACATGAAAACGAACTGATTCATGCTCATTTGACGCTTGGGAATATTTTGGTAAATTGAACGGCTATTCAGCATAATTTCAAATTTAGATTACAGTACTTCAGATATCGAAAATCTAGCTTGAAAAGCTGCTTTTAAGATAAGAAACGTCAATCTGGCAACTCAATAATTTATCGAATTAAAATTTTCTAAAGTTCGACCTAGTAATAATCCTTCATGATATTATTACTGATAAATTTCAGCAAGTCCTAAATATCAGCAATTTTTTATTTATTTTGATAATAGGTTTACTTCCAAGCAGATCGACTCAAATTAAAGCTATGTCATCTCATGAAAAATTGTGTAATTGATCCAAAGATTGATTTTGAAAAGTCCATACTCCATTATTTGGCACCTGAAGTTTTGAAAGGTAAATACATTTATTATCGAATGCATTTGTTTGAGATCAATACCAATAGCTACAACCTTCCTTATTCTATCTCAGTTTGTGATTGTTGCATATATAGTTAGTAATAGATTAAATACGATATGTTAACCATAAAGGCATAAATAAAAGGAAACACTATATATGTACGTATATGATGATTGTATGATAGTACTTGTAATACAGTAGGTGATAAATAACATTGTAAAAGGTGGACTGATAAGTTACTAATTGTAGTGCGAAGTATAAACTGTAATCGTATCGAGGTATAACCTCGTGTTGCTATAAATACCGATCATCTATCTAATAATAAAATGTGGTTATCAATCTTACTCACGGAGTGAACTTATTATTGAAGAACATAACAGTGATATAAACAGAACAATTATAGAGGTCTATTTTTGTATCACGTTATTAACTTGTTCTTCCACATTCAACGATATGTTAGATCGTAAATGTTTACAAGCTTCAGATATTTACAGCTTCGCAGTATTATTCTGGGAAATTTGGCATTGGAAATCGATACCAGAATTGTTTAGCTGGAATATCAATACTGATCCTGGTGAAAAAGTAAAGGATTTATTTGAAACAAACACACTTATTCCTAAGCTTCATAAAGATTTGTACAGTATTTGCTTTGATTCCTTTGCTGTTAATCCTAAAGAAAGACCGGATATTTTTTCTTGGTATGATACGTTTCAAATGCTAGAGAGTACAGTTAACTGCAGATAAATGATATTATAAAAATACTATCAGCTTTGCATTGTCAATACAAGGAATACTTGAGTCTTACATAGACGATTGTGTATTGTAAGAAATGTATTTAGTCCCAATTGCGATTTAAATCTTTGACTGCAGCAACCACTACAGGGTCTAGAGCTTTGTAATGAAGATTAATTTTTAGAATTTTCCTTCAAGTTCTGATATTGTAATTATTCTAGCTTAGTTTTTGTATCGCGATAAGTATTCTTGCTTTAAAAATATAACTTATTTGGTAGTGTAATAAATGCATCCCATCGTAATTATCTTAGTCAAATGGTATTTTCTAAAAGGCTTTATTACAAAATTTTAGGAATAGTAGAGCAATAATTAATTACTGCAAGAATCTAGTCTAAAATCTAAAGTATTCCGAGCTCAAAGTGAAGTAAAGTCTCTTTTCTGTCGTGAGGTCATCTCTACAGTACTTATGAAACATTTCGTAAAATCCATTTATGACAACTTGATTAATCTACAATCAGACATGAGTAGTCAACCAAAATACTTTTCAAATAGTGCATCATTATCTTCTACAATCTAAATCATTCTACTTAAGATGTCACTACACTTCTAGTAACGTCTAGCCCCTTTCTCTGAAGGGCATCTTAACAACTACAGTGTTTCTAGCCACATAAATCTTGTACCATAACTAGTCGACTGGCTAGTCTTAGTCATCGACAATTTCTAATATAGTAGTTAGCAATCATCTAATATTAGCTTCATGATAATATCTATTCAGAATAACCTAACTATATCAAATATAGCTATCCGTATAATTAAATATGGGTGAATCACTACAGGTTGATAATAGTAGAAGATTTTACTTAAAATTTTAGTATATTGTAAACCCGACTGCTTTATTCGGGTTAGAATTTAAAAGAATTTGTAGAATAATTTTTGCTAAGAATCAGATAATGTGATTTTTTAATTCAAGCAAATGAATTTAATTCATAAAATATATGTGTGCTAAGTTTTGATCATTAATTACAGTAGAAGTTAATGTTACTTTGTAATTTCATACAGTATGAACCCAAACGTTTGATCTGGGTTCTAATTTAAGATTGTTATTTTGTTTTAGTGTTGTAGTGAAGCACCGATAAACTTAAGACTAAGATTATAGAATAGTACGGAAATAGATAAATTGTACGTTAGGTTGTAAGATTGCCTAAGTGTCTAATTGTGGAAGATGTTTTCAGTACGTGTTGTAGTAATTATATTGAGATGCTTATGTTATATTAAGATTCTGAAAATTATGAAGTAATAGCGCGATAGTAAATTTAGATATGAACTTCTAACTTAATTGGTAAGATATGATTGTACTTGAAGGAAAATCATTGAGTAACTAATTAAACATAAATCGTGAATATTGCTGTAATAATTTAGGTAGTCCTTGGTAGTTGTGAGACGAACCTAACCTTATGTAATAAAATGAAGTTTACAAGAAACTATAGTTCTTGTTATATTTTTGAGAAGACACTTTATCACAAGTGTATATTGTAGAAATGTATAGTTTCAAACTAAACTATACTTAGTATTAATTTAGTAGTTTTCGGAAATCTAGGGTATAACTTATCTTATCATGTGTGTTTGATCGCTAGTTTAATTTGGAGTACTTTAGAATGATAGTTGGATGTTTATATCATTTCGCTAATTAAAATGCTACATTTTATAAGTTCGTTATTACTACTCAGCTACATTGTTGAGTTTATTGAATTATGAAATCAAGGTTGAAAGCGTATTCAGTTTGAAGGAATTTAAATTGCCGAATAGGGTTTATAATTGTTAGTTGTCTCTCCTCTTCGACAGGAGTCTAATTGTTCTTTAAAGTCTTATATAGTTTCTAATCCCCCGGTACGGACATTATACTTTATACAGATCCTTTATGCCGTTTTAAAGCTTGCTATTTCACTGATTTCATTTTTATTTATAATATACGAGTATGCCATTCCTAGTTTCTAGCCGTAGTTCGGAAAATATATAGTAAGAAAATTTTTCTATGGCAAAATTTAAATCAAATCCTTGATACTAAAAAGTGACAAAAAACAGAAATTAAATTTTTAGGTTTATTCTATACGTCTTTAATGATATGTAATAATGAATAGAACTTAATAACTTCATATCACATTTGAAGTCTAAATGGTAAAATTAATTAACTATTGTGATAAAATCCGATCGCTATACTTCTAAAGCTGTAAAAAATTAAAATTTTATTAGATCTAATACAAGGACTAGCTGTACACAGCTCTATTCTAGCCGGATACAATCACTGAAAGACTTCTAGAAATATATGATTTACAATTCTATTTCTACCTCTAACCTTATTAGTAGCTCAACATCTTACTGTATATAGTCATCTGTGCTATAGCACGGAGTCTATCCTTACCGTCTACAATTGTGGGCTACTAAATATATCGAAAGGTAAATATAGAAAAGACACTACCGTACATCATACTAAACATGGCTAATATTCTACAATCACAATACTAAGTTACTTTACAACTATATACTTAAACTTATAAAATTTACGTTTATAAATATTATTATACAGTAAGTTATTCTGCTACTACAAGATACTTACAGTACCTAGATGCTAAAGCTGCTTTATAACCAACCTGATATTCAATGCTATATCTGGTGTTACGAGGATCGCAAAGTGAATCTTTAGCATTAGAAATTGCTTAATATTCGTATCTCAATTTATTAGGTTTATCTGTTAACGAAGGCATATTCTGTAGTATTTTAAGTTTTAATATAAGATACTATCTTAAAGATTAATTAGTGAGATTGCGGGCAGTGTATAAAGAGATCCTTTCAAAATAGCCTTAGGTGACGAAAGTATTAACAAAACTTTTAATGCAATAGAATTAGACGTCACATTCATGGTACCCATATTCATTATAAGAATAGTAATTCTATAAACAATTTGTCCAATTATATGATAAAAGAGTCAAGTAATAATTTTATTTATTCAATAAGATAACGGGCTATTTACTCTGTAATAGTAACATTATAGAAAACAAAATATCGGATTGTACAGTTATTGTATTGTTTTTTGAGTTCATTTATTCTTATCTCGTGTAAAGAAGCTTAATACTTCAACTTATAATTATTAATAATTTAAAGCGGTCGCACGTACCATGCCTTTACTGAATAGTACTATTAATATAAATTTTAAATCATCGTGATATGCTGCCGCCATACTAAATAGTATTACACATTTTCATACTACACAATATAAACAAAATTTATTGCTGTAAAATCTACCCAGTTAGGAAATAATGCTAGATATAAAGCCCACAATAGCCGAAAAAATTCGAGCAAAGGAAGCTAATAGTATTAGAAAATATAATCATACTATGCGAATATTGTATACCAGATTACTATACAAGGATAATCGATTTACATAGCGATTTATTGACAAAGTAGATATATAATTTTTAATGTATAAAGTTATATGGTCTAGTTCATGAAGTAGCAATATATTTTATCATCCACAACTAAATCATAATAATACATGACAGTGTCATTCTTTTATTTTAAGCTATACATGAATACTCCAAGCTGAGACCGCTTTGAATTGTTGACCTATTGTTTATTTCATCTAATGATTAAAAAAACGGTAAACAGACTTGTGTAGCTGCTCCGGCTACTAGTGATTTAAGTTCTATATAGATCATTAGGAAACGGCACAATCAGCATTAATTTAAACGTATAGATATAAATCTGCCTCGGCGGTAAGGTATCAGTACACATCGGTAACGTGGAGCGCGCTCAATTTTTTTCCTACAGAGGCATAGAAGCTAAAATAATCTAACCGAAGCCGATTCAATACCGTGCAACAGACTCACTACTAATATGGATATTTCAGGTATAATATCTTCAAATGGTCTTCATTATATTCATGAAACTTTTAATAAGTTAATATATGATCAGCACTAGATTTTAGGCCAGAATACTCTTGAATAGTGTAATTAGTAATGGCACTAATGTAAATAATATCGTAGGTATGGTTTCACATCCATAATATTGTGTTTGATGAAATTAAAAATGTTAGTTCACCAGTAATTTTGTTCTAAATAATGAAATAACTAACGTATTCGAATTTAACTTTAGTTGAGTCACTTTTAGAGGAGTTGGATGCCGCTAAAGAGTTATCTGTACTATTCGACATTGCCGATTCACTAGGATTGGATATTAATGCAACGGATATCTCAGAATTCAAGAATAAGCTTACTCAATGCGTACGTCAGTTGCAGCCTAACGAAAAACAAGTTACATATCATGATGTAAGTACTTGCTTCAATTATTTTTTCGAAAAGTTTATTAACGCTAATTGATCCTTTACTGACACAAAAAATCAATTATAGATACTATATCATCTTTATACCATTTTTATTTCATTTTTATGTGTTGTCACTAACCAACTTTTTGATGAGGTTTACGTCAAGATAAATCTCTCAATTTCTAAAGTCTCTAAGATTCAGTATCCCTTAAATACTCACAAGAACTTAGATGCCTTTGCTTCTAGGTTATAAAACTAGCCAACTGATTTTATTCAATTATTTACTGAGCTTATATATCTCTCGGAAGTAGCTAACATTGATGAATCGTTTTGCAACAATAATTGTCAATAATAATTATCGATACTGACATCTACTGATTGATTCTATATAATTGGACCTCAGTATGTCCATTCACAGAGTCATTTCAGTACACCTGCTATCTACTATTAGTCAGAATTCTGTTACAAGAGCTTGTACTGTATTCGATTACTATAAAAGAATTTTATTACAGTACAATAAAAAAATTTGGTGTAAAATGTTATAACTCCAGCGATTCCTACTTTAAGCTATTAATTGTAATCTCCTAATATAAATGTTAAAGTCGTAAAGTTTGCTTATTTGATTCTCCACAGTAGTTTGTACCGTAACAGTATTAATGATATCAAATAATATTGAGATGTTTAAAGATCTCACATAAAATATCGCATAAAGTGATTTCACTCTGTAATGGAAAGAGATTTAGCTTATTTTAATTCATTACTAGTTAACACGAAACATTGTCATCTTTAACATTTAGTTATAACATAATATTATTGTCTTTAACATTAATGGATATTATATTTATGATAGCCAATCAATAGAAAAGTAACATTCCAACTTGCCTATCTATTACAGCCTCTGGCACAAAATACAAGTAACTAGTTTTTAATAATACTACCATTCAAAACTAGTCTTAACTAGCTGAGCAATCTCTTCAAAATGAGTGCTAAACTTTGTCAAAATCTATCGATTATATTATATACGATACTTTATGAAATAAGAATTGATCTAACTTTGATAAAAGTATCGCATAAAATAATCGTCTTAGATCATATAGTTTTTATAAAATAAGGCTTCTATGGCAAAATTTAAGATTAGTGAAGTAATAATTAGTTTAGAACAATAATCCAATCTAAATTGTCCTGAGCTCAAACAAAGGGAAGTCTAATCTAGGTTCATCTGTGTCGTTGTTAAATGCATTTCCTTTAGTCAAATTACGGCAACAAAGTTGTTTACAATCAGACGTGAATCATTGAACAGGATGCTTTTCCATAAATAGATCATCACTATGTTTTGCAATATAAATGAATCTGCTTTAAAATATCGCTACTCTTCTGTTAATGTTCAATATCACAAGATTCTGAGCATCTTCACAATTACAGCACTCAAGTCACATCAACCTTGTACCATAATTAGTTGACTGGCTAATATTAGCAATCAATAATTTCTAATATGGTATTTAGCATTCACCTAATATTAGTGGCGGGTAATGAGCTAGTCACGGTAATAACTATTCTTAGAAACATAACTATATCAAAAATAGCTATCAATGCAATTGAATATAAATTCGTACTCAATCGGGTACACCTGCATTATCAAACCGATATACAGCGTTCATGAGTAGAATCTATGGATATTCATTCTAGGATTGCTAGCATTGCCATGAAATTGATATCCTAGTTCTCAATCAAGCATCGAACTTATCATGTAGCAATAATTACTAATTTGTCGATTGTTGCTAATTATTTGAAGGAATCTGAAGAAGTGGTTTTCAATGCTTCTACTTCTAATGAAACAACGTTTTATGAATTTTCATGTTGATATGTACGCATAGATAAACTATTAGTATTTTACGAAGCTTTCTTGAAATAAAGTATTGAATTTTTTACCAATCAAATAAATTAGAAGAAAATAGCAATCACCAACAGCTTAACATTTAGTAATGCTAATCAATTAATTCACAATAGCTATAATTTAATGCAACAAGAAAATTTAGGGCTAGTTCTTAATATAACTAAATCGTCTAACTTATTTATATGGAATGGTAATCACTAATCTTTTATCTAGCTTATTATTATAATTATAACATTTAATATTCATTCACGATCAAAGCTTGCTATTTGATGTCCCAATTTTAATTCTCACGTAAAGTTTTTATTACTTTTCTGTAATAACTTCTTAATAACTAAATTTATGATTAATTTATGTTTAATTTTTTTACAGCAAATTAAGAAATTAAATGTTATTAGAAATGATGATGATAAAGCAAGTAAGGCGCTATCAGCTCTGCAAGCAGATATTAACGATATGGAAAAGAAATTTGATAAGTTACTTCCTTGCGGAATAAATGGGCTTAAGATGGAATGCCCGGATAAAAATGAACAAAAGGACAATTCAAAAATATTAGACGATTTTAAATATCCTATTCTTGTTACGGGTACTACTAACTATAGTCGCTACTATGCCATCATTTTTTGCCCTTAAAATCTAACTTTAAATGCTTAAGTAAATATAGAATACCTAAGAAAAATGTTTAATAAGATATTTATGAGAATATAAACTGATCTTGAAATAAATTCTTAGGCGAAACTAGCGCTGGAAAATCTTCATTGCTAAACTATCTGCTTGGCTTTGATTTATTACGGAATCATACACTAAGTTGTACGAATAGAATATGCGAAATAATGTACGGAGAAGAGCCAAAAATTAGCATAATAAACGTTAATGATGATAGTCAACTCTTTACTAGAAGTTGGACACTGGATGAAAAAGATATTGCTAAAAGAGAAATTCAATCATTGACAGCAGAAACAGGTCTTATACAGGGCTCCAACGAAAGCAAAGAAATAAAAATCGATGGTATTGCGGCAAATATATTGGTTAGGATTTATTGGCCATCAGAATTTTTAAAGGTAACCTACAAACAATTCTTACTTTCAAGTGAAATAGGATTATGATTATTGTGGGAATATTTAGCTAATAACTTGTCCAAAGACATCGAGTGATCTAATTCTGTATTCTTTAGAGAATATTATTTCGCATGGAGACTTATAATGCGGCAGAGTATATCTTATTCTGTATAAGTTTACTAAATAATAATAAAGTTAAACCTACTGAGACTTAAGATAAAAATCTGCTTTTAGTACAATATTTAAAACGTTCATCTAAGCTAGTTTATAATAATAGAGCAGTAAAACACGCGATACTATCTCTAAACTTCTATGATTTCTATCTAAATCAAATCATCAAAGGTTCTCCTTATACGTGCTCGATGCTTACATCGAGTTAGTAAATAATTTTCCCCGTAAATACTTGTATGATTGCAAGCATGAAAGATTGAATTATTAATTGCTTTACGCTATAGAGTCATGGGAATTGCAGTATGCTATTATTACCTCTTTAATTCAAAAATCCGTCATTTTGCAAAATAAATATATTTTAGAGTGGCTTACAAATTGTCGACAGTCCAGGAATTGGCGAAGAAATTGAGAATCCGAAAGCCTTGAAAAATTATATCTTTAAAGCTGTTGCCTACATTATTGTCATTAATGCTGCTAATGCTGGAGGGATTCAGGAGGAAAGGGTAAAGTACATGTCGTACTATATATACGTTTTGCATTGAGGGAGGCGATTTGTTTAATGGTCTAACTAATGTCTGATCACGGCTTTCTTCAACACAATTATACTTAGCTTCAACTATTACTACAACAAATATCGGGCGTACTGAGACAGAGTGGTTATTTTAATCCCTCTATGGCTCTATTCATATGCAATAAGTGGGATTCTGTAAATTCTACTGAAAGAAAGGAGGTAAAAGCTTACAGCTTAAAAAAACTAAGAAAGTATTGGGCTGGAATAAAGGAGTCTCAAGTAATCTTCCTCTCTACCAAAGAGTTATTAACGGCTAGAGCATGTAATGAAGATGTACTAATTCCACCAGAAGCTGTACAACTATTTGAAAGGCTTAATGTCATGGTTCCACTTAGCCGTCAACAACAGTTATTTAAAATTTATTGGTAGGTCACAAGCAAAATTAAGATTAGTGAAAACGTGCTAAGATATACCGTATAATTGTTTATCGGTACATGTTGGAATTTACAACAGTATTGCTGTATTTAAACACTTTAATATTATGTTTTCGCCTTTACTTTTAGCTCAATGGTTGCTCCCGTTGAAGGAGTGCTGGAAACGTGTAGAAGCTATCTTATGAAAGCACAATTAAAAAAGGACAATCGAAAAAAAGCTAAATTTATGCTAAAACAGTTACAAAACATTATTAAAGAGTCTTCTAAGGAATTAGCAAAGAAAAAGAATGCATTAATTAATGATAGTGTGAAAAGATATCAGGAATTTGTTCAAGGTTTGAATAATGATTCTATAGTCAATTGGTCAAAAAATGACCTTTTAGACGAAGAATTAGAAGAAAATGATTCGAAGAAATTACAAGAAAATGTTGTTAACAAAGTTACGCAACGATTAAATTGTCATCTGAAATACATTGCTACAGAAATACAAAAAGATCTTTGGGTTGTTAGAGAATTGTTACGAAAAGAATATATTACTAGGCTTAATAATGTTACTGATCAATCACAATTTAACTTGATTGAAACTAGTGGTGTCGAATTTAGTACTCATGTTGACAATTTCTACTTAGACGAAACATTTAAATATTCTATAATATCACAATCATATAAATTACGCGATATATGGCCTAACACGATCACGAGTAAAGGCTCTCCACTACATTATTTTGGGAAATCGCAAAATCGATTAGAGATTCAGAAGTTTAAAGAAAACAAAACTGAAATATTGCAACAGTATACACTAATGATTCTTGAATATATTGCTTCAGATAATTTTGCGGAAAAATTAATTATTAAAAAATTTTATTCCTTAATAACTGCCTTACTAGATAATGTGGAAAATAGCGTATTAGAATCTTCACAGCGTAAAATTAAATTTATCAAGAAAATTTTGGCCGATAAATCGGATAAAGAAATTAACAGAATTTATCTACCAATTAAAGATGAAGCTAAGAAACAATTGAGAAAATTGCATAAATTTTATTTACAACATTTAAGCGAATCAGCGATTAAATTTGAAGATCTGCAGGAATGTCATACAGAATCTGCTCCATTATCTGTCGGTTTAAAAGTAAACTTATATCGGAAGAAGCTGTGTGAAAATGATACAGTAAATAACGTAATTATTCAAGCTCCGGTTAATGAGTCAATGCATGATATGCAAGATTTTATTAACGACTGCTATATCATCAGGTAACTCATGAATATTTTTATAACATAATAATTTTATGAACAGTAAATCTAATTTTCCTCACGTGCATTACCATACATTTATTGACGGGTGTTCAAACTACTGCTATGTTGCATTTGATATATCTTTAAATTTCTCATTATAATTAGCACACTAGAATCCAGGAATATCGCAAAATTTCTAGGTATTTGCTATGTTTCATCCCCAGAAATAACGGCTATTGGCATTTTTGAAGATTGCCATGAAACTTTATATGAGCTAATCCTATATAATCAAACTATTATTGGTGAAAATGATGCAGCTATTACTCGATTGAATAAGATTTATTCCTTTGTTATCCAAATTATACAAGGAATTAAGTATTTACATGAGAACGACCTAATTCATGGACATTTGACAGCCGGAAATATTTTGGTAAATTGTATAGCAAATTATAATTACAATTTTTTAAATATAGGGTATCATAGTTATTCAATATATTTGATTTGCAAATTATTTTAAAGAAAAAGCCGTCATCAGTTCTATAGCAAAACATATGTTATAATTAAATTTCTCTAATGAAAACAAAATTATTAATTAATTAATTATTTACGTTAGATTTATCGACGAAAAGATCACTATAAAATAAAGCTGTGCCATGCAATAAAGCATTGCACAATCTACCCGAATGTTCAATTCGAGAAATCAATAATCCATTATTTAGGACCAGAAGTCTTAAAAAGTAATTACATGAATGTTTATTAACGTATTAGCTTAATCATAGACCTAGAAGTATTAGAATAATAGCTGCAGTGCTCTAACTCCTTATATAAACCGAATATATTTAATAATTCTCTAATAATCAACCTATTTCTCCTCCTCCGGGCATTTCACTAAATTTAATTAATTTTATTTTAGATCACAGCTTTCAAGAAGCTTCAGATATCTACAGCTTTGCGGTGTTATTCTGGGAGATATGGTATTGGAAATTGATAGCTAATCTGTTTAACTGGAATATTTATACTGATTATGACGAAAAAAAGAAGTACTTATTTGCAGCAAGTGCATTAATTCCTGAATTTCATGAAAATATGCTGAATATATGTGTCCAATCCCTGTCTGCTAATCCTGACGATAGACCGACTATAAATTTCTGGGAAGAAAAGCTAGATGAAGCTGCAAAGTTACACTAATATTATGTATCATATTGTATGGGCGATTTACAGAAGAATAAATGTAATTCAATGGCGATACATGCGTAGTAGTAGTTTATGTAATAAGGCTTAATTTTTAGAATTCTCTTTCGAGCTTTTCTTATTTTAATAAATATTTGTCACAAACCAGTTTCGTGACAAGGATAACGTAAAACAAATCTCTAAATTACGATAGTCTTCCGGAATTCAGTATCCCTTAACTACCTAACAAGAATTTAGACGCCTTTGATTCTACGTTAAAACAATTATACAATTGAGAACTGCTTTATTCAACTATCTGACGGGTTTATATACCCTTCTACAGCAGCTAACATTCACAAGTCATCTTATAAAAATACTTGGGTGAGAACATCTACTAACTAGTTTTTCACAGTCGGACTACAATATGTCCATTCACAGAATCATTTCAGCACACATTACAGCACAGCAATAAATTTACTGTAACACATTTATAATTAGAGTAATTCCTATTGTAAGTAACTAGTTGTAATATAATATCACTATATTATATTAACCAAATTTAGATATCTATTTCTTCACGGTAGTTCGCACCGTGACATGTAGCTGTAAAAATAACTTGATTAGGTTTAATTTAGTATCGTAACATATTGTAAACCTGACTTCTATATTCAGGTTAGAACTTCAGAATATTCTATAGCATAATTTTGATAAGAAAATCACGATGTTAGATTGTAATTTATATGACATATTTAGTTAGTACAATACTCATGCTTTAATTATGATAAAAAACTTGTAGCCAACTTTGATTACAGAGTACAGTAGAAGTAATGTTATTTAGTTATTGAATACAGTGTAAACCCAAATATATTGATCTGGATTCTAATTTAATATTATTAGTTTGTCTTAGTATTTTTAGGTTTATGTTATATACCGTAGATAAGTAGAATTTGTAGATTTAGTTATGCTGGGAATCTACAGTACAATTTATCTGGTCATATAAGTTCAATTGCTAGTTATATTTGGAATACTTTAGAATAATAATTTGATAGTTTGATACCGTCAACTGCTGTAAATGCAAGAAATTCGTAAGATTTGCATGGACGTTTGTAAAATATAAGACTGAAACGTAGACCTGATAATAATTTCGATAATTAATTGTAGAAATAATCTCGAGGTCTAGAATCGTCTAAAGAAAATATCGTAACAATGCTTGAAAATGCACTTAAATACTCTCTAACATAGATAATCCAAATTATACAATGTTCAGCATGAGCAATTTACATTTTAATAAATTTAACTAAATTTCTTCTACTTAGCCGTAGTGTTGCCCCAAAGTAGCTTACGGTTAGAACTACAATATTGCGCTTTTTACATTAGAATAACAATTCTTGACCTTCTATCTTCTTAGTTAGCTAGTAGCTACACGTTAAACTTGCACACTTTATCTTTTCTTTCTTATAATGGCTACCACCTTGTAATGAAACTTAGTATTATGAATGTAGACTTTTAGCTATGTTTAGTAAGATGTACGGAAGCGCAACTTTCTATATTTATCTTAAAACGTATTTGGTAGCTCGCTACTATGGCTGCTAAGAATAATATATACGGAAATACTGTAATTGTTTCCATATCGAATTCATGATGGTCCGCAGTAAAATGTTGTTGCTAACAATAGTTTGACTATGTGTAAATTATTGTAGATTGCTGCTATGCTAATTGTATCTGCGAAGGCTACGCAGAGCATAAAAGCAGGAGACATTAGATTGTCTAATTATTCTTTCTAGAAGTCTTTCAGTAGTTCTATTCGGCTAGAATAGAGCTGTATGTAGCTAGTCTTTATATTAGATCTAATAAAGTTCTAATTTTCTACTACTTGGAATATTCATGATCGGATTTTATCTCACGCCTAGGTCGTGTTATCTACCCTCGCTGTAGTCTTACAAATGGTATACTTTCAAATACTGACTGCAATAAAAGCTACTACCGATATTTTTCATATTAATGCTTCGTAATGTCATACTGTTATAACAAATTTGCAATCTTTCGAAATATTATACCTGCCATTTTACTGTATTTATATAATAATTCGGTAGATAAAGTGATCCAGGAAATAAACGAAGCTTTACAGGATATTAAAGTTTTTTGCATAATAATTCTAAGACATTTTAAAATTATCAGCATAAAAATTCTTATGCTAACATTGAAATTAGTTATTAAACGAAATGTGCTGACCATCTACTGCAAGCTAATCATAACTTATTAATGTACTTCATCAAGCCTAATGTACTCTATCTTAGAAACCTTCTGATTTAGCTTTACTAAAAATGCTAGCAATAAATTGTTTTTAATAAATCATGAAAGCTTTAATCAATTTCCAGATTCTCGAAACGAAATTTTAATCTCAATTCATACTCACAATTAATAAGGTATTTCAAATAGCCTTAGTTTCCATTTTTAAAAATAGTCTTTTAAATCGTAGTGATATGCTATCGCCATGTTAAAATAGCAATTTATATTCGAACTGTATATTATAAATGTAGAACGAATCTGCCCAATGCAGGCAATCGTATACGATATGTAAAAGCTAAAACAACCTATAAACTTCGATCGAAGGTAGCTCTTGGGATTCATTACGAAATACGCAGTAAATGATACTGTGCAAGTATGAACTATTAGAATACTCGACATCAGGATAATCGCTTTATGCAGCGATTTAATTTGTAAAACACTTTAACTTATCGTAATCCATTTCCGCTGAGCAAAATATATACAGAAAACTGAATACATTAGTAAGCTTACTCGATGGAGCGATTATTGGCTCCGCTAGTTAACAATATTCATTATTTAAATATAAATTACGTCTTTCAACAGTATAGAGAACATAACCTATGAAAAGCACTAAAACAGAACAGTAATCCTAAATCAAAACCCAGATCAAAATCAAAGGTCCGATCAAAATGTATAGTTTCATATTCATTTTTGTTTTTGCAAAGTAACAGAACATCTACTGTATTTTTTAATTACAGTTAACAGCAAATTTTATCGCAATTAAAGCACCAATATTATAATAACTGAATGCATCGGTTAAAATTGTAATCTTACAATTTAGGATACCATTTAATAAAATATCTTACCTGATATTATTAAATTCTAACATGAATAAGGTAGCCAGATTCACTATGTGCACATATACAAAGTAAATTATAGTGTAATTAGAATATACTGTAACTATATTTTACTCTTAAATATAGACATGTTGTATTTATCTTATATTTAGACATATCTACAGTCCGCTTACTTCACATTCATATATAGGCTACTTTACAGTATTTAGTTATTACAGTCCTCGCTGTTTGCTACAATCGTCAGCTATGTTGTAACCTGTTATGGTATATGTTGTATCTAATTCTACAATCCTATTCTCTGCTTGTGCTCTATCTTTAAAACTATAAATACCGCCGTTTTCCACCTCAGAAATCGTTAGTTTCCTGGTTAGTCTTCACACGTTACTCACGACAGCTTGCACGCTGGTCTACCGTAACTACCTCACTGTACTTACTTTACTACTTAAAATAAAGTATATTTTTTATACAACTTTTGGTGTACTAATTGTAAATGGCAACTAAATCTCAATCCTCCAAGATATCGAACCCTCCATCACATTTCATTAGTTGAATATTATAGTAATTAAAAACTTATCAGGACGGCAAATGAGTTTGAGGCTACTAATAATACAATATTAGTAGATTTATTAACTATTGTACTCGAAAAATTTCGCTACGTTTAAAAGGTTGATATGAGGCTAGCAGTTGTCTTAATTATCCTATCCCAATTTTTGAAATGAACATAACATTTGGCAGTATATCTTTGTCTTACACTTTTAACTCAGTACTTCTTATTCTATATTAGATCGTAACTATGTGAAAGCTTCAGATATTTACAGCTTCGCAATGTTATTTTGGGAAATTTGGCATTGGAAATCGATAACAGATTTGTTTGACAGGAATATTAATACTGATCAGGGTCCAAAAACAGACGATTTATTTACAACAAATACACTTACCCCGAAGATTCCTGAAAACTTATATACTACTTGCTTTAATTCCATAGCGACCAATCCTAAAGAAAGACCGGATATTCCATTTTGGCATGATATACTTTCAAGTGCTAAATAGTTCCATAATTTATTGCAAAATATCAACAGTTTCACACGGCAAATACGAGAAATTCATAAGATTTTCATAGATGATTTACGAAATATACGTTGTCTTAATTGCAATTCTAGTATTTAGCGGAAGCCACAAATGCTAGGTCTAGAATTGCCAGAATCAATTTCGTAAGGAGTTTGCGCTTACACTTACTTTTATACGTATATTTTACTTTAGCGTAGATAGTCTAAATTGCGCAATGTTTAGCATGAATCAGTTACACATTTTATTCCAGCAAATTTACAACTAAATTTTTTCATGTAGCCAAAGAGTAGTCCTAAAATAATTTAAGTTTAAATCTGCAACGCTTTGCTCTCTACATTCTATAGGTAATTCCTAATCTTCTATCTTGTTAATTAACTGTAGTTTTTACATGGTAAGTTTGCACGCTTTAATTATTCGACTTTACTATAGCTATCTGATTTAGTCTCGTCATTTATCTACGGTGTTATCTAAGACGATATCCCCTTAAAACTTTAATTGCAATAAAAAATATTACTCCTATTAATCCTTCGTAATTTCTTGCTATTATATCGGATTTACAATCATAATTTCTTGCTATTACGTCGGATTTACAATAGGACTATCTCTGGACTATATCTTACAGCAAAAGCTCACAGTTTATATATCCTTTGTTACAGAATGAATCGTGCACATTACAATCATATCTTGGCAATTAAGTCGCAAGATAACAGTTTATCATCTCGCGAGCTATTCATTATTCACGCATCTAATTAAAGCGCGGTAATGCAACTCTCACAGTAATAACATAATTAGCGCTATCTATTATTATCATGAAATCTTAATATCAAGATCTCAAAAGTATCAAGACAGTACGTATTGTAAACCTCGTCTACAAATAGATATCTTCAAAATCATATAATCTAACATACGAGAACTACTACTCTCGTACAGTCTTATAAACACAATTCAAGCTATATTTGGGGCTGCATTACGACATCGCTTAGTGTCTAATGTGCCATCAAGTCTTAGAATCTATTGCTATCGAAAAATTGCAGCATAAATGTTGCGATTTGATCAGCGTAATAATCAATAGCTATTTTAATATCTTTGTGATAATCTTGGTTTCCTGCAACGATTTCAGCTGCTAATATCCTATTTATCAGACTGTTTAAGTAGGAGATAAGACCATTACGAACTAAGTAGGAGCAATTCGTTATAGGTTGGTACAGATGGGTCTAAACCTTCACTTTGCTGTTAAACCAAGTAAACATAATAAATACAAGACAATCACTATTAATACCTAACCTATATCCATTTTAAATGTAACTATGGTATAAAATGATTGCGAATACATTACTTGTCACCAATATGTGTGTATAATTCTGTAATAAAGATACACCAGAGGTATTTCCGGGTCTCATTTTATCTCTAGCTACTAATTTACGCGTAATTCATATTCTAAACCGTACGCGATTATAAAAATAAGATTACAACAAAAGCTTGAATCATTCCGCAATAAGAATTATGCGGAGCGATGTTTCAAGAATGCAACTTAATGCATAATTTAATAACTGGATTAAAACTAAAGCCAGAAGACAAAGTCTTGAGTTTGGTGAAGAGGCGTAGAGAATCAAAATTTATAGATTTCGATTTTTTAAAACGCCTCTTTAAGAAAATCTAGATTTTTACATAGATACTCCTGATCTTCTAAACTATAATAATCACTATAGCATAAACGGATGGGTATCACTGCACTTATTAACCGAACATACATTGGTACACATAAGAGGTTTCTATTTTTATTATAAAAAGAAGAAATAGCAACAGATATCATTACATTGCCAAAAAATCGCAGTCTTCATTATGTTTAATGTGTACATTGTAGTTCAGCAAAGCAGCTAATTAGTTTAATTTAATAATGCCACTTGAAATACTACGACAGCACCAGCGAGAGTTATCATAACATACAAGAAATTGATCAAATATTATTCTATAATATACCGTAAATGTGATGTTTTAAGGCCCTTATTAAGAAACTGCAGTAACTATAAAATGAATCTAAAACGATGCAAATATTTTTTATTTACAGTACGCGTATCTCTCTACTTATAGTTATTTAGACCTAACTCATGTGATAATATTGCATATAGTTTACTCATACTAGAATTAAACGATAAGAACATAGCAGTTTTACAATGATATTAAAACGAAAATTGATTCTTCCTTCTATGACTGCAATATAAGTAGCTGGTGATTGAAAAATAAAGACTTAAATCATAATCGAAATTATAATTTGAGTATGCTAACTCAGCATGCTACGTAAATTTGAAAGACTTCAATCGTATCCACAAGGGTAACTATGACAAAATATTGATGGACCGGTATCCTGTATGGTATTCTACGAGTGTAATACTTACCAGAGCATTAAAAAGATTAAAAGATGCCGAACATCCTAGAGACTTCTGCTAATTACTGTAATTGCATACTTCTAAAGTATGGTAGTAGTGTGGATTAAAAAACTGTGTTACACGAAATAGTTGATTGTGCCTAATAGAGTAATTATGGATTGTGGCTGGTTTGATGAAATAGTATTCAAGTATTTTTGGTATAACTTGCGCGGACATTATCTATCTCTACCGTAAGTTTCTCAATATCTTCAATCTTACGAACTACAGAATCATTTGATTGAGGATTTCTTTTAGTAACTTCCATAGCGAAATCTTCCTTTTTCTCTAAACCCTGAAGTATTTGCTTTTGTTTGCTCTTAATTGACTTTCTAATTGGCTCAGCATAAGCCCAAGCCATTTTATTTTCATCTACGTCGGCTAATTCTGTAACAAGTTTAGGCGTCCAATGTTGTAATATATGTAAAACTTTCAGCTTTTGTCTTTTAATTCTATTTTTAGACCATATCACGTCAGATATTTTAGCAATAATTGCAGAAATTCCAGCAGAGGTTAACCCTACAAGCGAGAAAATGTTTCGCCATGATCTCTTTTCTCTAAATGGCGAAGAAGTCATATGGAAATCATAATCATCGCTCAATTCGTGGTCATCCAATTTGAATACATTATCGAAGTTCTTCAATTCCCGTAAAATGTAATCGTAATATAAATTCATACATTCTCTTATTTTTTCAGAAAAGTACTTAAGTGGGATACATTCTTTTTCCCAGAACGTTAATAGACGCTCAAATCGATCCAAAAATAAATTGTAGGCAACGTCTGTGATATTAGTAACTCGTCCCCGAATTGGAATATCTTCTAGTTTCCAAGATATCATGCCAGTTTTAAATTTATCGCTTTGTAAAAAGTCGTTTAAAGAATTGGCAATTTCTTCGACTCCTACATCAAATGTTTTATCAATATCTATGTGGAAATCTTGATTTTCTATGACCTTCTTAGCTGATTGAACACTATTTTTTATCGCACGTAAGTGAGTCATCCGATCAGCAGTATTTAAGGAATTTAATTTAGCCATCGTTTTGTAACCTTTCTTGACCTCTTTCAGAATCGAATTCATCTCACTTATAGATATACAACAAGTAAAAAACACCTATTAATAGGATACTTACTATATCCATTTCGATATTATACATGTTCTTTGAGAATAGCTTTATTGACATATGCTGAGTACGATTAATTCAAAAATATTAACTTGCATAGTTATTTGATTAAGTAGGAAATACATAGAGTATTTAATTAAAAAACGCCCGATACCTGCTATGAATCAATGTTATCTTCTTCAGACTGTCTTCTATTAGTTGAGAAATAAGTGAATAAACTGCTACCAAATCGTCCGATATGTATCCTGCTTCAAAATGACTTTGTGTCTCCTCAGTTGATAAAAATAATAGTTGTGAATCGCGAAATCCAGGCCAAATTGTTTTCAGCTTATCTTTAGTGTCTTTTTCAACCGTACTTTTTTCTGCATCTGGGACCTCATCCCATTTATTGCAGATAAAAATAGCTGATTCCGGAGAGAATTTGTTGAATTTTTCCTTCTCTACATTTCTCATTGTGCTAGTAAGTCTCACAAGCTGTGAATCAGCGAAAACATCTGTTATCTTCGATAGATACCGGAACTTAGATTATAATCACTTCGTATTAAATCTGATTATTTTAAAAGCTTACTCGATCTGTATGTATACCACCAGCATTTGCAGAATTGATGACATAAATAATTGAGCATGCCTTGGGTAAGTACTTTTCGATTTGCTGATTTGCTAAAGATGTTTCCCCAATTCCTGGGCTATCTGCTACGAATATACCGGCCTAATTCAATTTAGAAAGAATTCCGTATAAACTATTTCTGTCCATGTTTGCTAAATCACAATAAAGGGTATTGGTAACTGTAATAATAACCAGCTAATACCATCTAATAGATTAATATTTTTTGAATGTCTAGAAAATAAACTAAACAGTATTATAGTTGCATAATTAAACGTTCCATTAGTCAAATGTTGAATTTTTTCTCATTTGCCTTACACTACTCCGATCACTGTTCTTATCAAATTCAATCGCACTAGACAAACCTTTAAAAAATTAAAATTCCAATAAATTTCGAGCTTTCCAGTTGTTAATTGTGTATCATCCGAATCCTCATCAGCAGATTCATCATCTGTAGAGACAGATAATTCGGGTATGTCTTCAATGCCTGTATTGACTTAATCTAGTAGAGAAATCCTTGATATTTACCTGCTATATTTGTGAAAAAATTTTTCTTGCCTATCGATCTCATGGCTTCTTTAATCTTTGATTTCATATCGTGAGCATCTTTAATTTGAGTTATTTGTTCTAATTGTTCCAACTTTTTATTAACTGGATTCCAAGCAAATGGCTTTATGCAAGCATCTGTCGAATAATATAATTCGCATATACATGTTGTTGAATGCAAATGACTGGCAGTTAGCAAGGATTCGCCTAGGATTAAATTAATAAAGCTGCTCTTTCCAGCGCTTACTTCTCCTAAATTCATATACAAGTAAAATGTTAGCTATCATCAAAACCGTAATGTATTTGAGAGAGAATCCACTATGCAGGATAAAATTAAGCAACTATTATTCAATCGACTTGACGCAACTAAACTGACAGAAGATAAAGTTTATCGTTAAATGGTACAGCTTAAATAGTTTACATGCTAAATCATATACAGTTAGCTACATTTTTGCATTGCAGTATTATTTAATATTTTATCGAAAAAGGATATTATTAACTATGGTCCATTCTAAATACTGCGTAGGTTACATTTGTTAGTGGAGACCAGGTAAACATAAAAAAACGGAATAAATCGTTACGCTTAAGCACATAATTGGCCACTTTAGCAAGTATTGCAAACTGTATGCATATTGTTTCTAAATGCGAATTACATATAATAAATGCCTGAATAATGTGTTGTTGCGGATTATTAGCAATAAATGACTACTATATTGTTATAGTAAAAGATTAGCTATTTTTGATAGACCTGCAACAAGTATTGGATATTCCATGTCGCGTAATTTGCTAATATATTTGCCTATGTTTTGCAGATAGTGGCGATGCTCATCATTTGCATTGACTATATTAGCAATCTCTGGTTCTAATTTTTGAAAGATAAGCTGATTTGCTGTTTCTAATATACTGATTAACTGTATCTTTATTTCTTCAAATTTGATAATGGCGTTTTTGATCCTTTTGTAAGACTGCAATCATAAAGAGAGATTAACTTAAAAATCAGATTTTCATCAATAAGAATAGTGATGTTTTAATTCAAGTCTTGTAAACCTTCGTCATAATAAATGATACTTTAATCATGGAATACAAATATAGATGATATAAATAATTTAGTAAAACAATACAGATTGTGGAAAAGATAGATTTATTCGAATAAATAGTAAGTCTTACGTTGGAGTCTTTATAATTCCTCACTGTTTGATTTTTTCTAAATAAATCTAATCGGTATCTAAAATCTCGCAAGTTTCTTAGTCCTTTTATACTGACTCCGTACTCTTTACAGATAATTCTGCCGCTCTTTAATTCGTTTATTCCTTCAATTTGACTTTGAGTTATAGTAGATGCCATTTCTAGATGATTAGTACGCCAAAATACCTTGTGAAGTAGATCCTGTACTATGCCAAACTGTCAATCTATTGCTTTAACCCTAAACTGAAAATAATGGCCAAAATAAATTTTATCAACTTTAGACTTTGTTAAATTTCTAGGTTTTCTAATAGTACCGTTTAAATGATGCAAAAAAATTTTCTTCAAATGTTGATTGGCACTGTCTATTCAACTTAAATCAAATTATAGTAGATTAGCTACCTTATACTCATAACTACTTTGACTATCATCTTTCTAGAGGAAATAATATAGATTTTAATGAGGATTAAACTAACAAATTTGAGAATACTCGTATACAATTGTAAAGCTTGTCTCTCTGATGGTATTTCTTGCCCTCTGCCGAAATATCTTAAGAGAATATGGTCAGTCTACTAATTATCTACAAAGATGAAATTTTTTTTCCAAATTTAACCCTATAAACCCAATGTAACTTACGAAGTCATTACATTATAGCACATTCGCTAGAATAGTAGTATAATATTCACATTCTATAGACTTTAATATTATGAATAATTATAATCATTCGATCGATTAGATCTGATGATACTTTGTACAGCGCATTGGTCAAATTTTAAAGTTAGAAAACAAAGTTTAGTATTACATTTCAAATCTCACACAATATATAAATAGCTAAATTACATTGCAATAAAGCTCTAAGATAATATAGATCTTACCAATTGGAATAAGTAATTGTAGCACACGAAAGTTGACGACGTATCATACAATGTTCAATCTAATAGTAAAATCAAAAAGAAATGCGTGCATACAGCGTTTCAAGCGTCATAAACTATTTGTTAGGAAAATGCCTGTATAATAAAGCACAATTAGGCTTTATATCGACTGTGTCTGATGATAAAGTGGCGTGAAGATCAAATAATTCGATGTCCAGCGCTTCTTAAATCACACTATTCGAAGGTATGGATGTTGATTGCTTAACACATTGCATAAATGATTATGTATAATTAAACCTTGAGGTCTTAAGGCTTTTAATTATAGTCTCAGTATCCAATGTTTTAATAAATTCTCTAGCGACAGCACAACCGAATTGGATATACTTTCTCTGCGGTCGTGAATACAACCTATTCCATTCTTTTACTTTATGTATAGTATAGTTTTAATAATGGCATTGTAATAGACAATATGAGCCTGTGTCTTATTATGTAATTATCGAATTTACCGAACATGCTATTCATGACTATCTTCACTAAGAAGTATTAATTTTTCATGATATAAATGCATATACGGAGATCGTGTAGTACTGTACTGTCGTTACGTTTGGCAATAACAATTAAAACAAATTATGAATTATCGTTACGAATAATGTACTGCGACTACAAAGATTAAATATAATCTCACTAACGTAGGCATGTTGACCAAAACAATTGAGTAGCAATAGGCGATAGCGTTGATTCTATTCGATTATACATTTCTTTTACCAAATGCAGTAATAATGTCGAAGCAACAAGTTGTGTTTTCTATGAGTGCTAACCGTTAAGGATTAAAAGAAAAGCAGACTTTATAGCAGGTTTTTGTTAACAAGAACTTGTACTATTGCAGATTAAAATTGCAAGAACAGTTCTTACCGTATTGATTCAGATACTCACATTTGCATTCCTAGCTTGCTTATGACTTAAAGATATACAGTAATTAATGCTTGATTTATTATAAGAATGGAGCTCGATGATGACTGTAGCCTCCTACGAAACCAAAATTGATGCATCCTTGTACAATAACTCAGCAAACTCGATCTTCTCCTGTATCTTGGCACTTTCAGTATTGGTAACACAAATAAATTATGATTTAAAAAAGGCTGTTTTACTAAATCCTAGACTATCCAAAGAGAATACGTTATCCTAACCGATTGTACGAGCAATCTTATAAAATAATTTCCCTAAATAGATAGATCAGGAAAGCATGATGAGGAAACGAACCATAGAATCTTGAAAAGCAAAGATTTTATAAATTTCATAACGATTCAATCAAACGTCATAACCAATTCTTTCACATTAAGAAAATCACTAAGAAATAAATTACAACCTTTCCACTTTTTAATTCTAAATCATCAATATCATCGTAGGCAATAGATATATTATTTACTGAAGGAGATACTAGAGCCATTACTGCACACACTATCATCATTTCCGTCCCATTTCGACGGTCTGTCATGCTTACTTTAATTGAATAATTTCCAGATAGAATCTATAGAATAATGTAGTTTTGTAAAATGCAATGTAGTGTAATGAAATGAAATGAAAGTGTAGAGATCAAGCTACAAAACTTTAATAAACTTTGATTGTACTTTCGTTGCGCTCCGGTCGACTAACGAAACTTTGACACCAAATAAAATTTGGAGAAATAATCGATCAACAATTTATTACCAAAAAAAAATGGAGGGAAGTATAAGCCGAACAACCTTACAAATACTTAACTTTAAGTATTAATTAAATAAGTGACAGACATAAAAACTGTCAACAACCAAACAACCTTTCAAAAAGAAGAACGTTTTAATTTATGACAATTCGACCCCGAAGGCCTTTTAAATTCAACAAGTTCTGCAAAAGAATCTTCTTCTACTCTCCCTCTAAATTTTCTAATTGCACTATCATTAATAGGCTTCGTAGAGCTGTCAGAGGTATTTAAAACTAGACATTTACTAACCAATCGCTCTTAAGATCTGTTTTAGAAAACTACTTTGCACCATTTAAGAAAACAAAAATCATTCAAAGTTCAGATACAATTTACCCTATGATTCCCTTACAAAACACTATAAAACCAACACGTTGACAATAAAATATATCAAACTTCACTTCTATCATTAATACATTATAAAAGTCTAAAATTTAACCTTTAAGCATCAAGATTTAGTCATAAAAATAACAGTCTAACTACTTAACAATCAACACAACCTCTGCCAATTTCCTTCTTATTTTCTATTTTCCTAACTAAACTTTCCTAATGTGACTTTCATGTCACGTCACAAAATTCCAAAGTTTCAAATTCATAACAAAAAGTTCAAATTTCAAAAATCAACTCTTACAATATTTTTCATAAACTAAAATCCAAAATTTAAAACAGATAAATTAATACAGAAAAATTATAAGGGATAAATTACATCGGACATAATTCCGACCGATTCCAAAATCCGGATTTTATAAAGATCACAGTATGTTTTATGATGTTTTAGCGTCAGGTTGTACGGTTACTGTACGATTATAGACTACATTGCAGGACTCTACTGTCATGTTATAAATCCCCTTTCTCTATGGATAGGGTTTTGTTACTAAGTCAAATTCATATATAATTTAAATAGACTATCAAACGCCCTTTCTTTAGATTAGGCAATTGCTTTAGGGCTACTGCTATAGTAATCTATATAATACCTTGTAAAATAATGAAGAAGAAAAGATGGCGACATGATGATTTGGTAGCGTAAAACTTAAAGACACTATCACTTTATAGGTATTTTCTATAGTAAAATAATACTAGTTACATACTAAAAGCTATAAAGGATTCTACTTTTAGTCCTTTACTACAGCAGCATACAAATAGCCAACACTTACCGTAGCACTGATTCTCCAAAGGGTAAATTAATAGAGCGAATTTCTCCTGCACTTATTTCTAATTAAATATTATTTCAGAGTTGATTGATATTGCTATGATTTATGGTAAGTCTCAACTTAATGTAAATTAGATGTCTGTTGATTATAGTTACTGAATTTTGGAGTAACAGGATCGATAAAGTATAATTTTACTTATGGAAGAGACTATGCGTACGAGGCAATAGTTCTATTCTTACAATCTAACATAATAGTTTATTCTTCTCTGTCAAATCTTCAAGAGAGGGATACAGAATATTCAAATATTTATTTAATATTTATGGAACTTCTTTTAGGCACTATAAATTATCTTTCAATAAATCTGACATGATCAAACACCTGTTGGGTATCTTTATGATAAGGTTTGTCGATTCTATTAATACTATAATCAATAAGCGTTAGAATTTAAAAATCGTTTCAATGCCACCGGTACTAATGCGATAAAGGATAGATGGCAAGTTGTAAACTTGTGAACTCTATTATCAAATTAGCTCAACAACTGCAGTACTCAAATCAGCTCTTCAATACGGTCTTTGACATATCATAGAATACATTCATTTAACAAATCCTAAATACTAGCATAAAACTTTCTGAATGACTAACTAGCCAACTCGACTAGCTGAACTAACTCAACTCTGAGCTACTGTTACGCAGTCGCTTACGTACTGTACTGTGCTAAAACTAGATATCAATGAGTTTAGTCATTTGACTTAATACGATATATTAAGACCGACTACATTTATATAGTCTGTACAAGTTAAGGTAGTGCAGAAGTACCGAAACCGCATAGTCCTAACAATGTATTATGTCGGACATGTTATTACATTATGCCAACTTTGATAATTATATAAATAGTACCGTACTTAATAAGCTACATTCGACGAAAACAATATTTATTTTTCAGTATAATTAGCCAATTTAATTGAAATCATACAGCATTGCCAATATAAACTATAGTAAAATCCCAAAATTAACCTAATAAATGTACCCTATCATCGGCATAGTGGAAGTATATCATGAGTTCTTAGTTAATTTATAGCATCTATGAAGTAAAGCTGACTTAAAACCATTAATTGCAAATTACTAGGACCTATAGCTATCTAAAGTAAGAATTAATTTTTGCCTACCATTGCAATAAGCTATGTTACGTTCATATTGGAAATGAAATGTTTAAATTATACATCGACAGCTATTCTACAGAGCTTTGTACGAATATTTATTTATGGTATTTGGCAAGTATAGCTTGTTTGAGCAAAAAATTTTGTCAAAGAATTTAGGTATAATAAAATCGTGAATATTATCATAAGCAGTATCAAAATGGTTAATTAAATAATACAATATAATAAACTACGTTTTTACTACTGATTTTAATACACGTAGATTTCTTAGATAAATGATATGCGATATCTATAATTTAAATGTCGCTGTCATAAGTTTTCAGGACATCGTTAATTCTTGTTCTAAGTTTATTAATGATATCTATCTTTGCTACTGCAATATCGCTAGTTATAGAGAAATCATTTTCAAAAATTCGAATAATAAGCTCTTCATTTGCTTCTAAATGCTGAAATATCTGTTTTCGCATATCCTCATTAGCCTTCCTAATTGGTGTTGTATAAGCCTGTGCAATTTCAGACGCTTTGTTTTCGTTCGCTAATTCTGAAACAACACTAGCTGCATTTCCTTTCATGACTTGTAAAATTGTCTTTCTTTGTCTGTCGATGCTTGCTGCTATTAAAACACCATCTATGATAGCTATACTAATCAAGGAAATAATAAGGCCAATGCCGCCTGTTACGCCACCGATTACTCCTCCAACAGCTGCAGTAGCAATGCCTTCAGCCATAGAGGCCCCAGCTACTGCAGCTGCAATCCCACTGCCAACAGTACCAGTGATAATACCAGCTCCAGCGTAAAAGGATTGCCATGATTTTTTTCTTGTAGCCACAGTGAAATCCAACTGTGGTTTAATTTCCTCAAATGATGAAATCATACTCAAGTCTGGTAAACTATCAATACTGGAAGTATCTAATTGTAATGAATTTTCTAAGTCCTCCATTGCCTGCAAAATATCACTGTACTGCGCCCTTAAAGATCGCTGTACATTATCATAAAATAGCCTAAGTTCGCCATTCTGTTTTTCCCACATCATTAATAACCGAATAAATCGATCACAAAACAAACCCCGGGCAACTTTTTTAATATCGACGATTTTTTCTCGAATTGGAATATCCTCTAATTTCCAGGATGACATACCTTCTTTAAAATCTTCGGTTTTTAAGAACTGAAGCAAAGAAATACTTATGTGTGCAGTACCGTGATTGATAATTTTTTCAGGCTCGCTATGAAAATTTTGACTTGCCATGATGCTTTTAGCTTCGTTGTTCCTATACTTTAAAAGGTGTAGGTAACTTGATTTGCCATCATTGTGCATGAAAGAGCGTGTATCAAATAAACGGTATCGATTAGCCATAACCCCTAATAATGAATGAAACCAGCTGCGTACGGTATGTGTATATGTAATAAACGAAAGAAAACCGAATGTTAAGGTATAATCTACTACATCAATTTTAATAAGCTACAAAATGTTAATGCTCAATTTACTACATTAATTTTAATACGATCCGTTTCGAAAGCAAGGTATATTTTGTAATGTACTCAATACTAATTTGAACTAAAATTAGCATCTTAGTGAATATGGTCAGTGATACAATTAAGAAACACAACACACCTGCTATAGTTTACTATGGCCCCCTTCAAGCTGTCTTCTAGTAGTTGGCCTAGAAGGGAGTAAACTGCTTTCAAATCATTTGATACAAAGTTAGCTTTAAGGTGACTGCGTGCATTCTCAGTTGATAAGGTAATTAGCTGAGAATCGCGAAAATTGGGCCAAATTAGCGCTAGCTTTTCTTTAATTTTATTTTTAACGGTACTCCTCTCAGCCTTTGGAATAGTATCCCATTTATTACAGATAAAAATAGCTGATTCTGCAGAGAATCGCTTTAATTTTTCTTTCTCTAAATTTTGTTCTTCTGTTATAAGTCGCACCAGCTGTCGAGTAGAAAGTGGTTCATTATTTTAGAAAGAAAATTTAGACTATTTTTCGTATCTTATACGATTATTAAACACTTACTCGATCTTCTTGTATGCCGCCAGCATTTGCAGCATTAATAATGTAAATAATTGAACATGCATTGGGCAAATAATTTACTATTTGTTTTGTTGCTAAACATGTTTCGCCAATTCCAGGGCTATCTACCAAAAAAATACCGTCCTAATTTCAATTTGAAAAGAATCTTACTTCAATTATTTTTGAAAACATTGGCTTGAATTTTGCATTCAATGTAATCTACTAACACCAACAATAGTCAGCTAAATCCATTTAATAAAGCAATTTTTGTTAAACAGCCAGATGGCAAAAATGTTTCGTCAATGAAAAAACTGATTTTTCTTATTTGCCTTACGATATTTCAGTTAATCGATTAATTCAATTCTATTCTACTAGCCGAACCTTCAAAAGTGGGAAATCGCTATAAATTTCAACCTTTCCGCATGTTAATTCTAAATCATCAGAATCACTGCGATCGATACAAATACCATCTACTGAGGTATTCGATAGGTTTTGTTCTTCTTCGTTCCAATTATCTTCAACTAAGTTAGAAGTTGAACTCCGCCATTTTACTACGAAATCAGTAAAGATGTTTTTGCTTGATACCGAATTCATGCTGCTTTTGATCTTTGCTGCAATATTAGAAATATTCTCGATAGGTATCACTTGAGACTCCTCCAACTTTTTCTTACTTGAATCCCAAGTAAATTGCTTAAAAACAGAATCTCTAGAACTACGTAATTCACATATACATGTTGTTGTGTGCAAATGACCAACAGGTAGCACCGATTCGTTCAAGAGTAAATTAATAAAGCTACTTTTTCCAGCACTTACTTCTCCTAACATGATAACCAGGGAGAAATATTGACTATTATTATAATAATACACAATTCTAAATCGTTATTGACTCTAAAAGCAATTCTATTAGCATAAAGATTATATTTCTCGAACCTGTAACTAAGATTGGACATTCCATGTTGCGTAAATGTTTAATGCATTTTTGGATATTTTCTAAGTAATGTTGATCGAAAGCTTTGACTATATCAACAAGTTCTGGCTCTAATTCTTGCAGGATAAACTGGTTTGCACTTTCCAATAAATCGATAATTCGCATCTTTGCTTCCCTAAATTTAGCCACTGCACCCTTGAACCTCTTGATGAGCTACAATTATTAGGGAAATTTGACATTAAAGTATAAGATGTTATTTGTAGTGCACTGTAAAGTGTCAGCTTAGGTTGTACATACTCAGTGGCAATAATATCTTTCTTTAAATTATATAACATATAATTAATAATCTAGGCCTGAGATAGTTTAAGAATATCTTTCTTTCCAATCAACTACAGATCGTAAACGAATATCTTCTAGCTGTAATGAAGACCAAATGTAATTGTGCAATAAAATTAAAAAGTGCAACCGGCTAAAAAAATATTTATAGCACTTACAGAATTGCTCTTATAATTTTGGATAGTTTCATTCCTTAGCATTAAACCTAATCGTTCTTTAAAATCGCCCAAAGTTTTTAATCCCTCCATACTGATAGCATACTTCTTACAGACCTTTTTAGCATCTTTGAAGCTGCATATTTCATCAATCTCGCATTGAGTTATGAGATTCTCCATTTCTTATTGTTATTATTCGTCAGCAACAGTAGTTCCAATAATTTTCAGTAGAATATCCTATATACCAAACTACAGATTCCTAGAATTGAATCCTTAATTAGAAATTTGAAAGGAAGACATTAATTTTCATATTTGCTTCAAAATTTTTCTATAACTATGCAAAAGAGTATACGCGTATGTAAAATGTATTAGTTTTGTAGGAAACTTTTATTACGTTAAGGAAAATAGCTGTCATTTAAAGATTTAAAAATATGCAGTATACCACACTGGCATCAAGTTTATTTGCCAGGATAGAATGATGATTTTTGACTTGATTTTTCGCAGCATACTGCAGTGATTAACGTGGAGGGCTAGGGTATGCTTTTAAGAATTGTAGAAATTTCGTAAACGAGAGAATATATCATAAAGATAGGACAATAAACTACAGTATAAACTCAACTTAGTTTTAAACATAATACGATTTTTTAATTTATAAAACTCAGGAAATTTGTCTCGGCGAATTTAATTGGCTAAACGTTTCAATAATAGTAATGCTCGATTTTATTTCGGTTTCTCATTAAGCAAAAATGTCCCTACTTAACTTAAATTACTTAGTAACTTTTGTGAATTTATATAAGTGGATAATATTTTGGTCTTTGATGGATATTGATTCATTTACGGCAAATAAAACATAATATTATTTTAGTTTTAAACTAATAGATGCTGAGATCATCCAGAGAGTTTACATTTTACAAATTCTAGCATGTCAAAATCTTTCATAAATTGCATATTTCAGCCGTTTGGATTGACTGATACTAATAGAAAATAGTTATACAAGTTAAGTAAACCCTTCTGCGAGCAAGTGACTAACTGGCAAAATATCTTCATCATAATTGACAACCACATTCTGGTGTATAACTATACAATAATTAAAATGCTATAGTAATTCTGTACATACTCGTATATTTTATAGCCGTGCATTAATATAAAAAAGTTCATACTGAGAATTTTTACTCTTACTGCTATGGGTTGACAAACTGAGAACTATCGGGTTGCTAGTGATAGCTGATTCGACAACCTAACGTAATAACTACGATTAATATTTTAAACAAAATAAATTTTACGGCTTGCAAACTGTTTCCAGGAATAGATCTAAAATAGTAGATTAAATAGCGTACGGCATTTAAATTTCTTTTCCTTCCTAATTACTGACAAAAGTTTAAGTAGTTTAGACGCGTATCAGCAGCAGGTTGAAGAAAGTAGACTAGGTGAACATGGATCGTTTGCCTACACTATTTAGTATATCAATTGATCCGTTAGCTAATTGAATGATTTTGATATTGCATTTCAATGCTAATAAAGTTAATTAATTACTTTAGGTCTAAGCTTACTGATAAAACACCATACCCTTCCAAAGAAATGCTTGCAGTATCTTGATAGCCAATTTTATAAGTATTCGGATATCTGATGTTTCAAATGCATTAAACTAATCCTGTTATCGTATTAATGTTGCTGCTGTAGTAGAATGATCGCGATCTACTTTATTAATTTGATCTGGAACGGAAGTACGTTGCGATTCAATATGAAGATCAATCAATATGATGAATCATGTCAAGCATAGACATTATTAATTTACGTCAAACCCTGTTGACGTTACGCTGGCATGATGATTGATTAAGCTTAGGCGACAAAACAAAGTTCATTACAACCCCAGGCGACTAAAAGTTTTATTGTCTTTAGAATAACTGAAACTGTATGGTCCTCCCATGTAATCGCGCTATGATAAATCAAATATCTTGCTGTTCTAATGTTCGTATCGCGTTGATGGAGGCGTGCAGCATTGGATAATAATTTCTTTTACCTAATTAGGCATTATTTTCTTCGATCATAGCGCCATAACAAATGATGTTGCTAATTAAACAATTGCTATATTGTTTTTTGATTTCATTTATAGTAGTCCTACTAGTTTCATCTAGGAGCATCACTTCTTAATTACGCGATTTTACAGAGTACAATGTTATGTATATAGATGACTATGATAATCACCCTAAATAACATGAAAACTGTTGTTGGTTGTAGCAGAATGAATTCTGCAGTAATTGCTATTCTCGATCCTTCGGAATCATAATATCAGATTAGAATATGTTGTGTAGGCGAAGTCTCTGAACTCGCGCTATAAGCAGTTTTTCGATTTCTAAAGTAATCAAAGGATAACACTAGCCAAAAAGATCTCTTTCTGAGTTTATTAAGAGAGTAGAGGTCTAGGGGGATTTCAAGATGCTGTAACCACAATAACTTGAAATAGTATTATGCTTGCAACGCGATGAAAATTGATAGACCAAGTTCGCTACATTTGAATTTGCCTAGAATAAGTATGAGGCCGAAATAACGGGTTAACTTCAATCAAAGCTAACAGTCTAGCTGGGATATTGAGTATTAATTTTAGTTAGTTGCAATGAATTTTGAACATAGTATATGATGGAGCATTTTAGATAGAGGAGAGATCTCCTCTATCTCAATTTATAAAGGCTACTGTAGATTCTAACAAACTAAGCGCTCTTTAAAATGTCCAAAGGCAGTGCACATATTAAGATTGAATATCAGCATGATTTTTTAAATGGATGGTAACATGTTAAGGTAGAATGTGAACTTTAAATATGTTTTACCGTGGTAATCAAGATATAACGCGACGTAGCAATAATAAGGTATAACGCAGTTTTAAGTTATATCAAGTTTGTCAGCTAGATTCTAAAATATTAGATGTAACTGTTGTGACTGCGATATAAATTTAAAGATGGCTTTGGTAAAAAAACTAATTAATTTAACAATGTGACATTGTAATGTGTATTACTTCCAACCCTACAGTATCTAGTTACACAAGGAGATTTAGTTTTCTACGTAGCGGTGGTTAAAAATAATTTATTACTTGAAATATTTCGTTGAATTTTACAGTAGTAGAACTAAAGATAATGCAAATACGCACATAATTAGCTCAAAGCTATCGGCCCCTCTCCCACTCTAAGGAGTGGGCATTTTAGACCTTTCTAGGAAGGATTATTGATAAACATATTTACCCAATCCCTATTTCAGTCTATTCAAGTAATATCTTATTTTAACTTCCAATACTACTCCTTATTCTAATTAACACTTAATATGGCTCTTGCAAGTGCGAGACCCCAAGCTACGTATGATTGCCATCCCTCACTTTGGGTCAATCATATGTCAAGTACTGAGACGTGCAACACTTAATAAGGGTGCCTCTAGCACCGCTAATCTACTATCTTATTTACGCGGGGGCTCAGCTTAATCTAGTTTTCCTACTGATATTTAGCAGGAACTCGAAGCTTTGACATGCTATCTTGAAATACTTCATCACTGTACAGTACATACAGACTTTAATTAATGTATGAAATCAGCTAATTTTTAATCATAACCCTAGCTGAGTCACTCCTGGCCGAACTAGAAGTTACTGAGGACATCAGTGAAGTTTACGATACTGCAGATCGATTAAAATTAGACGTCGATGCAGATAATATCTCATCCTTAAAGGTTCAGATTATGCAGACTATCCTTAAACTACTGACTATTGATAGCCAAATTACATATCAAGATATAGATAATTACTGCCTGATTAATTGTCTTTTACAGTATTTTGTAACGATCATTAATAATTAATAATTTCATCAATTAATAAATCAATAACATAAGATAATCGCGTCTTAGTACCACTTTATTTTCATTTAAATCGATCATTGCTAGTAGATCATATTCAATTATGTTGCATAATGTTATCGTATAAGTGATGCATTCTGTTAAGATAAAATTTAACATGTTATAATGTATATCCAATATGCTAATCCTGTATAGTACATTACTTTTGATATAGCATGCCGTGTGTAAAGAGTTCGATAGAGTAATCTCAATGTAACATTAATGAATGCATGAAATCAACACCGATACTATCCTGTATGGCCGTTTATGAAAATTGAGTAAATTATCAATAAAGTGACCAGTAGTTAGCTTCTAACGATAAATAAAACATCAAATATTTACGTGGTAAACACTGAGCTTATATTTTATATAATACGATCAATCACGCAAAACTAAACCTATACAAGAAATGATCTTAAACAAAGAAATAGTCACCTTAATATTATCATTCTGACACTAATCCGACTGCCCAAAGTATAATTATAATTTACGGAAATCGGAGTATAGTTTTACAGAAATTCCACTCAATAATTACCTTAGTATTTAAAAGAAGTTTCTTTCGATACTACCGCAAATATCTATCTTATCACTAGTGTAGATTTCAAAGAAGTAGATCGCTCTAGATAAATGGTATACTTAATTCTATATTTCGTCGTTATAACTTTTTAATAGCAGTTTGGTTTGTAAGAGTGTAATCATATCGAGAAACTCGATCAGTGAGAACTTCGTTTGCCTCTAAATGATGACCCATCTATCTTTGCATTTTCTCAATGGACTGCCGAATTGGCATGATATATCCTCCACAATTTTTCATAGCTATACCTTCATTGGCTAATTCTAAAATAATTTTAGGAGCATTTTTTACCAATGAAAGAAAAATCCGATTTCTCTGCCCAGTAAAATTTGTTGACAGTAGTGTACCTGTTGCTGCAACTAAGCCAACTAAGGAAATAACAAATCCGATGCCAGCTATTATAGTACCATCAATTATTCCTCCAGTAACAAGGGCATGAGCTCCTTCAGCTATAGAACTCTCAGTTAGAGCAAATGCAATACCACCGGTAACAGTTCTCGCCACAACATTAAACCAAAAAGCAATCTTTAGAATAATGTAGTTCACATATACATGTGGTTATATACAAATGAACAACCGGCAGCACTAATTCGTTTAAGATTAAATTAACGATGCTAATTTTTCCAGAACTTATTTCTCCTAAGACGTACAGAAGAAAATATTAACTGTTACTACATCTACAAAAGAATCTAATTAGAGACAAGCATGTAAATGCACAGGATGCGTTTCAATGGTTATTAGCTTAATAATTCAGTATTAAGTATATTTTTTGCACCTGCCACTAGGATTTGATATTCCATATTGCATAAATATTGAATATGCTCTTTGATACTTTCTAAATACTGTTCATCGAAACGTTCGACTATGTCAATAAGTTCTGGTTCTAATTTTTGAAGGACAAGCTGACTTGTCCTTTCTAACAATCTAATTGTTTCTAATTTTACTTTCTCAAATTTAGCAATAACTTCTTTGATTCCTTAAGCAAGCTATAGTCGTTAGGGAAATCAGATATTACAGCATAATTTGACGAGCGTATTGCACAATGCATGTTAAATCAATTTATATAAACTTTGGTAAAAATAAAATTTTTCTTTAACTATTAAAATTACAGATTATTTAAAGAGATGTTGGTAATTAATTAATAAGTAGAGATGATTTACATCAATTTATATCGTCATAAATAATTTCAGCTCCTATTTTTATACACTTTCAAATAAAACTTTACTATTTACTTCAATAAATTTACGTAATTCTAGAATCAAATATTAACAAGAGTAAAAGATTGGAAAGAATTTTTATAGCACTTGCAGAAGAATGTTTATAATTTGTAATTGTATGATCCCTTAGAAGCAAACTAATACGTTCTTTAAAATCGTCCACGGATTTTAATCCCTTTGTATTGATGTTGTACTTCCTACTATTAGCCATAGCAGCTTTGAAGTCATTTATTTTTAAAGATCTCATCATGAGTTTTGATACCAGCCATTTTAGTTGTTAAAGGTAGTTCTAATAATCAGAAGCTTGCCAGTTTCTTCTATTATGCCAAAAATATAAATTTTAAAAACTGAACGCCTTAAATTAACGTCTTGAATCATGCACCTTTTTTAAGATTTAGATATATATCAGCGTGTAGAATATTTATTAAAATACAGAATTGATAGCTTTCGAAGTCATTTCTAGTAATACTCTGAGGTAGTTAAAGTAGTGCACTCGCTTAGGAATTGGAGGAAAATTAGTTTTCTATTACACATATCAATCTAAATGCCATATTGTAAAGGTTTAAAATTTCTCGCTTATAAATCCTATGCAGATATATCTTTATATGAATAGGAAAAGCAGAGCAAAATTATAATCGGTTGGTATAGTACATGTATTCCGATAAAGAGGTAGAAACAATGTTTTAATTTTGCAATTGTTTTCCTCAAAATCACGACAGATTTACAAACCGAAACTTTAATCCTGTATTGAAGATAAAATGTTATTCTGACAAAGTCCCACAAAACTCCAAATCTCTAGCTGGTTAAGAACTTGCCCCGTTCGTCTTACCATATATTTATTTAAGATTTATGTAGCCATTTGTGGCTTACACTAAAAATCATACATGGTAATATTTTTATCATCTTATGGTACCCTTATCTTTAAGAGTCTAATATCATAAATTACCGTAGACAACCAGCGGAAACTTGTAATAAATTGAGTATCATACATTAGTGTCTGTAATTACCTTAAATTACGTAGTAACCTTTGAAGTTTAATATATCTGAACTACGTTTCCTTTATTGAAGTGCGTAATACAAGTGTATTTATATGATTCATTTACGATAAAATAAATCACTTAATGATATCTAGAATTTCAAAACTATAACTACTAGTAGAGTTTACGTTGTTCAAAAGTACACCAGCAGAAGGTTGAAATAGTAAGCGACGCATCACGTTCATACTGTACGGTATATACGTAGTAGACATGTCGGTTAGTAAGCTAAATAATAAGTTTTAAACAGTATTTCAAATCTAGCAAAATTAATATAATTGTATTAAAGTATTTCGATGATTACAATGTATCAAACCAGCACAACGAGAGATATGTAACATCCGGATCTTAACGATTTAAGATTATCAACCTAAATAGTCAATTTTGTGTCTTCATACGCGAATTACTAATATTTGAAGTGCATTCAACTGATCCCGTTGCATTAAAATTATGCAATGAAATAAAATTCTTTCTATTAGCTCTATCTAGAACAATAGCACATGGTGACTAATTTGAAGATCAATATAAAGGCGTCATGCCGAGGATTGTCGAGCAAATTGTTTCCGATCTATTGGCGTTATATGCGTCTGATAATCAATTCAACCTAGAAGACGAGACGCTTTCAATAACTGCCTTAGGCAATGAAATTTTAGTGGATCTTTAGCCAAATTGAATTTGGTAGTCCTTCCACAAGGTAATGCTACAATAAAAAAAATTGATTTTACTATTTTAGCACGTTTATTTACCATGGATGGAAACTTACAGTCAAGAGTGATTAAAAGATCACTTCATTTATTAATTCAATTAAACTATCATTCTCATTTAATTAATAATCGTACCATACCTTTAAATTTGTTATGAATGATGAAATATCCTAATTTACCTTAATCCAGCCTTAACACGAGCCACTCTTTACTACGATGGTAGCAATTACATGGGAAACGACTAGGGATGCTGATGAAATTATCGTTATCACCGATCTATTCACTTTGAGCATCGATGGAGACGATAATTGCCCTTGGGCAATATTTATTCTATTTGCTGTCATAATGATATACATCATACAGTGTACGACACTTGCAGATACGGTAACTTATCATATAGCGTATTTTTCTATTTCGCATTGCATTCGCCAATTCTAAACTTAACTGTATTATACTAAAGAGTACAATCATTTGCGAATATCAAACCATCTCGACACGCATTATAGTTAATCCTGCTGTAGTGTTACTTAGTAAATTAGTTCCATTCCAAAAGGCTTCATAATACCGCTGATTTCAACCCCTAACTTGTTGCACGTATTGTAAAAATACGAAAGCTCAAAAAATAGAAATGGCAATTCTATTCACTTAAAATGTTAATTTCATTTAACAATAGCGCGGTAATAAGTAAAGTATCATGTGGTGATCACATTTATTTTCGATACTATTTATGGCCTTCTCGATAAGAAATCATTAGTATTCATCTTATTATTATTGTTTTCTATATATTGGTTATATTCATTAAAATTAAATTAGTCCAACTTAAATGTATGCATAGGGACGGAAGTATCCAGAAAATTGCTATCAAAAGTATTAATATTGGTTGCTAAAATGGAGAGCACAGGTACTGTTGCGTTTCTAAAGATTTAATTTATAATCTTTTGGCAACATATTTATAAAAAAGAGGATACAGATAGTTCATAAATTGCTCTTTGATACTGGAAAAAGGGTAAAGTAGTAATACCGATTCACTGCTAGTACCATAAGCTGCTGCTCTAGATGCTCTTAAATTGCTCTTCGTAGAAACTGTTATACAGATTAAATTTTCAGCCTAATGCTACTTTGATCTTATCGCAAATACTAACCGATTACTATCACTACTTGTTTATACAAAAAATTACTATATTATCAGTACATTCATGTAAAGTTGTACGAGAGAGACATTTTAGTAAATAATAAGCATATAGGTATAGAATCCAATACTAAATATAGCCAAGAATCAAAATTGAAAGGTTGTGAGAGAATAGTCCAAGCTGTGCTTTAGATTGTGAGACGATACTAGTGTCTCCTATATTTGTAGATGATATTTTAAGGCACGTACTGGATCTATCCTACTGCAATGCTTGCTTGTATTGCAACACTGATATCTTAATAGATTCTATTGGGTTATTTGGAATTTGAAAGATTTACTGTCGCGATTTCATTAAAGTACTTGCTATAACATTTTTGAGACACTATTACAACATAAAAATTTACTAAATTAGCTCTGTAGCGTTCAAAATTATTTTGATTACCTACACAAGTAGATATAGAATAAATAATACTACTTCATGATATCATTTATGAATAGATAAAGGTCAGAAATCCTATATTTTGATATTATCTAGTATTGAATGTTTTTTAAATGTCAAACCCACTGTGAATGCGAGGATAGTGCATATGATAAATGCAAAAGTAACTTCTCAAAAAGGCAAAAAAGAAACTTAGACTAAAAGCTTATTCTGAGATGCGAATACAGCAAACTTTAATAAAGACTAATATAACTTTATGCTGCTATAATAATTTCATTAGTTATATAAGAATAAAATATAGTATATAAGATAACAGGCAATTTTAAGGAAGGTTAATTTTAAAATTTTCCCTTACAGCCATTATTGCATAAAGCTGTATTGTTTTTCCAGTTTCAGATTTACGCTTACCGATCGTAGTTGCATTTGTACCATACTAGACTCTGTAGTTGATAATTGTAGATAAAACGCCCTTATAGCTAGATTAGGATTACACTATTAATTTAGTGACATTAAGTAATTAAGGGCAGTTTGCAAAATGACAGATTTCGCATACGGTCTCGTTCATATTAAAGGAATAGTAATACTCTTCAAAAATTAATATCAGTAGTGCATGTTAAGTAGCTGTGAAGTTATGCAGATATAAAATGCTCCGTATATTCAGTTGTAAGTAATTCAGTTTTGTATTTTATTTTTTGCTTATTAGATTGATGGAGACATTATCAACGTGTCTCCTTCTGATTTATACGCATATTGCACTCATTGCTCGCTGTATCTTCGTGTATTTATTGATTCTTATTAGTTTAATAGGCATTTTCTTATAAATTACGTAAGTTCAACGTAATGACACCGCAGTTGTAGTAGAAAAGATCATTTTATTATTTCTCTTTAAATCCCTAAAATACGTTAGGAAATCTACAATCTTCTACTTATGGTTTATTCCAAACTTTAATAAATTACCATAAATTTCGTTACCGGTATAGATGTTATTATAATTAATTAATAGTATTAGAAATGTAGTAAAATTGGATCCTAAGCTTTAATCAGGTACTGTTGCGATTATGACTTGGTAAATTTTTATGCATGATTAATTGATTTAAAATTATTCAAATAGTCAACATTCGTATGGTGTGTTATTCGGTTTTACACGATATATTCGTAAATCTCGATCGTACAATAAAAAAGGAAGATTCTAAGTTTCCTCTATCTGATCTAATAGTCCAATCACTCCTAAGTGAACTGGAAGCAGCAAATGATATCAAAGCAATTTTCGATCTTGCAGAAAAGCTGAACTTAGACGATGTCGATGGAGATGATATTTTACTATTAAAAATTCAAGTTAGGGAACACATATTCAAACTACAACCTAGTACGGATCAAACCACATTCTCTGACGTGAGTAATACAATCTTTGTATACTAAATTATGAAGACAATCATTAGCATACTACATAGCTTAAATAAATGTTTTACTTCGAACATGTTTGGAATGATACATCCAATATTTACAAAGTCAGTTATATTAGCATTTATTATGATATACAAAATAAAAAATGAAAGGTTAAAGTACTTTAAACCAAGTAAAATGCAATCCAAGACATAATTCTGATAATGTAAAGCCATTAAGTATATATATCTTATGTAGCAGATCTATCGTATTATCGTTCTGATAGATGTCAAAATATAGGATATAATTACGAAATAAAATAAGTCATAGCCGATCGGAAGCGTTATTAATTTCATTTTAAATAAATAAAAGAAATTCCGCTAAAGAATTTATTAACTGAATAATCTTAAAAATGATCGGATATACCTGGAGTATTTTCTATGAGTACTTTAATACCCTAAAATTATTGAGGCTTTAATCTTTAGAATTAGTACAATATTGTCAGCTATTTGTTGTGTTATATATGTAATCAGACTAAATATGATACGCTAAGGCCTATGATTTACTACTGCAGTAAAATACATCAGTTTTCCAGATACTGTATAGAAAAATTCAAACGAAAATGATACTTGCCTATAAACTGTACAAATAAATTTAACAATACTTATCGTAGCAGCGACTACACTTATGAAGGTGATTAAACGGATCTTTGAGTGATCATAATTGTTAAACATACATTAATCTTTTATCGCCTTGCCAGTCTTATATCTAATATGATTTTAAAGCAAGTATTTAATTAGTAGCCATCAGATATATGATGTACAAAGACTTTGTTACTCATCCAAGATGATGTTTAAACTTTCACGCTACCAACTATTGCCTATTCTGCCTCATTAACTTCTTATAAGAAGTTGAGAAATTAAATAGTAGAACCATTAATACTGAAGAAACGAGAAATATTCTATCTAATCTTTACAAAGATACGAAATCTCTAGCAGAAAAATTTGATAAATCCCTTGACAGCGAAACAGATTACCCTCAGAAGACAAACGTGGAGAAAATGCAATGTGATGAGTCGTCGTTGCTAGAAGAATTTAGGTATCCAATTCTTGTTATAGGTAGCATTTGTTTTACCTAACCGTCTCTGATAATTTTACAACATTAAAGATCTATTTAGAGATGCTTTTGCAGTAGAATGTAAACTGGTATTTTAATTATGCCTTTATACCATAGAGTAATCATATCTTTATTTAAATTGCTAACACCGTATTCAACGAAAATTTTAATGGACTTCTAATCATATTTTAGGTGAAACTAGTGCTGGAAAATCCTCCTTTCTAAACTATCTACTTGGCATTGACATATTATCAGTTCATACGTTAAGTTGTACTAACAAAATATGTGAGTTAACGTATGGCAAGGAACCTCAAATTAAAATTATAGATACCTCGGATGGTAGACTTATCAAATCCAAAATTTGGACATCAGAAAATGAGCAAACTGCTATTCAAGAAATTCGATCGATAATTACAGAAGCAGGCCTCATTAAAGACTCCGGTACGGATAATCGAATTCAAGTTAATGAGATTAGCATCAATTTGTTAATTAGAATATATTGGCCATCTGAAATTTTGAAGGTAACATGAAAGTAATCTAATGACTTGAATTTGAATATATAGAATCGTACTCCATACCTACATCCCTTTTAATCATGAGTCGTTTATCTACCTAGAAAGTGATCAAATATTTGTCTTTTCAAGATTAACTATCCTTTCAGTGTAGAATTTTCAAATCTAAGATCTAATAAAATAATTAATTGTAATTTAATTTTTTCTATAATAATTACCATTATAGCATATTTAATCCTATGCAGCGATTTCTGTCTACGAAAAATACTTGTGAACAGTTATAGTTCATCACTTCCATCACTTTATATGGTCTACGGAATTGCTACTTAATTGAACAATTTTTCTGTAGGGTGGTCTACAAATTGTTGATAGTCCAGGATTTGGTGAGCAAGTAGAACTGCCACACGTTCTGAAAAACTATATCTATAAAGCTGTTAGTTACATCTTTGTTATCAATTCTGCCAATGCTGGAGGAATTCAGGAGGAGAGGGTAAAGTATAGTCTTATCTATTGACATTAAACATAAAGAAAAACGGTTCGATAATAGCCTACTTAATTATTGATCACAGTTTAACCCATGTAATTTTGTTTCAGCTGCAGCAAGTGTTAGTTCGAATATCTAGCACTTTAAGGCAGGAAGGGTATCTAAATTTTAATCCATCTATGGCAATATTTATTTGCAACAAATGGGACACTGTACCTGTAGACGAGAGAAAATGTGTAAAAGATGACAGTTTGCAAAGGTTGAAACGGTGCTGACCAGGTATAATGGAATCTCAAGTAGTATTCTTATCCTGTGTTGAATTATAGAAAGCTAAGACTGCCAACTATAATGGAATATTGCCACAAGAAGCTGTGCAGCTATTTAAACTGCTTTATAATTTGATTCCAATTAGTCATAAACAAAAACTATCCAGATTATACAGGTATGCATACCCGCTTAATCTTAAATTTTCAAAATAAATCTAAGATAATAAGCCATTCGATTTAATTTTAAATGTTATCATCTATCAGCTGTTAAATTTTCAAATGATGGACTACGTTACTTAATTTTAAAGCTTCATCGTTGCTTTCGTTGAAGAAGTAAAAGAAACTTGTCGATACTATCTGGAGCTCATGGAAAGCGAGTTAAAGGAAAACCAAATAAAATTACAACGGTTAGCGAAAACAACGCAATTATGCATCACAGAATTGTCTGTGGAAAAGAATAAAATAATCGACAGAATTGTTGATAAATATGTGAAACACATTAAAAGTGCTGATATTGAAGGTTTAACCACTTGGTCAGAGGATGATTTCTCAAATGAAGAATTTGATGAAGATAATTTGAAGAAACTACAAGAGTGTGCTGCTACTAAAATTCAGGAACGATTAAATATTTATTTGCAACCTGCTGTTCAACAAATACAGAAAGATCTCTATATCGAAAAGGATTCGTTATTAGAAAAGCTCACTACTAGACTAAACAAAATCAATGATCAGGTTCAGCTCAGATTAGTTGAACAGTCTGGAAAGGAAAATAAATTGCAAACGATTCATTTCGACTCAGATTCAAGAATTGGATATTCAAATTTCTCAGAATTGTACGGGTTCTATGATGTATGGGCTGATATGAATGCTGCCAAAAAAGTTACATTGGTTCTCACTAGTCCAGTGTGGATGGCTCCTGTATTTATAGCCAGATCGATATACCTTATTGCGATGCTAATAAAAAGTCAAAATCATCAAGAAGAGATTCAGGAATTTAAACAAAATAAAGCTAGAAAAATGAAAGAGTATACATTCATAGTTCTTGAACATATTAGTTCAGAAAATTTTGCTAGAAAATTTATTGTTGATACCTTTGATTCATTAGTAAATTCACTATTGATTAGCGTTAAAAAGAATATATTAGAATCATGCCAGTGTAGAGAGGAGGCTATTAAGAAAGTTTTAAAAGATAAGCGACCAGCTAAAGAACGCAGTAGACTCTATCGGCCAATTAAAAGACAAGCTGAAAATTTATTAGCAAAATTAAAGAACTTTTATTTGCAACACTTAAGTGAATCATCGATTAAATTCGAAAATCTTCATGGATTTTGCGAAGAATCCGTTCCATTATCCTTTGGATTAAAAGTAAATTTATACCGGGCGAAATTTCAAAGAAATGGTCAATTGACTCCTGCTATAATCCAAGTTCCTGTTGATAAATCCGCGCACTCAATGCATGATTTTATCAGCGATTGCCAAATTATTAAGTAAGATATGATATTCGTTACTAAGAATAATGCAGCAAAATGAAAATTAAAATTTAATGATATTGTTTGCTTACCTTGAAAAATTATTGATTGATAAACTACTGTGTAATTATAAATAATAACTTCTACCATTACGTTCTGATTGATAATTAAATTCATTATACTATTTCTGATTATAAATAAATTAATCTTAAAATAAGATCACAAGAATCGCAATATTTCGCCAAATTTCTTGGTATTTACTATACTCCATCGCCCACAATAACGCCTATTGGAATTTTTAAAAATTCAATTTTAACCCTTCAAGACTTAATCCTAAACGATCAAACGATTGTCAGTGACACAGATAAAGATTTGACTAGATTAAAGAAGATTTATTTTATGGTTAATCAGATTATACAAGGTATCATGTATTTACATAAAAGTAAACTAATCCATGCCCATTTGACAGCTGGAAACATATTAGTAAATTGTACTGCTAAACAATCTCACAACTATAAGTATAGTGCACTATGGATACTTCAGACATTAGCTTGTAAAGTAGTTCAAGAGTAACAACATACCAGTTTTTCTAGATATCTACCTTAATAAATTAAAAATATCTAAATTTGGTCATGGTGCAGACAGTAATTTTTTTAGTGATTAAGATTGTCCAATGTCGACTTATATTAAGCGATCTATTATTTATTGTAATAGATTATTTTCCGAGAAGATCAACTCGAATTAAAACTGTGTCATGCAACGACAGAATCTACACTCTATCAATGCAATAATTTCGAAAAATCAACAATTCACTATTATTTGGCTCCTGAAGTCTTAAAATGTAAGTGTATACATATATATATATATAATAGCTAATTAGCTAAAGTTATAGATATATAAAAGAATCGGTAACTTTATTTATACTATCCTAATTTCTGATATAGATCAAGTAATTTAATATGAGCAAATATTTTATCACAAACTTAGCCCATCGTATTTTATTCTATGCGATTAGATAATAGTTATGAAGAAGCTTTAGATATTTACAGCTTAGCCATCTTATTTTGGGAGATTTGGTATTGGAAATTAATCGCTAATGCGTTCAACTGGAATATTGGTACTGATCACGATCAAAAGATAAAAGATTTATTTGCAACAAATGAACTTGTTCCTAAGCTTCATGAAGATATGAGCAATATATGTGCCGATTCCCTAGCTATTGATCCAGAAAGGAGACCGGATATTAAATCTTGGCACCATAAGCTAGAGGAGGCGTTAAAGTCTCATTGATAAAATTTTTAGAGGTTTCTCTTATTAATGGGTGATAATTTTTAAATCAATAATGTCGATTAGTTAGATATACAATTATCCGTCGATAGAGCTTCGAGGAAATCTCAGAATAAGTACTCGTCAGTATATAGGTTTATTAATTGCAGTGACCAATAGTAATTTGAAGGTAAAGATAATACGATAATAATTATATAGAGCTGGAGACATTGCCAGATAAATGCATAGTAGAATACAATATACAAACGATTGAATATGCTTATAGCAAGGATTGGATAAGAAATACATGTTTATAAATTATTGATGTAATGGTTATAATTAAAAATATAAAATATCGTCTATGTGTGTATTTATTCTTATCTAGAGTGAGATATTGTATTATAGAATTATTTCTTACACAAGAAAATCGCCATTATTACTCAACGTAGAAATATCAGACATTTATCAGCAACTGCACACGATATTAAATCTGATTTCGTGAAACTGTGTTAATGTAAGCCTGCATAAGATGCTGTACAAACTGTCACAAGAAATAACATTAATATTCTGTTATTATTATAAGATTACCATTATTAATGTAGCAAAATCTTTTAATCCCTTATGTTACAAATAGCCTCAGTGATCGTGTTTAGTGTGATGTTTCGGAAGGTTTACGGTCCGTCATAATCGCAATTAAATTACCAGAGAAGTAGAATTTATTGGAATTAGTTTACGAAAAAACCGTGTGAGATTATAGCGTATACAACGACGTGGCTAGTCGAATAGCTATAGCAATGTAGAATGGGTAAAGTGTGCAAGCTTACCGTGCAACTAGCAGAAATAGCTTACGAAATAGATGTAGAATTAGCGCTTTTATAATATAAGAAACACAGCTCGAGGAAATTATTCATAAAACATGAATGACTATTGAGAATGGCTTAATTCTATATTAGGTTAGTTCGATGATACAATCAAGCTAGAGTATAAGAGATTTCCACAATATAAATAGTTAAATGTTGATTATACAAATAAGGATTTTTGTTACAATCTATATGAAAATTAACTTTACTAAGAGTATAATATACCGTATTCAGAAGTATACACTACATTTAGATTTCAGGAATAATATGTTGATAGGAATAAATCGTGAATAAGACATGTTTGAAATTGATTTTTTGCAATTACATCCCATATCTTTACAACGTCGGATTTACTATTTAAGAAAACATACCTTAGAATTCATAGCGAAATTGGCTCATCATTGCCTAAGGTGGTACTGTATAAAAATGCAATAAGAGCAATGCATAGATATAACCTCATTATCAAGTCATTTGTAACTTTCCAGTAATTATTTTCTTGTATCAATTCAAAGCAAAATATAAATCATAATTTTAAATTTAATTATGATTTTATTTACTATGCTATGCAATAAGCACTTACATGATATCTAGTCTTAATAAAACAGTAATAAATATACATATGCAATATATGTACTTACTTCATCCCATAAATAATAAAGTAGAACTCGAATTGCCACTTACTTTCAGAATAATCAACTGTAGATTTTCTTCGCCGACTTTAAAATAGCCTAAGAAGTTTAAAAAACTTTTAGCCTCTAAACTTCTAAATTCTATAGTTACCCCAGCAATGTCAACTAGTACTCGCATTCCTTTTAAAGTATTCCATGAAGTGATTAAAGCAGATTACAAATAAATAACAATGAGAAATTGGAGAAGATGATCATGTTGTCCAAACTCCTATCTCAATTATCTAGATCTGTTGCAAAGAAAGAGTTTGTCTTTTCATGTCTGGAGGAGAAGAGGATGACAACCGAGGCCTTGATAAATAGAATTTCTTATTTCGATAAAAATTATCTTTTACGCCTCCCATCAATCCTTAATATATTCGTAAAGTTGTTTATCAACAATTGCTGATCATTATCTTGTATTTCATTTTTATGCTATTTGTGATCGAATTAATGTATTTAGGAGGATATTAGAATTCATGAAAAGGCGGTTACATTTTTCGGATTTTCTTATAAATCTTTAAATATAATTCCTACTATTCTAGGTGATCTAGTCCCACGGTAGCCTTTTCATACAGTGCGAAGTAAGCCTTATGAATGATTTGTTTATCAGCTAAATTTCTTGTTGAAATCAATACAAATTTGACTTATCATAATTTATACGAGATTATTTCCTACAATGTTATATTCAACGAATAAAATATGCAAGTATCGGTAAAATGAAAGTTTCAATTAAAATTTTGCAGAATTATGCACGCAAGTCGAAATCATTTAAAGAATCACATACTATTATAAGGTTATAATATTGTGCACGCTTAATTGCAAACTGTAATATCATAAGTATATCCAGCATAAAATAATGTAGTTTTTGGAACAAAATAGAGGGATTCTACTATGAAATAAAATTAAATTATTTCTTTATTGTTACAATCACTTGCAATACATTGTAACACAGTGCACGTATAATTCGCAGAAAATAACTAAAATCATCTAGTACTTCAGGGTAAAATAATCCTCTGTATCACAAAGTAAATTAAAGACTTTAATTTAAGATACCGGTATTACAATTACTCCGAAAGCTGTAACTGTGGTATAAACGAATTGCGCTATTCTAAAAATTATTTTCGGAGCTATAATTTTATGGTACCCTTAAATTCTCAGAGCATAAAATTTCGTTAAAAGTGAAGTTGATACATACAGTAGGTGTCAGTAAATTAATCAGGAAAATATTAGTGCAATAAAACATAATGGATTTCATTTACCGTAGAAATACTAATAAAACGTAATTCGCTTTAGCTATATAATACTGGTATAAAATCCGATCACGAAAATTCAGAACTTTATTAGATCTAATACAAAGGTTAGCTACACACGTCGCTACTCTAGCTGAATACAACTACTGAAAGACTCCCAGAAAGAAAAATCAGATAATCTAATATCACTTACTTTTATACTCTCCATAATCTTCGCAGCTAAAATCAATATAGCAATATTTCACCTTATAAACATAAACAAATTATTATTAGTAATAACATTTTACAGCGGACCATCATTAATCCAATATAGAAACGATTACAGTAATTGCGTAGACATTATTCCTACCACTCAAAGTACAATGATCTAATCATTTCCTAATCTATAATTTACCGTTCTATTTTTACCTCTGACTCTATTATTAGCTGTCACAAAACAACTTTCGTGATGGAACCTAAACTAGTCTATCTACTCTATTCAATCTCCCGACTAACTTCAGAATATACTCTATAAGGAGCTAATCAATTCCAGTATTAGAGAGCTGAGTCAATCGATAGGGTTTAGGTTAATCAAACTTTATTTATTACTAGCTATTAAAGCAAAGCACCAATGTACTCTACATCATCTTCAGTGGAACTGAAGATAAAACTAATTAACATTTCTTGTATAATTTTTCTAATCTTATACAAATGCACCGGTGCTAACCAGTATTAACATTAACAATATCATAGAAAGTCATGCACAATTTATCAGAGGTTTAGTATAGACTAGACCAAGTGTTAATGTTGTTAAGTATCACTAATAAATATTAATTAGCAACTATGAATAATTATAACACCTTTACATCATATGTTCGCTATCGTTATTTACTATCATACTAATCAATATTATGAAGATATAGCTTAACTCAAGACGTAAATAATAATAATTATCTAACATTTAAGATTATTGTCTGCCAAAACTCGCGCTTAACAATTATTAATGATCAATATTTTTGATCACATAACTCTAATTGTAACTTAATTCTAAAACTAGAACGAGGAACTTAGCTCCGTAACAGTGGCTCAACACCCCCACTGTATACAGTCATCCGTACTCTAACATAGAATCTATCATTACAGTCTATAATTATATGCTACTAAATATACCATAAGATATATATATAGAAACGATACCACCATACATTATACTAAACATGGCTAATAATCTACAATCACAATACTAAGTTACTTTACAAATACATTTACATGTCGTGGTCATATTTTCTCAAGATAACATTAACGCCTTCTCTAAAATTTTCAATGATATCAATCTTATCTTGCGCTGTATCCTTTGCCTGATAGCCATTTTTCTCACTAGTTTGGCTAATAAAAGTTTCATTGGCTTCTATTTGCTGATATATTTTCCTTCGTATATCCTCGACAAACGTCTTAATTGGATTAGCATATTTCTGTGCGATTTCGTCAGCTTTCTGTTTCTCAGCTAATTCTAAAAGTATTTTAGGCGCATTTTGTTGCAATATTGATAAAATTCTCTTTCTTTGTCTATTTCTTTTATTTCTAGACCACACTACACCAACTAGAACACCCAAAACAACAACAGAAATAATTGCTCCAATGCCACCTGTTACACCACCAATGACTCCTCCAATAACGGCAGCAGCAACACCATCGGCTATAGTAAGGCCGATAGCAGCACCTGCAACACCACCGCCAACAGCTCCAGTGGTAATACCAAAAGTAGTATAAAAGTTTCGCCACGATTTTGTTACGTTAGGTGGCGTAACATCAAGCCTTAAACTAATTTCTCCAAGCGATGAAGTGATATTTAAATCGTATAAACAATCGAAACTGTCATCATTTATTTGTAATAAATTTTCCAAATTCGCTAAGGCAAGAAAAACATCACCATAACGTGCATCTAAAGATATTTTGATATCATCTTGAAATTGTCTAAGTAAGCCATGTTTCTTTTCCCAGAGCGTTAATAAGCGAATAAATCGATCACTGAATAATATACAGATAAGTTCTTTAATATCCTGGTCAGCAACTTTTTCCCGAATTGGAATATCCTCTAATATCCAGGTCGTCATACCGTTTCTAAAATCGTCGCAGTCCAGAAATATACGCAAAGAATTAGCGATTTGTTTAGTTCTATCATCAATAGTCTTTACGATATCTCCATGAAAATCTGGATTTTTTAAAGTGCTCTTAATACTTATTGTATTATTCTTCAGACTCTTTAAGTAAGAGATCCGAACAGCATCATTTAAGTAAGAACATCTGGATATGAAGCGGTATCGATTGGCTATGACCCCCAATAAACTATAGAACCAACTATACATATATGTGTACGATAGATAAAATAAAGCCATCGTTAATGCATAATCTAATACATCAATTTTAGATTTATTAATATACACATCTTTTAGAAAAGGCTTTTAAAATAAGTGGAGATAACCATAATTGAAACAAAAAATAGGCAGCGTAGATTAATGATTACTATTTACTTTGGCAAATAATTTAAAAATTATTGGGAAACTTACCAGCTACTGTTTGTTATTATTTTCTTCAAACTGTCTTCTATGAGTTGAGCAATAATGCAATGTAACGATTTCCATTCGTCTGAAACAAACCCAGCTTTAAGGTGATTTATTACATTGGTACTGGACAACAATATTAGCTGAGACTCGCGAAAACCAGGCCAAAGTCGTTTTAACTTCTCCTTAATACAATTTTCAACGTCATGTTGGTCTTCACGTGCAATGGTGTCCCATTTATTACAAACAAAAATTGCTGATTCCGGAGAAAATAGATGAAATTTTTCTGTATTGAGATTTTGCGCTTCTGTTATAAGTCTTATAAGCTGTGAAATAATGAAAGATTGAATATTAGATACACTTTTTTATAGCTAATCAGTATAAATCAAATACGGTTATCAATGCTTACTCGATCCTCCTTCATACCCCCAGCGTTGCTGACATCGATTACATAAATAATCGAGCATGCATTTGGTAAATATTTCATGACTTGTTCAGTTGCTAAAGAAGTTTCACCAATTCCAGGGCTATCTACTAGTAATATGCCATCCTAATGGATTTATAAAAAATCCAATTTAATAATCTCCATGTCGTGATGCACCCCATATTTGATTTTAAAAATAGCTATATTTGATAAAGCTAAATTACTAAGAATAGGTACTATCGTGAAGCTAATATTAGATGATTGATAAATACTATAATGATAGCTAATATTAGCTAGTTAACTAATTATGGTATAAGATATATGTGACTAGAAATATTGTAATTTCGAAGATGCCCAACATCGAAAGGTGCTGAAGGTTAATAGAAGAGTAGTGATATCTTAAGTAGAATAATTTAGATTGTAGAAGATAATGATGTTCAATTTGACAGAAAATGTTTTGTTTGACGACTCATGTCTTATTTTAAATTAATCAATTTGTCATAAAAGGATTTAGCGAAATATATTTAAGAACTGCAGAGATGAGCTCAGTGAGAGAGAAGAGACTTCACTTTGTTTTGAGTTCGGAAGACTTTAGATTTTAGACTAGATTCTTCTAGTAATCAATCATTGCTCTACTATTCCTAAAACTTTGTAAAAGCCTTTAGAAACACCATTGACTAAAACTGCTATTGTGAGACACTTTTACTACACCCCACTAATACTAGATGAAACATCAGTTATATACAGTGTTATAAATTTTACTAACGTCGAATAATAATTAATTAGCTAGTTCCATACAATGCGAGTTCAACGATCTCTCAACTCACTAGAATCAGAAAGTCTTATTCTACTCTATCATATTGGACGAACCTTCAGAAACGGGAAATCCCATTGAATAGTCAGTTTTCCGCTTGCTAATTCTAAATCATCAGCGTCATCGCAAGCGATATCCACATCGTCTGCAGAGATTGAGGCTAATAGCATTGGTGTTTCTTCATAAGTCTTATTATCTCTGTTCGATTGAAAAGAACCTCCACTTTTTGCCCCTCTGTTAGTAGATGTTGACGCTTTCGACATCGATTTCATGGCGTTTTCAATTGTTGCAGCCATATCGGAAATATTATCAATGTTTATTTCTTTACCAGATTTTAACTTCTTATCATTCGCATTCCAAGTAAAGAGATTAATGCAACGATTTGTAGAATAGCGTAACTTGCTTACGCATGTTGTGGTATGTAAATGGCCAACAGGTAACAATGATTCGCCTAAGATCAAATTAATCAGGGTACTTTTTCCTGCACTTACTTCTCCTATAATTATAACCAGATAAAATAGTCACTATCATCTTGTCGTTTACATTATATTTTTAATCAGAAGTTTAGTAAATATACATTATGTTACCGCATGCAATATAAACACGAAATCAGTAGATATTAATACCAAAGACCAATGTTTGAAAGCAGAAAAGATTACTATTCGAACGAACCTGCGATTAAAATCGGACATTCTACGCTACGCAAACGGCTAATGTACTTATTCATATTTTCTAAATATTGTTCATCATAAATTTCGACAATGTCAACCAATTCTGGCTCTAATCCTTGAAAGATTGATTTGTTCACTCCTTCTAATAAACTAATTAATTCCTTTTTATTTTCCGCAAATTTTCTGAAGGCGTTTTCAATCCTTTGAGCTGACTGCAGTTATTAAAAAAGCAAGTTGATAGTAGGTAACGTATGTATCATACACTAATCAGAATAGCCTATTAGTTACAGTACATCGATAATTTTATTCAATTGCATAGACTAGAACGGTTAAAATAGAACTGACCAAAAAATTGACAGCACTTACGCAGGAGCGATTATAATTTTCAATTGTTTCGTTTCTTCGAAATAAATGTAATCGTTCTTTAAAATTTTCGATTGTTTTTAATCCACTAGCGTCAATTTTACACCTTTCGCAGAGATTCATGGCAGTTTTGAAGCTTTGTATTTCGTCGATTTCATTTTCTTTTGGGATATAATCCATTTTTAGCTGATATGTCTAGCGGTAAGAACAACGTATCGTCGCAAGATTTCGTTTTATATGAAATTGTACTTCTAATCACTTTAACTGAGAATATAATAGGTAAAGATTAATAAGACTATCGTGTACTGATTTCAACTAATCACAGTAGTAGTGAGATTTGAAAGGATAATGGAAATATGAATAAAGTATTATGTGATATGGAATAGTCTGATTCATATTTATTTCACTTTTCTGCTACAGCCTTTATAAATAATTATGAAAAATGATTTTGATGAAGATATTTTTATGTTTCTACTCGAAGATATCTGACGTTGATTCTATCTCTTGGCACTCGATGTGTTCATTACTAATTTAGATATTTTCAAAGCATTTAGGCTATAATCGACCTCATTAATTACAAAAATTCTGCCATAATGGATAGTACATAAAAGACTGGCAGCATCTACTAATTTGTAGATATATACTACTGTCATGTGAAAGGCCGCATTACTTTACCTACTTTATATATGTGTACTGTAAGCTAACGAAAAATTTGATACCGTATTTTATATCTGCCATAATTACATTATATTGCATTAATGTTTTATAATGATTGATTTTACCACCTTATAGCTTCTGGATAGAAACACTGCACGATGGCTGATCTGCTAGCGAATTCACAGTCAACAAGTATGCCAATGTCGAATTTTTCTAGCGTTGGAAATTTGAATTTTGTTAAAGCTGTGTTCAAAAGCGATCTATTAAATAAAATGGGTGTGTCGGTACAGATTATGGATTAGTTTGATAAGGATATATTTTATCTAGCCTTGACAAGGCGTTGCTATTATCTACTTCAATATGATAAAAACTATCGTCTAAGAGCACCGTTCAAATATAAAATACGACCTTATAAGGTTGTATAGAACATAAATCGAAAAGCTTCAATCCTTACTGATATTCATTTCACCTGCTACTAAAAGTATGAGATGATATAACCTGAAGATCAATCAAGATGTTTCAAAGTGGGAATATATCAAGCTGTGTTCTATACTGCTGTGCATTATGAAAACCCATCAAACCAGAATGGCGAAATGCTTTTAATTGAGTTGCCTGATGATAACAGTTTAACAATATCTCTCGTGACAGCAGGATTTAGGTAGATACTCCTCCTATAAAGCTATAGTAAATAAAACCTATTGGATAGTTCTACTTTTATGTGCATATGTATGCATATATTGTATTTATTCATAAAAAAACTTTTCAATAGATAGGCAATAATTGAATTCAACTTTTCCGTTATTTTTTGTTAAAAAATAAGACTGTAGACAATCATGTCTGACTCTATCATGGTTGCATTTGTTTCGACGCTATTTAAGGCAGCCATGAACAATCAAACGTCGATTTGTGACCTTGCTAGCTCTTTAGTAATCATGAACGGGATTTATATACTTTCAACAGACTGACAGGACTTATTTTTCTTCATTGGTGTCCAATTTCAGTACCCGACCAGTTAGTTATAATATCTTGTTTCAGATTTTAAAATGACCAAAACTACCCGATAGATCGGTTCAAAATCAATTATAGTAAATTCTATTTAACTTTGTTTGATTTAACAGAGATAAAACAATTAACAGATAATTAACAGCAAGATATATCCGACGTCCCTTGCATTTACTTTCGATGCCGCATATGGCGGTCTTAAGTTAGAAAATATTAATAATTCGGCTTATTATTTGTTATTGTACTCTATATTTATAACTTGACGAAGTTTATTCTATTCAAATCTGCGAAATACAGACATATAATCCAAGCTAATCTAATATTTTCGACCAGGAAAGCAACGTATGCCATATTATCAAAATGAATAGTGTAGATTTGATTGCGTTTATGCTATGGTTTAGTTTATCGCCAATTTGTAAGAGAACAATAAAATAATATGAGTATACGCATGCACTGCTTTGATGATCAGAATATGAAGCACTTTGAACATCTAACCTGATATTAGTAAGGCATCTCTCTAGTTATGCTTAAAGCTACCCTTCTACCCTACTATCATAAAAACAAATTTTCGAGTTGATTCCACGTTAATTCCTACCTAGACAACAAACGACTGCTATTACTAGTCTCACCTAAAACTAAAGTACGAATAACTGTCAATCATCCTTGTAATAATAACTACAGTCGACAGCAATAACGATTTGCAGTGTCAATAATTTATGTAGGCAGAGGCGTAAAGCAATTCAGTGTAACGCTCAGGCAAAGGTATGAAGAGAAGTCCTACATTCCATGAATAGAGTGCTAAATCGTACAATGAAACTAAAGTAACTATATGAGTTTAATAGCTATTGTAATTATCTTCTTTATTATATGGATATAAGATTTAGAATTGTAAAACTAAAACACAATCTTACAGCTTACACACATCATACTGTAAACATGCATGGGATATCAAGCCTTGCTGGAGCAGCGAGAAATGTACAAATGCTACATTTCAAGTACTAGCTTTTTTTATAAACACTAAACAAAAAACCTTTACGATAGTGGAGTAGTCCCAAAATTGGCTTGAAATTATAATTAAATTATAATGATTAAAACTTACACCTCACAGCAAAATTGCCTTATTGAATAAGCTATAAGTACAGTTATTACCATGCTAATGCATTATTTAGAGGATTAAAATAAGGGAACCTATAGTAATATACATTTTTATTGAAATAACAAGGAAACAATAACATAAAAATAAAAATGTATCTATCTACATTTTGACCATTTATTGGGCTTGATACACCATCAAAGACAGGAAATTCATATTATATCTTGATCACGAAAATTTATCAGACATTTCTTGTTCTTGGTTAAAAATTTTAAAATTTACGGTAGAACTAATTTCTCGATAAATGTAATTGCAGTGAAAAAAGTTAACAGTCAGTTATTCTACAAGCCTTTCGTGAGTATTTTTAGTTGCAATATAGAGTATCTTTAACTTAGTGGATGACTTGTAAAACAAGTCATATACGTACAAATACAGAAAATTAATTCATAGTATAATGGAAGAATTCAATAAAATGATATTACTTCATAGATACTGTTGCTTCGTATGGGATAATAAAATAAAATAAAATACCTGCAGTTTATATACCACAATCATAACTTTTCAGGACATTATTAATTCCATTCCTGAGCTTACTAATAAGCTCAATCTTATCCATGGCAGCACTCCGCATTGTTGAGTAATCTATTTGATTAGCTTCGTTAAGGAGAACTTCGTTTGCTTTTAGCTGTTTTATAACCTGCATTCGCGTATGCTTAATAGATTCTTTAATTGGATTAGTGTAGGCCTTGGCAATCTCTTTAGCTCGATCACCAGTGGCTAATTCTGAAACTACATTGGGTACACTTTGCTGTATAGCAATCAAAATTTTCCTTCTTTGTCTAGAAATTCCAGTTTTCGACCACATATAACGAGCTAAAACTGCTATAACAACTATAGAAATGACAATACCTATGCCACCTGTTACGCCACCAATTACTCCACCAATGACGGCAGCACCAACACCTTCAGCTATAGTAAGCCCGATAGCAGCGCCGGCAGCGCTACCGCCAATAGTTCCAGTAACAATACCAACACCAGCATAAAAATTCCGCCATGATTTACTTGTTTTAGGTGATGAATTGACGTGTAAGTCTCGTAGATCATTAAGATCAGCATCAGCTATTTGCAGCGCATTTTCTAAGCCCTCCAATACTTTTAGAATACGGCTATAATGCAAGTTTACTGATTCTCGTATTTTATTATAAAATCGCCTGAGTAACCCATTGTCTTCTTCCCAAAACGTTAATAAGCTAATAAATCGATCATCAAATAAGTTAGTAATGACCTCTTCGATATCAGTGACTTTTTCCCGAATTGGAATATCATCTAAATGCCACTTTGTCATACCAACTTCAAATCTATTACTTTTTAGAAACTGAAGCAAAGAAACAGTAATTTCTGCAGTACCATTATCGATGATTTTTTCGATATTATCATGAAAATTTTGGTCTCCTATGGTAGACCTAGCTAATGCGATGTTATTTCTTAGATTGCTTAAGTAAGAGCTCCGAATATCACCTTCTAAGAAGGAGCAATTAGTCAGCAAGCGGTATCGATTAGCAACAATACCTAATAATGTATGGAGCCAACTGTTTTACGAAAGAAAACATTGAAGGAAGATGGGTTAAATGTAGTATATTATAATAATTTTAGACGTATTTATAATCTGAGTCATATAGACAATCGACTATCTTACAAAACGAGCTTTTGCATATCTTACAAATAAGATATTGCAACGGGAGCCATAATGTTAGTTTAGGTAAAAAAAGCGGATTGATAATATAATTAACATAGTAACCTATGAATTAATAGCTAAATTTTTTTAATTGTAAACTTACCTGGTATAATCCACAACTTTCTTCTTCAAGCTTTCTTCTATTAAATGAGCGATAAGAGAATGAAGTACTCGTAAATCATCCGATACGAATCCGGCTTTAAAATGATTAGCAGCATTTGTACTCGACAATAATATTAATTGAGAATCATGAAAGCCAGGCCAAATTCGTCTTAACTTTTGTTTAATAGAATTTTCAACAGTATCTCTGTCTGTCTTTGGAATACTATCCCATTTATTACATATAAAAATAGCTGATTCCGGAGTAAATGTCTTAAATTTTTCTCTTTCCATGTTTTGCTCTTCTATTAAAAGTCTAACAAGCTGTAAGTTATGAAAGACATTATTACTGGATAAATAAGTTCATTAATCAATTGTAAGTAAAATTCGATCATTAAAGCTTACTCGATCTTCTTGTATGCCGCCAGCATTTTCAGCATTGATGACATAAATAATTGAAGACACCTTTGGTAAATAACATACAATTTGTTCAGTGGCCAACGCTGTTTCACCAATTCCTGGGCTATCAACTAAGAAGACACCATCCTAACGATTCAGATACAGAAAGAGTCTTACATTAATAATTCTTTATGATACCATTAAAAAACGTTTAGCTTCTACCCCATTTAAATACTTGACGACAGTAACAGATCATTAATAGTATTTAATACATTGTATTTGTTTGTTTGAGGTTAAAAAACGAACAAAGTTTACTAATTTAAGATGCTTTATCAGACCTTAGGACGAGTAGCTCACAAGGCAACAATAAAAGATATCCAGGTTCATATACGTTTTAACACACTGCGATACAATTATATGCGTTAAATCCGTTAAATACTAGTTTGTTATCTATATCATAAACCTAATAATGAAAAAGCAGGATTATGATCATACAGTAGGCACATTTGCTACTAAAATGCTATATTTGTACGTATTTGTATCTGTGCTGATATAGAAGCATACGGCGTAGCACACGAATATCTCAAATGCTTTCAAAATAAGAGAAAAATATGATAACATAACCGAATGTATTACCAACATAATCCTAAATTATATATCGTCTCAAACGGATTATGATCCTTATCCAGAATTTCTCTATACCAAACCAACCTTTAGAAAATCAAACTCCCAGCAAATTTCAAGCTTCCCGTTTGATAGTTTCAAATCTTCAAAATTATTACATTCGACATGCACATCATCAATTGAGGTAGATAGTAAGGCCAATTCCTCATCATTCGTACTATTTCCATCTAGCCCAGCAAAACCTTGACTGCTTCTTAAGCTGTCCTTGGAGTCTTTTTTTTTCGATGTCAAATGCATAACCTTTTGAATCTCAGTCATCAAATCGGAAGTACCATTGATAGGAGTTTCTTCATGAGGCTCTAACTTTTTTTCACTTGCATTCCAAATAAAGGATTTTAAGCAGGGATTTGTAGAATAGCGTAATTCACATATACATGTAGTTGTATGTAAGTGACCGACAGGTAACACAGATTGACCTAAAATTAAATTGATCAGGCTACTCTTTCCAGCGCTGACCTCGCCTAAAATGTGTTTAGATGAACAATTAATTTTATAAACATCTTGTAAATGTATGTATTGTAACTTATATCGTGTACATAAACCATTTAAAGTTATTTGAATTTCAATAGTGGATAAATAGTACGCATAGAATATTTGTCAAACCTGCGACTAAGATCGGGCATTCCATACAATGTAACTGCTTAATATGCTTATTCATATTATCTAGATATTGTTCGTCGAAAGTTTTAACTATTTCCACAAGCTCTGGTTCCAACTCCAGGAAAATAAACTGACTTGCTCTTTGTAATAAGTCGATGATTTGAATTCTTGTTTCCTTAAATTTATCGATAGCACTTTTGATCCTTTGCGATGACTACAATAGTTAAAAGAAAATTGAGATGGAACTCTTGAGGCTTTATCTACGCATGAAACATTATGGTTACGTTGAGATAAGTTTGGTGTATGATTAATTAAATAAATTAAGTAGTATTTCAAACATAATACCACTACATGTAATTCACAACGGACGATCGCGCCACCGGAAGCATCAAAAACTGTTATCGAATTTTATTGAGCTAAATTGAAAGGTTTAAAATTGTCATTTTCACCAAAAATTTGCAATATTTACCGCAGAGCGTTGATAATTTTCGATGGTTTCATTCCTTCGAAGTAAATCTAGCCGTTCTTTAAAATCTTGCACAGTTTTTAACCCTTTGGTACTGATACCATACTTTTTACATACATTTCTTCCAGCTTTTAAGCTTTGTATTTCATCGACCTCATTTTGAGTTATTATGTATCCCATCCTGGACCAATAAACCTAATAACAGCTGACTTTATTCCAAGTCAAAATACCGTTTAATTCTGTCACTCGATTACTCCTTCATTGAAAATATAAAGATAAAAAGGATGATTTAATTGTCAACTTTAGGTGTCTTTAACGAATGAGGGGAAATGAATGCATGCAAGTTTGATAAATAAAAAGCGTATCATGACTATTATTTTAAATAAGGTTCAGCGTCTAAACGTTAGAATTGGTAAGAGTTTGCGGCACATACAGACAGCGTGTGTATTGCATACAGTTTTTCAACTATTAGAATAAAGGAGCAACCTTCAAACTTATTTTTTGCTGCTGCAGCTACGATGTGGTGCTAAAATAAAGTTTACAGCATATCAGATTAACTTTAAACATAAAATTAAATTTCAAGTTATCCTTGAATGACTATTCAATGAATACCTCGATATACGCAAGTCATCAATGGTATAATTTTCACTCAAATCACGATGAATTGGGAGCAATAGTATCCACTGCATACAAAAATTAATTGCGAGTATTTCAGTTAATATAGTCGTATTTTGACTGATAGACTGATCGAGCATTGATAGCTACTTCGTTAATAAGATGTTTTATTTTATACTTTGTTACTTCAATTTTTCTTCAAATCTGGCAAATAAGCTCGATGTGATGTCAAGCAGTAATGCTTGTATCTAGAAACCTTTCGAGACTGAGATTTATTCGGCAAATTCAATGCACTCCTACCCTTACGTGTGCAATCACGTTTATTGCTTGGCAGTAGTGTAAACAATAATATATAAATTATGATTTACTTTTCGAAAGTATTTATTCTACGGTTTAGTATTATCCTAGAAATACGTATATTACAACGTTTCTAAATGCCCATGAACAACAACAGAAGGCGGAAGTTGAAAGTCATTTTAAATAAAATAGATTTAAAGGGTAGCATTTGACTGTAGCACGGGCATCGCAATCAAACTCGTACTATCTGTACATCAATTTCATGATATTCTTGCCAAACATTGAAATATTAAAGTATTTCACCAGACCAACTTCTGCGTAATACGTCATCGATCATTTTAACAGCTTAGAGTAATATCAAATCGAAAGTAATACAGTACTATATCTCTCTAAAGACTGTCAATATATCATGTTTAGTTCACGATCAAATCACAATTAATGCAATCTTTAAAATTGATAAAGTTCCTCGGCTGCAACCTATGTGATATATTGTAGTAGTAAGTTCATGTCATGTCGGTTAAAATTGCTGCTATAAGGATTCATACAGTATTACGATGATCATTATTTATTAGTTATAGAGAGCGTTTTGTTGTCGGTAGTATCGATGGTGATTGCTGGTGATGTAGACTAAATTACTCTTAGAGTGTAGTAATAAATCCCTATCCAGAGATGCATTTTACCGTACTACGATGCCGTATCGCTTTTATTCCATTTCCATCTCTGTACAAGCTCGAGTAGACAATAATTTGGGAAAATAAAATTGTAGTCTCATTTTTTAGGGCGTGACTAATTGCAATAGAAAAAATATTCTTCTATCAGATATACAGTATAATGAGCGATAAAACATTTTACAAATTAATGTTCCCCTTCTTAAGGAAAAAAGAAAGCATGATTAAACTTGATGGAGCAATAGCCTTTGACATAGTCGTATCTGAATCGTTATTCTATAAATAATTTAATTAAAAGTGGTCAAATTAATCGCACATCAGCAAGGACTACAAGGTGATGCATTGATTGTATTATAATTTATTCTTCGAAATTTCTGTCCGCTTAACATTAGCGTGTTATTATGGCAAAGGTCGACCAAACAAAATATTTCAAAATTGAATGCTGAACACGTCTAATTCTTAATCGATTGTAAGGCTACGTAGTGACCAAACAATTTTTAGTTACGCCTATCATGTCTGTAGAATAAAGGCTGGCCCTATCTGCTCGGTTTCAAACAGCTACTAACTTTAGCAGATTGGAGTTGTAATTTTAGAATCATCGCCACTCCATTTTCTAGATTAGAGTACGCGTATAAGTTAGTACTGATAAGTGTTATCGTAGTTTAAGGAGGAGGTTAACGATGCATTTGAAATCCGCTTAAGATAAAAGTAATCTGCTTACAGGAAATTTACGGTCGACCATTTCAACAGTACAGCATGATGAAATCGTTATGATGTAAAAACTCTAAATTGGAGTGTCAAGTTTATTATGCTTTCATGGTAACTATCTCTACTATACAGTACTTCAATATTTATTTGTATAATTAAAGATAAGATTATTGAATGCCTTGTTTATTACCAACAAAATACCCTACTACACTTATTTCGATATTCATTAGCCGTTCAATTTCATGGAATCATGACTATTTATAAGAATTGCAGTAGAAACTTTAACGTATACGTAGTTGTATTGCAATCAGGCTTGACTCTATTTACTCCGCATTCAATAGTTCATTATACAGTTATTAAATTACGCACCTGCTCTATTTCTACCGAAACGATGAAGACGTTCAATCAATCAGACTACATTACAAATATATCCATTTCAAGGCTACTAGCAAGCAATGCTGCAGAATCTTTCAAAATTAGCAACCAATCAACCGCATCAAGTTATCACGACGGATTGATTCTATCTTCATGATGAGATAGTTGGACATGTTTTAACATAGAAGGATGACAGATCCAATCGATTGGATTTAGAAAAAGTAACGACTGCAGTTGAGAATAATTAGTCCAGGGTATCATCAATGCATTACTTAACAATATTTAAGTTGTTATAATGAATCAATTGTACCCCTAATGATGAGATAGTTAGGCATGTTTTAACATGACAGTTCAAATGGATTGAATTTGGAAAAAGCAACGACCGCAATGAAGAGTAATTATCCCAGGCTATCATTCATGCTTCATTCCTAGAACAGTATTCATGCTGTCATACTGGGCCAATGGATCGATTCTACCCTGATGATGAGATGTTGGACATGCTTTTAACATTGCAAGAGAAGAGAGTCTCAACGGATTGAATTTGAAAATACAACGACTACAGTAGAGAACAATCATTCCAGACTATCATTAATACATCATTCAACAGTAATGAAGTTGTCATGATTGATTGATTCTACCCGGATATTGAGCTCGTAAAAGACGTTTGAACGAACATAAAAGGATAATAGTCAAAATGGGTTAAAAATAGGAAAAAGGAACAACTGTAATAAAGAGTAATGATTCAGGGTTATCATTAGTGCATCCTTCAGCAGTCTTCAAGTGGTCATGATTGATCGATTATACCCTACGGATGAGATCATTCAATTTGTTCGCTTGATGATAGAAGGATGTAAGTTCAAATGGTTGAATTTGAAAAAAAGTAACAGACTGCCATGGCGAATTCCTCCTTCATGGCCAGTTAATATCCATTCAACGATACACTACTGTATATCAACTCAACCATGATAGACTGTGGCAAAATGGCAAAGTCATAACTTACGGTTATTTTATAGAGGTCTGCTAGTATGATGATAAAAAGTTGGAGAAGATCTTGAATAATGATGGTTCTATACAATTGGGGCATCAATTAAAATAGACGGCCTACAAATTTTCACGAATTTCGATGATGAAAAGTGATGTTGAAATAAACAATCCAGCGCTTGCAACGATGGAATATCGGCAAACCATTTTACAAGTTACGTCATACTGTGAGACCGGTCAACATCGTCGATGTGTTCAAACCCCCTGGTCCAGTGTCCAACTGTCCAGTGCCCAGGATACAGTACACAGTTCGGTACAGTACTGTACACTGTACACTGTACTGTACACGACGGCCATCTTCTCCGGCGACATGGACTTCAGTAGCAAAATCAGGTCTTTTTGCGCATGAGTAGTCCAGAGTAGCGATATACAGTACTGTCATGGTACCGTACAGTATCGGACAGACCGATACATGATCCTTCTAGGGTCTGGGTGAGCATTTGGTGAACAAGAAAGGATAAACGCCAGCGGAGATTGCTGCCAGTTCCCAATATAAACTGCCAGAATCCACTTCAAATACAAACTCTCGAGAGAGAAATCGATCGATATCGATTTTAGCCTAGTTAAACTAATCTCTACTATTGTAATTGAAGTCTTTTCAACGCCAATGGATTCTTCTGCTTCCTTTCCGTTTAAGCCATCATCATCCATTCAATGAGGAAACAACCTGGTCAACATTGATCACCATAATGAATAACACAGGTAAAAACTTGCATGGACTCGTCTACCTACTAAATTTAGTCAGGTATTTGTCAGAGAAAGGGAATCTCTCTTACAAGCCCTTCCTCTAGTCATGTTACTCTATTTATAGTCTAACGCATTATCAATACAATGGCTGATAAACTATATTTTACCCAATGAGAATATTGCTATCATTCCTAATTTAAAACCCTAATATTCATTACAATGACAAAGAATTCTGGCTGATCATAATTCAATCTTAGCTGAACTGGAAGTAGTTACTAAAACTGCTAAATTGAGCCTGTTATCTAGATGTATATATACTGAACATATCAAATAGGAGGCTACTTCATTTCAGAATAACCTTTAAAATTAGGCTATAAATGAGAGAGAGAATCCTAACTTGTCCCAATTCAATCTCAGTTGGAGCAATCGTAGCCAAACTCGAAACGGTTACGAAAGTCAATAAAGTTTTTACGATAGTATGCTGATAATGTGATATTATATTTGTACGCCTTCCTCACGGCTCGCTCTAGATTCGCTCTAAATGCCTATACTAGGCATATCAAAATAGAGAAAGCTGCTTCATTTTAGAATAATTTCTAAAATTCGATTATAGATCAGAAACAATTCTAATATATCCTAATTGAATTTTAGTTGAATCACTTTTAGCTGAAATTGAAGCAGTTACTGAAGTCGATGAAGTTTTCGATATTGCCGATCGATTGGAATTAGATGTTGATGGAGATGATTTCTCATCATTAAAGATTCAAGTTAAGCAGCATTTACTCCAACTGCTGTCCGATACAGATCAAACTACGTATCTAGAAGTAAGTAATAACTACAACTAACTTCATAAGTACTTTCAGCTAAATACAAATAGCTAGATATGAGCTAATATTGTAATTGTATGCCTTTACTTCTATTATCTTATCTCCGGAAAAATATCTTTACCCATGATCGACGTAATGATACTAACGTTATTAAGATCAACTACTTATTCTTAAAACTGTCATAGATTGCAGCCTTTATGGTAGCATTAGCAAATAATAACAATTATCATTTGCTGATGCTAAATCTAAATAATATTGTCATAAATACCTGGCTATTACTTACAGTACGGTAATCTCGTTGAACTTCTTCTCAATTTTTTCGATATAAATAAAAGCATCGTACACCATCAGATGCAAATTAACCTAATCAATTTTAACATTCTCTTCACAGTCTACAGTACATTACAAGTAATATTACCAGCTATTCAATGATAGCAAATCACGTAAAATATACACGTATATACGGTATACTATACATTAACTATGGTCGCTTATGTTGTTGTTGTACTGTAGTATCTACTCATCATCAACCAGCCTCGTTTCATTCAAAGTGTAACACCACAAAGATTGCATTGATATTGCTACATCGTCTTGACTTGAAGTAATCTTTACTTATACAATTAATTTTCTGTAGGAGGTTAAGAAGGTAAATGCTGTAAGTGTTGATGACAATGAAGCTAGAAACACATTATCAAAACTTTACGCAAGTATTAAAGCCCTAGCGGAGAAGTTTGATAAATCGTTTGCCGGTGGAAGCAACTATCCTTGTAAGGAATACGTGGAAGATATGCAAAGTGATTATTCCTTACTATTGGAAGAATTTAAATATCCAATTCTTGTTACGGGTAAACGATTACAATTATTTCTAAATTAGTAATATTGCACCCTTGTATGCCGTTGAAATGTGAATTTATGGTGAACTTTAACCATGAGTATCTCGGTTTCGATTATAAGTTTTAGTGTACGTATGTTTAGTTAAATTCAAAATTGATTGCTATGCTAATAGGTCTTGCATTAAATATTAGGTGAAACTAGCGCTGGGAAGTCTTCCTTACTAAACTATCTACTTGGCGTTGATTTATTATCGGTTCACACACTAAGTTGTACTAATAGAATATGTGAAATAACGTACGGAGAAGAGCCAAAAATTAAATTGGTAAATGCCTACGATGGCAAAGTGTTCTATACTGAAAGTTGGACCGCAGACAATAAGGACATTGCTATAAAAGAAATTCAGTCTCTAATATCTGAAAGGGAAACTCTGCAAGGCTCTAATAGTAATCATGAAATGAAGTCAAGTGAAGACGCACCTTATTCACTAGTTAGAATATATTGGCCATCTGAATTTCTTGAGGTACTATGGCAATTGTTGTAGTTTTTAATGACGTATATCGCATTAGTAGTATTATGTATCATTTTTTATTTATTATGCGTTTACCTATATAGAAAGATAAATAAATTTTCTTACTCTCTTTAATTACAATCTTATGAATCATTTACAAAGTTGTAAAAACTTTTCGCAACGAATACCATCGTAATAAGATTTAGATCAAAATGCACATTTTATAAATACACTAGGATATGTATACTATACAGTGTATGTCGCTATGTCAAGAATATTCACAAGTGCACCATCGGCGTAGGCCGAGACTATAAAAGTCGAGCACTAGCTTAGCTGCTCAGTTCCATTTAGTCACTTGCAGGATCACTTGACTATTATTGCTAAGAATATTCTTACCTTTTTCTTTAGTACATTTTACGACTAAGATTAACGTAAATAAAATGAAGTATTTAAACCTATTACTCATTAGTAGCTTATTTGTGTAGCTGAGAGTTAGTTCAACTACGATAGGTCCTTAAGTTAGTTGGAAACACAAGTACTAGTGAAGATAGTATTTAAGACCCGTTTTCTAGTTACAAAGGAGATTTGTAACAAATAGCAACTTGAATATTTATATAGTAATTGATATACTTATTTACTATAGTTTACCAGACTGTATTGGAACAACCATGATTCATAATCGTGTAGAGTGATCTAAATAATTTGTAAAACATATTTATTTCCTCAGAGTGGCATACTGGTCGTTGACAGTCCAGGAATTGGTGAGAAGAAAGAAGTACCGCACGCCTTGAGAAGCTACATTTTTAGAGCTGTTGCGTACATCATTGTCGTCAATTCTGCCAATGCTGGAGGAATTCAGGCAGCTAGGGTAAAGTGCTTAATTATACGTTAATGTAGGAGATTGCGATTTATAAATATCTTTTATTTAATTTTGTTAGCTTCAAAAATTACTACAACAAATATCAGGTGTGCTAAGAAATGATGGGTATTTAAATTTTAATCCTTCTATGGCACTATTTATATGTAATAAATGGGATACTGTAGCCGTACCGGAAAGAGAGCTTGTAAAAACTGATAGTATCACCAAGTTGAAGCGGTGCTGGCCAGGTATGATCCAAACCCAAATAATATTTCTATCCATCAAAGAATTGTTGATGGCTAGAGCCGCCAATAATAATGCATTGGTACCACCCGAAGTTGTGCAACTATTCGAAATGCTTCGTGATTTGATTCCTATTAGTCGAAAACAGAAATTATCGAAATCCTACAGGTGAACGTGATTAAACTATTAGCTTAGAAATGGTTATTCAATCTAAATTTCAAATATTAAATTTAAAATACTATCTGATTAGAGTTCTGTCTTGGATTAAATAAATCGTATTTAATATTTACTGTTCATTTTTAAGCTTTATGGCTGCTTTCGTTGAAGGTGTACAAGAAACATGTCGATGTTATCTTCTGAGGGCAAAATCAATGGAGAGCGAACTAAAGGAAGATAAATCAAGATTAAAACTATTGGAAACAACAACGCAAAAGTGTATGAAAGAATTAGTTACGGAAAAAAATGCATTAATAAACGCTCTCATTGCAAAGTATCGGAAATTTGTTGAAAGTCTGAATAATGAATCCATAGTAAGTTGGTCGGAAAATGACCTTTTAGATGAAGAATTTGATGAAGATAATTTAATGAAATTACAAGAACATGCCGTTCTTAAAGTTAGGCAACGCTTAAATAATCATTTAGAACTTGTTGCACAAGAGATACATGAAGATCTTCAGATAGCAAAAGACTTATTGTTAGAAAAATTTACCACGAGACTTGATGAAATTTTTGATCAGACTCAGTCAAAATTAGTTGAATCAGCTGATATCGAAAATGATACACAAACGAATGACTTCTACTTAGATCCAAGAACTGGGTATTCGAAATTCTCAGAATTATACGGATTATACGATGTATGGACTAATATGACCGCGGCAAGGAGGGCTGCATTTATCCTTACAAGTCCTGTATGGGTGGCCCCAGCATTCATAGCTAGCCCTATCTACTATATTACAAAGTTGGTGAAAACCCGAAATCAACAAGAAGAGATTCAGAAATTTAAACAAAACAAACCTGAAGAAATGAAAGCTATCACGCTTCTAATTCTTGACCATATCGGTTCAGAAAACTTTGCAAGAAAATTTGTTGTTGAGAAATTTGATTCATTAGCAACTTCTCTACTAAACAGTGTTAAAAGTACAATACTAAAATCTTTGCAAAGTAGAATTGATACCATTAAAACGGCTTTAAAGGATAAACGATGCCCTAAAGAAATCAACAAGCTTTATAAACCGCTCAAAGAAGATGCTCGAAAACTATTAATAAATTTAAACAACTTTTACTTACAAGAATTAAGTGAATCATCGATTAAATTCAAAGATCTACAGGGATTCAATGAAGAATCTACCCCACTGTCATTAGGATTAAAAGTAAAATTATATCGGGCAACGCTGCACAAAAATGATGAAGAAAAGAACGTTATTATACAAGTCCCTGTTGACAAATCTATGCGTGATATGCATGAATTTGTCAGTAATTGCCAGATTATCAGGTAACCTTTTAATTAATGCATAAAATAATAAGCTAATTACTTTTCATTGTACAGTGGTTAAAGTAGCTTATAATTGATTCCTACAGTTATGTCAATTGATACTTTATCTCTTACATGGCGAATAATATCGTTACTATCTGATCTTTTAATCACCTTATTAGTACTCTGGAATCGCAAAATGTCTTGAAATTTTTAAGTATCTGCTATACTCCACCACCAACAATAACGGCAATTGGAATTTTCGAAAATTGTAATTCAACCCTTCGAGACTTGATCTTATACAATGAAACAATTGTTAGTGAAAGCGACTCAGATACTATTCGTTTCAGAAAGATTTATTCCATGGTTAATCAAATTATACAAGGCATCGTATATTTACATGCGAAAGAATTGATTCATGCCCACTTAACGACTGAAAATGTATTGGTATGTTATATAGCTTGTTTTATATTAATAAAATTTAGTAGCCATTAATGTCTCAAAGCTGTTCGCCAAAAAGCAGTTAAAGAAATACTGCACTATATTTATCGATTTGAACCTAGTAATTATACTCGAGAGGTAATAGTCATTAAAGTATTAAACATTATATAGTGATGGCATTTAATGATCAGTTTTATTGATGATAGGTTTCGTTAGACAAAGATCAGCACAAATTAAAGCTGTGCCATGCAACGAAACAATGCACACTCTACGAAGACATTGATTTTGAAGAGTCAATAATCCCCTATTTGGCCCCTGAAGTTTTAAAAAGTAGATATATTTCTTTTTTTATTTATTAATACAATATCTAAGATAAATAGGCATGTGGAAATATCGAAAGCCTTAGCTACGATAACCTGGTTTATGATGCAAACCTTATCTTTTAGCAAATAGTATATCATCTCTAGCTTACTACGTGTTATTAAATCATTCTAGGCTATTATTATAAAGAGGCTTCAGATGTCTACAGCTTTGCAATATTGTTTTGGGAAGTTTGGTACTGGAAATTGGTGACTAATTTGTTTGACTGGAATACTAATACCTGCCATAGTCAAAAAATAAGCGATCTGTTCAAAATGCATAAACTTACTCCTAAACCTCATAGAAATGTAGACGGAATATGTTTAGATTCCTTGGCTATTAATCCCAATGAAAGACCAGATATTATTTCTTGGCATGATATTTTAGAAGATATTACGAAGAATCTTCAATAAATATCTCATCTATCTTATGCATAATCTTTAACATGATTGAAAGATACTTAAGCTAATACACTAACGAAAATTTAATCGGCAGCATTCATGTTTATAAGGCAAATTGGTGACATTATCCATATTGATTGAATTTTTTTAACTTCTGTCAATTTCTAATTTAACGAACATTTATGTTATTCCGTCCAAAAGACATATCAAGAGGATTTACTTATTAAATTCAAAATATATTAAATAGCTTACTTATGCGAAATGTCATGAGCTGAGAGCTCGCTCGAGTAATGAAATATAGATTTAACGTCTATTTAAAATAATTTTAATACATCGCTAACTTCTGAACTGATAATTAATCAGTTCTCTAACTTTAATAATAAGCTAATTATCTTTAAGGTTAAATCGATGATTAATCCAACGTAGTTATGATGATTGAATAAAACACAAAGAGCACATCTACCAGCCCTGATTAGTGAAATTACTGTGCTACAAATATCTTATTGGGCCTTATCTAAAATTTTACGATAAAGGGAATAATGAAATGAAAGGTAGCAGATATGTACCGCTATTAATTTCACATATTAGAATATACGATATACGTGTATAAGCACGAAAGCCATCTCAGTTTCCGAAAGTACTGTCAAAATAGTGCTAAAATTTTTTTTTCAAAGTAATTATTCAGAGAAGCATAATGATTAAATTATATGCCGCTGAAGATCATTGTTGTATTCAGCGATATAAACTGTACTGCAAGTACTGTAAATTGTAGAAAACTTTGAGAAATGCCCATTAAGGCCTCAAGAACACAAGTCAGTCATTTGCGGTACTGTATCCCCCAAAAATATTAATAATTTATACGGTACTGAAAACATTTAGGACATTTACGCTGGAATGTAAAGGTAAAAGTAAAAAATTTTGCCTGTATACAGTAGATAAAAATATCTGATTATAGTGAGATGGTGTAACAATTAAAATCAATTTAAATTATATCACTCTTATTAATACAACCGTTAATATTTGTGCTATAAGATCAGTCCAATAGGTTAACTGCAAGAAAAGTCGAGTAAAACTACCGCACGTTGGTTTACGTGTATGCTACAATTAATATTATATATCGGCTAGGGAATGCAAGAGAGAAGCTGCTCTGTAAAGACTACTCAAGGCTGACAACTGCTATAAAATCGCTAAACACTACTAGATAAAAGGTATACTCAGTATAAGATATGCAGTTAAACGTATAAGGCAATACAATATCACCCATACTGTAAATTTCCATTTTATCATTTCAAATTAGATTGTGAATGTTATTAATATCGGACTTCATACTGGATATTACAAACAGAGAATACAAGCTGTGCTAGTGATAATGATGAGTTGATCAAAATTGATCTATTCAAAGCTACCTCGGTATATGATGTTATCTAATGTTGATTAACAACGTACACAAGAATGTCGCCCATGAGATCTTATCGATAACTATCTTCTTAGCTGTATAGCCTTGAAAATGAGAGACAATAGAGTTTCGAAGGATTTTATGTATATTGGTAGCTCTCGAAAGGCAGAATAGAGGAACTCCACCCAAAGACGAAGGTAAATTTATTTTTCAATTTCCTTACTTAATGAGTTTATGCTGCTATAGTGATACCAGATGACTGTGACAATATTTACATACAATACAGTAAGGGACTGCTCAAGAACAAATTTTACCCATTTCTATCCCATCTCATATCACATACTCGTAATTTATAATCACCAAGGATTACTCAAGTACAAATTTCATCCTTTTTCTCACGTCTCTTACTCTTACTTCATAATCCCAGGGATTAATTCCGGATTATAAAGTAAGAGTAAGACATGTAAGAAAAAGAATGAAATTTGTTCTAGAGTAGTCCCTAGCGATTATATAGTAAAAAATAAAGTGCTTACAGTAAGAGTATATCAGTACAATCATGGACTACTAAAATATTCCCTAGGGAACATTTTAGTAGTCTATGAAGTATTACAGCATGACTGCCCATTGTACATTACAGTAGCACTGTACATGCACAGAAGATGCGTCGAAACGATGTACACTGTAGTATATCGAACTAGAGTTTATACCGATTTTTTCAGATACGTCATTGACAAGTTCTAATTTTATTAATTGAAAGTATTATTAAAATTCACTAAATATGCTAGAAATGACGATTAAAATGTATTTATGCACTATACTACAATTAAGGAATAAACTATCTATCTCTTGACATTTAATTGAACATCTAACATCGATAAAAACAATAACTTCATAATCGAATCCTTTGCTATTTACGGTTCTTAAATTACTATGCGCTATGTCATGATAATGAAATTAGATAGTGCATCACTTTTTATTTAAAGTAAATGCAGTCGAAGGGCATATATTGTTACTTGACTTTCTCTGTTGCATTGCGAATACAGTATGGCAATACCGTAATAATCAGTATCAGTTTACCTTTGTAGCAAACCGTAGCAAGTTTAAGCTCACATGAAAACAGTGCATGAAAGGTAAAATATTACTATGTACTGAAAAATACACAAACACACACAATCGTACTTTTGACTTTTCATTATATATTAATAAAAGTAAAAAGTGTAAGTAAGGTACGCAAGTATTACGAGTGAAGGATGGTAAAAAAAGTAATGATAACTGTACGAGTGTACTGAATTATGTTATAGATAAATTACTTTAACTTTTAAAGATCATTGGCGCGTTATTTCGCCTCTGCCTTATCTTCGTAATAATTGCCTGAGCGTCTACATCCTGCAAAAATAGAAAATATTGGATGGTATAAACCACACAAAATATAAAAATTCCTAATTCATTTATCTAAATAGAGACATTTCCGTAATAGTTTCCATAATATTTAGTGTATAAAATTAGTATAGCATAACCCATCAATGCAGTTTAATTATGAATACCTTACGGTTTTAAATATAGTTATCTATACGCGCGTATGTAAATACTAATTTCATGGAAGTGTATTGAACTATTGATATACTAAACTTAACTAAATGCTGCCGTAAATTAGGTTAATTTAGTTCAAGAATAACTGTCATAATCTAATTCCATGCATAAAGTTAGTATGGCAAAAACCCATTTCTAAATAAATTTTATAATTTATTTGATATTAACGTAAGATCTAAACTAGTAAAAATCTCGAAACCGGTATGAAGGCAGAAGCTAAAATCCTCCAGTATATCTTAACAAATCGATGTCTTATTAACTGCTCATCTTATCTCTGAGATTCCGTTAGCGATTTTGATCTTATCTTTAAAAAGGTTATATTCCTAGAGTGATGTATACCTATCGTCTAGAATAACTACCAAATCTAAAACTACAAATTTCCGTAAGCATTTTATCACGCAACTAAATCATTACCATAAACTTAGCTTAGATATCACAGTTACTATTGCTGTATAATTACATCATAACTTATCTATGATGCGCATACCTTGCAACTTATTAATTTAACATCTACTACGCAAATTTTTCATGGTACTTCCAAAAAGAGACTTAATCCATGACTATAGGTCTTATTTTAGTTTTTCCATTGATCGAATGGCAGCAAGTGAATAACTAACTTTAAAACTTACGTTTTTAATAAGAGAAATAAGTTGATCAACAAAGCCATCATTAACATCAATATTAGACCGCTTGAATGATTTTTCCACTGATTCGTTTTTGGAGTATCTTCTAGCAAAGCTACCATTAGTTACGTTAGCAGCTTTCACCCTCAATTTTGCAGCCTATTATGAATCACTTACGAGCATTAATTCAAACTGAAGTATGTACTATCGCCATGGTGAGTATTAAATAAAGCGGAAAACAAAAACTGCAATTTATCCAAAAAATTCGATCATCCATAATAGTTAGATAACCATTAAGTCCATACAATACCCGTATTTATCGAAATATTAATAATCTATCAGATTAAATTCTGTTTAAAGAATAATTCATCGTGGGTACTCATTTCATTATCAAAAATTAAATCAAAAATCTCGTATGGTCACGATCAGTGATTTTAACTGTATAAACTTATGGCATCATGGTTACTGAAATGTTAAGTATGTATGGTAATGCATAACGTGAATATAGACTATGATTTACGATACATACTATTACGTTTATTAAAAAATGTTTCTAATATTGTTACTATTTTGGTATTCTTCTTTTCTAGCAGTGCTATCAGTCAATGTATCACCGGTACTTTACATATATATTTACATATTACAATCGCTTACTTTTGGAATGAAGACGAGGCACATGGTAACAGTAACACCAAATATAATGAAACCGGAGGT